TGCAAGGTAACGTTGGCTTGTAGTCTTTGAGCTTAAATATTTATATTGATTCTATTTGTACTTCTATCTATCTCAAAATGAGTATATAGTTAAATTTTTATTACAAATTATATTAAAGATAAAAATTTAGACACCAAATTGTAGATCATTTCGAGACTGAGTGAGTAACGACTATAGTTTATCTGATTTTGAAGAGTCTGTCCGAATTCCTAATTTATTTTGGGATGTCTGAGTTTTTTTATTTTTTATTTTATTTTTAAAGGGTGATTAACATATTGGGATCATATACATTGACGTGTCAAGTCGATTGCAAAGTTCGAATTTGGTTCTCAGGAGGAGGGGTTCAATTTTGGAGAAAATGACATAGTTCTTATGGGGGGGGGGGGGGGGGGGCAGAAAAATAATTGAATTAAGTCCTAATTGTTAATCGAGTGTTGTTGTTGTTGGCAATTGGCTCCATTAGCAAATTTCCCAATTGTTACATCAATGTCTACCACTCTTGTCCTTACCAAAAACCAAGAACACAAAAAAATGTGGTCCTCTTTGCTCTTTCTATATTGCGCATCATAAATAATTATTAGCAGATCGTGTCAATACACACCAATCCTCATGAAAACTATATATCGATTCAGTGCATTCCTTGTGTTTAGTTTATTCAAATTTATCACGCAATGCTAATCATTTTCCCTTGTCCTTTCTTTTCTCTTTCTTTTACTTAATTTTTTGAAGAAAAAAACAGTTGTTCAGAGAAGTACACTCTACTAGTCTAATTATTGTTTCCTCAATAATATGTAATCCTTTATTCCAAAATTATTGTCTAGTTTGAGATTTCATTTTTAATGCAATTTGAACTAGAGATGAAAATCCAAACTGTACAATAATTATGGGACGGAATGAGTATATGCTTTATCGTCTTTTCCTCTCAGAGATTTTTGCCATCATTAATCGGTTTAGCTAGCCACATGAAACTGAATGTGTATCTGAACTTACGCACTAGGGAAAAACAAAAGAAGAAAAAAATTGAGGTTGTTACATACGATGAAGGCCAGCATGAATACAAAATCAATGATCAGAATTTAGAATAATTGATGCGGATTCGAATGTTATTTGGTGTATAATATGTTAAAAATTTATTCAGAACTATCTTAAGTGTTGGTAAAAGTTGCTAAGTGGTTGTAATATCCCAGGTATACGCATGTATGCTGATACATGGATAACAAAATCAATGAAATACTATTAATTATGAAAGTAATGTGACGGGTTAATGACAATTCATGTTGATGACTGCATCCTTAAAATATCCTATCATTGTCGAAACCGTTGATTAATTTCCCTTCTATTAAGTAATTGTTCTTCTTATAGCATTTTTAAATTATCATTTGCCAAGTTATTTCACTTTGAATTTAATTTGAAAGCGAATTATAATAGTCCGCCAATTTAATATAACCCCCCATCTAAGCAATGCATATGTTCTTGAAGTTGCCAAATCATTTCGTCTGTGGCTGCCATATCTCTTCTTCCGACTGAAACGCTCATTACTCCATACCGGAATAGAATTAAAATCATATAGTGATATCGTACCGTTATCATCGCACAAAATAACAAGAGAAACTAAAAGGAGGTGAACTTGATGAAAACACCAAATTTTATTTCTTTAAATCTTTTGACCAGTTGTCTAACCCATCGAGGTGCCTACAATGAACGAGGGGAATTAGTCACTGCTATTGACGATAAATACCCTGCAATATAAAATATATATATATATATATATATATATTTCTTTAAGTATAATGAAAATACTCATTTCATTCTAAAAAAAATAGTAGATATTAATTATAATTTATAATTACAACAAAACAATTTAATTTTCATTTTATAATGTGATTTTTTTAATAGAGGGACAACATTTTTAGAATGACTATATATATATATATGTATATATTAATGGGGAAAACCCAGAGATATCGGCAACCAAGATTATTTAGATTTTTAAAAAACAATATTTTTTTTTTTTACAAAGAAGTTAATATAAAATATCAAGACGTTAGTATAAAATATCAACTATATCATGATATAACCAAGATTTTATGGTCGAAAGTGATTCATCCAACTATAAAACGCCACCCCGTGTTGAAGCAGCGAAAGTTACCAGGGAGTCCGCCGCAAAGTTCCGTTCTCGATGGACATGGTCCAATTCCACCTTCCACGTCCTTCTCATTAGGTCTCTGATAGCCATCACCAAGCCTCTGTGTATCCCCCACGGTTGCTCTGTCCATCCACCATTTTCACTAGACTCATGTTATCGACCTCGGATATCCAGCACAAAAACAACAACAAGCTTTAATCATTCCAAATATCGTGTCCAATTGTTCCGTAATACATTTCGCCTAAAAAATACATTACCTAAAGAACATTTAAATCATTCTCAATCTGCGAATATAAGGCTAGTATGGGTGGTAATTTGTAAGAAGACTATGAGTTGGACAACAAAGTATCGAATATTGGGTGGTAATTTTATTTATTTTTTTATCTCCTTAATTGTATTGGGAAAAGTCATTCCCCATTTCATTATTATCATCGATCATTACACCTCCAACAGAAAGTAACATGGAAATTTGATACCAAAGTGATCAAAGTTGTGAGTTTAATACGCTAGTATTAACAGTTCAGAGAAAGACTACTTTCACTATATGTAAATGACTGGTCATTTTTATATCAAACTTTCATTTTTATATCAAACTTTAATGGTTTCTTTATGTTTTCATGAATTGTTATTTTTCTGGCTAGAGTTTTAATACTCCCTCCATCCTATAATTATTGTTCAATTTGTATTTTTATTTCTAGTTCAAATTGTAATAAAAGTGAAATATCAAACTGGACAATAATTTTGGGGAGAGGGAGCAACTTTTACCTGACCAGTGGCCAAATGTACCATGATCAAACTAATTAAACAATAAAAAATGTAAAGGTAGCTTCGTTAATTAGGCTCCGGGCGACTAAGTCAATCATTGTTGATTGAAACTTCCAAATAATTACCCAGAAATATCTGCAAATGCATTTATCAAGGAAAACTAAAACTTACAACCTTACAAAAGTTAGAGATCATAGCTGGGGATCATGACCCAAACAATATCATAAAATCATCCGATATTATAATATGATTTTTTTCCCCTCTTGTAATAAACAGTGGAGAGATACAGTTGTGAGCAAAATTTGGAGTGTGTGTAAATTTCGAGTGAAATAACATTATCAAAAGTGAGTAACGCACATATAAAGTCATGGGAAACACGTATGACGCCCCACATGAAAACGACATTTCATGGTCTTTGCCTCGGAAATTCTCAAAAATATTAGACAATTAAAACTTAATCTGCATAATTTGTTTCAATAATACTTATCTACTAAAGTAACTATATTCCTGAACATCCTTACAATTTTATCTTTTACGAACGTTATTGGTCTAATCAAAGATTTTTACATGGCATCCTAGAATAGGTAGATAAAACACAAGTAATACTCTAACTTCATCATTAATAATAATGAAAATTACATTATTATACATAAAAACAAATCATGTTGGTTTTTAGGTACAATACCCTACGACGATAATCTACTAGCAATTTGTGAGGGGTAAGTTTTCATTCCTTCAGCGTAATTGGAACTATTTTTGTTACTAATTTTACAATTTCGTCATCAAACACTTTGATCACAACATTAAGAAAGATATGAACATCGAAATGAAAATTCCAGGATACCGTAATTTTACTACTATGATAAAAAGACTAGACACATAATTTTTCCCGGTCCTTCATATAAGATATTATGATCCATCTTATGTTTTATTTACTATATATTTTTAATTGACAAAAAAATTTTAAAAATATTTCTTGACAATTAAGAGAATATAACTAATGTGAAAATGTATTTTTAAAATTTTCTCTGCTATTAAAAATACATATTATGTGAAATATATGACGAAAAAAAAGACCAGTATTTTAGAAAAAAGGAAATGCGATTTATAAAGGGGGGAAGGATAAATCCATAATAATGGGGGAATATGGAAAGGTGTGAAGAGGGAAATAAATTTGGGAGGAATAGGTTAGGAGGCTGGGCGGGGGAGTAATCATTACAAATGGGGTCATGATGGCAACGCCCTCTACCCGTGGAAATAAATGATTAAAACTGTTTTAATGATATTAAGGGGTTTTTTTTAATGAAAATATAATAAAAATTTAAAAAGGAGTGAGAGAATATATATATATATATATATATATATTGAAATTGAAAAAGGCAAAATTTCAAAGAAGGGGAAAAAAAAAAGAAGATAAAAAGAGAGAGAGAGAGCAGAGAATTTAAGAGCGCAACAGCTACAAAAGCATGACTGCGCAGTCACAGCCGCCATTTCCCACTTTTTACTCTTTTTCGTGATGATGATTATTTATTGTGTAATGAATAAATCCCCTCATAATAATAACATATATTATTAATAATTATTATTATTATGATGATGGCTTGCAATATTACTACTACCTTCCCCCATCATCATGGGTCCCCTTGGAGAGATGTGTCACCTCTACATTTACACAAAAGCTGAAACGACTAAGCACTACTCCCATCGTCTAACCAAACGTCATTTAACTCAGTGCTCCCTACTATTTTCCCTTTTTTCCCTTTTCCCAATTTTTCCCCATAAATTTTCTTTTCCGTTTTTAGTTGCGTTTGAATTGTTAGATTAGCTTATGCAAGTAGACAGTTGAACTGAGAGAGGGAAAAAAAGTGGGAAAGGAGAAACTAGAAGAAAGTACTAACGCCATATTGCTCCGTGATTTAATTAATTATTAGTTTTTAGTAGTAGTAATAAATAAATAGAGAGAGTGGGGGAGAAACTGGAAAGGGAGAGAGATTTTGAGAAAGGAATAGGCCCCCCTAAAAAACGGGTATAAAAAGGGCACCACATTCGCCATATTAAGACCACTAGTTTGAGGCCTTTTTTTTTTTTTAAGCCAAAAAAATAAAATTTTGTGTAGCAAATGATGAAGAAACTACTCCTACTCTAAACACTCTGACCCCTGTCTATATTAGCCTAAAGAGCAAAGATTTTGGTCTCCAAATTTTTAACTGCCTCTCTTCTTTCCTTTCCCATAATCCCATATAACACCACAACCCTCCCCCATCGCTCCGTTTTTGGGAAACCCCGATTTAACGGGTCTATGATTTTTTCTTCTTCTTCTTTCGGTTTCAAACTTTTCAAGTTTCAAATTCACTCGCTGTTGTTCTTCACTCCCTTGTTGCTACCCATTTCACATCCTCCCTTTTCTTCAAATACACGGTATCCTTATCGTCCGTTTTTATTTTTTTTTTCTCTCATTTCTAACTCCCATAAAAGTTATCAATAACTGCTTCGGACCTTATATATATTAGACCCTCCCCCAACCCGAAGTCTCACATAAGGTTCTGCGTTGCGTTAGTATATAGAGAAAAAAACAACAAAAAAGAAGAAGCCTTTTTTTGTGAAGTTTGAGGTTTGTGGAGAAATGGTGGCGGTGAGTGAAGAAGTGGTGGCGGTGGTGGTGGTGAGGGAGTTCGACCCGAAAACCGATTGTAGCGCGGTGGTGGAATTGGAGGGAAGATGTGAAGTCGGGCCAAGTGGAAAGCTCTCGCTTTATACTGATCTTTTGGGTGACCCAATTTGCAGAATCCGTAACTCGCCGGCCTATCTCATGCTGGTACGTCTATGTCAATATCATGATTGGAATTTGAAACTCAACCCGTCCATTTCCTTTTTTTTTTCCTGTTCTTTGCTTTTGGAAAAGAGTGGGACAAATACCTTTTCTTTTTTCTTTTTTTTTTTTTCTCTCCTTCGCTTTAATTTTTAATTAGTAAGTAACGAACTATTCAGCATATAATATAAATGCGGAGTCATTGAAACAATCATTGGTAATGATAAATATTAACTTCACGTTACGAATATTTTTTGCATTACTGTTAATCAACCAAAACTGATGATGGTCACCAGTAGTTCCATGTGATTCATACGTTTTAATTTTTATTTTTGTTTTGTTTCTTTTAATTCCTTCTTCCTAACGTTCGTTGGTGACGACGGTTCAGATTGCAGAGTTGGTGATTCTGGGAGATGGCAAAGTGAGGAGAGAAATTGTGGGGATGATTAGGGGTTGCATTAAAACCGTTACGTGTGGAAAGAAACTGCCCAGACCCACTGTCAACCACCCCAACGTTTCCGATTCCCTTCCTGTCTGCACCAAGCTTGCTTATATCTTAGGCCTTCGCGTTTCTCCTTCCCACCGGTATTCCAAACATTTCCTCCTCTTTCTTTTTTTTTTTCTTTTTGTTTTTGGTTACAAAGATAAAATGGGTTTTTTTTTTTTTTTTTTAATTAGGTAACCAAACAAACGACTATTTGGGGCTGCCTATAAATAAAGTTTATAAAAGTAATAAAACAGTACCGAACCAAAAACGAATCATATGTCTTCCAATGATCAGTTTTTACCAAAAGTAGATAATTTTGTGTAACCACAATATATTGTAACTATATAGTCTATAAACCTCTAAATCATCTTCTGATTTAAATAATTGGGGGGATAATAATAATGATGTACATATTGTACTTTTTCCTGAATTTTCTTGGAACTTATTATAATTGGTGTGTTGTTGTTTTGTCAGGAGGAAAGGAATTGGAATGAAACTGGTGTGTAAAATGGAAGAGTGGTTCAGAGAAAATGGGGCTGAATATTCTTACATGGCTACTGAAAATGACAACCAAGCTTCCATCGACCTCTTTACCCACAAATGTGGCTATTCCAAGTTCCGTACTCCCAGCCTGTTGGTCCACCCGGTCTTCGCCCACCGCCTCCGCCTCTCCCGCCGGGTCACCATCCTCAAACTCAACCCCGCCGACGCCGAGCTCCTCTACCGCCGCAAATTCTCCACCACCGAGTTCTTCCCCCGGGACATTGACTCCATCCTCCACAACAAGCTCAACCTCGGCACCTTCCTGGCGGTTCCGGCTGGTTCCGTCACCGCCGAGTCGTGGCCGGGCGCCGCCGAGTTCCTGGCGAATCAACCCGACTCGTGGGCCGTGCTCAGTGTGTGGAACTGTAAGGACGTGTTCAATCTGGAGGTACGTGGCGCGTCCACGTGGAGGAAAGGGATTGCTAAGACTACCCGGGTAGTGGACCGGGCCTTGCCTTGGCTGCAGCTGCCTTCGATCCCGAAAGTGTTCAGCCCATTTGGGCTGCACTTTCTGTATGGGCTGGGTGGGGAGGGCCAACTAGCGGTGAAACTCGTGAAGGCCCTCTGCCGGTTCGCGCACAACTTGGCCAAGGACGGCGGTTGCGGGGTGGTGGCGACGGAGGTGGGCAGCCGGGAACCGTTGAAGATGGGGATCCCACACTGGAAAAGGTTGTCGTGTGAGGAGGATCTGTGGTGCATAAAGAGATTAGGGGAAGAGTACAGTGACGGGTCAGTGGGTGACTGGACTAAATCACCACCAGGGCTGTCGATATTCGTTGATCCCAGAGAGTTCTAACGGTCTGACATTTCATCATCATCAACTCGTCATCTAGACACCAGAATCTAACTCAGCTTAGTTAGTTGTTGCTAGTTGTTGCTGTTTTTTTTTTCTTTTTTTTTTGGGGGTTTAATTTTTAGGAGTTTTAATCTTTTTCCCCTTTTAAAAAAAATGAGATTCCAAACCGGAAAAATATTTTGTAGGATTTGGAAGAAAGGGAAAAAGCTCGTAGTGACGATATCAGCAAAAAAAAAAAAAAAAAAACTATGTAGATTAGAAGGGAATGAGAGGGAAGATATGGGGTATCAATCAGTTGTTTTTTTGTGAAGGGAATATCCCCCAATCTAATCCCAATCCAAGCCTTTTCCTTTTTGTAAATGGATGCGGCTTTTTTAGATCCTCTTCCAGCCTAATGGAGCCCCTGGTTCTATTTCTATTTTATTTGCAACTTTTGGAGCACCAGATTTTCTATTCAACTGTGATTTAAGACGTTATTAAATCGTGTCAACCGATTGGAAGGGAACGAACATATACTCTTGTGCGGGGTGAAAAAGGATTATGCCATTGTAAAAAATAAAAGATTACACGCATATGAGATTGATTCTGTGAGCATTTTTTTTCCCAGTCATCGGTGACGCATACAGTCCAATTGCCATACAAACATGGAAGATAACTCTTTTGACTATAACTTCTTCCTAGTTAACTGAAGTCTCTTCGCTCGAAGTACTACCTCCGTCCAAGATTATTATCGAACTTAAATTTTTTAATACAAATTAAATTAAAATTAAAATTCAAACTGAATTATAATTTTAAGACTGAGGGAATACTTTATTTCTAGAAACGAAAACCATTACTTCGGATGAAGAGAATATATATTAACCATAAATATTATTCATTCCACTCTGAAAAGATTGTACACTTTTAGTTAAAAGTGAATTTAAAATGGTCAATCATTTTTACGAAAGGAAGTAGCACAATCGTTACATGCGAAAGAGAGAACTTTTGAACACCTTTGGGGGGGGGGGGGAAATCTGAAATAATGCGTCATTAAATAATTATCCAATAAAATAATTTATTTTAAACATAATTTATAACAAAAATCAAAATCAAAATCAGACTATCATTATAGAGAGAGCGGGAATCTCATAGTGAAGTCTTAACCATATGGATAGTATTAACATATTACTCCCTCGATCCTACAAAAATAGTTCAAATTGAGTTTTGAATTTTGTAATGTTTTTAACTTTGAAAATATAATGTGAACTATTTTTTTTTTTGGGACGGAAGCAGTAATAAATAGTGTTCGGAATGTTAGACATAATGCTTGCTCTGAAACGGCCAAAGAAGGAAGAAAAGGGAAAAGACAACGGGCAAAAGGACTAAGGAGCAACATCAGGTGAAGCTTACCATGTGTATAATACACAACTTTTTATGGTTGGGCAAAATAAAAAGAAGTTGACAACAAAAAAAGAAGCCATTAGTCACCCCCCGCGTTTCCTCCTGTCTTTTCTCGTTTTCTTTTTCTTTTTTTTTCAGATGCATATGGATTTTTTCGGTGGCTAAAGTGGATTTGTGATATAGCCTCTTCACGGGTATAGATAACGAAAATCATAGGAATTGTGAAAATGTGACAATTCTCATGTATTTCTTGAGTTATTTTGGCTGCCGTTTTTATCAGTTTCGCAAACTGACCATTTTCTTTTTGTTTGGACACCAGCTGGATTATGGACGTTTCATCATACCGCATTGACTAGAGCGTGTGCATCATGAACATGATCATCGTTTGCGATTGTGAGAAACGAGACGGTTTGCCGCAAGTTGATATAACGGAGCCCTGTAATTTCACACCCGCATCTTACTTGCCGTTACACTTTGTCTAAAAAATCAAACGTCAATAGCATAGTATATTCATCGAGAAAAATATTGATTACTCCCTCCGTCCCATAATTATTATCTAATATGAATTTTTATTTGTAGTTTAAATTATTCTGAAAGTGAAATTTCAAATTGGACAATAATTTTGGGACAGAAGAAATATATAATACAGAAATTCTTAAAAATTATTTTTATCTGATATTGAAATTATCATCAACTAACCTGGTGCTTTATGAACACAAGACACTATTTGATTTCCATTATTTATCATACAACAAATTAACTGGAACTCATCTTACACAATGTAATAAGACAAGAGGAAACTGTGAATAGACTAACTTGTTATCGATCAACTTGTTAATGTCATTGTACAAGTCAATTCGATTGCATTATTATTGGTAAGAACAAGTTTAATTTAACTTACATTGATTCTTCACTCAAAGAAGGGCCATGTATTGCTCGTGCATATCTAGGAAGAGCCACCTCATGGTAATTACAAATAAATTAAACACGAACCTAATAATTGAAGCCCAATAGACCAATTAGAACGTAGTATTACGTAGTTAGGCCAGTCTAAGTTCATGAATAATGGCATACCGAAACAAAATTCAGGTAGCCATTTGCTCGAAATCACCCCCACAAACACTAAAGTGAGTGAGTTGACTGTCCCCAACTTTTTCCTCTCAAAAAAGATGTTCAAGTCTTTAAGAATAAGACCCTTTGTTGTTGTTGTTGTAGTCTGCTGGCTGGCCTAATTGGAAAGTTATGGAATAAGATATATGGGAATGGAACCATTTTTATAAAAATAAAAGCCTTATCGAATGGACAATTGTCTCTTTCTCTTGTTGACTGGATCAGGCTGAACTTGATTCGGTTTTAGGTACGAGGAAATTGGGGAAGAAAGTGCCCCTAGACAAACTGGCTGCATGTTTTAGTCAAAATTTTATCTTGATTTTCACTTTCATATGTTCGTATTTTATTCAAAACTTTTGATGAAGAGCTTGAATAAAACTACTGTTATAACCAAAGTGAGATACTACTTAGATATCATCATTTCAATCGTGCTTTCATATCATCAGAACGAAAATGATAGCTTAGTGGTGTTAAAAGTTAAGAGAGCTTTAGCCAAGTGTCTCAAATTATAGTGAGATATTAAAATGATGAAGTCCCTCGTGGTCCAAATTATAAGGGCACAAATTTGAATTAACTGTGACATGAATCTATGCTTTATAATTAAGACAGGAGGAAATACTATTTAGATAACACTTAAATGAACAATCTATTATCCACCTGTCTCCCTAAAAGCACTATAGTTTTAAGATTTACTCGATAGATTTAATCATAATTTGAGATAGAATGGACATGTTGTTTTGCTATTACAATTAGATGTAAAGAAAAGATACAACATCTATTAGGTGAGTTATCTTGTTGAGTTTTTTCTTCTTCTTTTTTCCTTTGTAATTATTGATTTTTTTTAATTGCTGGTTAGGATGATTTTGAAGTAATAAAAATTTTTTTTTTACAGAGATAACTCTATACTTGTTCATTGTGCCCCCCGATTTCAGCTGACTGCTTAGTTTACAATAATTCGTTGGGTGAAACTATAATGTTATAATACATCGTTTTACACTACTATTATAATTTATTATTTCTGTCTCAAAAATAACAAAGAAAAAAAAGTTGACATTGAATTTGAAATTTGTATTATTTTTAGTTTATATATCAAAATTCAATATAGATTTTTTTTAAAAAAACACAGGGAATACCAAATTATTAAAATCGAACTATAAATAAATAATTTTACAAAAAAGAAAAAAGAAAAGGAAACGCTATCCACGTGTACTTTGAACTTTGAAGTGCAGCAATATTGAAATTATGATGGGATGAATGATTAAGTGGCAGCTTCCTCGTTGTTTTGTTTGTGGGACAATGATCATGATTCGGAAAAGTCGATGGCGAACTGAGAGATTTCACATAAAAATCTCAAGTCATTAAGGATTGGAAGGAGGAGGTATTGAGGGACAAAACAAATTAAAAGTAGCTTTTTTGAAGTAAAGCCCACTTGGGGTGGTCGCGTAATGCTTTTCGTTTTACCATTTCTTTTTTTTTTCAACGTTGGAATCAAAGATCAGAGGAATAATATGGTAGTGTGTGTGTGTGTGTATATATATATATATATAGGATTGGGAATTCGAAACTGCCCACATTGACCACATTTATTCTCCTCTTCAATCATACGTGGATATGTCTGTCTTGGGAGGATTTGGATTTGGATTATGTCTTTCTTTTTCTTTTAATTTGTGTTCAATACTTCTAGGAAATACCATCATCAAAAGTCTTCTGTATGTTGATTGTCCCTTGACATTGATAATTAGTTTTTTATATTCCTTCCATCTCAAAATAATTATTCTAAAATAAAAATTCAAATTTTAATAATTATTTTGAGACAAAAAAAAGTAATGTAAAACTTAAATACCTTCGTCGTGCGTGTCAACTAAAAAAAACAACTAGGGTTTTAACTTTTAATTCTTACCGCACCGGTATTACAAAGCCGCCGGAATTGTTTGGGAGTAGTTTAAATGGTCCCTATTTGACCGAGATTTTAGTATTTGATGAGTTTATACGCCAATCGCACGTATAGATTTGAGTTTTGTAAAAGTGGAAGTTATTTCATGCAATGATGCAGATACAGTTCCTGAGAGTTTCCCACCACTAACTTATTCCGATACAATTCACCTACCTTAATTCCAAGTGATACCATTTCAAAGAAAAGAACGTGTACATTTTTTTACATCCATTCCAAAACTGAACGATTAAATATTAGATCTTGTTAATTTGTTGTGCGATCTCTCTCTTCTATTTTTTTTTTCAAAAAGAAAACAAAAAAGAACAATAAATAGTGTCGTAGAACATGTTGCCAACTTGGTAGTATCATGAACGTTTAGCCATTTTTAAAAGTTTTGAAAAGGTGCGGGGCAAAATTGCACGTATCTTCTCGCTTTGAACCAATTTACAAGAAGAAATACTATTCTTCTAATTCCTAAAAATTTTCACATTACAATTTATTATTTAGAAATATTAGTACAAATCATAAATTAGAACGCGTGTTACTATAAAACATTATTGGTTATCAATAATTTCAAACTTCGTTGGTAATCATGAAAACACCGGCACACCGACTATATATATGGGCCTTCACAACAAATTCACACTAGGCCCAGAAATAAATCTTTTAGCTTAAATGCTAATTGCTTAGGATATGATGGGCTTTACTCGGTCTACAATGAAAGGATCTTATGAATAAAAGTCATCATCAGACGGCCGAAGCTGAAGCTCTAAAAACTTTGGATACATCAGTTTTACTTTTTCTTTCTTTGGGTTGAAAATAAGAAGTGAAATAAATACCCTCCGTCCCATAATTATTGTTGAGTTTAGATTTTCATTTCTAGTTCGAATTGTACTAGAAGTGAAATTTCAAACTGAACAATAATTTTGAGAGAGAGGAGTACAACAGTTTGAAATACTTATGGAGTACTTTGACTTGAAATTCTTTGCAGAAAAAAAGTTTGAAATACTAATTCTGAGATTGTGGCAGCTACTTTTAGCAGAACAATGGTATTATAATTTCCAGACTATGTTAAATAAAGCAAAACTATTAACTACCTCAGAATTGGGTAATAATTTAGAACGCAAGAGAAGATTATTCAAACCGTACCAAAAGATGACTTCAATTTTATTTTGGATACAGTTTTACAATAATATCCTTAGCTCGCTCTGTCAGATATTACCGGAAAATGAATTAAATTTTATGTTTGATATTCATACCAGAATCAAGATACTAAGAGCAGAGACTATAAATTGGTTTTATTGTAGGAAAACTTTAACTCTAATTTGGTGGGGTGCGCCAGGCCCAAGCAGTAGTGCAACGCAAGAGCGACGCTCGAAGGCCCAGGCAGCAAGCTACCTTGATGGGCCCCTCCCCCTAAAAAAATTCATTTAATATCATGTGGGCCGATGGCCCACGTATCAGATATTAAACTGATAAGAACAGATACTACACTTGATCTTAGCCAAAAGGCCGAGAAAGGTATGCTTAGATACGTGCCTCGTCTCTTTAATTTATACTCAATACTCTTTCCTCCCTTGCCATACCTAGCCGATGTGGGATTCTGTGCCCGGCAGTAAGGGTGACCGCCTGGTTTGAACTTATCTGAAACTTTCTTTTACTTGTTGTAGTTCTATTTCTGAATTTGTTTAATGAATTTTTGCAACCAGTTTGTGCTTCAAGGTCAAATCATATAGATTTTGCATCATGTTTCGGATGTTTACTCACATATGTATACCAATGCTTCAATCCAATTTAAGTTCAGATGGGTGAATAAATTTGACCTTTTTCAAGCGCCAAAAAGAAAAAAAAAAATTGAATTCCTCGGCCAATACGTTTTTTTTTTGTCTCATGAATTTTTATTCACAAAATTTCAGTGCTAGCTGGTTAATTGTTAGATCTACTTGGGAAAAAGGAATACGAACACATAAAACTGGCTCTGTCCCGGTTGCTGATGTTATATATTTCTACACTTCAACCGGATATCAATAGGGAAAATGATGATCGGCTTCCCAGAAATTCATTCCTCTGATCAAAATATAGCTACAACAACAAAAGATGGTTATACGAACTCTTTTTCTGCAAGCATTTCCTACAATCCTAAAAAAGAAACGAAAAGGGTCATCTTCATACTGCTGCTTTTCCACCTTCAAGTCAGCTAGCGAAGTTCTAATTTCCTACATTTAATCTGCTGATACACTTTGGCATTTTACAGGTAAGTGATGATATGCTAAGACGAGTAATGCCTTCTACTTCTTGAAGCTGTCGACTTTGTTGTTTCTCCAGCAGTGGACGAAGCTGGAGACTCTGATGTATCGGAACTGCTATTCTCACTACTTCTCTCTTTGTTTGACCACAACTTCGATAGTATCCTTTTAGACATTACCATACCCTTCCCTTTGCTCCCAGCAATTCTTCCAGCATTCATCTTTTCAGCATGGTTGCCGTTTCCACCAACGTCAGCTCCATGTTTCAGCCTCATATTAGCAAATTCACCTTTCAGGGTCTTCAGATCCTCGGCCGTGGGGATGGCATCCCAGTCTTCCTCGGTATTGGTGGTTGCTGATCTGGAGCTTCCATGGGAGCCAGGTTGTAAGGCCTTGATTGAACCAGACAAATCGGGGGTGCTGTCACCACCAGACGATGCTGTGGCTCTGACCTGTTCAAAGAATAAAACCTGCACGACCACACGCAATGGTAGTCGCTCATTTTGCACCGCGTGTGAGCAGGCTTCAACTGATAGCTTCCTGCAATCCATCAGTTTGCAAATTTTCTTCCTTTCACTTTTGGAGATCTCAGGATGCTCCTACAATAAGCAAAATGGCACAAGTATTAATAAAATAATCAGATAAAATTCACAGTTTAATTGCAATTAAACGTTCAAATAAATGAACGACCGAAAAAGAAACAGCAGGGATTTGTATTACAAACTAACCTTAAGATAAACATCAATAGCACGGTATATTCCATCATGCGATTGTCGGGGGAAAGTTGATACCATTTCTGCTAAATGCATGAATTTTGACAAAGATAAACTGGAATCTCTTGCAGCTTCAGCAAGGTACCCATCAACCAATCTGGCCACCTTCGCTTTAGATGCATCTGATATTACTCCAGGACATAGCTCTGTAAATTCACCATCCACAGAACTCTGAACATCCTGTTCCTGGATAATGAACTGTTCAACTAGATCTTGAATTATGTCAATGTTGTACATTGTGGTTTCACCCGATGAAGATTGCAACAGAAAATCAGCTACAGCTGCCTCTTCAAGCTGCTGACCTATCTTCTTTAGTAGCTCCTTCCTTCCAGTTTCTCCACACTCCAACGTAATAGAAGCATGTAGCAATTTCAGTAAGAAACTACTTGATACACTGTTTTTCTCTCTAGGTATCAACCACGTAATGGTGTCAACCAGATAACGTAACTTGACAGGATCACCCGCTTGTATAATACCTTTGTTGAACCCGGGGAGCCGCCTTAAAATGTATGCCTTCAATGCTTCTCCGATTACATCAGCTGCTACTCGTCCCTTTGCTTTTATAGCTGTCACAACCCTTTTATACAAATCCATTTGAAGTTCACATAGGTCTTCAACCCACCAATCTTTTGGAACCAATTGTTGTTTCCTCACACCGTTCCACTGAGAATCATCTCCATTCTCCGATGGTAACTTTATGCGGTTGTATGTATACGACCATTCCACCTTGGAAGGATCAATAGACGCTTTTGAAGCTATCGAGTCTACGCAGTGGTTTACAATTTTCAAGTCCTCGGACCAGGGAAGAAGCGATTTTGTGGCTTGCAGAACAATTATAGAGTCTTTCCAACTCCGAAAAATGCTAGAGGTTAGAAAGACATCAATTTTGTAAATGAGGTTTCCTTTATCGACTGTTTCATGCATTTCCAGATACTGTGCAGCACAACGAGCAGCAACCACATTGTAGGCATTGAGGGTGACTACCATGCCATAACAGAACTTCGCACAGATTTCAAACGCAGCAGGACCACCAGGGATGTCATTGATGTTGATGTCATCATTGTTATCCTCGTCACTGTTTGCAACCAGCTTCTGCAAGCGGGAACTCTTTGAGAGAAGTGGAAACTGAGGAAGAAAGATTCCAGTTAGCATTCAGGAGAATGAATTTCTTGTACTTGTTGCCACTTAATGAGCAAGCATGAAAATGCAAGTGCGTGAACAAATGAAGCAGCAAGACTAATAAAGAATTAAACTACTTGTAAATTTGTAATATTATCATGAAGCACGAGAGACAATCATTGCATACCCCCAAATGCATTAGATGATTCGTACCTTGTGAAGATAAAATTTCACGTCGCCAACAGTAACAACTATATCAGTAGCCAACTCAGTCGCTACATACCTGAAGAGATGCATATTCTGTTAGATTGATATATGGCTAACAACAGACGTCATAAGAATAAGACGAGTAACCTAATAAAAGTACTGAGAAGAATGAAATGGATCAACAAAAGCGCATTCTTTCTATCACACAAGTGGCAGGAGTGTGGATCAAAAAACTGCATATGTGACTAACAAGCAGAAACCTATAAACGACTTGCCTCAAGATGGTGCTGAGTTGCTGTCAGATACTAAAGAAGAGAAATGTTCATAGGGAACACTCATTCTAACCTATTCCATTGATGAATATGAAAAAATGTTCATTGAACCCAGAAAAGGAAACAAATAAAATAGTAAGCTTTCTCAAACTGACCTAATATTATCTCCATCATTCTGAAACTGATCAGGCTTGGAGCCAAGTTTCATAAACTTCATCTTTCTGCAGCTACAAAGACTTCAATCCTGAGAGGACTGAATACACAACTTGAACTAAGACTCTTACGTCCGAAAGCTTGAGCTACATACAACTCAATACCAAGCAGGCAAAGTGAATTACAGGATAAGAGATGGCAACCCCTACCCGTGGTCCAAATTGAAAGGAATGAAAAAGAAGATCCTTCTCCAAATGTTAACCACTTTAACTTTCTTCGACCCTCCCCAACAGAGAGGGAAAAAGACAAGGGTTTATCTCTATTGTTACGAAATGATATCTCTAACTAATAAGAGAACCGAAAACAGAGTTTGCTTCCTTGCTCGGTAGCAGAGCCCAAGGTCTTCGGGCACCAAAAGTCTTGCCCAGGAGACAAAACCCAATAGTTTCAATCCCTGAAATGCAAAAATGTACTGTGGATCCTCAATATGAGAGACACCCCCACTTGCTTACCACTGACACCACCGCCTTATCCTTCATTAGTTTATCTTTCTTATGGGTGGGCAAAAATCTAGTAGTGGACAAGTACACCTATCATATCTTTCTTTTACTAGTAGTATATAAATTCCAAGAAAGCTTCTCAAAGACCAAACTCCAGCACCATCCACATTCCCATAAATTAGCTCTCACCAATGGGGTTCTTCACTTCTACTGATCTGTGACAACAAACATCATCTTGATATGAGCTGAGGATATCCATGACATTGCAGACAACTAATTCTGGAAGCTCATGAAAGCAAATAACGACACATGAACAAAAGCGCACTTAAACCAACAAAAATGTTCCTAAGTGGTTGCCAACCCAGATAAAATTTAGCAAAAACAAAGCATCAAAATAGGAAGACGCCAATGGCACCACGACAGTGAACTCAAAAACCAAAACTAGCCGAAAGAAAACCATCAATTACAAGACCTGATGAAAACATTTCTGTGGGTGCTCAATTAACAACATTACAACAGAGATAACCCAACATAACCCAATCCAGAAAAGAAGCCTAAAGTTATAAAAATGAAACCTTTTCAATAAAAAAAAATGCCTTCTAAACAAACCAGAACCAGTATGAATCACGATCTTTCACAGATGCTTCGATCGCTTATCAGAATGAAAAAGAAAAATGATGATATAAGCTTTAAGATCAACCATCTCAAAAACTAACCTTTGGAGCTGTCAAACCTCCAAGCTTAGCTATGCAACATTCAAGACAAAAGGGCCACAAGCGTGCAAAATACAGCGTCCTAGAAGCAGTAATTCAGAAGTGGACTAATATATCAAATCGAAAGGACAAATAAAGAAAGTAACCCGCACAATTGTTTGCCCTAGATTGTTTAGCTATTCAACTAAGACACAGAGAAAAGATCAACTAACAAACACACAAAATACCACCCATCAAAAAGATGAGTTGTCCCTAATCTTTGCCAGCCACCAGAGCAACACCATGTTTTCACAAAAAGCCAAGCTCAGAATGTTCCCACGGTCTCATAACTCTCCTTTAGAGTCAGCACCACCGCCCCCACCACCACCTCCTTTTTCTTCCCAATCAGAAAATACATATTAATCTCCACCCCCCACATAAGTAAATGAATTTGCAATTTGATATATTTGATGTACTATCTTTTTTAACTATCCTTACCAAAATCAAGCTGTAAGCTGAAAAAAGTGATCTGCTTTAAAAAATTTAGTTAAGGAAGATGGTGAGGATGATGGAGCAACCCCACATTTCTCCTTCACTTTCCTTTTCTTTCTTCAGCCCCGCTCCTACAAATCTACAGTTTAGGCACGCCAATCTGACACCCCCCTTAAAATACTTTACTCAATTTTTAGCAAAAAGGAAAACTGGAAAAAGAATTGCAAGAAAACGACCGACCCGTCGCCATCTTTGGCCCTTGATTAATAAGTGGCATCCATCTCATATATTTTTTTTAACTACTATTTTCTTTTTTAGTAAAGTTTTTTAGTAGTGTACACTGTACAATGTACACAGTACATTTTCATGGTTCTTTTTTATAATGTAATCTGCTGTTTTTTCTTTTCTTTAGGATTTGCAGTATACAGTAGGTCAAGGCAAAGTCTAAAGTAGTATTGTGACATGGGCCTAATCCTAAAGCTGATGATTTTCCGCTTTTGCATTTAATACTTAGTTCGCTGGACTCATCCAGCTTTACTCTTTGGTTAATGATTCCCATTACCCAATGGCCTTTTCAGGTTTTGCACTTCTCGGAATATATTAGTGCATTTTCTTACATTATGCATTATGCATATTCTAAGAAGCCTTTTCTTTGATAAAGGCATAAACTTTCCTTGAAAAAAACGAGTTTTAATAAGAAAAAACTCTTCTTCATCTTTTTGTTTTTCTTTAATTTGGTCCGATTGGAGGATCACATGGGTCACTCATGGTTTCTTGATAGTTTGGAGGATTTAGTTTAGCCCCTCTAAGGGGGCTCAATCCTCAAAGCCTCAAAAAAACACACAAAACCCCTCCACTGTACTTTTTGTGTTTGTCCACTTTATGACCTTTTGTTCTGTTTGTTTATTAGTTTATTTTGATACTATAAAAGTGGGAAAAAAAGCTTCCACCATTTACTTTGTTGTACTAATTGTTCACCCTTTTCTGGTCAATATGAGGTGGTGGTACATTACCATTACCATACTGTAAAACTAGATCAAGACTCTTCAATAACCAAAGAAAATCAGTTTAGCTAGAGAGTTGGTTGGAAATTCTAAATTATTATTGAAAATTGGAGTCGTCCAATCAGAAAAATTGAAGTACAGTAGAGAGAACCTCTCCCCATTCACATATAGAGTGGACAAATTGTGACCACATCCTTTTTCTCTTATCCGGTCTTTATATTCCCTTCACCATCACATGCTCTGTTCAAAGTCCTAAACTCCAAAACCCCTCCTCCCAATGTAACCAGAAACCAATAACAAAAAGCTATTAAAATATTTACACCCATATTCTGCTTCCAGAATACTAGTACTGGTAAACCGAAGTTTGTCTAAAAATAATTTAAAAAAAGAAATTTGTACGATGACTAGTCTTCTGATGTATGATTTTCTGCATTTATGAGGAACATTATTGGTCAGCCAATAATATTGCTGGGTTTTTTTTTTCTGCATTCGGAGATTTTCTATTGATTTCTCGGCAGAGTGGAAATGTTTCTTCCATATATTATTGTGATTAATCTGACATAAGTTTTGAATCAAAATCTTGACGGAAGATACTGTCCAGAAGATATTGGTCGGGTTGCTGGTGTTGATTTGCCTCAAAGATTTAGTCAAAAACAACTTGTATAACACCAAAATTTTAAGAAAATGAAGATTTGTAAAGATCAATTTTTTATCACATGTTGCACTCGTGGGTTCTGCAAAATAAAAAGAAAAGAGGAATCCAACCACATTCTTTACCTACTTTAAAAGAAAAAAAAAATGGTCGCAATTTGTCAATTTCATAACGAATTGATGGTCATATTGATAAAGTATTTGATCATCAAAAACATGTGGACCTGACAGTTACAATACAAGCTTCACAAACTTTATCCAGTTCCTTCTTCAAACTTCAAATCTAATTCATCGTTTCATATTCATCATTCAACTCAGCTCTATTATTATTATTACCATATACCCCTGGCCCTCCAGAGGAATTAATGCAGATCAATATCTGGAAGGAAACATTTTCTCATTTGGGTTTTTGAGATAAGATGGAGTTTTAGTTGTCATGTTCAATAAGGACGCCATTGTAAACCCCACCCAACCAAAAAAAAAAAAAAAACTACTGGGATTGAAAAGTTTTGTGACAGAAAAGATGCTGATTCCAATTAGATTTTTAGAATGAAGTGCAATCACATGGACACGGAATCTCATGTTAATACTAAATTTGGACATGGCTGAACCTTGCTAAAACCTTAAAGAAGGGAAGGGGAGAGGGCCGGCCAACAAATAATGATTGTAGTCTCTGGTGTTCTTAAAAAAGGAACCTGATTTTCTCTCAATAAAAATAGTTTCACATGCATCCTACTGAAGAAAAAAACCCATTCCTGTTTGCAGTGCCTAAATTAATGCAAAGAGCATATGCTCCACTCTATCATGGCAGCAGTACTTCAACGTATATGCATGAATTGAAGTACTTACAATTTAAGCTCCCATTTTTCACCTTGATCATCCATCCCGCAGGAGTTAAGTGATCAATTTAATGTGTTTTATTTTTTTTTCTTTGAAACAGTACCTGTATTAGATTAGCTAATAAAAGCAAGTACACTATTACAACGAGCTTTATTATATGCAATATTATGCATCTCAGACACATCTAGTCTACTTGCTTTAATCAATATTCATGAAGCGAAGGATGAGATTAAGGATAATAATAGGGTAACTACTTCTTGCGCCTGGTAGTAATATCCTGTGTATGGTGATCTAATGTGAGACGTTCAGTGTGTGAGAACTCGGACATTAGAAATACATGGTAAGGAAGATTCCTGTAGCGCTAATAAACATGTGATAGCTTCCGCTTGGAAGGCCAAAAGAAAAGAGTTTGCAATTTAATGTTGTAATTTGTGGGAAGAACCCATTATTAGTTTTTTACTTCAATCACTGAACCACAACCATTTTACAAAATGTATGAACTTTCGCATATTTATAAGCTTCTATGATAATTAAACGGATTGCTTTCGCATTGATGTTTTCTATGAGAAATAAGATCCATTGGGAGGACAAGCAGACCAAATTCATTGATGACACACATAGTTTAATGAGATTGGAGATGCAGAATATTAACTTTTTACTATGGGGTCTGTTCAAAGAATTTGTTTATTGTTACTATAATATTTCCATGGTATGATGTCGAGAAGTTCTCCCACCAATAACAACAAGAAGAAAACAAATTAAGAAAGGCAGACAAAGAATTTGTTGTGAGGCGAGATGAATGAATTGAATTCACAGATTATATTCTTTGTGTTAGACGAAATCAAGCGCTGCCCAACAAGGAGGTCCTACTCAGCTTCAAATCTGAAAGCAGGGATTATGTTCTTGTTTGATTATGTTTAGGAAAGATAACTAGCCTCGAAACCAAGCGATAAGATGCTGATTATAAAGATGACCTATAGAGGTGAGGTCCAGGATCCTCCTACTAATAACCTAGCAAATTTGGTCAATATCTAATTGATTTCCACAGAAGCAATTCAGTGAAGAAATTATAACCAGATTCTCATTTGTATTCATTTCGTTTTGGGATGGACGTTTTCAATTTGTCGTCGGCTCTCACTAACTAGTGCTAGAATAATACCATAATTTTTCATTTTCAATGTTTCATTGCATACAAAATTTTGTTGTAGGAATAAATAACACTATGCTATTACCTCAACACTCTGAGAGTCTATGTATAACTATGCTAACATAATTTGTTAATATTGTGCAAATATACTAATAGTAACCGTATCATTCTTTAACGTGCTATTATATCATTCCATCAATTTCAACTGCAGAGAAAACCTACAATAAAAACACAAAGTTAGATACAGTTGCACTACCCATTATATTCCCAATTCAGCCAAAAAAAAACAAAGGTATGTCAAAGGTTCTTTGTTTTGTGATGCTGGATATACGTAAATCCATCCTTCACAGATTGATATTCCTTCCCACATTCACAGAAGCGCATTAGAAGGTGTAATGTTTCGCAATTTCAGGTATTGATTGAAATCCGTGATTCGCTTAATTAGGGTTTTCCTTTTGATTTGGGAATTTCCCTCCCACATGCAAATCGCTAATCTTCTCCTTTTAGGCATCTTTCGCCCCGTTGACAACATCGCCGCATATGCCCACAAAATTCTCCATTTGTCATGACATCAACAGAACACGCCACAGTGCTCCTGTCAAACATAACCCCTCTTATAGGTTCATATGCAGCATTTGTTATTACAAAAATTAAAATAATAATAAAAAAATAAATAAAAGTCAAACTATATCTGTATAAAAAGTTTTGATCTGAAAGCAAAGTAAAATTAGTTGTCTGTTCTCTTCATATTAAGATGATTATTTTGAGAGTATCATTTTGAAACAGAATGAGTATTAGTATATTTATATGTCATCATTAAATAAATAACATTACCAAACATTTACCGATGAATAACTTGGGGCTCACATAGTTACATGCATGATCGAACCGGTTTAACCAGAAACCGGTCTCTATTCCGAGCCAAACAAGGGTTAAAATCACCAAAAAAACAAATTGTTCAAAGTCGGTCAGAACTTCAGTCGAATCGTGACTTGGTTAAAATCGGGTCGAACCGGGGTTTTAATGTTTTTTTGACTTTTGACCCAAAAATTGCACCTTTTCCCATGGATTTCAAGTTCCAACGTCTTCCAAGGCCAATTTTTTCTCTTTTGTTCAAAATTGCCTAACAACTTTCAATTTTTTGCACTTTTTAAAGTATTAATTTGAAATTTAGTCCCCATATTTATTTTTAATTTTCTAATATAATATTTTGAATAATCTTTTTTTTAATTTCGCTACAGAAACTTAATTCCGTCATTTTATAAAAAAATTACATTATAACTCTAATATGCCACAAAAAATTAATATCGGAGTACTTTTTCTTAATGTGCATATTAGTTGTCCTTCAAATTTAATATTTTTTTCTAAATAATAATGTATTTATCTTAATTAATTTATTAGTATACTAATTTACTTCACTTGAATAACAATTAACTACTGAAAAATATCAATATCAACTAATATAATCAAAGAGAAATATAAAGTTTAAGTTTTTTTAATTTTAAATATATTAAATTACTAAATATTATATAATTAGTAATAATGACATCATTAGAATCGACATCATGAGTTCAATTTGATTATATGGAGATCCATTTGGAAATTATGAAGTATTAATTTGACTCCAACAATTGAAAAATATATATAAATTTATAAAATACTAATTAATATAAAATTATTAATTAATTAATATTTATGACGTTATTATAACATCATCCGAGTCGACCCCCGAATCGCCCGCATCGACTCTTTAGCCATGGCGAGTCGACCTCCAGTCCGAGCCTTACAACACTGGTTATTTATGACCTTTGAATGTTTGATCATTCGATGGAGTGCATTCTAAGGACCACTTTGACCCCATTGTTTTGGTATATGCCAAAATTTTTGGAATAGTGCATGCATCTGGTCCATATTTTTTTATAATCCAGTTCGGCGGCAGGCCGGCGGGATAGGAAATTAATTAGGCTATGAATTAAAGCATAAAAAATACTACTTTGAAATTTGAACTAAAAATAAAAGTTCAAATGGGAGAGTAGTAATAAAAGGAACATTCTCATCACTGTATATCTATTACTACTATTTTTTATGTTCCCAAATGATGTTTAGTATAATTTTTTTATTTTTTTTTGTAAGTAAGAGTACAAACATAAACAATGGGAAGTTGGATCAAAATAAATGGATAAGCTGCCACACCAAAACAGTCACCTTAGGATTTAATTCGTCCTCACATGCAATATCATTTTGTGTCCGTTATTGATAAAAAAAACCAATATATGTATATATAGTTTGGAAGGATTTTATTCTTAAGATTTCCAAGAAATCGCACATGTACTACTCATTTGATCCAAAAATGCTGTTAGAAGATAGACGGGAGCAAATTATTTGAGACGCCACCATCGGAAGTTAGTAGGATCTCACCCTCAAAATATATTGATATTACATCTTTCATTGTAAGTTGTAACCCAAAAAAATAAAAATAAAAATAATAATAATATTGTGAAATTCCCACTGTCCAAAAAAATTTGTCTACATTAGACCGAAGGTAGGGATGAAGAGTTTGTCAATGGACTAGCACAACTTTTGCCATGTTAGCCCTTGTGATTCTTGACCCATTCTTACTTTGGCCCAGTAGGCTTTCGTTTGGACTTCTGAGTCCTAGTTCATTCTTTCTTTTTTCTGGAAAAAGCGTTTGGGGTGCCGACCTAATCACCAGGTTAAGAATCACCAGTTTCGCCGATTCTGTTCGAAACTTGGAATCCAACAGCTGCCAGTTGAAACGAATGGATCCCAGGCACACAGAAGAGATTCTAAGGTAGTAAAACTCTCGAGTGTGGTGGTCTTGGATATGATAGTATTACGGTGTATTTTAATTTGTTTAGTTTGGACATTGGTGTTTGAATTTGCTTCCGGCTCCTCATTCTGTTTGGGGCTGCAGGCACTTGGAGAAGGGGAATGAATTGTTCATGGATGCCCATGGCTCTATGTCACCTGAATTGCATAAACTTCAGGTTTTTTACTCTTTCTTTCTTTTTTCTTTTTTTGTGGAATTTTATGTTCTCCTTCGTCGTTTTAAAATTGAAACTTTGTACGTAGGTGGAGGAAGAAATGCTGATGCGAAAATTATATGTAACTTTGGTCAGCTCAAAATGTGACTTCCAAAAAGGTCAGTTATGTCCGATGTTTTTGATCATCGAAACTTAGGAAATTGCTTCCCATGATATCAAAATCACGTTTTTTGGTCACTGCAAGATTAGTGGAGGATTTGGATGTGCCTATTGGCTATTGGTATAATCTACCAATTATTGGATGTCCCTTGTTTTTGGGGACAGTCTTTTGCCATTGCAATATCAATGCTTGTTTCTTAATTTCTATTTTCTTCTGCAGAATGTAGGCGCTGAGAATGCTGCTGTCGGTGAAGGAAAAAGTCAGGCATAGAGATTTATAAGTTTCCAATGCTGATGGAGATGTATAGGTAGGTTGAATAACACGGTGCTTTATGTACATCTATTTTTTTATTTTTTCTTATTATGTTCCTAGTTCTTCCTCTCCTTCACTGGCCATTTAAGTTCAGTTCTGGTTACTGGTTAGTCCTTCTAAATTTGGTCTAGAATGCAGGATGGGAAGTTGGGAACAGGCAAGTCTATGATGAGTTTGACAAAAACTTTGTCCTGGAAATTAACATTAGACTGCAGATTTGTGATAGAACATAACAGAATTTATGCCACTCTACATTCACTTGTGCTGCCAAATAATTACTAGGTTTTGTGGCTCTTGAACTTGCTTATTTTCTCTGTGAGGATTATGGGCTGAGGAGTGGATATATTTCCAGCTTTCAGTCTGGCATCCACAAGTAATCTGATTCCTCAATCTGGGGGCTCAAGAGCTACTCAGAGATTGTTAGGAAAAGAATTCTATGTGAAACACCCATATGGTTTTCTCTGGGGGGCTCAAGAGCTACTCAGACATTATTAAAGGTGCATAGGTTAGGTTTCATTGGTGATCCTTTGTAGTCTAAGCACTTTGCTTCCTCAATATACTATACCCCTAGGCCCTAAGTAATCTGATTTCCTAAGCTTGTTTTCCCTCTTTGTTAATGACGGATTAGTACATCTAGATCCAACTCAATGTTTTGACCTTAAGGCGTTCTCTATTCACCAAGTCTAGGACTGTGTTCATCCCTGAAATTTTGTTACCTCAGGAACACATTTCACCAAATGGAAGAAACCCGCTTGGATTCTTACATAGAATTCGGTACTGATCTTGTGTACTTGTCTCGTCTGAGGTCAGAAACATAGACCTGGAATTCTATTGTTTTGTGCTTGTCAGTGGCTTTTCATGGTATGATATAGTTAGATGATAATTAAAAATCTACGCAAGAAACAGAAAAAGACAAAAGCATGGCATTTTTGCTTAATTACACGGCTTTAATGCAAGAACAGTTCATCACTAGTACTACTACAATAATGTTGCCATCGATTCTCTTACTGCCTCTGGAGTCTATCCTACGATGGAAGCATAATTTCTAAAGCCTAATATGTTTAAAGACCAGTAACAGACTAAAGCATAATCATCAACTTTATCAAAAATGGGTACTGGATACTTAAGATCAACCCATATTATATAACTAAGGCGACCCGCGGCTGAATCAAAGCTGCGATTTTCTCCAATTTCAACGAACCTCACTACCCCAGAGTGAATCGGCAACGACCATAACCTGCAGAAAAATAAACCTGATCCGTCAGTTTCCCTAATCCCACAGAATGTTGAAACTCCACAACATATCCATACGTTCTGGATTTTCACTTAAAAAAAAAAAAAAAAACCTGACAACTGAAGAGAAACCTTAAGGAATCAAATAATTTCAATGTTTCAGTATGTTCGAGAAAAGTTTTAAACTTGATATTCAAACCCTCTCAATGAGAGAAAGAAGCATAATACTTACTGGGGTCCGAGTCTATAAGCATTGCAGTTCCTTGAAATCCACAAGTACCACCATTCCCTTTGTTCTTCTGCCAGTAACTATTGAAAGCAAATGAAGCGTGGGCAACAATGGTATTAGGATAGTAGCAACTTCCACGAGGCTTAATGGCTGCACAATCTGCACCACCTTGTCCACATGCATAGTCTAGAGCTTCTTGTAAAGCCTCAGGTGGCACACTTGGTTTGGCCACACACCAGAGCCCCCTGGGATGCGCACTTGGTGCAGCCACCGCACCGCCGCCGTGACCGCCGGATGGAGTACAAGGAGGCAAATGAAAGCCATAAGGAGGATAGGCTGGAGGAGTCACTGGGTGACTTTGAGGTGGAGGTGAAACAGTTCCAAGCCATGGAGGAAGTGGGCTTCCAGCTGGGGCAGAGGAACCAATGCCAGGTGGACTAATTGGGGATAATGGAGTTGGCCTTACTGGAATTGGGTCTACAATCTTGTTCTCCTGAAAAGATGAGAGTTTTCTACGTCCGAGTTTTGGTTGTTTTGCATCCTTGATGATCATTTGGTTAATGTTAAGGTTGGAAAAGCCTAGATCTTCTAGGGCATCTGAGTGGCTTTTGAGCAAAATCAAGTCATCCTCAGACAATGTGGGCAAATTTGAAGATGGGTTCACCAAATAAGGTGATTTGCTGTCTTGCAAGAAGCTTAGGATGGGCTTAATGTGCAACTCTGCTAGTTCAGGTCTAAACTTTCCAGAATTTGGGAGCAAACAAGCGGAAGAGAAAGATGCAGACACTTTAATCTCCTTATGCAAGCCCCATCTAGTGAGAGTGTGGTGAATGTTCCTCAAGGAGGGTAAAACCAAACTGCAGGTCTTCTCTTGGCCTTTATCACAGAGAAGATTGTGAGCAGCAACAATGGTGGTAATGTTGATCCCTGGATAGTGAGCCAGAACATTTGCCCTTGTCCAGCTTTCAGCGACAAGAACACTCCGGGAGATATGGTGGAGATGACCATTTGGCACCAGAACAGCTGTGTGAGATAAAACTTGCGGAGACACTGGGATTGAGTGATGATCATGCAGCCTCACAAGCTCAACTGAATCTTCCCCAGCCACTGCCAAAAGAGAAAAAAAAAAAAAAAAAAAAAGAAAAGAAAGCAAGAAGCTTTCAAACACTAGTTTCAAGTTGTAAGCAGTGAAAATAAACAAAAAGAACAAGAATCTGGCATAATGTTAGCTAACCTTGGAGCACAAAACAGAGGTAAAACAAGTAGCAGAGCAACATCATTTTGATGTTGAACATCTTTCTAGTCATAAAGTGAATAGTTATGGGAAGAAAGAAGTGGATGGGGGGGTGGGATTCCTCCTGGAAGACGTACATTACAGAAAGCCTGCTTGAGGCTTTTTATGTGGAGGCAAAGATTTCAGGACAAGAAATCTCAGGAATATAAACAGAAGAAAAGACTAAAGAGAAACGATTTTTTTTTTTTTTTGCTTAGAAAATGATTAAATTAAGTGCTAAATCTTTGTTGATAATATAGCAAGTAAGTGTAACAGAGGAAAAGAAAGGAACTGGTCCTTGGGTTAGTCTTTGAAACGGCTCTATTACCAACTGAAGAAAGAAGAATGGATTGGGTAAAAAAAGCAGATTCAGAGGTGTCGGGAAAAAAAAAAAAAAGTGGTCGTGGGATACCGCGAACTATGCGCAAAGTAGAAACCGACCAGTCGCATTGGTTATGGTGCTGGGAATTTCACACCCCGGCTATTGCTTATATACACTTAATGATTTTTCTTTGTTAAAAAAAATGTTATAATGCGTAAACATTTTATCATTTCGCATTTTCAATGCAAACCCAAAGCAACATCGTCCATTGTTCTAAACAATGATCAAATGATAATGAATAATGGAGCTGAGTGGCACTAGTATTTGGTGAATGGTGAGAGCCTGAGAGATGACAAGTGGGGTGAAAAACGAGTACGGAGTTCATCTGGACCTTTTGTATAAAATTTTTGAGAAAGATGAGCCCGTTGTGAGTCTATCTAAATGGGCCCATAAGATGACCTATCTGATTTCCTGACCTGACTTTTGTCATTGGATTCTTCTTCACCCCTGATAGATAGTAGTAGTAGTAGGCTAGTAAGTAGCCGGAGACAGGCAAAGGCAACTCCCAATTCATTGAGCTTCACTATCCCGATTCAAAAGAGGATTTCATTTTTTTTTCCAAATATTAAAAAAAAAAAAAGAATTTCAATTTTTGTTCCCCCCAGAAGTTTCCAGAAACATTCTCAGCTTCACTATATCATCTATTATCCCGAAATGAATGAGTGCCCATATCATATTCCAAATGATAATCACGCACTAACTAAAAAGAGGTAGGCGTACGGTTCAATCAACTAAATGGGGGGGGGGGGAGGGGAATGTGCAAAACGGTTCAAACTTCAAACACCATTGAGTTTGAGTCCGTATGGTCAATCAAATAGTTACATCACGGCATTTATTAATTGCGAAAAGTGAAGACTGAATATTGATGCAATTCAAGTTGTCATATCTGCCTTGTGACCACGTCTTTGATTTGATTTGTATACCCATTTGGTCCCCTGTGTAATTTACCATATGCACTGGCTTGTGCATTTCATTTCAGGAGTCGAATTTTATGTAGTTTTTCATTCCTTCCCGTTCTATACTATGCCATTTCTTAATTTGTTTCCTATCATCTAGTTTAATTTCAAGTGGACATAATCAAGCACCGAACAATTAGACAAACGCGAATTTGTGTGCGTGCGTGTTTTTTTAATTAGATTCAAACAAAATCAAATTAGAGTACGAGTATTCGTGAGATGAATTGAGAATTGAATGGCAAAAGACAGGACATGCTTGTCGTGTGAATGAAAGCTTTGAACTACCTTTTGAATAAAATGACTTACGTACTAGCGTTGTTCCGTTGTCCACATGGGGGAGTTCCGTTAAGTTTTTCGTGTGTTCTACTTCAAAGATCATTCTTCAAATGACAAATACTCCTTCCATCCCATAATTATTGTTTACTTTGAATTTTCATTTCTAGTTAAATTGTACTAAAAGTAAAATCTCGAACTGGACATTAATTTTGAGACGGAGAGAGTAATAAAAATTAATCCTACTTTCTGTTTTCACGAATATGGTGTTGTTTTCACGAATATGGTGTTTCTTTTTGTTGAAACGAGCATTTTGATTTATACATTGCCTCTAACCGGGTGTTACACCTTACCGATTAGTAAGAAAACAATTCATCACAACAGTCACGTGAATTTTGCACCTAATTAATCCCGGGTGTGCAGATTGATGATTATGTTACATGTTAATTATACGAAGCAAAGCACAAGATGCTTGACGTGTGAAACGAAATCTCGAATTATGCCCACAATTCCAACGTGGTTGTACTAAACTACTAATATCCCTTGCAAAAAAAAAAAAAAGAGAGAGAGAGAATTGGCTGAAGAACTTGTTCCCTTCATTGAGGGCCTTAATGAAGGCAAATAGGTTTAAAGAGAAAAGGAGCTAAAAAAAAAAAAAAAAAAAAAAGCAATTGTACTTAATTATTTCTTCCTTCACGATGGAGTAAACTCTCAAGAGTCAATTGTATCCCCTCAATCCACGTCGTTTGATTTCCAGATCGAAAATTAATTTATATCTGATCGCTTATGACTTACTTATTGATCAAGGTAGAGAAATGTCTAACCAAAGTGGTTGTGGTGAAGTGGAAGGGACTCCTTCATCCTTAACTATAGATCGAGGGTTCGAATTTCGTCATGGGCATGGAGCAACCTTAAATACTTTGGTCAATTATCCCGTCCTACTCATTGAGGTGCCTACAATTCAGTGAAGGGAATTACTCACTATTGTCATATCCTGCAAATATGAAAAAAAAAAAAAAGAGAGAGAAATGTCTGTTTAATTCTTTACTATCATTGCGTATTTTCCCGAGAAATGTCTGTTTAATTCTTTACAATCATTGCGTATTTTCCCTTGGTTATATTTACAACATTGCTGTAAACAATCATCAAGTTGTCCAGTAGGACCAAGTAAAATAAGGCGCTTGCTAAGGTAATGATTGCCGACTGCAAATCGCAAATCATTGAAGGGGAAAACCAACCCCAAAAAAGAAAAGAAAAAGAAAATAGTAGTGATTAAAATTATGAGTTGATTTAATTAGGAGATCACTGTTGCGAACTAATTAGTGGGTGTTTTCATTGCAAAAATCTGGTGCATGCAAAGTGCCAGCCTATGTTTCGAATTTGCACATAATAATTAGCTTTGGTGGTGTGACTGGTGAACAACGTGAATGCCTCTGGGTAAAGCTGCTCTTTTTACATATCTTATTTGTCGCCATTGCTAATTATTTCTTAAACGCAGCGAGTAATTTTTGAGAACAAATAATAAAGATTAATAACCATCAGTCATACGCTAAAGGTAGGAATCGTGTTTGTGGAATTATTTTAGTCATTTAAATATAACCTGTATTTTGACACGGGGAGATCCACAGTTCAGCGCACAAAAAAATCATTTCAAGAATGAGTTATGTTTCTAAAGTTAAAATTTTCATTTTTTTTTTCTTACATGTGCAATTATAATTATTATTAAGGATAAGTTATACCTTGTATAAAAAAAAAAAAAAACTTAAAACAGTGCAACGACTAATTTGTTTAAATAAACTCACATTTGAATTAAAAATACGTTATTGAATTTTAAGAAAAGGAAAATAGTACTACATGAGAGAATCTGAGAGGTCATCATGCATGCATGCTGGTAACATTGGTTGTTAGCCATTTTTTTGTTTATTCAAATGGGGGTTAAGAGGAGGAGATCACAAAGTTTAAATGTGGAAAGCGACAAAGCATGGTTCAGGGTTTTTTTTTTTTTTTTTTTTCAGTTGATAACATAATCAGAAAACAATGGTACAAACAGAAATCCGCAGGTATTTCTACTGTAATTAATCTCTGCAATATGTTCAATTTCTCACCAAAACACACACACACACACACACAAACGTTGTGATGGCGCAAAATCATTTGCACAGTTGCCTTGTAGGTGTGTAATTATCAGTACTTTCGTCGTCTTGGTAGCAGTAGTAGTATTACATTTTCCCGATTTTATGGAAGAAGTGATCATGTACACCGACAGATTGCTTCCATTTAATCAATCACACAAATGAACTATTTCCTCCAATAATTTTCCTTTCATTAGTATTTGTACTCTTATAGTCAACAAACAATAAACATTGTAGTCGATTTTTTCTCGATCTGACTTCTTTCAAGTCAATAAAAAGTATGAAATGACAATTGTCAATTAAAAGTAGACAATTATTTACACCAATTACGGCAAATACTGAATAGTGAATACTAATACTTGGGTAAAATTGTAAAAAGAATTACGCAAGTAGACCTTTCATCTTCATGCCTTATTTCATTTTAATTTTTTTTTTCACAAAATCCAAGTACATGAAAAAGGCGAGATGGAAATGAATACGGGAAAAGGTTTAAAGGAACAGAAAAGAAAAAGTGTGGGGGAAGAAAAAAAGAAGCAGATGCGAATGGATTTGTGCTTTGGGCGTTTGGGCAATTTTAGAATAATGGTGGTGACACCGCCTGGCCCAGTCGGTGGATAACAACTTGTAAAACAAGGATAGAAAGTAAAAAGGGTCGACGCACATTTCCAGATCTCTCGTACACAGCCCAGCCTAAAAAATAAAAGTTTTTTTTTTTTAAAAAAATTAATCCTGTGCAGTAATTTTACTAATTGCATTCCTTCATTTTCGAGCACGGTAATTTTTATCAATTCACAGACCGACGAATTTCAGCCGTCCAAGAAGAGGTTGGACAAATACGGGAGATGACACGTGGACGGCTACTGTAGTAAGTGAACAGCTTGTATGAAACGGACAGTGAGGGAAACAACAGGCAATCAAGGAATCATCATAAATCATGATCATATTATTTCCCTAACGGCAAATTGAAGCAAAGAAAACGTTGTAGCCTATGCATTCTAGTTATTATGTCCCCCGGCAAGTATCATATTACTTTTCTCTTTTTTTTTGAAAAAAAAAAAAAAAAAAGTGCACAACACTACTTCATCTGTGAAGAAATTTTTTCAAAAATAAAGTAACAAAGGAAGTAATTATTTTTTTCTAGACCAAAGAATGAAAGATCCAACAAAAGTTGAAACATGCTCAAATGGCCAACGTCGTCCTTTTTTTTTATATATATATTTCTTACAAAATTGAAAAAGTAAGAATAAAGTCCAACGTTTCCTGCCACGTGGTATTCGATACCTCAAAGAAATTAGAAACCTCTCCTGTCTCCACTCTCTCCCTCCAGAGTCCCACAGTAAATCTTTTTTTTTTTTTGGGGGCAAAAAAGGCGTAAATGAGTATAGAATTTTGGGTATACAGAATTTAATACAGATAGATAGATTGGATGGAAAAATTGAAAAGGAAAAGGAAAGCAAAGTGCGGCTACTGCTGACATCAACCCAATTGCCAGCAACAACCAAAAAATCAGATCTTGCAGTTTTTAAGTGAAGCTTCACTTTACATACTACCTCCTTTTGCTTTTCTCTCTCTCTCTAGTTTTGTGACCACTGAGTTTTTATCAGAAACCAGATAAACAGAGATGATGAATTGGAGGACTGAAAGGAGAAAAGGAAACAACAACAACAACAACAACAGAAACAGAAACCGAGATAGATAAATTTGCATGATGAAAGCTCGAGCTCAATCTCAACAGCACATTTTCGTCTCTTTTACTCTATCATTGGTTTTTGTATCTTTGACATTTGGAGCTGAAGGGCACCTATTTCAAGATTTGGTGGTTGGAGGGGGAAGAAATCTCAGGAGAATTCTGCACCAACCATTGTTCCCTGAAAGTTCATCACCTCCACCAGTGACCCTACCTCCGCCGCCTCCTCCACCATCACCTTTTGGGCCTGAATTTCCTAATCCGGACCAGCCATTCTTCCCAGAAGTCCCATCTGGGCAGACTCCAGATCAGGTTCAACAGTCTCCACCTGCACAAGCAAATGGGACAACAGAATCTCATTCGGTTCCAATTGCCACTCCTAACCAGCAGCAAAACAAGCCTGCTAAAAAAGTGGCCATTGCCTTATCAGTTGGAATCGTCACATTGGGAATGTTGTCGGCACTGGCATTCTATCTCTATAAGCACCGGGTGAAACATCCTGATGATTCCCAGAAGTTGGTTGGGGCCAATTCTCAGAGGATCAATGAAGAATCACGGATGCCCCCATCCACTTTCTTGTATATTGGGACTGTTGAGCCATCCACCCAATCAGCAGTGACTGAAACCAAAGGTGCCACTGGCTCACCTTACCGAAAATTGAACTCGATTAAAAGATCTGAGCGGTATAGGCCAAGCCCCGACCTTCAGCCTCTGCCACCATTAACCAAACCCCCACCGCCTCCGGTGATCAATTCGCCCCCGCCCATGTCATCTTCTGATGAGGAGAGTCATGATACGGCCTTTTACACTCCACAGGGCTCATCTGTGAGCAATGAGGAAGGAACTTACACTCCCAGTTCCCGTCGGAACCAACGGAGCAATACTAGTACTAGTTTGGTGCCGCAACCCAGGGCTGAAAATCAAGTCAATACTTCCGTTCCTCATTCAAAGAGAACCTCACCAAAATCACGCCTTTATGCTTCCTCCTCAGATGTAAGACATGCCATTATACCATCCATTAAGCAGTCTCCAGCTCCTCCTCCGCCTCCATCACCACCACCCTCAAATCCAGAATCATCCGATGATCAACTATACCTGGTTAATCCCAACAAACCAGCACTTACATATACTCCTAAACGGCCAAAATTTTCAGCACCACCTCCACCACCAGACATTGCACGACTCCAGAAAATAAGCAATCAAGGACAGGGACAGGGGACCAAACCTCCATTACCTCCTCCACCACCGCCACCACCGCCACCACCACCTCCAGTTCTCCCAACACCACGGAAAGTAGGAGCGGTGTCAGAAAAGAGCACTCCATCGACGGGTTCCAGACCAGTGATAATGCCCAAATCTATGAGCGCAAGCCCAAAAACAATTGAGAAGGCAGTACCGACGGAAGAACTTAATAAAGGTACAAATGGTACAAGTTCTTCAGATAGGCGTGATGGTGATGACATGGAAGGATCGAAACCCAAGTTGAAGCCTTTGCATTGGGACAAAGTACGAGCAACCTCAGACCGAGCCACAGTGTGGGACCAGCTAAAATCCAGCTCCTTCCAGTGAGTGGACAAGTATAAATTTCATGGCGCCAGTGGTTAGTTACAGACTAATTTTTACAGACAAGTACTGTTTATCATCTTTGCAGGTTGAACGAGGACATGATGGAGTCTCTCTTTGGATTTAATTCCGCTAATTCTGCCACAAAAGAAGCCACGAGGAAGTCGGTCCTCCCACCTGTTGAACAGGAGAATAGAGTATTGGATCCAAAGAAGTCACAAAACATAGCCATATTGTTGAGAGCACTGAATGTGACTAAGGATGAGGTTTCTGAAGCCCTTTTAGACGGTAAGTGTTCTAAAAACCTATTATTTGTCAAACATGCAGCGACTGAAAGAAAGTTTTTCTGAATCCTAGCTAAAACGACAACACATCGTAGGAACCCGTGACAATTTGAATGGTGTTTTTGCTAGTTAGAGTAGCTACTGCCGTTGTCTGTTCCCATAATGGTGGAAGACTGGAAGTGGTTTTGCCTATTTTTTTTAACATTTCACATTGCCAAAACAAAAATAAAAGATTGATTCACGGAATTAGTTTATTATTGTTTAGCTCCAAACTATTACTCTGAAGGAACTAGAATCTTTCATTGGTTAATCATTTGCACTGAATTTCCCGATACAGGAAATCCAGAAGGATTGGGTCCTGAACTCTTGGAGACTTTGGTGAAGATGGCACCAACCAAAGAGGAAGAAATCAAACTTAGGAACTATGATGGTGAAATCTCAAGACTCGGCTCAGCAGAACGATTCCTGAAGGCCATTCTTGATGTACCATTTGCTTTCAAAAGAGTAGAAGCCATGCTGTACAGAGCCAACTTTGATTCTGAAGTAAACTACTTGCGGAAGTCCTTTCAAACGTTAGAGGTAGCAATATAATTGTTTTGTTTTTTTGGAGTTACCATTACTTGGGATTAACCATGACGACTCTGTCATTATCATAAATCTGTGCTATAATACTATCACATTAATTATTAGTGGAAGAAATTTTTAAAAGTAAAATTGAAACCTGACATATGTTTTTCTACTAGGAGGCAAGTCAAGAATTGAAGGATAGTAGGCTATTTCTCAAGCTCCTTGAAGCTGTCCTTAGGACAGGAAATCGTATGAATGTTGGAACAAATCGTGGTGATGCCAGGGCTTTCAAGCTTGATACACTACTGAAGTTAGTGGATGTAAAAGGAACAGATGGGAAGACAACACTCCTCCACTTTGTCGTTCAAGAGATTATCAGGTCAGAAGGTTCAAGTTCTGAACCTATGAATGAAACCAATGTCAAACTCAAAGAGGATGATTTCAAGAAGCAAGGGCTGCAAGTTGTTGCTGGATTAAGCAAGGAACTTGGGAATGTTCGAAAGGCAGCAGCAATGGACTCCGATGTACTCAGTAGTTATGTCTCCAAGCTAGAAATTGGCTTAGAAAAAGTCAGATTGGTTTTGCAATACGAGAAACAAGGTATGCAAGGTAAATTCTTCTCTGCCATGAAGGGTTTCCTCAGAAAGGCCGAAGATGAGATTATCAAGATCAAGGATGAAGAAAAGAAGGCCTTATCCTCAGTGAAAGACGTGACAGAGTACTTTCACGGCAATGCTGCAAAAGAAGAGGCACATCCGTTTAGGATCTTTATGATCGTAAGAGATTTTCTCTCTATTCTAGACACCGTGTGTAAAGAAGTCAGCAAATTACAGGACAGATCAATGGTTATGGGTACTGGAAGATCCTTCCGAATACCAGCCACTGCATCATTACCAGTCCTAAGTAGATACAATGGGAGACACGACAGGAGCTCAGATGATGATAGCTCATCATCTTAAAAGTTAAGACAATGCACAATGAACAACATAAACGATCGTAAAGGAGAGAATACCATAGTTTTGGTTCAAGCAGATTGGCAAAAATGCTGAGTGCGGATGGATGATCGCATTACTTAAAGCCACCATCAGCATGAACAAAGGGGCCTTAGATGACTAATGGAGGGAAAGTGGAAGTGGAACACACAAAAAAAATGATGGAAGTCAACCCACCAACAAGGATAAAAATAATAAGCAAAGAAAAACCGCAGCAACATGGAATTCAGTAGAAAGGCATAATGCAGTCAAAGCCATGTGAGGATGGTTGGTGCAATGATGAGGATCATGGCCTAGAAGGAGGATAATTTTATATTTTTGTGCAGCATAAAGATTGGTAGCAAGCCAGGAAAGGACATTTTTGTACTCCAAATACATTATTGATTATACATACAGAGAATCATAAGCTCAGCGCAGAGCAGAGCACCATGTGGTATGGATTCAGTTGTGATTACTATTAATCAACCTATTAGGAAGATTCTTTTGTTCCTTTAAATTAAAAACATTTAGTACTTCAATTTGTCCCCAACTGATTCTGGATACTGTCCCTGTCTGCTACAACTCATGTCTAGCACACAACCTATAACTGAACAAAAGTACATCTACTAGGGGAATACAACAACAGTGTGTTAATCTAATTTTAGCAAAGGCCTTTCGAGTTCATAGTAAGACAATTCTGGCATGGCATGCAAATTGTTTGTGAAAATGTCTCACTCAAAATCATAAATGATGAAAACAAAAACAATAGGCAGGAGGGATTACCAATATTTGGATTGCAGCGCACATGCATGAATCGCCCGGCTAGTGATTAGGTTAAGGCCCCAGGTCGCATTAACTAGCTCTAGCTGGGTCCAAGGCGAGGAAGTAGTCTCGCCGACCGCCTAAAATGGCCGTATGCAGCCCCAAAGCAGGCAAAATGAAGGGGGACGGAATGATGTGTAACGGTTTCCTTCGGAGGCGTGAACTGCGTCGTTGAAATCTGGTCCCCGCCTTTTGGAGGTCTTTTACCTTCGTTACCAAGTCCAAACCATTTCCTCCAGTAAAGCAAGCAATTTACGGATTATTACAGTTGCTTCAGCCTCTGGCCAGTACTATGTTGGAAAAGATGTGATACTGCTCAACTCGGACCGCATAGCGCAGTGGATTAGCGCGTTTGACTTCGGATCAAAAGGTCGTGGGTTCGACTCCCACTGTGGTCGCCTTTAAAGATGAACTGGTTAACCTTTTCAGGAATACTTTTGTTTGCGTTTTGTGAATAGATTTCAGTCACAGTTTCTGCACATTTTTGCTTGCGTTTTGTGAATAGATTTCAGTCACAGTTTCTGCTGATCATCAATTAGTATAATTTAGGAGTACTAATAAATAGATTTCTGTCACCGTTTCTGCTGATCATCAATTATTTTTTAGGAGCACTAGAAAATGCTCCCTCCAGCTTTAGTTTTAAGAGAAAATTTGAGCTAGTTTTAGTGTTAACTCAGTTTTTGTGGATCATCAATTGTTTTTAGGAGTACTGTATTGTTAAATACTCCCTCCGGCTTTAATTTTAAGGCACAAATTTAAACTAGCGTTAATGTTGATGTGTAAGTTCTAATTAGGACCAGGGGGAGTAGTATGATTGAAAGGCCTATCAAGATAATTGAATGCTTGGAAATTTGGTTGTATACCTTGACTTTTTGTTATGAAGATGTTAGTTAACGGTGCAATCTGTCTTTCTGGAACTATGATGAAAATGTAATTCTCTTTTATACAAATAGCTAATGATACAGTGTGTACACTTTCTGTGAAGCTTATGTAATCTACAAAGAATGTTTGTCTGTCTAAACAGCTATCAGTTTTCCATGGAGAAGAAAGGGGCTCCTGAGATGCTTTTGGATCTCACTATCTTTCTCACCAATATCCTCCACTTAATATCGTCCTTCTTGTTCTCTCTCCTTCTCTTCTGCTTGAATTTCCTGAAATGAAATGCAAGATTTAGAGTCAATCACATCACAAATTAAAAAACCATACAGTTCTATTCACAGTTTACCTAGTAGTTTATACTTTATAGTATCATCAATCTTTACCTGCATAGAGGAACTCCACAGTTGTCTGAATCAGCACAAAGTCGAGAATGCAGCTCTAAAACTTGCCACATCCTCTTGCAATGGATGCAACCGCCTGCAACCCTCTTCTTGCATCCGGCGAAATGGCGAACCAACGCTTCAAGCCCTTTGCAAGCCACGTAGTGACAAGGTGATTGATCCTCTCTCCACACCTTGTGATGCGGACCAATAGTCCGGCATCCGTCTCTAAATATGTGAACAACAGTCTCCATTGCCTCGTATAGTTGTTCGTACATTTTTCTCTCGTTCAGCTTTCTAATTCTGTCCTTCCGGTTCTGCAATTCAAATCAATTGAATCGTCCAACTTTAGCAAACACACATTGGAGGCCTATATACTAGCCAATGACAACAAGTAGATTAAAGCAAATGACTTTGACTTACAAATTCTTCTGCCACAATGGAATGAAGAATCTCATTTTCAAGAACCGGGTGGCTCTCCTTCATTGCTTTCCATCCATCAGTAACAGAAACAGGCTTGAAGTTTCTCAGGATGAAACGGTGGGAAATGAAGCTAAGGCGAGGCGCATCGCATAGCATTGCAAGCTGAAAAATATCAATAGCACTTTCTGTATTTAACAATCTTTGCTCAATCCACCATTCACATAGTTGCTTTAGATGGGGAATTACATAGGAATGTGACAAAACCAAGAGGTGCAGAGCATGCTCTAGCAGTTTATCTTCTTCGTAGCTGCACGGAAAGCATAAATTGGCAACCATCAGAATTTTGCAAATCAAGAACAATTTCAGGTCGGACATGGGGAAAAAAAAAAAGAAGCAAAAAGGCATGAACATAGATTTACCATGAAGAATACAAATAACGGATGAAAACTTGGACTGCCTCTGGTGGAACTCCGCGAATTAAGATTGATCTCTTACGATTGCGGGTTTTCGATTGTTTTAAGATGGATCTAAAAACAGGCGAAGCAACACCCTGTTGAAGAAGACATTGTCGAAATTCAACATCCGTTACACGGGTATTGAAAATTCAGAAAACTAAGCCTAAGAAATGAAAAGCCAAGGCAGAATTCGTTGGTTAAATATGTAAACCTCTGAAATGGTGAACAAAAACTTACAAGAATATTAGCGTGTGCATATATAAGACCACCTTGATCCGTATGAATTAAGACATCGGCTCTGTATCCCTCGTCGAATAGCCGGTCCATTGCATCGTTTCCGGCCGCGGAAGCACAGCAGAATTCCCTGTTTTGTGATCTGCAGGGACCCGACGTTTTCCGGTGAAGCCAGGTTACACAAGGACGCGGCGATGGAGGTGGAGGTGGAACCGCTATGTGCTTAGAAGTCAATGAAGTCTCCATGTAATTATTACAGTTGATGTTTCAGAATGTTAGTGCCCAGAATTCCTTGTCTGCAAAATTATTGGAAAGCAAAAACAATTCGATTGAGTTGCAGGTTTAGAATTTCGTGTTGCAAAATTAATGCACCGAGAGATGATACGAAAGAAAACCGCATCCCCCAAGATCACGTAATGAGAAGAAAATGATGAATTTGATGATCCTCTTTGTATTTATTGAAAAGGGGTTACAGAAACAATGCTAGATTCAATTAATGTTTGGTTCCTTTCAACATCAATCAAACCAGATTCATCCACCAATAGGCATAGGCTCGCTTTTCAAGGTGATAAATATCAACCTTGTGTTGGCTGTTTGTTTCCTTGTAGTAATGCTTAAAACGTTCATGATATTAGCCTGTTAATTATTGAGAAAGAAAGCGACAGAATTCCGCCATTACCTTATATGTTCCCCAAAAACCACCCCAAAATTTGGTTGTGTAATGTCCTTCGTTCTCTGCTACGCTTCTCTATCTCGCTAATGTATAAAACCTTCAAGGCTTAAACCCGGAAATGTACAGATGAAAATATATACGCCGTGATCAATAATTCACCAGCTCTAATGAGAATGATGAAGAAGAAGATGATGAATGACAAAACGTAGATCTCACCAACCACAATTTTTCTGGCAATCTAATATATACAAGTTGCTGCTCCTAATTGAAAAGGCCAGAGAGGGATATAAAATATTGAAGAAGCAAAGGAAAAGTAATAACGAATAATTGATAAATAATTAAGGTCAGGACAACAAGAGATCTGATAAAGGCGAAGTGATGTGGAATGGAGTCAGATCCAACGCTATATTTCTGGTACAAACACTGAAGACGTGCGGTGCATAATGCAAGTTTGATTCTGGGTTGAGTCAAACTCATGTGTTGTACGTGGGATTTACTGTATTTTGGATTTTTCTCCCGATAATATTTTAATTTTAATATCAGCTAACCCCGTCTACGCGCTACACCGTTGGTTTTTCCTCATCAATCGTTATCCAATCTTTAACTCGTTCCATTTTTATTTATTTATATATTTATTTGTAGCTTTTCAGGTACTTGAAAATTGAGTTAAAATTTTGTTTGCCGCTCCAGTAATGGATTTGGCCGCGTAAGAAATTTTCGACCGTCGAGGAGGATCCACGTCAGCCTAACGCCAGCCTATATTTGGTTGGATGGCTTGATCGGACATTTGAGCAACAAAAAAGGGGTAGCCCATCGGGCCGAATGTTTCTCTTTCTCAAGATAAATATCAATTATAATATAGAATTCCTATGTACACCTTGCAAGTTGTACTTAATTTGAAATTCACGTGCTCAAAAAAGGGTAAAAAAAAAAATTCTTTGAATTTTTAATTTTTTAATATCTCTACTAATTTTCATTCATCATTAATTATATTTATCCAACTTCCTATTCCAATTCAAAGACGTCTCAAACTAAAAAATTTAAAAAACAAAATATTCTCTGCAGTGATTTGATATCAAAACCTCTCGTCGGTGGTATTTTTCAAGACGAAATCCGATTGTGCATCAAATCTAGTGAGTTTGGTTGCAATATACGCTGCTGAATATAAGAATTACGGTAATATTTGAGATTATTCATCTGTTTTGTATTTTGTCTGGTGAATTTTGGAAAAAATTAATATATCTAGGTGTTGTTTATCAGTTTAATAGATATGTTTTGTGTTTTGTCCAGTGGCAAAGATTTGAGATTATTCCCGTCGATTAGTTTTGTTGATCGATATGTGGTTTATTTTGAAAAAGATTAATAGACCTAAGTGTTCTTCGTGAGTTTAATATCATTATTCATCTTTAAAACATGTTAGTTCATCGATGTTCTAGTCTTGTTCATCGCTCTGTGATTGATTTCAGAAAATATTCATAGATCTGGCATTATTCATCATCTCGGTATTATTATTTATCATCAATGTGTGGTTGTTTTAGTCATGTTTTCTTTTTTCTGTGAAATGTTTATTCATCATTTACCATCGATTAATGATGTTAGTTCATCGATTTCTTAGTTTTGTTTATCGATCTGTGGTTGATTTTGGAAAAAGATTAATAGATCTGGGCTTTGTTCATCAGATTAATATCATTATTCATCTTTAAAACATGTTAGTTCATCGATGTTTTAATCTTGTTCATCGATTTGTGGTTGATTTTGGAAATCAGATTTTGACATCATTATCTATTTCTGGCGGTTATTCATCATCTCGATATCATTATTTATCATCAATTTTTGGTTGTCTTAGTAATGTTTTCTTCTTCTGTGAAATGTTTATTAATCATCTATTTATAGTTATTCATTTTTTTCGCTTAGTTATTCATTCTAATTGTGATACAAACTACAATGATGTTGTTCATCATGTAATATGTGATTGTACACAATTGTAAATATATGTCATTAATCATGTAAAATAGTGTTATTTATCTTGTCTATATATGTCATTCATCTTTTGAACACGTGTTATTCATTCCGTAGATATGTGTATTCATTATACAAATATATGTCATTCATCACCCGTTATGTTGTTATTCATCATATAATATGTACCGTACACGATTGTTATCAACTGTATTCGATTTATGTAATTTTAATGTTTATTCATCATTTCCAAAATGATTATTCATCTTCAATAGTATTGTTATTGATGATTAACAGAGTTTTGATTAAATGTAAAATCTCACTTATTGTAATGTTGTTTTTGTTTGATCAACGACAAAGAAATGCTCATAAAAAAGAACTCGATCGGTCAGGAATAAATATTTAGTAGAGTTGCTGAAATCAAACAAATCAACATATAGGTGTTGAGCATCGGCGAATCATTTAAGACCGTATATGTTAAAAACAATGACTAGTGTTTTTAATAATGTAAAATAGTGTTATTCATCTTGTAAATATATGTCATTCATCGTTTGAACATGTGTTATTCTTTATATAGATATATGTATTCATCATGCAAATATATATCTATTATTCATTTTATCATTGTTATTCATCTTAGATGGGATCATTATTCATGAATATTTGCTTCGTTATTCATCTTTGTAGATATCTATATTCTTCAAAATTTTAAATTTATTTATCCATAACTTTGTCACTATAAGAACACCATCATTCATCCACAATATTATCATTATTCATCGAAAAGAATACTATTATTCATCCGAACAAACATCGTTAATTCTCCAGATTTCATTGATAATCAATTCAAATTTTTTGCTCTAATTGATTCTTCGGATTTATAAGTCTCGGTGATGAATCATATTCAATTTTACGCAAATAAAATCCATAGCTATAAAAAAAATTTCTCATAAAATAAAATAATATAAAAGATAACATGATAACCCAAAAAAAAAAATGGTTTAAAATTAAATGTGTGAGAAAAAAATGGGATGAGAATTGGAGGATTTAATGCGCGTATAACTGAAAATTAGGAAAATAAATAAATGAACTTGTGTAGAAGGAGAGTATATTACACATGCCCATGAGGTACACCTTGCAAAGTATACCTAGGTGCTTGTTATTTTTTGCCGGATAAACATCGCAACTCTAATTGGAATTTTTTTTCTTTCTTTCATCGATGGGGAAAAAAGAGCACGTGTTTGTTCTGGAATTTGTTTTTCAGGCCTAAATATTTTAGGAAAAAAATCTTTAAAAAATATAAAGTGCTCCGAGTGAGCAAATTAGGGCATGTTTGATAACTGCTTAAAATTATTTTAATAAAGAACTTTTTTCATTTAAGCACGTTTGGTAGCAAAAAACAAACCTCTTAATAAATCAAGTGCTGCTGAAACTGCAGTACAAAATATAAATAAAAAAAATTACTTTATTATTTATTCCGTAATTCCTTAATGAATTCAACATTTATTCAGCATTAAGCACTAGTTTTATCAAGCAGGAATGTCTAAAAATTTTCATTTCTTGAAATACTTTTAAGTAGTGATACTTTTAATTTCTTGAAGAAATAGTCCATGTCTCATCAACTTTAAACTAATGTTTACATAAAATACAAAAAAGCTGAACTATGGAGTAAAAAATGAATATAATGTTAGTTTTTTTTTTCTTTCCCTTATAATATATAGAATATAAGAAGGTTCATCTCTGATTTTTTTCCCCATTCCATTGCAAAATTGTGTTGAGTTGTTGTACTATCTTTTACAATAATTTATAAAAGTGGATTATAAGTGCAGTGCTTAGTTTTGTGTGATTAGTTATAGATATACAAAATCAATACCATCTTCATTGCTATTGAATTTTCAATTACCATGTTTGATAAAAAGTAATGTTTGATTCTGAATGCTTAATATTGAATAGTACATATTAATGCCATTAAGTAGTTATGGAATAAACAATAAACTAACTTTTATTGCTTATATTTTGTATTGCAGTTTCAACACCACTTAATTCGATAAAAGATTTAGTTTTTACTACCAAATATGCTAAAATCAATAAGTATTTTATAGAATAATTTTAAACGATAAGTAGTGTTATCAAACAAAAAAGAATCAAAATTAACTCATAAAATTAATCAATTATTGATTTATCAATACATTAAATAGTGATGTTTGATTTTGAACTATTCATAAAATTTCGGGGCCAGGTCTTAACATTATTTATCTGAAGAGGTACATTTTATATTTGAAATCATCACAATTGGAGACGGTGGACTAAAGACACATATAACAATTTTTATTTTTTTTCCTTTAAACATTTCGCAATCTCTATTACTATCCTTGTAGTTTTATGAAACTTTTGGGTCGTTTGGTAGTTTTCCTCAACATTGAGTAGGTAATTGTAATATCCCCAATATTTAGTTGTCAGGTCCCAATTGTAACCGACCGCCAAAACTGATTTCAAAATTGCCGGAGCTAAAAAACACAGAGGCCAAACAGTTCCCAATCCGTCAAACAAATCAAAGCCGACCATCACCATTAACAGTCATCTCTTTCAAGCTTATACCTCTCCCTCACTTAGGCAACCACATTTCACGGAATCCTAGATAGTTGCTTTCCCTCTTTGCAATTTACCCAAATTTTAAGTCGCTGGAAACACACGCGCCTCCCGCAGTCACTCACAATTGTGCTGTGCTTCAATGGAGAAGAGGCTCCGTTCATCCCTCCGTACCTCAGCCGAAGAATTTTTATCTTCAGCTGTGAAATCGGGATTTACGAAATCCACTAAGTCCTCTCTCAAAACCCTAATTCACAGCATTTCCCCCTCCTCTGAACTCACATCTTCCCTTCCTCCGGCTCTCCACAGTGCAATTTCCCAGTCCATTCACCGATTCAAATCCAGTTCAAGCCGTCAAGGTTCCCCTCGGACGCCACCCGCTAAACGCCCCCGCCGTTCCTCTCGGAAACGTCAAAAGGATGACACTCCAGATACCAACACCGAAAATGCTAAGTCATCAGTGTTGGATAATCTTCAGGTCTACGCTCACGTCGCTTCACTCTGCGTTTCAAACCCAAAAGGTGCGTTTTCGGTTTCCGATTTACACCCAGGGGTTCTTGAATTACACGACAATCTAGTTTTATTTGAGTCAGAATCTACGTTGTTGTTGGAGATTGCGAATTTGTGCGAGGAATGGTGGAAGAGGGATTTGGCCGGAAAAGAAACCCTCATTTCACAGTCGTTGCCGTTTTGGTTATCGAGGTCCTTGACTGTAAAGAAGAAAGTGGATGTCCATAGGGTTTACGGTCTTAGGGAGGCGTTCTTGCTGTTTGATTTTGAGGATGAAAGCATTGAGGATTTGAAAAATTTGTTAATTCGTTGCGTGATATCTCCTTTGTATTTTAAGACCGAGGAGGGGAGGAAATTTGTTGCCTTCATGTTTGGATTGAGTGGGCAGCTCGTGAAGGAGGCATTGGCACTGATTAAGTCTCAAATACCATTTGGAAAGAAATCGATGTTGGAGGCCTATGGGGAGATTGTTTTCCGTGCGTGGAAAGCTGCCGATGGAGATTCTAAGGATGCAATAGAGAATGAATTCTTACAGGGGTTGATTGACAGCGCTATACATGCTGGCTCTGGGGCACTTGCAGCTTCTATTCGGAGGGTTTTAGGGGTTTTTATTGTCCAAAGAACAACAGATGGGGTTGAAAAACTACTTTTCAGGCTTGCCGAGCCTGTGATTTTCCGATCTTTACAGGTAACAACTGAATTAACTGTAAATATTCATGCATTAGATGGTGTCATTCCAGGTGGGGTATATCACCTATTAGTTTCGGTGCTACTTGAGTTCTGCTATTGTGTTCAAAATATCTATTCATGGCCCTCTTTTTGAACTTCGATAATCATAGCTGTTTGTTTTCAATGTTATATTCTTATTGTAGCTTCTGTTGGATCGACCGTGTCATTTGAGAATAGAGGAAATTAAGCATTCCAACCCATGACGGTTCTTTTCAAAAAAAAAAAAAAAACCCATGTCGGTTTAGTTGATCAATCCAAAAGTATTTGTCCAAATCCTCCTACCAAACAACATTTTTCGAAATCATTCCCTTTTCTTGTTCTTGTTATCTCTGGTGTGGATTGTTGCAAAAATGTGTATTCATTATTATGCTGTTTCCTTCAGGTGGCAAACTCCAATGTGCGCCAAAATGCATTGCTTTTACTTCTGGACTTGTTCCCTCTGGAAGATCCTGATGCTACAAAGGAGGTTGAAGATAACCTGCTTCAGAAACAGTTCTTTCTGTTGGAGAAGTTACTCATGGATGAATGCCCAGATGTGAGAGTTGTGGCTGTGGAAGGTGGTTGTCGCATCCTTAATTTGTTCTGGGAAGTCATTCCTTCATCTGCCATAACCAAGACACTGACCAAAATATTTGATGATTTGACGCATGATACATGCACTGAGGTCAGGCTTTCCACAGTGAATGGAATAATGTATTTACTTGGGAATCCTCATTCTCATGAAATTCTTAAAGTTCTCCTACCTAGAATGGGGCATTTGATTCTGGATGTTGCCATGTCTGTGCGGGCTGCTATCTTGGATCTTCTTGTGCTTGCTAGTGACATCCGAAATTTTCAGTTTCATAAGGTATTGTTCCATTGGAAGAATAAACTCTCTTCCAAGATTATCAGTAATAACCATTGTTCTCTTGGCCTCTTTCTCATGAAATCTTACTTGTTCCATGTTCACTGTGACTGTGCAGGTGGTGCGCCTAGATTTATTGTTGTCCACACTTGCAAATGACCACCAACTCTTGGGTCAGAAAATCACTAAACTTCTTATACCGTCATATTTTCCATCAAGAGTAACCCAAGAAGAAGCATGTAATAGGTGTATTGCGCTTATAAAAAGGTCCCCTGTAGCAGGGGCAAGGTTTTGTGAATTTTTAGCATCACAGGGAGCATCATCAGGGTCCCGTATGGAGCTTTTTGGTGCCATCATCAGTTTAACTTTGTCACAGGACAAGGGTGATGCGCATTATATCAGTAGTTTACTCTCTGCTGTTTCCCATGTCTGCGAAAATTTAGTTAATGATGAATCTCAACGGAATTTTATGAAGGAAGTTTTGAGTGGTGAAAAGCTACAGCAGCTTTTTGCTGTTGCAACTTCTTCTCATGCTAAATCTTGTGTCTGTAAGATTGTCACAGCCATTTCTCCTGATACAGTGGATGGTCTATTTAAAGAGTGCCTGGGCTTGATCATGAACTGCGCTAACATAAGGGAAGATATGGACAGGCAAATTGAAGTTAGATCTGCCCATAAGATGGTATCCTCTTGTGGTTGGTTTGAGGGCATGTTTGATGCTATGGTAAAGCATCTACAAAAAACTGTGCATCTATACCACGAGAGAGTTGTCTCAGAAACTGATCGCTCAACAAAACGGAGGAAAACTAAATCCACCTCAAGGGTTTCATCAAAGTCAGATGATAACATGGGGAAAAAATCACCCATTAATTCTGGAAATAAAATCGAGAAGGACCTTGCTGTTTCAGCAGGAATAGCCTGGCAACTGAAGGAGCTACTTTCATCTGAAAATGCACGAAATTCCTTGTTAGCTTCAAGGAACTTAAAAGCTGCCTTTTCAGCTGTGAAAGCATTATCTGAGGCTAGCATTCTGGAATGCTTGCAGAGTGACACTATGTGTGCCTCTCCAGTTTCGGCATATGCAGCTCTTTCGCTAAATATGTATCTCCAGCATGTTAGCATCAGCTGTTCCAAGAGTTCCAGTACTAGGAAGAAAGCCTGTTTAGATACTTCAGAATCATCTCCAGAGGTAAGTTATAATGTCATCTAGTGTACCGTTTTCATAGGCAAATCTGGTTACTGAGATGCAGAGTTTATGTTCTTGGAGCTTGTTATTTGTCTAGGTTCTTTCATTTGCATACTTCACCTCTTGTTGCTTTTCTGAAGCCATGCGATTTTTCTTTCTTTTTTGTGTCAGTTAACATGTAAGTCATGGCTTTAATACTCCTTTGCTCCACTGAGCAGAATTCAATAGTATCTCATTACGTTTGATCCTTTGGATTCATGGAACCTCTGGTTAATATAAATGTCTTAACAAAAGGAGTCCTTAAGAATAATTGGTTTGTGTTTTTTCTTTCCTTTGAACTGAGTGAATATACATGCACAATGGTTCTTTTTCCCCAATCACTGACATCAAATCTATTTGCAGTGCGTTTCCTGGGAGAGTATCCTAGGCATGACAACAGATCATTTCCTGAAATGCAGTCATCAATTGTTCAGAGAAAGTGCTTGTGAGAAATGTGGCGTATTGCTATGGGGATTGGCAGAAACTACAAGCAGAGGCCATTCTTGTGGGCAGAATAACATGGAAAATCGCATCAATGATTCAGGAACAAGTGATGGTGAGGTTTTTATAACTTTCTTGCATTTGGTTCTGTTTTTAGTTTTTGTCCATTGCAAATAAAGCTAGAAGAGTCATCATTGACAATTCTCTTGCTAATAAAGGACTAAATAAATGGGTACCTAAATCATAGTGCTTCTTAATTTTAGTGAATTTGCTTGAAATTAAATACATCAAGTGCACCAATGCATATTGGGTTGTACTTAAACAACCTCTCTGTATTGAAATACATGGGTACGGTTGCGTAAATATTGAGCCCCAGTCCCCAATGAAGTTGGGAGTCTTACTGGGTATGTTGTTGTTATTGTTGTTGTAGTATTATGTTTTTAGATACATGCCTTTGAACCTCTTCAAGTGTCTCGCCTTTTGTTTTCTCTTGGTGGGGTTAAAACTTGTGCTTGTGGTTGGGGTTTGAACTTAGTGAATCCAAATGACTTTTCTTACACTCTATTTGGTGCAGCATATAGCTCTGATAAATTATCGAGGATATCAAATATGTTGGAAGTGCTGACAGCTGTACTCAAGTTCATTGTTGATGCGACTACACTGGATGTTGATTATTACAACCCAGAACGGTGTTTAAAATATGCACTGGAGTATGTGAAATTCATCATATGCAATTTGAGAGGTTGTTACAAAAGTCACCTGGAGTTCAGGGAGGAAGACTTGGCTAAAGTTGTTTTTTGTTTGAAGATTTCCTTCACATATGCAGCCAAGTATCTCAGTTCATTACTCAAAAGTTCTTCAGTTGCTGCCCTACAATTACGTGCACCCCATGACCTGGCCCATGAATTGCTTAACCTTTTTGCTTCAGTTGAAGAATACTTGGGGTATAAACATGCAGCTCGGCTTCTCACCTCCATCAAGCCATGGGTGCCTGACTTAATAATAGCATTGGGATCCTGGCACTTGCTGAAGCAAACGTCAGTAGGGAGTGCATCTGACTATCATAAGTCCCCCCTTCCATTGTGGGAAAGTGTTTTAGCAAAAATTGAGCTCTATGAGCTTCAAGACATCGTCCCAGAAGAAGAGGCAGTTCGAGTTTCCAAATCTGAGCGGTATTCTGGATTCAATAAACTGGCACAGATTATGATTCAACTGCTGAAAGCAAATTCTGAAGTACTAGATGTTGTTGGAGTAACTTTCTTGAAAGCTTCACTTATTGGCTTGGAAAGAAAGGATTTTGATCTAGTGTTGGGTCTTCTTCATTTTGTCTGCATGAAGTTGGCTACGGATGAAGAGTGGGAAAAACTCAAACTAATGTTGGAAATGATCCAAAAGATCTATCCTCAACTCGAGGTTGAAACTAAACGATCAAGTAACACTGAGGATGAAAAGGAGATGTTGAAGAGCGCAAGGGGCTTGCTTGAACCAGTTTGGATGCATTATTTCTCCGGCGAGGATGGAAATACGATGGATGAAGAATGAAAGAATGTCATTTTCCCTTGTACATAAATTTGCAGGCTTTGATTGGATGATGTTGATAAATAGTATATGCAAGTTATTGATTCTTAAAGCAATGATATTATTGTTGATTCATGACTCTTGGGTGAAGTTAGATGACGTACTCATAATTTTCACATCCAATAAACTTCTGACTTGCTCTTTCAATTTGCTAACCAGCTTTACAGCACCATCTGTCAAGTTATTTGATGTAGTCCAGCCAGAAGTAAGTGACTTGCGCGTTTAACCACTACATACTACTCTAAGTTACTCATCCAAAAATGAGAAGTCTCGCGAATGTATTATAAAACCTAATAATTATGTTTACACAGAAAATCCTGAAGGCCAAAAGCCTGCCATTTCAGATTTGAATCCTCCACCTGAATGCTAGCGTTAGATTCATTTCGGATTTCCCATACACCATGATCTAGAAAGCAGTTCTTAATTTCCACAAGCCTTATACCGGAATGTCCTTCAAATATGCAGCAATTGGCATACCCAGGAATCCAATCAACACACTGAAAAACCATTGCACAATACTGAGAGGCGTTGTGTTTGCAAAGGTTCCTAGGTATTCAATGATTATGATCTGGAAGAAGACAGTAGCACCCATAACCGCCAAAAAAACTTGGTTGTCCAGTATGCCATCCAGAACATCTTTTTTCTCCATCTCCCTGGAGTTAACCTCATTGAAAACCTGTAAATTATAAGCAAGACCAAGTTCAGATACAAAATAAGGTGTATTCCGAGCAAATCCAACCGAAGCGTACAATCTGTATAGCCACGATGTTTGTGAGAAGTTACCTGGCAGAAGACAAATGTATTGAAAATAAGAGTGTTGAGGACAAGATCAGAATCAGGGCCACGAATAAAAAAGAAAGTTTTCCCAAATGCCTGAAGAAACCATATGACTAAAAACTGATATAAGGATTGTCCTAAGATATTCCTCCACATGACATTGCTTATGAAATTGCCTGTCCTTCCAACTGGTGGTCTCTTCATTAGTTCTTCATTAGGAGGCTCAGTAGCCAGAGCAAGTGCTCCCAGGGTATCCATTATCATGTTTACCCACAAAAGTTGAACAGCAGTGAGGGGAGCGCTTCCTGAAGCATCAAAAGGAAAAAGTTTGGGAAACAGGCAAGGGTAGTCCAAGAGGAGATGAAAACCGAAAAGTAAAGAGTTTTCTAACCAGTTAAACAAGCAGAAGAGAAGTTAACTATCAATGCTACCACATTGACTGTCAGCTGGAATTGGACAAACTTCTGAATGTTAATGTAGACAGACCGTCCCCATTTGGCTACAGTGACAATTGTGGAGAAATTGTCATCCAGAATAATTACATCAGCACTCTCTTTGGCAACCTGAATTGTAAGCGAACTGCATCAGTGACATTCAACAAGCACAAGCACTTCAATGGTTTCATTGTTCTGTTAAGTCAGTTTTTTAGGGTGAAATACTCACTTCTGTTCCAGCAATGCCCATTGCAAGTCCTATATCTGCTTCATGAAGTGCAGGAGCATCATTTGTTCCATCGCCTGTCACAGCAACAACTTCATTGAATGTGGTTCGCAATTGTTTCACAAGCATGTGCTTATCGAGTGGTGAAGATCGAGCCATGACCTATGAGAATAAAACAATTTAGAGGCTGGTTTTTGGTGTAACTAGCACTCACAATATAAGCTGTTTCTTTCGATTTACTGCTCTCCTACAAAAAGTTTTAGCACGTACCTGAATCTTGGGAATTATTTTAAGCAATTCTTCCTGGCCCATTTCACGGAAAACTGGACCTTCTATGGCTATCCCGTCATCAGTAAGTATTCCACATTCCCGAGCAATAGCTTTTGCAGTATTTATGTTATCACCGGTAACCATCCGGACTGTTACTCCAGCTGAACGGCAAAGAGCAACAGATTCCTTCACTCCTGGACGAACAGGATCCTTGATACCTACTATGCCAATTAAAGTATAACCAGAAACAGGAATGGCATCATCGGGGGAGAATCCAGTTTCCAGATCCATATATGCGAGGCATAGTGTCCGAAGTGCTTCACCAGCAAATTGATCAATGGTAGTCTTTAAGTAATTGATCGATTGTTCATCAAGTGGCACAACCATACCACTAGCATCAATCACCTTTTCACAGGCAGCCAAAACAATTTCTGATGCTCCCTTGGAATGAGCTCGTAAGCCTCCTTCTGGGAGCTCCAGTACCACACCCATTCTCTTCTTGGTAGAGTTAAAAGGCTCAACTTTAATGAGCTTGGATGCTTCTCGTTCTGCCTGAAAATCTCCCCCAAGGGATAACCCGAATTCAAGGATGGCAGTCTCAGTGGGTGTTCCCAAAATCTCACGCTTTCCCTTTTTGCTGACAACTACTTCTCCTCCAGTGTTATTAAAAATAGACTGTAAGAGAGTTTTAACAACAAAAGTTGGGATTTCAGAGGCCAATGAAGAGCATTCTTCAGGCTTTCCAACATCCTTAACAGTCATACAAATGCAGGATTTTACTACAGTCATGTGGTTGGTTGTGAGTGTCCCAGTTTTATCACTACATATTGTTGTGGCAGAACCCATTGTCTCACAAGCAGCTAAATGCCGAACAAGTGCCTTGTCGTTCATCATCTTTTTCATTGCAAATGCCAGACTCAAAGTCACAGCCAGAGGAAGTCCTTCAGGAACTGCCACCACAACAATGGTCACAGCAACAGCAAAGTATTCCAAAATCTCCAAGGCATCATCTCCACACCAGCTCCAGTGTGTTCCTTCCTGAATTTTACGCCCAAACATTTTCTGCACTAACACAGCAAAAGTCACCACAGCGAAGAAAAGGCCAATCTTCCCAATAATTGTTGCCACCCCATTCAATTTAACTTGCAATGGAGTTTCATCATCTCCTCCTTCACTAAGGGTGGCCATCAGTTTGCCCCATTGAGTCCTCATGCCAACAGTTGTAACCAGCATCTTACCAGAGCCATCTTGCACTTTAGTCCCCGAGAGCAGGAACGGGTTCTCCGCAGTGACCATTACTGGCTCACTTTCTCCTGTCAGACTGGACTCATCAATTAACACTGAAAATCCAGAGAGGAAGAGCCCATCTGCCGGGACCTGATCTCCTATGGAAAGATGGACAATATCACCTGGAAGTAGATCATATATAGACATCTTTTGCCTATATCCATTTCTCGTGACTTGAATGGAAATTTTCTTCTTTTCTTTGTCCAAGTCCCTGAACTGTAAAGATTGTCGATAATCACTAGTTGCGGTAACAAACACCACTAACATAATGCTAGCAACAATGCCAAGCCCATCATGAGCACCCTTTGGCCATCCTTCGGTTGCAACACCTACAAGCAAAGACACGAAAGCACATACTCCAAGGATCATGAGAGTCATGTCCTGAAGTGCTTCCCAGACAAACAGCCAGAAGCTACGAGCCACGGTCTCCTGGAATTTATTAATTCCATATATCTCCTCTCTGCGGCTCAGCGCTTCACTATCTGTAGGAAGGCCATTTGTACTTGAAGTGGCAAGCTTGTTCGCAATACCAGAAACTCCACCATGAAATTTCAACTTTTTCAAGTCATGACCTTCTACAATCGAACCTAACTCATCTCCACAGATCTCAAAACCAGCAGCCTGAACTTCCTTTGGTACAGTGTAGTCACTCGGTTGAACACCTGAAACAATCCCTCAGAAAAAATCAATCTCCGGGATATCATATTACCTACAATTGGCATAGAAAGTAAGAATCACAACTCACCTTGTATAAATTGAAATGCGGCCTTTGAAACTAGAACTGCAATCCTCAGTTTCTCCTACAATTCAAAAGAAGGAAAGAAAAAGTTAATAACACCTTTCAAGACACCTGATCTAAAGGCCACAAACAAGAATAGACGACTGCAGTAACAAAATATGTGATCGCCAAATTATCCCTGCAGGAGATGACTACAAGGGTAATTCAGTTGGAATGCATGCATATAATCGATACTATTCAGCCTTCATGTTTCAAAGAATGAATTTGTCCATAGATAGCAATTGATCAGTAACAAGAAAAAATTTGTCAATCATCTAACTTTGATTCCCTCACGCTTATTGTTTTCATTCCAATCAATATAAAACCACATATATACAGAAAGAGAAGGAGATAATCTTAAACCAAGGCAGGGATGGCAATTGAAATAAGGACCTGATTAGTACGACGCATAGCAGCGGCTTCGTAACGCTTGGAGAGGTTAGCAGTGAACCGAAACCGTCGCTTGGGATTCTTGACAACCCCACAAAGATCCCTCCATCGCTGCAACACTTCCTCCGACGAATGCTTTGGCTTCACCCCGCCAAAGTTCTCGTTCAAGTATGTCTCCATTGTTAAGCAATTAAACAAACAATCCTTCTATATTTTCCTTTTCTTCTTGTCTCGTCAATATCTCTACACTACACATAAATCATAAAACGAATGAAAATGAGGAACGATCCTTGTGTTGAAATAGAAGCAATACAAATGAAGGGCTAACGAGGAAGAAACAAAAGAGAAAGCACGAAGAAAAGTGTAAAAAGTTTCATACGCGGGGCAGGGGAGAGCCGAACCCAAATTAGACTTTCAGGAATTAAATTACCAGGAAACTGTTTAAAAGAAAAAAAAACATTCCTTTCTCAAATTGGTGATCACTAAAGTAGTATCATTATTGTTTGAAGATGAAGATGGAGAGTGGAAGTTTCCTGGTCATTTTCGTTGACCAGAACCCAGAACAAGAAGAAGAAGAATAAACCGAAACAGGACAAAAAATGAGGGATTGAATTTACTTACTGCTAAAACACAGAAAGGCAAAATGATGCTGGGAAGAAGAAGAAAAATTAAAAGATCCGAAATGTGGGTGAGGAAAGAGTATTAGTAGTGAAACAAATGGCGGAGCTTCTCTATAGCTTCCACCATGACTGTGCCTGCTTAATACTACTACTACAGTTACAACGGCCGGCCTGTGTGACCAAAAAAAGTCATCCCTAACCTTCGGAATTTTTAATGATTTTATCCTCTTGTTGCACTAAAATCAGTTTTTTTAAAAAAAATCATATTTTTCTGTGAAGTGACATACTATTATGTATTTTCAATTGCACGTTGTAATACAAAAGTAATAGCGTGGAACATCGTGATAGAAACATTTACGTAGACTTTTCGTGGGTTGGAGGTTGTTGTAACATACTACTACAGTCTAAAATCAGAGCAATTTATATTATAACTTTAATAACCCTTTTGCCTCAATTGCGATAGAAAACCAGAATTAAAACATTGTTAAAGACCAGAAGAATTGATAGTCTGATTTTTAATCTGAATGAACATTAAAGACAAAAACCGACGAACACGTTTTTACTTTTTACCATAAAAAGTCATACGCGTTTCAACGCGGTACAAAAATATGGGTTTTCTATATTATGCATGAAGTTTCATCAAATTGATGGAGAATTATTCTTAGAGGGTGGTGGACCGTGTGAGTGGGTATCGTACTTTTTGCTTTTGCCATATTTGTAACTTTTCGTAAAGGGCCTCTGGAGTTTGTTGTGTACCATATCTATTGTACGATTGGAAAATGTTGGGCCAAGGGGTCATGTCAACTTTTAGAGGCCCAGTACCATCAAATGCATAAACTCTCAACTGACAACCTCATTACTAAAGTAATTTCTTTTTTCTGTCTAATTTCTCTCTCTAAGCATTCTCCTCGGCAACCAATACAGTAATCCATCGTCGCCGAACCTCCGATCCTAATGGACACAGAGATGAGCGAACCAATTCACCCAGATCAAAACAAAGAAGCCACCAAAAAGGTAAGAAATAAAGATCAAACAGAAACCAATCCTGCAACCCAAATGGAGAACATCCAAATGCAAGAACCAGCTACTCTGTCAAGCAAATCACCTTGGGGTGAGGGAACCACATCTTTCAAAGACCGCCTCCTCCAAGGCCAAAACAATCCAGTCGTCAACGGATTCCACATGACCACCGTTACAGTGGAGGAAGGAGATGTTACCTACGGTGAAGAAGATGGTGTGCCCTCAACCGACTTTTCCAAATGTGTTCGTCACCAGATGGTGGTGGCCATCACGTACACAATCGCTGTCAAAGATTAAAGGGGCTCTAAAAAGCAAAGGGGAAATTAAACCGGTCGATATAGTCGACGGCTACCACTTCTTCAGAGTAAGCAATGAGGAAGATTATTATTCGATTTCGCTGAACGCCCCAGGGTCACTTGACCACACATACATCATGGTAATCATGGCATAAGAAGTACAACCCGAAAGAGGAGAATATCAACGCCATCCCAACTTGGATACGCATCCCAGAATTGCAAATAATTAGAATCTAAATTCAAGACACTTAAAAAAAATATGTGGGTCATAGCCGGGTCGTTTCCGGGTTATAACTTAAACGAGTCGTCTTATCAATTTTTGTTTTTTGGCTTTTTTTTTATATATTTTTTATAATTTTATTTTTTTCAACTTTTTTCTTTTTCTTTTTTTTGCTTTCAGCGCTTCCTGGCGTTTTTCTTTTCTTTTTTTTTAATTGTATCATTCACGTGGAAACGTATTTTTAATTTCATTACGGAACAAATACAAAAACTGAGAATTGAAGGTTCCCAAAAAAAAAAAAATCAATTAGAATTATTGAACAAATCTCCACTTCCGTTCTTAATATTTTCAATCCTCTCAATTTGATCTTCGCAAACACCAAACTCAGAAAAGGTTTAAATCAAATTTACATTTGAGAGGAAATCATTATAATCTCCTGTCTCGACTCTTAGCAGTGTTGATTTGAGACCGATCAATGAAGAAAGTATAAACAATTACGTAGGCTAGTATGTCTATAGGTTCTTTCCTGGAGAAATAATCACACAAAAAATACAATACCGAGAGTTATGAATAGGCCAAAAGTATACGATGCATTTTGTGCAAAGAAGAAAACCTCGCAATTAATCATAAGAGGCCGATGAGACCTACAAAACATACTTTAACTCAAGTATGTTGGGTTGTTGGGAAAAAAAAATGAATCTACATGTGGACATTACTTGGAAATTTATGTGAATGAAATTATAAAAAAATTTAAAAAAAAAACAATGAAAAATAAAAGCTGACAGCACCAACGGTACAAGAGGATAAATTGACAAATCACAAACCACAAAAGCATACTTTGGATGTCAAATGTGTGATTTTGATGCCCTGTACTCATAGACATCCTAAAAAAAACATATATAAACCATACAGTTATAATCAACTCAACATCAATTAATTTAAAGACAGAATTAATGGCAAAGATTTCATGAGAGAAAATGCGTGCTGAGGTCCTTGCATGGGTGAAACCCAAATCATTATTTATAGCGGATGAGTAATTCGACGTGAAATATTAGTTTGATCATATAATTAATGATGATTGATTTGGTCTTATTGTGATAGCGATTTTTAAATTTAACATTAAATAAATATTGATCCAAATGGATCCGATATTATTGTTAATTTATTATCACAAAGGTACTAATTAGTACATTTATTATCGTAATGGTAAATAGAATAAAGCATATTTGAATATTTGGACAAAAGTAAAGTTGGAAAACCACAAATTGGGGAGTGACCTCGGTTAATTAATGATAAGGTAATTACAATAACGCAGATTTGATCATTTTAATATTTGAATTTTGAAATTAGTTTTAAATGCTAATTAAGTTTGAAATGATAATAGTCCACTTTTATGTCGACCCAATCTTTCCATTTACAATTCATATTTTAAATTATATGTGATAAAAATTATTTGTAGAAAATACCAAGGATTATTGGTGTAATTGCGTAAAATATTATTTTTGTCATTTATTATAAAAATGACACGTATGAATTTTTTTCTGAAAATGATTTCAAATTTGAATCTGATATTTTAATTGGAGAGATTTTAGAGATATGATTTACTACTTATCAATAATTAATTAGTAAATTAAAAAAAATTTATTTAAACTACCTAAACTTATGGAAATTAATCTTATAATCAAAGTAAAAAATTATGTAAATTAATAACACATTTAATGCTCTTAACGATAATAAATTATTTCAAATTTTAAAATTTATTATTAGGTGAGATTTTGCAGGAATGGGATAATGGTTTTCTTTTAGAAACTTTGCCCTTTTTAATTTTTTTTTATTTTTTTTTTTGGTAATAGGAGGACTTGTTTATAATTTCACTAAGTATTTTTTGGGAGGATATTTGAGAAAATGACACATAGGATTTTATCCTATGTGGCATATTTAGAGATTTTTTTTATTTTCTCTCTCTGATTTCTCTCTTAGTATAATAATAATATAGATAGATATAGAATTTAAGTGTCTAAATTGTATGAGATGATCATCTAAGTAACTTTGAAGATAATTTAAATTTTATAATATTATTTACAGTTAAATAATTAAATGTAAATTTTATAATATTTTTAATGATTTAAATTTTAATAAAAGTTCAAATTATATGAAAAGATGAAAATACCCCTGATTCTGGCATGTCAACTACCGGTCAACATCGAACTGGACGGAAAAGTGGCCGAAACTGTGAAATGGGACCAAAAAAGTGTGAAAACATATATTTGGGACTACGATATTGAAATGTTTTTGTTATGGACGTAAATTCAAGTAAGCCCAAATATAAGGGACTATTTGGACATAAATTCAAGTAAAGTCTATGTACCAATTGTTTCCCACTATGTAATGTATTGTTATCTACACTGTGTTAATCTAATCCATTTTGATGAATTAATGTCATTAAATCAACCAATCACATAACACAATTTCATGTGATGTCACACGAGCGTACTGTATTGTTTTAATTGAGAATGATTATGTTAAAGTTACCTTAGGCTCCCATCTCAAAACCAATTGGCAATGAGTGGGGTGGTCTTTGGCACTTATAAACAGGTGACAGATTCTTTACGATACCGATGTGGAATTCTTTTGTCCCAACACTCTCCCTCAAGCCTAATGGGGTATTTGGCCCATTGGGGTTGCACAACACAACAAAATTCACCACATATACTATTGGGTCAGTCAACAAGTCCGTACACACGGATACATACTCCGAATATACTGTCGGATCAGTAACAAGCCCACCCGTGTGCACGGAAGCGATTGACGCAAGTCCAAGGTACAAGGATCTAAGCCCGCACACGCGGGTCCATAGTTATCACAAGTCCACAGATCGTGGGCTCTGATACCATGTCAAAGTCACCTTGGGCTCCCATCTCAAAACCAATTGGCAATGAGTGGGGTGGCCTTTGGTACTTATAAACAGGTGACAGATCCTTCACGACACCGATGTGGGATTCTTTTGTCCAACAGATTATAGAACGTGCTCAATTTTATAGATAAAAAAATCAATAAATTATTTTCACCACGAATAATAATACTTGTTATACAATTGAATATTTTTAATCAAAAAATAAATAAAATACAATTGAACATTTCGGAAGAGAATGGAATGAGGCGAGAAGCCCAATTTCCCAGATGAAAAGAAAACAGCGGGCCCAGCCCAATTACCCAACATCTTTTGATCAGAGTAGCACAGAAACCGTCGGATTCTGAATCAACGGCCGAGATTTCTGGATTTAATATTTTATTTTGTCTGCCATGCCAGCGAGTTTTCCCCAGTCACTCGTCGCAGCAATTCACAATCTTCGTCGTTTCATTTTTGATCCTCGTAGCGGTGGACCAACCAAATATATTTGTTTCTGTATAAGCTCCCTCTCTCTTCATCGCGCTTTGTATCTGGAAAAACTACTTAGGTTGTGAAGATGAGCAAAGGACCAGGTCTTTTCTCCGATATTGGCAAGAAAGCCAAAGGTAATTCATCTCCTTTTCCTCCAATCCTTTTCTCTTTTTTGAATCTGATTCCCACCATTCCTCGGAATTGTTCGTTTTTTTCTTTGTTTTTTGTAATTTTATTCTGTAATTCTTCTTTTCTTTTTCTAAATCATTATACTCTTTTGATTTGTAGATCTGTTGACTAAGGACTACATCTCCGATCAGAAGTTGTCTATTTCCACCACCAGCTACACCGGTGTGGTGCGTTATTTTTGCATTTCGTATTCATTTCATATGTTGAGCTGTAGAGAATCTTGAATTACTCTACCGGATTGAGTTGAAACAATTGAAGCAGGAGTGTAGGATTTAAAATTCTGGGAATTTCGCTCTATGCTACCTCGTTTTTTACAATTTTCATTTGTACCTGCACTTAGCTGCTTTGGCACAGATGCTTAAATACTTTTTCATGCCTTCGCTTCTGTTCTTCTTTTGAGATTCATGTTTTGTTAAATGCAAGTTTAGAATTATGAGGTCACAGGCTTGGAATTTCATAGGAGTGACAATCATATACTTGCAATTGTTGCTCTAGAGTGCTGTTTTTTATGAAGTAAATCTTCTGAAGATAACCTTTTAAATTGTTAACAAATCAAGGTTATATCCAGTATTATGGTTCTTCTAATGACTGCAGAAGTTGCCTCATATAGATGTCCAGAAACATGTTATTTGTTTCTGTTCTAAGTATAGGTTTGCAAGTGCATGATTGAGAAACTTGCATTATAAAAACATTTAAGTTGCTTAAGCTTGGTGAGCATGTATACCTATTTTCATATGTTAATTATACTTTTAGCTTTTCTGTGTTCCAAAAAATAAATGTGCGATTAAGTGATCAACAAGGTTTATGTATTCGACAGTCAATCTTTATGCTTAGCTTCGTTCCTATTGGGTCAGAGGGGTGAAGAGGGAAAAGAATACCTCCCCTCCTCTCTGCTAACTAGGCATGTCCTTACTTTTAAGCTAGTGAGTTGGGTGACTCGTTGGTGAATTCCTTTCTAGGGAATGCTGAGAAAAAGTAGTTGCATTTCACTGCAATCAAGAACTCCCTGTGTCCCAGAAAAGATAGTCCATGTTGTAAATTGTAAAAATTACTAAAAACAGTATAATTTCCAATTTACAATGTGGACTATTTTTCTGGGACGGAGGGAATATATAATTTTGTGACCACCCGCTTCAGTTATAAGCAGCAGTCATCTGAGTATAATGATATTCATAACTAAGTCAATTTTTAATAGTTTACATTGTTATTTAATGCTGTTGAAATGTTTTCCTCTGCCTTATTCTAGAGAACTCATTATATGTTCTCATTCTCTAGCTGTGCTAATATTTAGTAAGGCTTCTTCTGTTCCATTTTTGGTTTTGCATATCATAGCCTCCTAATCATGTTATAATTAGATCAGCCTCATTGTCCTCTGGATAACTGCACCCAATCACTTAACTCAATATGTTCTCTAACTGTAGTTTCATGTGTTTTAGGCCCTCACCTCAACTGCAGTGAAAAAAGGAGGGCTTTCAACTGGAGACGTTGCCACACAGTACAAATACAATAATATTTTGTTCGATGTCAAAGTTGACACAGCATCCAATGTCAGTTAGTTTTACTGTCTCTTTGCAAATAATATTCTTGTTCCCAGCTTCTCTCATGGTTTATTCTTATGTCCTTATGTTCATTTTGCTATCTATTATAGGTTTCAACTACATTTACTTTCGCGGATATTATCCCATCATCAAAAACCATTGCTTCTCTGAAATTTCCAGAGTACAACACCAGCAAGGTAGAAGTTATTCAATATTTTGTGTCCAAATGTCTCATTTATGTCGTTATGAGAAAATTTTTTTGACTCTTTGTGCAGATCGAGGTCCAGTACTTCCATCCTCATGCAACTCTTACTACTGCAGCTGCTCTGAACCAGTCCCCTGCAGTTGATCTCTCGGTCACACTTGGTACCCCGACATTTGCTTTGGGTGCAGAGGCAAGTTATGAGACTTCGACGGGCAAATTAACCAAGTACAATGCTGGGATTGCTGTGACAAAGCCGGAATCTTGTGCTTCAATAATTTTGTGAGTTCTCAATGAGATTCATAATGTTATACTCCCTCCGTCCCATAATTATTGTCCAGTTTTACTAAAATGAAAAATTTTATTTTTAGTCAAACTTAACTATATTTTACCTTGAACAACAGGATATACCCCTACATAAGTAATTGTTTAACCACAAAGATTTTATGGATAATGGTTTTTACTAAGGACAAATGTGTAACTTGATCCATAAAAAGTCAAATTGGACAATAATTTTGGGACAAAATTTTTTAGGCAAAGTGGACAATAATTATGGGACGGAGGGAGTACTTTTCACAACACCACAATACCACATCAAAAAATGTTTGTATTAACATTACTGTTTTTCTCTCTTAGAGGAGACAAAGGTGACACCATTAAAGCATCCTATGTTCACCACCTGGATCAATTGAAGAGGAGTGCTGCAGTCGCAGAGATTACTAGAAGGTTCTCCACAAATGAGAACACGTTCACGGTTGGAGGATCTTATGCTGTTGATCCCTTTACTACAGTGAAGATGAGGCTTAACAATCATGGGAACTTGGGAACCCTTTTGCAGCATCAGCTCTTGTCCAAATCGATTCTGACTATTTCGAGTGAATTTGATACCAAAGCATTGGAGAAAACACCCAAGTTCGGTGTGGCCCTAGCTCTCAAGCCTTAAAAGAGGGCATTTTCTGATTTCTTGTTCTTCTACAGGAAAAACTCCAGATTTTGCATTTTTGGGTAGCGCTGGAAGCTAGCGAGTACCAAATAAAGAGTCCCACATATTCTTCCTAGGTCTTGTACTGTTGATTGGTTTTTCAGTTATACCTGAGCAGCTGATGCTACTTTTCTAGCTTTTCATTTCTTTTCAATGTTCGTGCTTGGGCATTTTGAGATCCGAAGATGTTATTTGGTCGAACAGAGTATCCCATCTTCTGGGTGACGCGATTCTTTTTGTGAAGTAATTCTATGGTATTCGTTTGTAGCAGGTGTGCACACGGTTTCCTGCCTTTCTTCATTGGGCAATTGACTTATCGTAATGTTGTGTCATTGATTTTTGAGATTACATTTAACTGCAAGAATCTTGTTACTTCATTGATTTTTGAAAGAAACTATCAGCCATGCTTTTGAGGGAAAAAGAAAAAATCAAAACGTTATTCAGGAACTCCCTAACTCGGGCTTTGCAGGCTTGTGAGTTCCCTCAATTAATTGCCTATCTAATTTTCTTAATTTTAGTTCCTGGAATTGAGATTTTGATTCATTTCGTGGAGCCTGGAGTTGAGACTTTGGTTCATTTCATTCAACCATAATGCTAGTTTTGGAAGGCAACTCTTCAACAGACTCACGGAGATGTACGAGTACTCCAATTTAATGCCACAAATAAATTGACTACGACGGAGATGTACATCTACATTTGGGTCTGGTCACAACACCTGCACAATTTGTAGCCATCATTCCAGTTATTACGACTACGGACACTAGATTACTGGTCAGGTTGTAACATTGTTCTTTAACTCGGCTTTGTATTGGTTGAACTAGTTCATTACACTTGGGTCATCAAACACAAAAACTGAAGAGAAACAAGCAAGAGCCTGGCCAAAAGAAAAAGGATGTGGCAAATCGGCACATGCAGTCATAAAAACAGGACCTGGGATGTGCCTAATTGGACGAGAAACTGTTGGCCATGCACAAAATACGACTTAAAGGACTCCCGCAGTCATATGTTCCATAAAAGAATTAATCATAATATGGATTCAAACGCAGGCATTCTCCAACAACAACATCCCTAACACTTTTTAAGCATATCTTCACTAGAGGATCAAAGCTTCAAATCACACCACTTGAACCAGTAATAGAGGTAAAAAGAACCACAATTCCAAGTTATGGCACACTGAAAAACAATTCTTAAACAGAAACATGAATTGGTGGGCAAATCAGGGCAAACTACCAAGACCAATGTAATGAATGAATACAACAGTAAAAACTACAAAACCTAATGAACACAAGCATAAACAAATGAGGAATATAAACAAACAGGGTCTTTGTTATATAACAATAACAATCAAAGACAAATAACAAACCTCAAAAGATTTTGAATAATTCAGGTTGTCAAATAAAAAACTTAATAATGCGGATGAACTGATAACCAGGCATCAAACAAGAAGAGAGCTTGCACAGAATGATGACAACACTAACCAACACAGGTAACCTGCTAGCAGGAGACATAGCTAATCTGGACCAAAAATGATTACCTTGTAAACACAAACTAAGCATCCTAATTGAGTCAAAACCATTCAACTTTATTCACATTAATGAGCTCTAACCTGTATCATCACACTTGATAGTTGATATCCAACACACAATGAACACATAAACTAATAACCCCAAAACCAAAATCATTGTGAAACAGCAAAAATTCAGCCACAAAGCATTGTAAAGACTAACCCAACAATATGGACCATTATGCCACACTAAATTGAGTGATAGAATTGAAATGACACACATATTACTGCTGATTGAGCAAAATCAACCGCACTGGGAGTCCAAAGTCTCTCAATTCAAAGCTTCCACACATAACCATGAGAATAATTAAACGAATGTATGGCAACTAAGAAGAGCAAACATTAAGATAAAATAGACAATATAACTTAAAAGATCCAGGCTATCAGCGATTGCCAAAATACCCACAATAGAATCCGAGCGGAAAAATTCCATATTTAGGGACTAATAATAACCAAAAGCTTGAAGTTTATAGCAAAATCTTTCTCAACCCTAAAGAGTAATACGAAATAAAAGACAACAAGATGGATCTTAATACGCTCAATCGACATTTTGCATGATATCCTCAGCAGTAAACTTGGTTCCCTTATCCTTATCAGCAGCGGCGCGTCCCTTGGCCTTGCGATCGAGAAGTGACTTACGGTCCTTGTCGAGGCGGAGCTTTGTGATGACCACGTTGGAAGGGTGGATGCCAACGTTCACAGTGGAGCCATTAACCTTCTCGCGAGTGATGCGTTCGATGTGGATAACCCATTTCTTACGGTAGACTTGGACGACCTTTCCCTCACGGCCCTTGTAGGTGCCACGAACAACCTGAACCTCATCGTCCTTGCGGACCGGCATCGAGCGGACGTTGTACTTCTGCCTGAGATCGGTCGACAATGGAGCGCTCATCAACACGCGGCGAACGCTGGAAGGAGCGGTGAAGTGAGCCTTTCGGCTCTTGCGGCGAGAGGAGGAAACCCTTGGATTATACTTCATTGCCGCCGATTTGAAATCTCACCTTTGCAGTTTCCGGTATGTGCTCTCTCCTTTGGGTGCGGCTGGTTGAGAATGCAATTTTGTAGGGTTTTGATTATATATAGCGAAATGTTACTAGGGTTTGAGTTAACGATGTCGTTTGATACGGTCCGTTTATTTTCGGCCTCTCAATACCAAGCCCATGAGGACTGGGCTTTTTATGCGATTATGGGTAATTAAGAGGCTCAATAAAACTAGGCTTTTTGGAAACTACGCAGTCGGTTATGGGTAAATACTAGTACAAACTAGTTCAGTATCAGTTTGTGCACGTTTTTCAGAAATGTAATTTTTATTTAGGCACAGTGTACTAAGTGCATTACACTCAGACTAATCCGCATTGAGGCGGGTCAGTTTCCTTTCGGAGAAAAAATTCTTCCAACATTGCTCTTTTCATTCACGAGACTCAAACCCGAGATCTCGCTTAAGGAAACCAAAGCATCTTACTACTTTAGCCAAGCAAGTGTTGGCAGAAATGTATAATTTGGTTCATTGTTTTCCTCGTCAATCAAGGCTTCTTGCTAAGTTCTCCCCTTTCCTCAATCTCCAGCTGAAAAATCTCACCAAGGATCCTTAAGACATACTCTAATAATGCTTCAATCAATTTAGTTTCTTAAGCCCAAATATATATATATATATATATATATATATATATATTTAAATGAGTATTACTTCCTTCTTTCCGCATAATAATTTACTATGTTAAATCAAAATAGGTATTTTTTTGAAGATGGAACAAGATGCCACATTATCTTTTCTTGATATGATGAACTACACTTTGGGGTGCATTATGTTTGGATTTTTTTTAGAATATGTTTTACGTGATTTTTTTATTGAAAATATTAAAAGATGCATTAGGCATATAAAAAGATATTGTATGATGAGACATTTATTAATTTATCTTGATTAACTAAGTCAGAGTATTGTTCAAAAAATATCGTTTTGGACAATAAGAAAAGGAAAAATTGTAAAGCAAACTATATCTTACGAGTGTTGATCAGATTTACAAATTACCTCAAAGTTTAGGTAATAGTATTACAATAATTCAATCTACTAAAACAAAAGCTCCTATCTCAGTTTTCCGGCCCGGTTCCGCCCCCTCCCTCCCAAACTGTACATGTGTTCTCTTCTCCTTCTTCCATTTCCCGTCCAAAGCTGAAAATGCTTATTTGTCATTTTGTTGTGTTTTTGGTTTTCTTTTAAATCCTATGTAATCCTAAATGGAACCATGTAATGGGTTTGTTGGTCGACAATTGGCATGCCTGATCCATTACATGAACATTGTTGTCTATGCAAAGCTATGCACTCCGTTTTTTTATTTTAGGCACCGCCCACATCACGTATTTTTTGTGCTTTGCCCAATGCAACTAATCACGACTCCACTGCTTATTATTCGGTTCAAGTTTCATGTATTCACTCCAGTGTCTCAATTTTATATATATTTGCTTGGTGAATATCCCATTGAGACATGTTATTATTAGGTATTATTACAGGTATATTAAAATTACGTATTATTATAGGTACTACTATATCTTTAATTTAGACGATTATTAATATAGAAAATAGAGGTATATTATAATTAAAATAATATGAAATGGTCACCGTTGATATTTTTGTTGACAGCTACTGTGACATAAATATTGATGAAGAGCCAAAAATGGGTGGCATGTGACAATTTATGATTCCAGACATGCTCCAAGTGTGGCTAATTATTTTGTATATAGTATTAGTAGTTGCGCGACTCTGGCCCAATATATTTATGGATCTTATAAATGTTTGTATCTGGAAAAAAAAATATTTTGTATTTGACTCGATATAGTTTAAAAATATTTGAAGAATTTTAGAAATGTATATTTGAAGAATTTTAGAAATGTTTTATAAATGTGATGTTTGTATTTGGGGAAAAAATAAATTGTATTTGGCCCAGTACGTTTTAAAAATGTTTGAAGATTTTAGAAATATTTTATAAGAGTTACTTCTTAAATATAAATAAACTTGATTAAATATATGTGTTGAAGTAAATACTAGACAAAATATAAAAGCATCCTAATAAGTTTAAATATTAGTAAGATAATTTATTAATGTTCTCCATTGGTTGTGCCAAATCAATACTTAGTTTTGGAGATTTATAATAGCTTTGTAGTTAGCTTCCTCCAAAGGGTATACGCTTAATTGTTGGAACTATTTCTTCCAAAAGTTTATAGGTAGTAAAATATCAAAAATATGATTTTGAAACTGGTTAATTGTTGAAACCGGTTGATCACAAATATGAGAAGGAAAATAATGTAAATTTGCATAAGTTTCAAGATATAGCAAAAAAGAACTCGCCTCACCATGGCAAATAAATAAAAAAAAGTAAAAGATAGCCCATTAAAATTTGAGAATTTTTATTTTCTTCTGTAGGTAAAAATGATGTATAAAAACACAAATAAACGTATAAACATCATTCCTTCGCTCTTCACCTCAAATTCATAAAAGGATTCCCTATAAATTAGTTAAAAGAAGTGACATGAACTATTTATATGATGAGGAACTAAAAAAAGTCCAAAAACCAAATCCAAAAAAGTATATTCTTGAAACCCCGAACACAAAAAAAAAGTGCTTCATTTGTAAATAAAATAATAATAATAATAATAATAATAATTGGTCAACTGGGAGTATGAAACAAAGTCAAAAGTAATTAAACAAAAAAAAAACACACTTCATAATTGGCCATATACGAAAAAAAACCTGAGACTCCATAATGAAAAAAAGAAAACCACTCTAATTGAATGAAACATAAAAAAATAAATTTAAAAAACCACACTTTGTAACAAAAACTCAATCAATCAATTCAATCCAAACATAACTAAAATCATACAAAAATTCTAGGCTAACTAACCAAATAAAAAATCACATCATACTACCTGACAACGGCTACGGTAGCTGTAATGGATGGACGCATAAAAATAATAGTAATAACACTATTCTTGAACGGGAAAAACAAAAAATAATAAAAACCAAACCAATGATCTGTGAAAATAAAATCATTTAAATTTTAAGACTTGTAATGGCACCACCACAACGGCCGAAGCAAGATCAATGAGAATTTTTTTTTCCTTTGTGTTTATATAGAGAGGTAAAGAGAATATTTTTTGAAGTTGAACTTTTATCCGATTAAGATGTAGTTGATCATCACTAATGAAAAGATTGAACATGCTAATAGGAAAATAGTATATTTCACCACATATTCTCAATTGATGATTGATGAGGAATTTGTTTTTTTTTTTTTAATTGTGGAGAAAGGATTGATTAAGGAGTCGATTGTCGTGGAGATGGGGATGAGGCTTTGGGTTTTTTATGAACCCGTGAGTTTTTTTTTTTTTTTTGTTTTGACGAAAATAGGAGGTGGAAGTGAATTTAGACTGCATTTGCTTTTTAAATTTAGGAGATGTGGAAATAAAAATTTATTTTAAAAATATGATATGGAAATGTCACATGGCAAATTGTGTTGCTTTCTCCTATGTGTGGTTTTTGTTTCTAATATAGTAAGAGATATTAATCCTGAATGTAGAGCAGTACAATATAATAGGAAAATGGGTTACATGGGTATCGATATCTGGGTTGTACGGGTACCTAGATCTGTACCATCGCCCTTGCTGCAACCAATGGTTGTTTTATTTATCTGCATACGTCAGGGAGTCGCTTGCCTAACCTACGCGGCCATCATTGTATCTATGGAAGCTACCAAAATTTTAAAATTTTTTACACAACAATACAGAAGTCCTAACATATGGTGCGCCATGGAACCGCCTATGAAAGGAGCATTGACTTCAACCATCCAAACAATTGTGTCGACTTACTGTATTTTTAGAACTAGAAACCATCTTTTGTGACGATGGATGAAGAATATAGTATTGTCGATTTAATAACTCTTCTGCAGGATAGTTGGAAGATAAGAATTAACTAGGTTAACATTCTTCAGACCATTTGATTTGTCCTGGCCATGATTAATTGTATCTAAATTGTGCAATCTATTATTGTTGTTAAATTTCTATTTTTTGTTGCAGGGAAACAAGATACATATAACCGTGAAGAGGTCGTAGATTGGTATTTTATTGGGGGTCATCAATCAAGGATCCTTTAAAGTTTTATCTCAATTTGGAGTCGCTGTGAATAGTGGTAATTTTAGAATAACCAATCATCTGTACAAAATAAACTTCTTGAGGAACACACAAGTACGCCATTGCAGCGATATCGGAATTAGTCCTTGTGGATTTGAATTTGTGTCTTTCTCTGATTTATTGGCTGGAAAATTTGACGAATCGTGTAAAATAGGTGAAGTTATTATGTTGATTATCGTCGTTTTTTGGTGTTTTTGGTTTTTATGTGTTATTATATATGATTTGGATGTTTTATAATGGTGTATGACAATAGATATTATAGGGGAGGTTGTTGTTGTTGGTGATTTGATTAATGGCGACAGGAATGGAAAACCATCACGTTGGGTGACATCAGAAACGCATGACCTATTGTTCATTTCGAATAGGATTTTGAGAAAAGCGCTTCACAATTAAGAATATGATGGGGATAAGAGCTCTTTTGGTAAGAAAATTATTAGTTCTTGATCTCTTTTGGTTTTCCAATGCTCATCAAGTTTCAAAGTCTGAATCTTTTCGTGTGGCCTATTTTGTGTTTGTGGTTTATTGATTGCAGGTTTGGACTGTGGATTACATAATTGAGCTGGTAGGAAAAAGGTTAGTTGCTCAGTCTTTTTACACATAATTTGTCATTTTTATGCTCTTTGTACAACTTCTGATTGTATATGTTGTTATTCCCATCAGTGACTAGGATAAAGATATTAAAGGATTGGCTTCATTAACTCATAATTTCCAATAAGTGATCCTATTACATCCGCTCTTTCTGCTGCTCCCTCCATGTTATTTCTTTCAGTGGCATATAAATCTTAGATTTATAAGAGAAGGGTTGATAGGTTGGATGAAGGAGCTGTGGATTTATCATCTTCTTGGTTGGACTCTCAAGATTCATGTTCTGCTGTTGATAGTTTTTTTTTTATATACAAACATAATTGTTTAGCTGCTCACGATCATTTTGTGCAAATGTAGAGTGTTTTTTTTTTTTTCCCTTTTTCTCCTTTTTGGTGTTCATTTGTGGGACAGGGAGATTTTCTGTAACAGATGTGGTCATATGGATGTATAGAGAAATGCTCTATAATTCGTTTAGGGTGATGATAAGAGCTCTGTTGGTTTTTGATGTAAAAAAATGACTATTTCTTTATTTGTTGTGGTTTTATGTACTCATGTCTTAAAGTTTGGATTGAAATGTTGTGAATTGTTGTATGGTTTGAGATCTTTAGGTTGTATCTTTTCACAGGTTGATAGTGGATATGATTTTAAACTGTTATAAAATATCAAGGTTTCTTGCCCAACCTTTCTTCACAAATATTTGTCATTCATACTCCATGTCTTTTAGAATGTCCACCATTGTTAATGCTGGCAATGTAGGCTGCATTCCTAATTTACAAGTTCTTATCTCAATAATATGCACGTTTGCGAGAAAGTATAGACTTGTCTCTCTGCTCAAAATGTTTGGTTTGTAGCATAGTTTAGAAGAAAATGTGATTGATGAGTTTAAAAAAGAGCATACAGAAAGTTGGGTCTGTGCTCATCTCAGAAATGGTCCTTCTGTTTGTGCGGAGTGGAATAAGAAGCTGTTTATTAGCAGTTTTAGGTAGAAAAAGATATATTGCTACCTGTGAGTTGTGCAAACGTTAGTGGATTAAAGGCATTCGATATATTGCTACCTAAGATATATTGCCACATTTTTTTACCTGATTAATTAATTGACTTGACACTATATATTTGTTCTCCATGCGTACATGTGTTCCATTACTAACATTCGTTTTAAAATCTTTAGCATCAATGTCTTTAGATAACGTTGTTGAACTCAATTCCCTTATCTTCGTTTTAAGTACTTATATTAATGATGAGTGTTGAGTGATTTATAAATGAACTGTATGCATGTGTTTCTTAGGACACCATTGTTCATATCGAAACTTTTTGTGGTTCGGGTATAAAAATTACGTACGCAATTATATGTTTGAGTTGTAAAATGCGTCAAACACATAAAATACATAACCTATATCAATGGCGCCAGTCAAACATAACAAAAAATAATTGGGGAGTTTGTGATTACACGGGTTCTATCTAGTTAACTAAATTTACAATTAACTAAATTTGTTTAAGGTATATGTACATACCCAAGTTTGGTCGTAAACTGGTCCAAGATTCAATCTATGAACCGTTAAGAGATTCACTTAAGATCTTATCACCAGACTAAAACCCTATTGTCAATGAAAATAATGAATTCCTGTCACCCATGATCAATATTGTAGGTAAAGTAACTGAGAATCGGGGACCAAGATTTTGCAAACTCTAGTCACAACAATTAATCCTTGGTCCATGGATTTGGTTCATTGGGGTGCCTTGTTTATGGACTCACACGCCGCAGATTCATTTCGGTTTGCAAGTGAATTACAAAAGTCGGATTTTTAAGTAATAAATAAAATATACTATACCAAAAAGAATAATTTAATTCCACACTACTCAACATCTCAACCACAAGTAATATTATACTAATAATTTAATGAGGAGGAAGATGATCAAGGCTAATTGAAGTAATAAACCCGGGCGCTTGTAGAGAGAATGATGGAGAAGCATTTATGGTTCATCACATGCCAGCAATTAATGTGCAGCAAACCAGAGTAAAAACCTCCAGCCCGGAATTCTTCATCTCCTCCCTCCACACCCACACTAACCTTTAAAACACATTTACAGTTACAGGACCATAGTACAATAAAACCAACCAGCCTCAAGAAATTAAAGGAGAAGATTGAAGAAACAACAAAAAAAAAGAGAGAGAGAGAAGAAGAATGTCGACAACAGAGAACCCCGCGGAAGCTAATTTAAGCAGCTTAAGGGTGTGGCAAGATTTGGGTGTTGTTGACACCATATTCGAAGAAGAAGGCGACGACCCTTCAACCACGCCTTCTCTCTCCCCGCTCATCTCGCCGTCTCCTACACCTCTCCATTCTCTCGTTGAGGCATGGTATACCTGATCGGAATTTTGTGTTTTCTTTTTTCCTCCGTTTAAATTGCGAAGAATTTGTTGATTAATGCTGTGTAAATTGAGTTTTTGACTGTTCATTTTTTTTGTGGTTCCAATTTTGAAGGTCATCGGCTTCCGGTGATGACGTAGATGTGGTGATACACGTTGAAGATTCGTGTTTCTACTTGCACAAGGTACGTTTTGCTGAATGCTAGGTGTCGGTTATAATTTCTCATTTTGCGTAAAGATTTGTGTGTGGTTCTAATGGTTTATGCATATGAGCTGTGAAAGGAAAATAAAATAAAATATTATCGATGATTAGTTGACGTAAAAATGTGATTATTTGTCATGTGGTTGCACCGAAAAAGTGCAATTAATTTGTGTTTTTTTTTTTTTTTTAAGGAAAAGGGGGAGAACTTACGTTGTACGTCTTCTAGAAATCATTTTTTTCAGATTCTTTCCGGTTCACTATATTAGATTGAATTGTCGTGTTAATTACTCTTCTGTCGATAATGTCCATAATCTCCGTTCTTTTTCAACCTTTGGTATTTCACGTAAAATCATGAGGTGTTAATTGTGAATGATCCTATTCCCACTGTATAGTAGACATAAATATTACTACCTCCGTCTCCAAAAAAATAATCCACATTAAGTTTTTAAATTTGTATTAAAAACATTACAAAACTCAAAACTGACTATTTTTATAGGACGGAAGGAATGACATCTAATTTACACATATCATCTAATTTACACATATCGAACCCGTGGGTTGACACACAAAAGGTGTCACGGAATAGACGTGCGATGGAGAAAATATTCACATAACTTAGCGGGAAATGGATTATTATGAATATATGATTGTGATATGTTTTTGTGTGTAAGGGATTTTTAGATATTTCATTGAGGTGATGAAACAAGTGTGTGAATTTGTAACCCCCCTCATAATTAGCGATTGACTACTGAAACCAAAGTGTTTAAAACGACAGTTCAGAATTCTGTAGAAATCAATTAAAATGGGGTAAGCAAAGCAAATTAACGTAGACAAATGTGAAATGTACAACATTCTCCAAATTCAGCAAATCCAGATTCGTTTGAAAAATTTGTAAGTTGTACTTGTACCTCTTTACCCGTCCTTATTTATTGAAATCTTGAAAAAGAGTGCTGCAAAAGTTTGAAAGCTACGTTTCGCAGTTAATGAGAAATAAATATAATTGTGTGTCATTTTGTAGTAGTATCACTTTTTTTTCTCTTCTGAGTAGGCCCCACTACGAGCAAGAAGTAAATACATGAAACGGCAGCTCAAGACAACGTCCCAATTAACGTTGTCTCCACCGTTACCCATAACCGCTGAAACCTTCACTTTGGTGACTGAATTCTGTTACGGGTCCCAGATCCTCATCACTCCATTTAACGTGGCTCCACTTCGCATCGCGGCTGAGTTGCTCGAGATGACGGAGGCCACCGACGGGAGTGGGGACGATAGTCTCCGGCAGAAGACGGAGGCGTACTTCCAGCGGGCAGTCCCCGTCAACCAGGAGTTCGCGAAGATTGTGTTGCGTTCTGGTGTTTCGTTGCTTCCGGAAGCAGAGACGAAGGCCGGTATTGTGAGCAGGTGCATCGAAGCGTTAGTGCTGATGCATGATGACGAGGACGGAGGTGGCTGGGGAAAGATGAGTTGCCTGAACGACGTCCTAAAGTTGCAGCCTCATGAATTTCAAGTCCTAGTGGAAGCTATGAATCAGCGGTTGACCAGTCATGACATTCTCTACAGAGTCGTTGACCTGTATCTCAAGGTAGGTAGTATAATCCTTATACTTTATCAATTGAATATACAAACTACCATTTTTTATTTTTTAATTTTAGCTTAATTTATGTACTGGAGCTTCATATGATGGTTGTTGTGTTGGATAAAATCCATTCCATTCTTTTTTTTTTTTTCTTTTTCTGTTAAACGAGTGATTGCATTGCATAATCACGAGATTACAACATTGCGAGGATATGCCACTCCTATTACATCATTTTTCAGAAAAGGTAAAATCTCTGGTGGTAAAGAATCCAGTTTGTGTAACCCTCCCGGATTCACCGCTACCAGTAAAACCATATAATCGACTGCAAAGTTGATCTGCCTATAAACATGAACTAGATTAACAACCCAATCCCTATCTATAAGGTCTCGAATGGCCAAAATAAGGTTAAAATAAGGTTAAAATAAGGTTATTATGAAAGCCTTATTGGCTATATATAAATGCTGTTCTCTGAGAGCTGATTGCTCTGTTTCTTGTTGTATTTGGAAGTGCTTGGATTGCCTGGATGAGTGGACTAGTATTAAGCTTGGACCTCACACTTAAAAGAGACTGACATTTGGCCCTTTATGAGATTAAGTTCTTCAATACTACAATGGTTTACAGAGAATTAATCAAAGAAATTATTAGGAACCCAATGTAACTTCATTTTAATTGTGCGTTTTTTCCAACCGTTGAAATGCACCCATAATAACCCAGTCGTCTTTATTAATTTGTAACTTGTGTTTTCTGTTGATTGCACAGGGATATGCAGGGAAGATCACGGAAGAGCAGAAGATCCGGATGTGCAATTACATTGACTGCACAATCCTGTCGTCTCAAGGCCTAATGCATGCTGTTCAAAATCCAGCAATGCCACTTAGATTTATAGTTCAGGCCATGTTTGTTGAGCAGCTCAACACCCGGCGTTCCATCTTCTCTGCTGCTGATAATCATAATTATAACCGTAATAACAATAATAATAAGCCGCAGCATCAGAAGATACAAGACTCCACCTCCACCCTTGGGGCAATCCTCCAACGCGATGCAGCACTCAGGCAAGTTGCCCAGCTCAAGGCCGCCATGGATACCACAAATTCACGGATTCAGAGCCTGGAGAAAGAGCTTATTGGGATGAGGAAGCGTTTACAAGATGCAGAAAGTCATAATCATGAGCAGAGTACTCTGGATTCAGGCCGGTCTCAGAGCTTCCGATTCAGCTCGGAGAATAGGATCGAAAGAGGACAAATCGGATCAGTTTCGTCAGCGAGCTTCCTCAGTATGAGGAACAACAAGAAAGATGGAATTAAAGCTGCTGCGTGGTCAATTTCGTCTGATGATCAAGAATCATGTGATGGGTTTGGTAGCAGCCCAGTGCAAGCTAATACTAATAAGAAACTGGGGAGAAGATTTATGGATGGATTGAAGAGTGCATTTCGTGTCACCAATTTGGTGCCAAAGAAGCTGGAAAGAAATACTATTACTGCTGGCAAAGTCAATGGTGAAAAGAAGAACACTCCTGAAAAGTATGAAATTGGGGGCAGGAATATTGTGATTGTAAGAAAAGATCCACCTTACCAACGTTAGCTTTTCTTTCTTTTGTCAACCAACGTAGGACGTGACAAAGTGAAATGGATTATTTTTCCCTCTAAATTTAACTAGAGACTACTGCAAGTTTTGCAACGTCCAAACGTGAGTCCATTTTTTTCCTTTCGTCACAGTACTACCACTATTCTTTTGATTTTTTTTTTTTTTTACCTCTTTGGTTTGTTTATTTTGAACTTAGAAGTTAGAAGAATCGCTCTTACTATTTTATTTATGAAAGCCAGATACCTAGGAACTTGCAAAACAGATGGAATCCGGCCAATTTGACATTAAAACAGATGGAATCCGGCGTTTAGGAGTTTGGAATCCGTAGTGCCGCTAAAACAGATGGAATATTTATGGTTTTTAACTACTACAAGGAATAGTGACTAATGAGTTTGACTAGCTGAAAACACCAACAGAACTGGTGGCCGGCCATTTCAAAACAAAACAACCGTGTTATCAGTTATGACATTAAAGCCCGGGAACCACTGAATTGAAATCTGTACTGAGATATAAGATCTGCATGAACAAATTATTCTACATCTCATACTGATACTCTCATTAGACAAAGAAATTTGAGTTAATATAATCCACATACCTACACCATAAATTTGAGTAATAAATTTTTAATTTTCTTTCCGATCGTCGGTACAATGACTAATTTTTTTCGGTGAATTGTAAGTACCTCAATAAATGAGATAGGTGACCAAAATATTTAAGATTGCTCTATGCTCTTGGTGAGATTCGAACCCTCGACTTATTAGTTAAGAATGGAGGAGTCACTTCCACTCCAATTAAAAAATCAAATTACAACTAAGCATTCCATTCAAAGACTCTTTTTTTGTGTCACGTGAATTATACAGTATTTGCGATCTCCAGTTTATGTACTAAGAAAAATCTCAAGAATAAAGAAGATTTTTTACTATTTTGTCACATCTAATCTGTAATTTCAGCATCCTGGCGCGGCTCCCACCAGCTGCTCCAAGCCTCCATGCTTCCCTGCTTTGCTATGTGAAATGAAACACGTGGATTCAGACATTGAGATTTCCCCATCGTCCCTTGTCCCACCATTAAATTTCCTTCTCTCCCCCCAACGAAATAGCAAAAACAATCGTTCCATTATCTGTGGATTTCTGATTCCATTTCTCAAAGTACTTTTTGCCTCTCCTCCTGCTCCTCCTCCTCAGGGAAATGAAAATCTATATAAATGGTAGAGTTTTTCAAACCCGTATCGTTAATTCTAAATTTAGATATAGAGATTAGAAAGTGGTACAGAATTCCATGAGGAGATTAGAGAGGGAAAAACAGAGCACATTTAAGTAGTCCACGTCAGCCAATATAAGTGCACTTCCACCGCATCAATCACGAATCCCATTCATCTCGCAATTCACCAGCAAATGACATGAAACCAACTTTTACGCCAGAGTCTCTCAAAGCGGAATGCTGCGTCCCTCGTTCTCCTTTCCTTACATTATTATTACAAATTTACAGGTTTCTCATTTCTTTTCCCTACTCCACCTAATCTTTGCCCTCACACAAATCAATCATTTCCTCTGCCTGGGCTTCCTCATTCCATCATCTATTTCTCTCGTTTAGATGATGATGTGTTATGAGGAGGATGATAATCATTTGGGCCATTTTTGAAAATCCAGAGGAAATCTTTCTTGGTGCTGAAATATTGAAACTTGCAGGCAGCATTGGCCTGCTGTAGACATTGAACGGGGTGCTATTGTTCCTTTTTTCTTTTTCTTCGTTGTGTCGACAAGAGATTTATTGGGGGTCAATTTGCAGTATTTAAATAATTGTGGGGTCTGATTGAATAAAAATGGCTGGGCTGGCACAGAAGTCGTTCGTGTCTTTGAGTTTGCCTGAGTTTGACTCTGGCCATTGTTCACCCTTATCTGGAAAGTTGGGGTTCTTGAAGGTGCCGGCGGCTTTTGGGATTGGCCGTGGCTTCGAGGTGCGATCGGGCTTTCAGGCGCCAATTAAGGCAATGGAGAGCTCCAGAACGCCGTCGTACGTTGTCAGTAACAAACTTGACAACTTTCACGAACTTGACCAGCCCGGTTGCAATCCCAATCCTGACGATAATGTTCCTGTAAATAGTTGTAAGATATATAATTCCTTTTATCTGGGTTCTTTTCCAGCAACTTGAATTTGCCCCCATCCCCTTGTCCTCATTTTTATGTTAATTTTTCTTTGTTGATTTCCTGAATCCACATGCAATGGCACAAAATCGCCATGAATTTGAGCTTTTCAAATTGTTGTACTAGTGTAATATTATGCCAATTTCTTATAAGTGGAAATCTGTATCCATGATTGTATTTGCCGTGATCTTTTTGTGTGTCCTGTTACCTTGTTTTGCTTTTATGCTATTATCGGAAATTTCAACTTTTCTTTATCAAATATTGTCCGACTTTAGCAGCTCGGGTATCTGAGGTGAATCTCACTTGTTGACTGAAATTGTTGAACAGGTAAAGATACCTTAAAAACGTCAAATGTTGGAAATTCCACAAATATTCTCTGGCACAAGTGTTCAGTGGAAAAAGTTGATAGACAGGAATTGCTTCAGCAGAAGGGTTGTGTCATATGGATTACTGGTCTTAGTGGTTCAGGTCTGATTCAGATCAATCTAAAGTGATTCTCTTGCTTATATGTGTTGGTTCATACCGAAATTATTCTCTCGTAGCATTTCATTTGGTATCTTTTCACTTTAAATGCACATATTATTTCTTGGCTCTGAGCCTATAAACAAGCAACACTTATTGGCAAAGTTTAGAACATCTTCCTAGAATAGGTTAGACATATTCATTATTGGATGTTTCATAACAGGTGTTGGCCTTCTCAGATGTTTAATCTGTGCTGGATGATGTTGTTTTGAAAGAAACTGCAAATTTCAGCCTTTGTCGTGAACAAGGAACTCTAAGATGGTGGCATTCTGATTTATGCCTGCTGTCCATTCAATATGTTGAGATTTGAGAACAAAGAATCCTTGTCTGTTTGTGTTTAATTTATAACTTAATTGTTAGTGTTGTTAATACTGTCATCAACTGAGAAAAGACCATGTGACTTTTGGAACTTGGTGGGTGTGAATGTTCACGTTATCCCATAGTTCTTAGAGCCGTGAGCTACATGCACAGAGAAACTCGCATAAATACGCCTCGCATTCTGCATTCTCGGTTTTGTGAAGCCAAATGATGAGGTTTAACTCATACAAATCAAATAACAGGTTTAGGATTTCGGCATGATATAAGTTTTATTTTGAGCTTCATCCTATAAACTTGTTATATTACTCAAAAAGATTGCTAAGTGGAATATGTTTTTCTTTAATTTTGTCCGATCTTGTTAGTTGCATATGCAATTCTTTATAGTTTTTTGTGGGTAAATTTTTGTAATATGCCATATGATGAGAAAGGCTCTCTATACTTAAACATAATGCCTATAAACTTTCAGTTTGTGAATCTTTCTGGTGATTGTGTGAGCAACTTAATTGATTTGAGCATATCTGGCTCTTTAAATATTTCCTTTCACAACAACAACAATAAAAACAACATACCCAGTATATTCCCAACATACCCAGTATAAATATATTTTCTTTCAGGACCTATTAAATTTACATTGGGCGAGGAAGAACAGATTCTTTTTCTCTTGTATTGTGAATATAAATATTGTGGGTTTTTTCCCGTCCCTTTCAGGAAAGAGCACTTTGGCGTGTGCTTTATGTCAAGGCCTGCATGCCCGGGGAAAGCTAACATACGTTCTTGATGGTGACAATGTTCGACATGGTCTGAACCGTGATCTTAGTTTTAAGTCAGAAGATCGCGCAGAGAACATCAGAAGAATAGGTTTGTGACTTTGTGGTACATGCTGTGAACCGTGCGAAAATTGACTTGTCTATTCTCAATTCTTTACTTTCATGATTTGATTGAACGCTTTATTCATCTTCTGTAGGTGAGGTAGCTAAACTCTTTGCTGATGCTGGAGTTATTTGCATCGCTTGCTTGATATCTCCCTACAGAAAGGACCGAGATGCTTGTCGTGATTTGTTGCCAGAAGGAGCTTTTATTGAGGTTAGTCTACATGTGTGTGGAAATTTGAGTTGCAGTTCGTAACTTCTTTGTTTCTCTATTCACAGGCCTGATGCCGTGATCTTTGAAATTGCAGGTTTTCATGGATGTCCCTCTTCAAATTTGTGAGGCAAGGGACCCCAAGGGTTTATACAAGCTTGCGCGAGCTGGAAAAATTAAAGGTATTCACTTATTGGTTTGTATTATAGTTCTATGCAACATTTGATGGAAGATTTTCTTGTGGCTGGTGACATTTCGCCTTGTATTTATTTTAACAAGTTTATTGTGATAAAACTGATTCTTGAATTGAGTAAAGCACAAATAGTAGTTTCAGGTCCAGCCTTATTTTTGAAAAGCCCAAGTTTTTAACCATTGTCTGTTTTATTGCCTTGTGTATAGGCTTCACTGGGATTGATGATCCGTATGAGCCACCACTCAATTCAGAGGTGAGTTTTCCCTTCATACACCGAACAATAGTTGGTTCTTGTATAAGCAAAAACTGGACACTGATCTCAGTGCGTAATCTAACCAATTGGGTTGTCATGCAATGCTTGTCATTTTGCAGATTGTACTACAACCAAATGACGGGCCAGGTGGTTCTCCTAAAGAATTGGCTGAAATTGTCATCTCATTTTTGGACAAAAATGGATACCTCCAGGCATAAACTATTTGGCTCTTTGGGTAGAAATTCTCATTGATTTTTGGACGGATATCTCTATACATTCAGGCCTAGCTTTCTTTGGGACTTTCATCATTTGATTCTGTTTGATATTCAATATGTGCAGCGGTTTTGAAAATAATGAATGTATTGGAGAGGAAACAGCTCGTTTCCTCAGTGCATAATTCGTGTTGAAAATAATGAATGTATTGGAGAGGAAACAGCTCGTTTCCTCAGTGCATAATTCGTGATGTATGATATAGTACAGATTAATCTTTGATTCTTTGATTACAAAAAGAAGTAGATCCGTTACTCTTCATATTTTGTTCCAATGGTGATGTACTGCACACACCCAGTAGCAGCTCAAAACATGGGTTCTCTTTTTTTGTTTTTCCCTTTGGAGCAAGCATTTTTGCCTAGTTTGAGGACCCCTTTTTGAGAAGAAAGATGAGCTCCATTCTTGTTTTATGTACTGTGTTACAAGTAACATGTGGTGAGGTCGATTATGATTGTTGTTGTAGAGATTCTGCAAATTCGTAAAATTGAATAAAGAGAAAATATTGTGGTAAATATCTGCTAGAAAATAAAACGTGAAACATGGGGGAAGATTACACCGGCGGTTCAAATTTGAAGTTTTTGTTAGTTATACTTGCTGCAGTGTATTTTTTTATATAAAGAAAAATATCTTTAAATTCCTCTTCATGTTTGGTACGCTTCCTTAAAGCTTTTCGTGTTTCTTTTCTAAATTTAATTCATTATAAAAAAATTCTTTCTAACAGATCAATTACTTGCTGTCTTATAATGACTGATGACTGAGAGTGACCGTATCTGGGAGAAGTGGAGAAAAGCAAACAACCTCCTACAAATAGAAAAAAACTCAGTCCGAGACGATTAAATCAAACAACGGCGTGATAAGCCGGAAAAAAAGAAAGAATTCACAATCCACCAATAGTCGGTGGTACAGTGAAATCCTTGAAAACAGATTTCAATTAATTTTCCGGTCATATCTTCCAAATTCCAGGAGCTACATTTGTGCCTGTTCTATAAAGTTTTACATTGACCTCACAAATTACAGTAATCGCTTTTGACAGTTGCGATTGCAGTATATGGGAGAATGAAAATTGGAAAAACCAAAAAGACTATCAAAATATAAATAAATCAGCATATATGGATTAGTCATATCGGGGCATGCTCAGGTCAGTTCGCCGCCGGTATGCCATCCTACAACACATGGCCAGCACCGCCGTCAAGTAGCATCCGACGTCGATTACTGTGTCATAAAAATCAGCAAAACGTAATTCCTGAAGCCGCCAGATTGTCCAAATGCACCGCCCCACGCCACTCGCCATAGCCGCCGCAGCTCCACAAAAAGCCTCCATTTTTAATTGCATTCAATTCTCAAATGCGACTTCCGTTCAGAGTGTACGAACTTGGTACTATATATATATAGAGAGAGAGAGAGAGAGAAGAAATGACTCGGTCACTTGGGTCAGTAGGAAGGTAGTAAGTAGGAAGAACTATTTGGGAGGAGATGACTAAATGGGTATTAATTGACCATTTGGAGTACTTTTTTATGATCGGCATTTATAACAGTCGAGTTAATCTTCTTACCACTTTAAATTGTTTAATGATGGCATCAATTACTTTTATGGAGATAAGTGAAAATATTGGTTTTCGTCACAATTAAAGAAATCAGATTATTATTAGTCGAAATCCGTGTTAGATCTGTAATCCAATTCACATAATCACTATGCGCAATAAAGTAGAAAAATTAACCCCCAAAAAAAAAAAAACAAGAAGAAGAAGAAAGAAAAGGTATCTAGTTTATGAACTGAAAGTCAAGAGCTATAGGGAAAAATAAAATAAAATCTTCTTGAATATGCAACATTGTTCGTAAGTACAATTTTTATTACAAATTTTATAAAACAACATACAGTAGATATTCAGTTTATGAACAAAAATTCTTCTCCTTACCATATTTAGGAAAACTCGTCAACAATATTGTTCCAAGAGTTTTTTTTTTTTTTTTTTACTTTAATCAATAACAACTTTTATAAACAAAAGTTTAATTGTTATATTCACGAACTCATACCTCATAAACACCCTAATTTATTGATTTACATGTACCGCACATAGTTTAAAATGATCGATATTAAAATTTATAATAGTAAACATGTCCTTTACATACAAGACGGTCGGTATAAGAGTAAATAACTAGTGAATAAACATGATCCCAACACGAGAAAATTACTAATAAAGATACATGATTTTAGTGATTATATCATTCACGAGAAACAAACTATGAAAAAATAGTAAAAACGCGTATCTTACAAATGATTCCGTCAACGTAAATATAAGTAACGGATGAAAAAACAAGAAGTAACGGATGATTATACAGCTATCTAAACGAGAAAATCATTCGTTGAAGTCCGTAATTTTAGCGAGCGTTACCAATTTTTTAAGAAAAATGCTTGTACAAACATTTATTATTATTATTATTATTATTTTTGCTTATATATTGTAATAATGCTAATTTCTTACTCCAATCTTCAGAAAAGGAAGAGAAGTCGGAGCGTGTGTTTAAATTGGATACTTTCATTTCATACCATAAATTTCAAAAAAGATATCGAATAAAAATAAAGTTAAAAATTTTTAAGATATGCACAAAAAAATTGTAAAAAAATAAAATTGAACTTAGTAATCCCAATTCCCACAAAGTTAAATTGTAAATTGCACCATATCTTAATCACTACGACCAAAACTATAAAGTTTTTCTTTTTTTTTTTTTTGGTTACACTTACAAAGTTAAGAATTCAAAACGTTTTCGAATATTTGGAAAAAAAGAAAAAAAGGAAACACAAAAGGACACTATATCTTATTTTTATTGGGGAGGAAAAAAAATAAAAATCAAGGTACCGCCTTACCTCCGGCCTCCGGTTTGATTTCAATTTAGGGGAACCCGGATCAGTTAACGGGTTAAAGTCATTTCGGATTTCGAATTCGGGCAACGAAAGACACCAGCGACCAGAGAACCCAGAGCTTCGACTTCCGACAGCTTAAAACAGAGTTATCGCCGGGAGAAATCACCGCTTCGAAACTTGATAACTTTTCATCGGCGCGGAGCAAATTTTTACGCAAGAAGAGGTGAAACCCTAACTGCAGCAGTGTATTTATAGAGACGTAGGAGAAGAGAAGCGAGGCGGCTTTGATGGGGAAGAAACAGCACAGCAAGGATCGTTTGTTCATTACCAAGACGGAATGGGCGACGGAATGGGGTGGTGCCAAATCCAAAGAAATTCGCGCCAACTTCAAACGCCTCCCGTTTTATTGCTGCGCGTTCGTACTGCACTTTAAACTCCTATTTCTATATGCATATTGAATTCGATTTGTTAAGTTACTGATTTGGATTTCGTATGCAGCCTTACCTTCACACCATTCGAGGATCCTGTTTGCACCAAAGATGGCAACGTCTTCGACATTATGTAGGATTTTCTTGCGGTTACTTTACTTCATTTTAGTTCATATTCCACCATTAGTTGATAATTTGGTACAATTTTTTAAATACTAATGTTGTGGTTTATATTATGGATTTGAATTGTGTTGGATTAGGAATATAATCCCGTACATAAGGAAGTATGGAAAGAGTCCGGTGACTGGAGCTCCACTGAAGCTAGAGGATTTAATTCCTCTTAAATTCCACAAAAATGCTGAAGGTAACTTTTCTTGAACTTTTCTGATTTCTGCAATTTGCATAACTTAGCTAGTTCTGGAACGGTTAATCTTTTTGTTCTCCTAGAGATATTTGATACACACTAACGATATGGAGTAGAATAATGTACTTCTAGTGGAGGGAGACTTGTAAATTAGAAGTGGTAATTGAAAACTTTTGTTTATTTTAGGCTTTTGGATGAGGAATATAAATGGCCTGGTGTCGACTTTGGGTGTTAGAGGGGCAGTGTAAATATTCATGTAGAATTAAGCTTTTCCTGGACTAATATTGTTTGTAATGCTCAAAATTCTACTTCTTTTCAAAGACTGCGGTACAGCGTGTAGTCTAGTCAATGACCTGATTTTTTTTGCTTCGTTTTATGCTTTCTTCATTGTTATAAGATAATGTAAAGTGTTAATTTTTCCGTATGTCTTTTCTTATATTTCATATATAAAACTGAAATGTGAGTTTTATGATTTACTTTTCTTTTTTTTTGAAGGAAAAATAAAATTTCTCATTGCTAAATTTCCCAGTCGTTGATAGCATTACTACATTTTTCTGTGTTTGTCCAGGTGAATATCACTGTCCAGTACTGAACAAGGTTTTCACAGAGTTTACACATATAGTTGCTGTGAGGACTACCGGAAATGTCTTTTGTTATGAGGTTTGTTTGGACATACTGTTTTCTGTTTTTTGGACTATTACGCTCCGGCTTCTTATGCATCGGGCAATTACTTTTCAGGCTATTAAGGAACTAAACTTGAAGACCAAGAACTGGAAAGAGCTTCTTACTGATGAAACCTTTACTAAGGAAGACCTTATAACTATTCAAGTAAGTACAGGTCACTAGTATCTTATCAATTTTATTTAATGATTGATTTGAATTTATGGCAGCCTAGTAGATATATACTAACTCCGATGTATATTCTTGTTTGTCGTAGAACCCGAATGCACTTGACAGCAAGGTGCTCGTTGATTTTGATCACGTCAAAAATAGTCTGAAAGTTGATGATGAAGGTAAAAAGTTGGTTTATGCCTTCATGGCTGATTGTTGCATGATGTATCTTTTGATATTTTTCCCCCCTGTGACAATCTCTATTTACTCCTTTTCTCTCCCCTCCTGCAGAGTTGAAAAAGATGGAGTCTGATCCAACTTATAATATAAATGTTAGTGGGGATATCAAGCAGATGCTACGAGAGCTTGGCACAGAGAAAGCTAAGGAGATTGCACAACTCGGTGGAGGTGGAAAAAAGGCTAGAAGTGAAAGAGCTGCAGCCCTTGCTGCTATATTGGAAGCAAGAGAACGCATTAAGGAGGAGTCCAGTGGCAAGGGGGAGTCACCTAAGCAGGGTTTCAGTGTTGTAGATGCTGCTTCTGCCTCTATTCAAGGAAGAAGTGCAAATGCTGCAAAGATGGCCACGAATGATAAAACTGCGGCTAGAATAGCTTTGCACATGGCGGGTGAGAGGGCACCAGTGAATGCCAAACTGGTTAGTATTCTTTTACTCTTTACATTTTTTAAAGAGATGGTTTTGTGTTTGGTTTACAGAAATTTGCACATACCCACTCATCATATGACTTCTTAGTAGACAACATAATCATCCCTTGGATAGAACGGGCTCCTATATATTTGTATATGACTTTGCTAACCTTTCTGATTCCGTTGGGGGCTGAGGTATGAGAGAGTAGAATGGCTTGTGAGGTACTCCCTCCGTCCCACAAAAAATAGTCCACATTGAGTTTTGAGTTTTATACTGTTTTTAGTACAAATTTGAAAACTCAACGTGGACTATTTTTTTGGGACGGAGGTAGTATTAAATAATTGAAGATTTCCTACTATCTGATGGGTTGGAACTAAAGTATCACCCAGTAAGTGGAAGAAAAGTTGTTTCGGAGAGATTAACGTTCTAATTATTGACAGTAACTTGATTCCGCATATGTCAGGTGGTGTGTGGTTGTATAACTTAAGCTCCGTGGTTAAATCAGTATCACTTATTAATTTCCCCTCATGTAGGTAAAGAGTCAGTTTACCACTGGTGCTGCCTCTCGGTCTTTTACATCCACTGCTTATGATCCTGTCACTAAGAATGAGTACGAATACATCAAAGTTGAGAAGAATCCAACAAAGAAAGGTTATGTTCGACTGCAGACGACACATGGTGACCTTAATATTGAGCTGCACTGTGACATAACTCCGCGTACATGTGAAAACTTCCTCACCCTTTGTGAACGTGGTTATTACAATGGAGTAGCTTTTCATAGAAGTATCAGGTATTATTGATTCAATTTAACTCAAGCTCAATGTTCCAAAAAAAAAAAAAAAAGGAAAAAAACTCAAGCTCAATGTTCCGAGTCATTCTACTTGATTTTACGTAATGATAACTTTTATTTTATGGTATTTTTAGGAACTTTATGATTCAAGGTGGAGATCCCACAGGGACTGGCAGAGGAGGAGAGTCCATATGGGGAAAGCCCTTCAAAGATGAATTGAACTCTAAGCTACTTCATTCCGGGAGAGGAGTTGTTAGTATGGCAAATTCTGGTCCTCACTCAAACGGTTCCCAGTTCTTTATCTTGTACAAGTCAGCAAATCATTTAAATTTCAAGCATACAGTCTTCGGAATAGTTGTCGGAGGTTTGACTACCCTTTCAGCAATGGAGAAGGTCCCTGTTGATGACAATGATAAGCCTCTGGTTAGTGGTTCTCCTTCCTGTTTTTCCATAATAAAAAACAGTTTTGTTTGTTAAATTTCACATGGATAATTATTTCTGGAAAACTGGAGTTAAAAAATGTGTCCTGGCCTGTTGATGACAATGATCCTGCGTCTTCAAATTCAAGATCTTTTATCTCCTTTTCTGTATATCATCATTCTAGAATACCTGAGAGAAACAGAAATATGTCTTCTGCTTCCTGTTATATTTTCTATTGGCAATGTTCTTTTCATTTGCTAATGAATTACCTTACATTTAAATGGATTGGCACTACTGGCAGTTTTTATTAAAAGTTCTTTTATGCTGGGGAAGAAGGAATCATTTGCAGATATTCGGCTTTGTGCTTTAAGCAATGAACAAAAGAATAGTAGTCTAAATCTTCTAGTTGAGGAAAAGTTTTATATAATTTTTGCGAAATTACAAATGACGTGTAATGTGATTGTGGAAGTATTTGATCCCGTTCCTCTTATGTTCTTCGCTGTTGATTATCCCCATTTTCTTTCTTCCTTCCCCTTACCTTTCTCGTGCTTACCGTAGACTAGTCAGTCCGTGTGATGCTTGTTGTTTCTGTCCAATCTTACATCTTCGTTTTCCCCTCTTTTTCTGTGCAGGAAGAAATCAAGATAATTGAAGCAGAGGTGTATGTAAATCCTTATACAGAACCTGATGAAGAGGAAGAGAAGAAAAGTAAGGAAGAGAACAAAGTTGAAGATGAAGAAAATGTTAGTTCTGATCCAATTTTGTTCAAGTTGTTCCCCTTCTCTCCCCCATCTTAGCTTCCTTTTTTTTTTTTTTTTTTTTGCGTGTTGTTTTTCCATTATGGTTGCATATATTTGACTGGGTTGTTTGTTTGTGTGTGTTTTTGTGTTTGTTTTTTTGATTATTGCATTCAGGAGAAGATCGGCTCATGGTACAGTAATCCAGGGACCGGGACTTCAGGAAATCAAGCTTTAGGTGGTGGCGTGGGGAAGTACTTGAAAGCAAGGAATGCTCAGGCTGACTCTACTACATCTCTTGACAGTGGCCTGCCTGCAGTTTCTGTATCAAAGAAAAGAAAAGTAGGGGTCCCGACTGGGGAACTTAAAGATTTTTCATCCTGGTAACTGCTTCATTCAGGCTTTATCAGCTTGCAAAGAAGTTTAATATTAGAGAAGAAAAGGGCGTACTTGAACCCATTCAGCTGAGGGGAAACCTTGTCTCTCGGTGTTCAAATCAATCCAGTTGATAAGGTATTCATAGAGACTGAATTCTTTTTTAGTTGTAATTTGTTAATATGTCAACAAAGTCATCTATGTTTCATTTTTAACCATAGGTTTTTATCCTAGGTTTGATACCCTAAGTGCTGTTAAAAAATGGTTCAGCACTTCAGCTGTTCGTATTTTAGCTATCGGGTTGCCCTTGGGTTTGAGTTTGTTGAGGTCTGTTTTTTGGTTTAAGGGCTGCCTTTTCGGTTTTGAAATATATTCATGTTTTCTCCTTAAGATCTGTAATACAAATCAGTTCCGCCAGGATATTATGATTATAAAGTTGGCGATCATCCCTTGAGATTGAAGGCAAGAAGAGCGCAGGATCCTTGAGAAACTGGTTTTCAGTTTGGCCCAGCATGGGTGGCAGCAACTACTACTGGAAAGTTTCTCCTGTCAACCCACTAGTCCATTCTGTTACATGCTCTGAACATGGTTTGCTTGCAGCTTGCCTACTCGAATTATTTACAAAGTTTCGGGTGGGTCATCATCAGACCGAAAGATTTTTGTTGTAAAAAGTTAGTAAAGCATATACCAAGGCTTTGCGCAAAGTTTATCACTCATCTTTCCAGCCTTCCAGCCTCCCAGGGGGACCTGGTGATGTCCATTTTGCCGGTTTTATTTTCTCAGTCTCTTCTACGATAAGGATGTAGTATTTGTTAGCTTCTTCACGGAACACAATTATTAGCCTTTTCGGTTTTCATATTATTTGGGTTGGGTTTAAAATTATTTTCTGTCGTGCAGGCGTACATCAATCATATTGACACAATTTCTCTAATGAAATCCACTAAAAAGAAAGGATAAAACTCTATAAGACCAACTTTATGAGGGAAAAAAATTTAATAATAGAAAGGAGGAGGAATAGGCTGACTCCGTCGGGCTTAGTTATTAGGGATAAGAAATCAGTTTAAGGGAATCACTGACGAAGACTCGGTAGACTGGGCCGAAATGCTTCTTCTTATTACTAATTTAGTACTACCAAATTCCTTTTTTCGGTGGTTTTCCTAGAAGAAATTATATTTTTACTTGTTGTAATACTGTTTTTGACGAGCGAGGAGGGTGGCTATTGACAAAGTATGAGAAGTTTATAGGCAGATTGTACTTAATATTTTTGTTGACGGGGCTTGCAATATCCAAAAGGTAATCAGTTTAATTTCAGTAAAAAGAAACATTAAAAAAATAACCCCACCTGTTCCACCAAAGAAAGTACTTTTACTTTTTTCTTAGTAATGTTGTTATTAACGTATAATTTACTACCAAAAACCAAACTTACGAGTGCAAAAAAAATGTGTAAGAAAGTGATCATCTAAGTAAGCTTTATAGAGTATTAATTGTGTTTGAAAAGCGAAAATCAGAAAAATGCGGGCCATGTGAGATTGAAAGTTTCATCTTTGGGACTTGGGAGGTTAGGGAAATGCAGATCATGAATACACATTAATTATTAAACAAACTCCAGAGGAAAACGAGGTTTGAGTGAACAAGCTAGGAACAAATTAGCCATCAACTTTTCCAGTCTGATATTTTTTTTTTTCCTTTTTTATTTTTTCTTTTAAAAGAAAAGAAACGGTGCCCACATTTTTTTTCATCTGCAGTATTCTTGTTCCTAATCTCTTTGATGATTTATCCTTATTCTTCTGAATACATTATAATATTGCTCTCAACTCAAATGAACTTATGCGATCAGTAGGACCAACAGATCCACTAAAGAATCATCTAATCTACAAATCGAAAGTTTAAATCATGACTTTTTGGTTTAATCAAGTAGCTTCTGAAAGCGAATTTGGTCCAATTTTGTACGGTTGTTACGTTTAAATATCACAATCATTTCTATTAAAAACAGTAAAATATCACTATCTCTGTGATGTACCTAAACAAAAACACTTTGCGGAGGCCATTTTCCGGCCATCAAAAAATTTATTGGGAACTTGACCGACCACTATTGACCAGTTTGTCCTCACCTTGCAGAATTCAGGGAATTCCAATTCCCTCGATCTCTGGCTTACTCTTTAAATATATATTTGTCTCTCCTATAGGTGTACTATTACTCCCGTTTCTCGAAAACCAACAGCATGAGTCCAAGGCTGGGAATTTCCCCCCAATCATTAACATTTAATATACCCTGGAATAATAACCACCAGACTGAGTTCAGACATAATAAGCAAAAGCATACTGAATCAAACTTTCCAAGTTTCCACTAATCGTATCCTAATGACCAATTAAGTATGGTTTGAAGTGTCTAATTCAAAACCTATGAAATAGCACAGTAGAATTTGCATAGCTAATAGTAGAATGAAGCAATCGATCTATTTATTGGCCAAACAAAGGCACTGTCCCTCCTTTAGCTGGCTACTATACCTACTAAAGGGCAGAGGGTAGGAGCAGGTTCCAAGTATGTCTACTATTTGAGTTGGGTTGATGAGTAATATAGTAGGGAGTGTTCGTAACATGCACGTATGGGGTTTAGGGAAAAAAGAAAGAAATGAAAAGTGGAAGGAGAGCATGCCCTAGGTTGAGGAGAATGGTGTGTGAACTAATTGAGTATGTATGTCTTTGGACACCAACTTTTTACAACACAATTGTATATATGGTGTGTGTGCATAATATAATGTATGGGTTTTTGGAGTAGTATAAAAAAGGGAAAAAGTAGTGAAAATTTTTGGCAGATTTTGGAAAGGGATTAGGAGGCAAAGGAATATATATGAAGAAATATGGTAGTGTTGGGATGGTGGATGGGTGGGTGTTTTGATGAATGATGATGCACGCCGGCAGCTTTTCTCATGTCTCTTTCTTCCCTTTCCTAAAAATTAAAAAAGAAAAAAAAAAACCCCCATTTGTCACGCCACGCCTGCTCCACTTAAACAAAAGGAAAGGTAAAATTGAAATTCTGCATCCCTTAGAAATCAAATGGTTGGAGTAAGAGAAGAGCAAAGACTCCCATGAAAAAGCTAATCCACTAAGCCATTTTTTATGATGATTTTTCTATCCTCTTTCAGACAAATATTCCACGTCTTAACACACTAAACTAAACTATCATTCCTTAAGTTTAATACTACTACTCTATCGTCTATATACTACCTAGTCCACGCCAAAACTCTCCCATGTTTTATTATCAGTCAATCCATCATCCTTAACCATTTGTTTATTAAAATTTGAAAAGGCCAGAATGAAAACGATTCACTAACGTTAAGCTAGTACAGGATATCCCTCTCTTTAGTCCATACTATTCTTATAATCCATCCAATCCCAAAAGAAAAAGAAACCATTTTTATTTTTACTCAGATTCTTCTCTCTTTCTGTCTTTTAATTCTTTCTTTCTCCTCCAAACCCCACCCGGCCCTTTTGTTGCCTTGTCCCTCCTCCTCCTCTTTTCCTATTATACTAACATTGTATGTGCTTTGGCTAAAATCCAACTTGAAGATCCTCCCTTTTTTCCATTTTTCTTGCTTCCTTACTCCATTAATATACGAAACAACTCCAATATATATATTTTCATATTTTTTCTACCCCTACCCACAAAGGAATCACATCAGAATCCAAGTTAAAGGAGGGAGGAGGATTTTAAAGGGGGGGTTTTTTCATATATGTGGGCTCTCATAACTGATTAAATGGATACTTTGTTTAGACTCGTCAGTCTCCAACAACACCACCAACACCAACAACAATCGGATCAGTCCTACAACTCCAGCAGAACTTCAAGCAGCTCCAGATCTTCCAGACACAATTACCAAAGCAGCTCTGACCTCAATTACCACCATCATCATCACCATCATCATCCTGCAAGCCAAGAAGACGAAGAATGCTTCAACTTTTTCATGGATGAAGAAGACTTCTCTTCTTCTTCTTCCAGGCCACACTATACTAATAACCCTTCTCCTTATCATCAACAACAACAATCTCATTTTCATCATCATCAGCAGACCAACACATCAAACACTCCTACTCCCACCCATACTCCTCCTCCGCCACCTCATCATCACTCCATCGGCGGCGGCTATGAATCCGTGGATTTCAACTACTCGCCGGCACGTGACATAAGCCAGGAATTCGCGCCGTCGTTTTCGGGGAAATGGGCTTCGGATATTCTCCTGGAAGCCGCCAGAGCCATCTCGGATAAGAACAGCTCTCGGGTCCAACAGCTTATGTGGATGCTCAACGAACTCAGCTCCCCATACGGCGATATCGATCAAAAGCTGGCTTCTTATTTCCTACAGGGTTTATTCAGCCGGATGACCGATTCCGGGGAACGATGCTACCGGAGTTTAGTCTCCGCCTCGGAGAAAACGTGCTCGTTCGAGTCAACGAGAAAAATGCTGCTCAAATTCCAGGAAGTCAGCCCTTGGACCACCTTCGGTCACGTTGCTTGTAACGGGGCTATAATGGAAGCCGTGGAAGGAGAATCCAAGATTCACATTATTGACATCAGCAACACGTTTTGCACCCAATGGCCGACTTTGTTGGAAGCCTTAGCCACCCGGATGGACGAAACCCCTCATCTCCGCCTCACCACGGTGGTCGTCAGCAAACCGGGTTCCGACGAGGGGCTCGCGGCGGTTCAGCGGGTGATGAAAGAGATCGGGACCCGGATGGAGAAATTCGCCCGGCTTATGGGTGTCCCGTTTAAATTCAACGTTGTACATCACTCGGGGGACTTGTCGGAATTGAATTTGGGGGAATTGGAGATTAAGGAGGAGGAGGCACTCGCGATTAACTGCGTGGGCGCACTGCATTCGGTTTCTACTTTGGGTAACCGTAGGGAGTTTCTGGTTTCTAATTTTAGAAGGTTGCAGCCTAGGATCGTGACCGTTGTGGAGGAGGAAGCGGATCTCGATGCCGTCGGGATCGACGGCTTTGATTTCGTCAGGAGTTTCCAGGAATGCTTGAGGTGGTTTAGGGTTTATTTCGAGTCGTTGGATGATAGTTTCCCCAAGACGAGTAACGAGCGATTGATGTTGGAACGCCAGGCCGGTCATGCCATCGTTGACCTCGTCGCCTGCCCCCCCGGGTCGTCGATCGAGCGGCGCGAGACCGCCACGCGCTGGTCGCACCGGCTGCATGCCGCCGGATTCGGACCCGTTCCGTTCAGCGACGAGGTGTGTGACGATGTACGCGCGCTTTTGAGGCGGTATAAAGAAGGTTGGTCAATGGCACAGTGCCCGGACAACTCCGCCGGAATTTTCTTGTCGTGGAAGGATCAGCCGGTGGTTTGGGCTAGTGCATGGCGGGCGTGATCGATAATTATGTTTTTTTTTCTTTCTTGCTTGCTTTAACAAAAAAGAAAAAAAGAAAAGGAAAAAAAAGAAAAATTGGCGGGTGCATGAGTTGCACGTGCATATCATCATGAAATAGACTCTCATGAATTTGTTTGTTTTGGTACAGCGAAAAAAAGAAAAGAGAGAAGGCACCAAAGGCTCTAGCTGTTTTTGTTTATGGATATGGAGCGGAAGGAAGTAACTAATTAACTTCATCGTGTTAATTAGGAGAATTTGTGGATTTTTTTAATGGGTCCTTTTTGGTTGTTTCTGAAGAATTCTCATTGGTATTTAATTAATTTTGATTGTTTTAAAGGTTTATAGTTTAATCATTACATCGGTGAAATGCAAATTAAGTAGTTCGTTGATGGAGGATTAATACTAATCTCCAGAAGTTCTGCAATGGTCACATCACAGATGATGAATCTAACTATCAGTTTCAGGCAGTGCAGCATTGTTAGTGTGTGTAATCCATTGTCTTTATGGGTAACGCAACGTAGTTTTAGGACAGATTGCTCTAACTTTATTGATTGATCCGGCTTCATACATATCATCTCTTGGAATAAATTATTTTCTAGTGTTTGGACTAATACCTAAAAAGAAAAAACAAAAGAAAAGGGATTGTCAATGTCATGAGAATTATTAATAAACACGATGACTTGGTTGTTCATACATGCTTGTCATGACATGTAATCAACCGGTGTGTGGTGATATCATTTGAAAATTAAGGGGCCGAGAATTTCAAAACGTTTTACTCTAGATGTTATGGAGTTGGTATTATTAGGTTCATGATATCATCTCTGAGGTGTATGTATATAGATATAGATGGTATATAAAAGAAATTGTTGGAAAATTTTCAATGTTCAAACTTCAAACCAAGTTTCGTCATGTGTTGGGACCATAGAATCTAAGGACGGCCAATTTGATGATATATGTATATTGCTTGGGAAATTACCAATTCGGTGGCCATACCTTTGTAAATTGTAGTAATACGTACTGATAGTAGTACTGTTTTTTATCTGTCAAATTTTTTTTTTTTCTATGAAACGAAATTGTCCATCGTTTTCAGAAGGGGATCAGGCTGTTTTTTTTGGGCATGAATATGGGGCAAAAATGGCGATGGCCCCCACCACCCACCACCACCATGATCGACCAGCGGCACCACCACCTCCACAATCTGGCAGGCAGTGATGCCACCAAGCACAAGAAGCACAATTCACTTTCATCCTCTTCTCTGTTCTGTGGTGGTGGGTGGTGCTGATGGTGCAGTTGTGTGTGTGTGTGTGTGTGTGTGCACTTTTTGGCCCACGAAATGAAATGAATCGAGGATGGATGGAGTATTAGTAATATTAACATTTTTTAGTAGTGGGAACTCCTTTTTAGGATTTGATATCTTAATCTTTTGATGAGACTTGCCCCCCTCCACGTTATTACATTTTCACACGAACTTTTTAGCTTTTCTTCTTCCTTTGTAAACCTTTCCGCACAAATCATTTCTTTCTTTCTTTCTTTCTTTCAATTGCCTCATTTCTGTTGGGATTTTTATATACTGTGGGAGTTTTAATAAGCCTTTATAAAAAGCTCTACTACTACAATGTAGTATGCTGGTCTGGTCCCATTACTTTCTTTTCATGTTTTTTGGGTAGAAAATCGAAAGATTCAAAAACCCTCTACATTGTTTTATTGTTATTCTCTTCAAGAAGCCTTCTGATTTTTTTCCTTTTTCATTTTTCTTTTGGTAAAGAAAAAGAATGGACCCCTTGTTGTTTGCCCTTTAAAGTTTAACGAATTGATTGGCTCTGTCTGTCTGAAACTACAATTTTGAAACAGTGGACCAGTTGATGACACAAGTTGGCACATTAGTGCAACTGAAGACTTGCTGGTGGAAGTGAACAATGTTGGTTCTCTTTTCTTTTTGCTTCACAGGGAATTTGATTCCCGTTCAAGTCAAGGCAACCCATCTCTCCATCTATGCACTTTTTCTGGTGCCTGGATCCTGGATTGATAGGGAAAGAAAATAATACCACCAATTCACTTGCTCCAATTTTCCACTTGATGAACATCATTCATCCCTAGATTACTTTGCTATAGAGGGTAAAGAAACCACCTATAATTCAATCACTACAAACTGCTAGTGCTGCAGTGCCTCTTCCCTGGCACAAAGGAAGGATCACAAATGTGAAATGTGCATCAATATAGGACATGAGGTCCAATACTAGGTCACATGTGTTGTACCCGTCTTTTACCAGATTGGATCCACTCCTCAGGGCCCAAATCGACCAACACAACATCTGTGTACTTCCTTGTACTGGAAGTGTAGACTGGAGTCAGAACAACAATGAAAACAGAAGGTCATACGCTTCGACAGGTTATCAGGAAGATCAATTAACTACTAGCAATCAAGTTGGAAATCTACCAATTTACATCTATTTATTCTATATAGTGATGTGTGAACTTACAGAGGATATTTTCAAATCTCAGCGAAACAAATACAACACAATAGTGGAAAAAAATTATCAGAAGCCGATATTTAACAGATGGTACAGTACAACACAGCTCAAGAGTTTAGAGAAGCACACCTCCAACTCGTCATTCCTTCCCCCTCCAGCTGAATGGAAGCCTCCATTTTTTGTGCCAATAGATAGAGACTCTGGACCACAAAGGGAACCCAAAACTATACTCAAACGGCTGGTCTACTGGCCCTCCCAGTGTTAAAGGCAACCATACATATCTCGAGTCCCTTAAGTCAGCTGGATTCCATCGATCCGCCAAGAAAATAAATAAACCGGGAATTCCATGCACAGGAAGCACGAACGTGCTCTGAGAAAAGAATGTTGTGTGTCTAAAAATTTTGTCACCACCAATGCAAGGGTTCCCAATGGTCTCCCATGGTCCCATTATCGATTCGGAAGCATGGGCTAAAGCTTCATTTGGAGCCCAACTTGTGCATCCAGATGTAATCATGTAATACATTCCTTGGTGCTTGAAAACAGCCGGAGCTTCACGGTGTTGTCCGACAAGAATCCTCCTCATTGTCTCTGTTACGTCAAGATAATCTTCACTGAGAGGCCCAACGTGAAGCTCGCTGTTATCCTCCGAGGAGTACAAAAGATATGCTATGCCATCATCATCTTTGAAGACAGTCATGTCCCGGCTATCAAATCCATGAGGCCGTTTACTATAAAGATAAGTAAAAGGTCCAGTTGGGAAGTTGCTAACAGCAACACCGACTGATGCCTTTGTATAGTTAGTGTCGTCAATATGCATCCACATTACATATTTACCCGTCTTATCATTATAAATTACTTTTGGCCTCTCCAGAACATTCAATTTGTGAAGATCATGTGTCTCGTCGTTTTCTTCCGCAGCTAGAACAATTCCTTCATTTTTCCATGTCCACAAATCCTTCGATGAGTAGCAACCCACACCAATAACATCAACCTGAGACAAAGAGAGTGCATACATTTGAGCTGAAAAGCTGCAAACATTATTTGAGGCTGCCTGGTTTGGAAAGGAATAGATGCATAACTGTTTAAGGAGATGACTCTCATGTATCAGATATCAAGAAAACTGAGGAACGTTTAACTCCAGTCTAGGAGAAATGGCATTCCTACAAAAAGAGACATGCATAATCTGGTTCAGACTACAACGAAAAGATTAAAGTTCTATTATCCTATGAGTTGATCAGTCAACAGCAACTTTCAGATTCAAAGGATTCTGATTGGAAACATCCATCCATTCATTTGTTTAGCAACATTATGCTCATTTACTTGACCATGTGAAGACATGTAATGAAAACACTTACAAGTCGAAATGCCAAATGAAATTTCCGGAATATGGACATCCTTGGGCACTATTACCAGACCATAAGTGCCCAAGGATGTCCATTGTATCAACGAGACAATAAAAAAATGGTGCCCAGGTTTTCAACAACATGGTTTGCTTTGGCAAATAAAAACAAGTAACACCAGAAAATCCATTGTATCAACGAGATAATAAGTTTTATCAACAGAACCAGCCTATATTTCAGGAAATATTACAATGCACATCTAAGCCTGTAGTTCTTTTTTACCTCGGAACGACATGGAAAGCAGATTAAAATGGCATGACAATAAGTAAGAATGAACTAAAAGATACACTCTTGGTTCCAACCAAGACAGGGTACAAAGCAAACCAGTATCATTTAGATTATGAAGATTCTAGCACCAGGGGAAGGGAAAAAACATTCACTCTTGCATATTGATTAAAATATCCCTCCCATCCTATGATTACGGGTCCCCACTAGCTTAAAAGGAGGATCCCAACTTAAAATATGTTTGCAACCCATCAAGTCTCAAATCAAGAGAAAAATTAATCATCTGCAGGAGAATATATTATGTTTCGCATTGTTGTAAACTTACCCGTGCTGCTGCCCTTTTGTGAGCATGATAAGTGGGGCCATCTTTGAACTCGCCGTACCAGTAGTAAGTTTTTGTCCTATCGTCGTAGAGGATACCACCTCCATGGGCTTGGATGGGATTTCCTGTAGTATCTAACCAAATCCTACCAGGATAATAGAAATGAGTTTCATCTCCATTATCACTCATTGGGTCAATGGCAGTTTTCTGGTCAGGGAAGAAAATGTGCCTAATTTGTGAAGATTCATCAAGAAATTCCTCAATCAAGCTAGTATGTACTTTTCTTGGTTTCCTTTTTGCAGCTCGGGGAGATCGCTTCCTTGGTGGAGGAATTTGTATACTGTCCTCCTCAAACTGTTCAAGCTCGAGAATTTCAGGGTGCCGACCTATGTGCAAATGACTTTCCTGACTGTGGACATCTTGGTCACGAATATAAGAATACAGATGAAGCATAAGCAAGCACCCCACCAAACTCCACAGCAGAACTGATGATGAGCATCGGCTGCCTGCATTGCAACGTAAAGATGTTGGTTTCCGATATTTGTTCTTCATCCTCATTTTGATCTCTTTTAAATCTTCAAGATTACACTGCAGTTAAAAGAATGCAACCTAAGGAGAATTTAAAACTAAGTTAACTGCGCATCAAGTTTTGAGAATTCAGATTTTGACAGTAGCAGACACATAGATGTACAGGAAATTTCAATGAAAAAAAGGACAGTAGTCACTATGAAGATATTGCCAGAACACAAATCAAACACACATGATCCCATGTTTGAATTGAACATACTCTTCTGACGAAGCTAACCTACATCCATGCCAACCATAAATGAAACACCATAAGGTTTAATGTCATGTAAATGCAGATCATGCTTACATAAAAGTCATAGTTCTCACATGGTATCCATTATAACATTTACACAGCTAGCGACAGATGGAATAAAAATAATAAAAAGAAAAGGCAAAACCAAAGAGATACACATCTTCAACAGATGCAAGCCAATCTAGGGACAACATCCTTAGCAAGGAGATTTTCATCATCAAATCCCATTAGAGCTCGATCTCCTAGAGATGGAATTAGTTGCTCTATGATTCATGATAAGGTGAATTGTTAAGACAATAATTACGAACAGATTACAGCAGGCTCAGCAGAACTAGTATGGATTTTAAAATTGCTAGAGTGCGAATAAGGCAATATAGCTTAAAATGGAACCAACCCATACATCATCAATTAGAGGCCAAATGAACTAGCAAAAAAGATAGCAAATGCCAAGGTTTCATCTTCATTGAAGGAACAAAGTACTACCAAAAGATACTCAAGAGAGAGGGCGAGAGAACAACAAAAAAAAAAAGCAAGAACACCGTAATAGTAGGTTGCAGAAAAGTCAAAAGAGGTTCTACCTGAAGATAAGCCCAGGAGATATGATGGAGCGGAAAATCTGGACATGGGTTTGGACTTCTGTGTTCACATGCACCGGAGATATTTACAAATCGGCAAATTGAATAACATTAAGAAATTGATCAGTTTATCACTTTGAGTTCCCCAAGAAGAGTTTTTTAATTTGTCTTTGGGAGAAGTAGCTAGGCTGGTATTATTCTTTTACCAATGAAGAACTCAACTTAGTAGAAGTAGTATATAAGAGGAGCTGAACCCAAAAATAACTTTGGGGCAAAAGAAGAATATGGGGAGAAGTTAAGAGAGGTGGTGGTGGTGGCGGCGGCGGTGGAGGTGGCGTGGGGTGTCGGGATAGCTTGCCTTGTCGTTAGAGTTGGGTGGATCTTAGCCGGTGATGATGACGAGTTACGACAGCCAGGCCAGATGGCTTAATGATGATGACGATATTGACTAAGGTTGCTGGTAATGACAAATGATTACGCACGACCAAAACCATTTTTCATGACCAAACTCACACATATTCTTACATTGCTTTGTCTTAATTATTCAATTATTAATCTTCTTTCCTACTACTACTACTTCCTTTAATTTCATGAGACCTACATACAATTAATTTCCTTTTCATTTTTTGTTTTTTGGCTACAGTTGGTCCTACTCTAACAGCCATCCTCCTGTCTGGAATATTTATTTGTACACTCTGATCTAAGTTCAATTAACAACTTATATTATGGTTTTTGTTTTAAATTACTACACAATTAATAAAATAGGAGTAGTACATTTCTACAACTATTCTAAATTTCTAATCGCTGCTAATTGTACTTTTTTTTTTTAAGAACTTGATACTGATTATTGGTTGGTGGGCGTTGACTAGAATTTGGGAGATATAATGCATGTTACCAAATGATTTTCCAGCATATTTGTTTTGATTAGTTTATAATACATTCACTAATCCACAATGTGCATTATCTTATTATCCTTTAAAGAAAAGAATGCTGATTGATCATCAACCTAAATTAATCTGCCGTGTAAACTACGGAACATTTGTATCCATCTGTCTATAATAACCTCAATATCAGATTGCATTTATTCCGAGTGCCTACAATCTCCAACATGGTTTGATGTCGGAAAACCCTTTTTTGATCTATGTTCTTACTGTGGACCTAAACTGATCTGATCTGATCTATTCTACAATGTACAAATTAAATCTGTTTAGTCTTTTGATATGGCTTACTACACAGGATTCGGGACAATGTGGAATATGGCAAAGGACCTTTGTCTATCTTGGTGAAGTTTTGCAACCCAAAATGATACTAATATCATCATGACGGTTGACAGAGACAGTGAAGATAGCCACAGCATCTTAACTGAACCTTTTAACGGCATGCATTGCCGCTTTACAATGTCCGAAAATGCTTGTTTTACAGCAGAGCAGTTGGTGAGGCTCAGTAGATCAGGAAACACGTTTATCAAGTCCTGAATGGAGTGAACGTAAGCTCCAACCATCTCGTACGAGGATTCTGGAATGAATTTGCCTCCATCTGCGCATTCTTGAGCGGAAGTCGAATTGTCGCAGGTGAATCTTGAAAGAATCTGTTGAAAATTATGACCAAAGTGATTTCATCGTTTTCATCGTGATACATATGAAAAAACAAAACAAAACAAAATTGTTGCAAGTTCAGCAATTTAATCACTTACAATTGACAAATCACCAATTTGGGTGGTATCTTTTGCACAATACTGGGGTGCATATGTATAATTTGGTGCCCCAGAAAAAGGATTACAGATTTCTCGAATTCCAATTATGTTGTCCTTCCCTTCTTCAATTTGAAAAACTGATTTCAATTCTGTGAGTTTTGTATTTAGCTGCAATTCAGAAAGTGAGAAACCCGTTAAGTACAGAGAGTAAATTAATTGATGATGGTGTTTGTAACAGTAGTTAAAAATACCTGAAAAATGAAATCATGAACAGTATGACCAATTTGCGCCAACAATTTGTTAGACTGATCAGGTGATTGACAGGGATGTATGAACCTGAGGCTGCTGTTGGTGGGATTTTGCTCAAAAGTCCCGAAAGCTGCGCACGTATCATGAGCAAAACTGCAAACAAATTGGCAATATTTTGTCAACTAATTTATAGCTGAAGATTGCAGAGTGGGGGAGAAAGACAATAATCAATGCTCACGTTTGGAAGAAATAATCTAAGCCGGTTAGTAGCCAGCTTAAACTTGTCAGAATCCAGCAGCAAAAGATGATCCTGAAATACATGAACAAAGACATTTTCAGGGTGAATTAGGCACTGATCTTAGGTGAGCTCAGGGAGTAAGAATTATACTTATCAAATCTGAAGAACCAAATATCTCCTTACACCATGATTCCAGGATACCAATGCAAGATCAGCAGAACTGAGCCAAATAATAATAATAAAAAAAAAAAAAAAAACCTCATTAGTTCAGAAACATTTGACATTTTGTCGAATCTTCGGAATCGGTAGCCATTTAGTACTGATTGCAGAGGAGTTGCTTACCTAGAGCAGCAACAAGCAATGATAAATTGACAATGACTACGGCAAGTGTTGTGGAGTACCTAGGAGATTGACAAAAGGGCAAAATGAGTACTCCAAATTAAAGCCAAAAAAATGTTGCATGGCAGTGATATTGACGATTGAAGGCTTACAAAACTTCAACTACTTTATCACTTGGATGCTTGGTTTTATCAACAAAATTTTGTATGAGAAGTGACTCTCGTCTCAGCCGATGTGTAGTTACATTCAAAAGATCGGATGTTTGTTGATCATATGGGCCTAAACGAGTTTGCATATCTACCAAGGAATTTATCACTCTACGCATTGCCTGTGAAGCATCATTTGCCGCTCCATATATCGTGTCAATGAGCCTGTTAACTCTCTTGTGACTTCTTTCGTTTGCAGCCAATATGAAACCGCTAGCAACACTTCAAACACAAAGAGAAAACAGATCAGGATACCACAATTAAAGACTCTTTAATTCCCTATATTATATCCATATCTACTTAGTATAATAATGAAATTTAGAAAGAGTGTAGAACTGGACAACAGATTTTGAAAAGGAAAAAGAAAAAAAAATGAGTGGAGAGATTACTCACATGGCAAGTAAAGTAAAGAAAACAACCAGTGAAAACAGGGTGATGTAAACAGAGTCAGGACGATTAACAACTGAAGAAGCTCTACCAATACAGTTCTTTACGATCAAATAGCTCCCGAGTCCAAAACCAAACAACAGCCAAATTCCGGCAATTGCATATCCGTGGACCCCTGTAAATGCAGCTGACTGGAGAAATGAAAACAATATAGAACATCCACCATGGAAAAAATGGCATTATGAATCGCTCTCTGGTCAGTATATATTTACATAATTACATGCAGAGGATACAATTAAATTCAGAAGAGGAAAAGAAAGGAACTCACAGCCCAGTAGTGTCGGTTAGTGACATCATAAGATCCATTATACGGTTTGAAACGGGACAAGGGATCAGGTCTCTTGAACCTCTGTTGATCAACAGGGGAAGCAAGCACTGGAAAATTTTGGGTGAACACGAAAGTTGAAATCAACAGGACAGCAAAGTGAATGTAAAACCCATTTGATCTAGACATTAAATTACACGATGTGATTCCGAATTACAGAAAACAATCAAGAATCAGGAGCATGAAGGGGATACAAAACGGAAAAGCAAACAAGACAGGGGAAAGATACGGGAGGCGGATAAAAATCATTCCTTTGACTTGGTCATTAAGGCAGGAATAGCTTGTCCCTTGTGTTTTGGGAACCTTTGGCTGTGAATAATCTCTTTTGGGATCCTCTCTCCATTGCAAAAAATGTCCAAGTGCTATAAATCTGAGGAACATTGAGAAGATTTCAGTGCCGAAATTTATGGCCTTTTTTTTTTCCCCTTCTTTTCCAAAAGTAGAAGAACGGGCAACTCTTTTTTTCTGGATGTATTAGTTGTTCAGTTCATGTTTTTCTTTTTTATACTTTTTGGTTTCTGCGTGAGTGTGTGAAACACTCTTTCGTCTTCGCACCAAATTCTTCCACCAAGCTTTTTGTAAAGGGATCATTCAAAGTCACCCCTTTCATTAGAAAACCTTTTTCTCTCCCAAATCCCGAAATTTCGATTATTGATGAAGAATACACTTCGTACACGTGAATTGGGATCCCTGCAAAATTCAATCACACTCGTGTTAATTTGAGAGCCATTGCAAAGCCTAAACAATCGCAATGAACATTCTTCCCCCCTCTCCCCTACCAGAAATGCTAAAATAGTCGTCATTTTGATTTGAGCCTTTTTCCAGCTTTGATGGGTTTGCTTGTGTTTGTGTTTCGTTAATCTCGGTAACATCTAGATAAAGAGGAATTGACGTCCACTTTATGATGGAAAATCACTAATATGACGAGTAAATGGAAAATAATTGGATGTGACGTGGGAAGAGTGATATCCACCCTATATTTTTATCGGGTTTTTAGACAAAGGATTGACGTGAATTTTTTAAGTAGAGGTTAATTTGATGTTGCAGGTATCAATTTCATTTTAATTTGAAGCGCATTAACTATCTAGAATCCAAATGTAGTAGACTCCCGAGTTATATGTATCTGATGCGAGTTGCTATAACTTATATGGAAGCATTTGGTACCAATGTTTATAAGCCACGATATGATTGCATCAAACTTTGATGATAAAATTGTTTGTGTCCAATTAATGTCAAAGTGACTATAGTTTCCATTTTACAATTGACTTACAATAAGTGGGAGATGATTTAATGAACTTATGTACCTGTTTTAGGTTTTAAATCTTGTACGTAAACAGTGTAGGATTCTTCCCAGCAATTGAAGCGGCAAAATTAAATAGGATACATAATAAAGCATATATTAATTCAAGGATATGCAGCGAGAATAGTAGGGATATAAACCAAAGAGGTTGTGGTAAATGGTAAGGACTTCTCCACTCTTAACCATAGGTCGAGGGTTCAAACTTCGTTATAGACATAGAGTAACCTTAAATTCTTTGGCCAGCTCTCCTATTCATTGAAGTGCTTATTATGAGCAAAAAGATTAGTCCATGTTGTCGACGGTAGACACCCTGCAATATATAAAAAAAAAATAGTAGGGATACAAATGACCATTAAGGAAAGTCAAAGTCAAAGTCAAACAGAAATGAAACAGTGAGTCTATTCTATGGAAACAAGCATGTAACGATGATACACGTATGCGAAATTATTTTGTAGACCTTTCAATTCACTCCGCACTAGATAGTCACCGGATCAACATATGTATTGATATCTTTGATTATAACTTTATAAAGAGGATATGAAAGCGTCTCAATCATATGTTAAGGGGATAAAATATCTAATGATACCAGTCCACAGTTAAGGAATAACTCATTCATTATGGCTATGTAAATAACCGTTTTACACCAAATCCTACATGAAAATGTTAATAATACTAGGAAATCTGCTAACAAATTCACTACTACATAAAGTATTCTTTTGCATATAGTACTTCAGATGGGGCATTTTGTCGGCCTTCACTCAATTGACACCATTTCAAGTTTGAACAATCTGTACGGAACCCTTTTTCTCCACATCAGATTATCATTGTCAAGCCCCGAAAGTGAAATAGGCCTCCAAGTGAAGCACTGGATCCGAGCAGGAAAGATCACTGATGTTCATTATGATCCCGAATGAGCCCAAACGCCCACCTATGGCTGCCAAAATCTGAGCCTTGATTAAGGGTCCCATCTAGATTTCAAGTAACCAGCCCACAGAATGAAAATTCCGCTGCACCCCGGAGGTTCTGATGTGCTAAAAATACAATTAACACTTGATCTAAAAGTTTTACTCTCATGTCTAAAATTATTGTCCAATTTAAATACTTTGTATACTGTATATTGACATAAATGTCCTCGATGAGAAATAGTAGAAAAAAAAATAAGAAGAAAAAGAAAGCGTAACAAAAATTAATTCCGGAATTTGATTAGGAATAAAATAGAGCTGAACCCTATCGTATCTTTAGCAATTGACAATTTGACATTTTTTGAAATAAAACATGTTAGTACTTAGCCTAAAAAAAAAAAAAAATCCGAAGTAAAGGAAGGAAAGACATGGGGCACACGTGACGAAATACCCGCGACCAGATAGATAATTATGTGCCGTGGTGTCCACAACTGTCAACGTTACACCACCGCCGTCCAATCCTCCACCCAATCACACCTTCCACTCCACCATCACCGTCAACGTTTTTTCCCCCCTTCGTCAATCGCACGCGCCTTGCTCCGCGGCTGTAGAATTTGAAATCTGAGCTGCCACAGCTCAATTGGTCCAGGTAATCAATCACTACAGCGAAACCTTGCTGTACAAGTGGCGGTCTTCTGTCCTTGTTTGCAATTTCGTCTTCGCGTGAGGGTATTTTGGCTAAGGAGAAAAAACTAGTTTAAGAGGAACAAAGGGGAAGGGGAAGAAGAAGAAGAAGAGGAGATCAAAATTGAAAGGAAGACAGGGGGGAGAGATTAAGATTGATTGTCTCTAAGATCTCTCTGTCTGGAAAGTAATACCTTTCGATTGAAAACACCGAGGATTTTGACAGATCTCCCTTTCTCATCCTTCCATACTCTTTTTTTTTGTCGTTTTCGTGTCTTCGCATCTTCCACAGTAATGGGTCTCTGGGAAGCTTTTCTCAATTGGCTCCGCAGGTATATACTCCTTTCTATGTTACGCAATTTGGAATTTCCTGCAACTTTTTTTGCCCTCTGTGCTCGTCTATGTCATGTTCCGTGTTCCCTGTACCTTTTTCTTTCTTTTTTTTTTTTTTGGTTTGTGGGTTCCTCTTGTTCATTCAATTGGCATTGTGTTACTAGCTTTATGTGCCTTGTTTTATTAGAAGATCTATCATGTTTCTCGAATTTTAGGCTTTATTATCCTGTCAATTATGGTTTTTGCTGTTGATTTTGGTTGTTTTGTGCACCTTTTTCCTCTGTATAAGGGTTGAATTGTTTATACACCATGATCAGTTGTCAGCATAACCATATGGATGTTGTGAGATTTCCTTTACTGGGTGAGCAAACGTTTTGGATATAGCTTCATTAATTCATCAAATTGTATAAGTTTAAAGAGTCTGTCTGTCATGATATGTTAGGTTTTCTAAAATGAGAAAGGGAGCATATGCAGATTGAGTTTTGTGCCATGATTTTTGTTTCTTTTTTTCCTTTGGCCCTCTTTTCCACGTTCTTGGCAGTTGACCTATCGGGGTTGGCAATGATCCCTTGCCTTATAGAAGGAATTTTGATGCACTGAGGATAAGATTCAATCTATGGATCTGGGCTGCATTTAATTACCAGGGGTGACTTTCTTTTGCTTAGAAGCTATAGATTGCATGTGCTTTGGATAAACTTAATTTAGCATTAATCATGTTGCATTATGTGACTTTCGGTATCGCTAAAGTAGTGACATTATGGCAGTGATAGTTGCACGACCTTAACCGCTAACTGGCATCAGTGAGATTGTTTGTTTCCTGTCGCAAGTGATGTCGTGTAGCTGTGCTATTCCTGGTTGACAATTCCTTGGAAGTTGGAAGCTTTGTTCGACTCTCAGATTAGTTTGAACTATCTTAGCGCGCCAACTTAAGTTTTGTCCGTTTCAGTGGGACCATTAATGCTCGGTTTTAAGATCAATGGCATTTACACGTGTTTTTTGTCGATTCCTGTTTTAAATGCCAATCAATATTTCTGCATGAAGCTTGTGTTAGTGTTTTGGTATAACATGTTTCAATGCCTGAAAGTTTTTTGGTTGACTATGTATTACCAAACAATCATTATTCTTCTCTTGTTTGATTCATCAATTGAAATTTCCATATTTGTCCCATATCTTTAATCGGAACTTCTTTCGATGAACTTCGGATGCAGAATTATACCGGTTTCAATGGCTTGGCGTATGCTAACACATTTTCTTTTAATGGTGTAGCTTATTTTTTAAGCAGGAAATGGAGCTCTCTCTTATAGGGCTTCAAAATGCTGGGAAGACTTCTCTTGTGAATGTTGTTGCTGTAAGTAGCCAGTTTAGTAGTTGTTACTAACTTCCATTTCTCATTGACTGGATTTCTTTTCTTGATGTAAAATCTTCTTTGTGTTTGTCAATCAGACTGGTGGATACAGCGAAGATATGATCCCTACTGTAAGTTTTTTCATCTAGATCGATATTTTGTAATAACTTGAACTATTTATCATTATGCTTTTTTTAATGTCTCTTTTGCCGTGACTGATAAAATCATGAAACGTGTTGAAAATTCAGGTTGGATTTAATATGCGGAAGGTGACAAAGGGAAATGTCACAATAAAATTGTGGGATCTTGGAGGTCAACCTAGATTCCGGAGTATGTGGGAGCGATACTGCCGTTCAGTGTCCGCCATTGTGTATGCATCTATACATCTCTCCAGTATATTTTGTTTCTTTGTCAAAATGAAGGATGCTACATAGGAAACAATTTAGTAATATCTTTTTGTTTCATTTTTGTCTGGTTCTATTAGTTACTGTGGTTTCTGGACTCGGAATAGTACTGTTACAACCTGCTTGTGTCATCCTCTTATATTGCAGGTATGTTGTTGATGCTGCTGATCCTGAAAATTTCAGCGTCTCTAAGAGTGAACTACACGATCTGCTCAGCAAACCATCACTCAGCGGCATACCATTGCTGGTGTTGGGGAACAAGATCGACAAACCTGAGGCTCTTTCCAAGCCTGCTTTTACCGATCAGATGTGAGTTAATCACGTAACAGCATTGCACAAATACAGCATACTTTTCATATTTTAAAATTTTCCAAAAGAAATTACTCACTTTGATGACCTCTTCCTTTCATGCAGGGATTTAAAATCAATTACTGATCGGGAAGTATGTTGCTTCATGGTCTCATGCAAAAATTCAACAAACATTGACTCGGTCATCGATTGGCTCGTTAAACATTCTAAATCAAAGAGTTAGGACAGGAGTTCTTTTTGAGTTGGGTATGTGATCATTAATTTGTTGTGACTTGTGAGGATAGAGCACCTTGGATTGGTTTTTGTAAGATCTTACTCATTTAAAAAGTTGGCTGTTGACCTTTCACTTCTTCTTTTTCACTTGGATGATGGGTGAAATGTGAGGGTAAATAGTACTGTAAAATTGGATGAGTTTTGGTTTCGTCGTTGAGATTGTTGCTTTCTCTGTTAGAACTTGTGGGCTGGTGCATATGATGGTATCATCAACGGCTTCTTTTGTTCCGGGAACAGTTCTTAATCTGTGATTTAATTAACTTTTATGGCAAAATCTGAAAGAAAAGAAGGCCTGGCACAGGAAGAAAAAGAAAGGAAAGGACAGCTCAATAACCATGTTCACCTTTCGTTTTCATAGATAGTGAAAAAAGATTGGGATTCTTGAATCAAAATTGATCTCATAATTAGTGATCTCTTTGTTGTAAAAAAGATAAAACTGGAGTTTTGCTATTCTTTATGTCATATAAAATTATTGTTACGTTCATTTTGAATACATTTTTTTATAGTCCGATTTTTGTATAGTCCGAAGCAAACCAAACATTGTCATAAAAGCTGTGAACACAAGACCCCAAAACGTGTATTGGGCTTTGAGGCCCATGATATAAGCTCTCGCTGTGGGCTTGAAGGAACGGGTTGGGAAATTTCCGAATCGGATCGGTTCTTCCTTATCAAAATATCAATCCGCTATTCGTCTGTCTATCATCCTTCAAGCAAATGCACACTCCATCAACTGAAATTCAATTCCCCGAAAATGGAAGCCTCCACCGGGCCTCCTCCACTTCCTTCTCCCCCAACTCCACCAAACACTGAACAAATTAAGCAAAAATTACTCCGGCAAGGGGTTGTCCCAACCCCAAAGATCATCCACGCAATCCGCAAAAAAGAACTTCAGAAAATCAACCGCCGGGCGGCCAAACTAGCTGCAAAACAGCCCCTTCCGCCCTTGACGGAATCACAAAAGCAGGCCCTCTCCGAAGAAACCCATTTCCAGGCCATAAAGTCTGAATACAAGAGCTTCACCAATGCGATTAACGGTGGGAAAAAGATGGTGGGTAAACCTTGGGAAAGGTTGGACAGGTTTAAGTTGAGAGAACTTGCTAGTGAGAGCACAGAGTATGATGGAGGGAAGTTGAAGATTGAGCACTTGAGAGAGCTCAGCGATATTATGGAGGGTGAAAGAGGAAAACTTCGGTGGCTTTTAGATGATGATGTTGAAGTGGAGGACGGTTGGCTTCAAAGTGAAACTAGTACTTGGAAACCACCAAAGCAATCTGAAGGTGAAGCAATCCCCATCTTCTTGGACAGGTTAGAAACATTTTTTTAACTCGATTATTTGCCGAGTTCATTCTTTCATGAAGTTAATCCGTTGGTTTTATTTTGCGAAGTTCTAATGTTGCACTCTGTTTTTTTGGGGTATTATGTTCTCAGATTTAGTGAAATAGAGCCAAATGTGAAAAACTGGAAGTTTACGAGGACCATGAAACTTTCAGGATTGCAGTTTACTGAAAGACAAATGCTGAAAATTGTGGAGGGGCTTGGTGGGAGGGGGAAGTGGAGGCATGCATTATCTGTTGTGGAGTGGGTTTATAATTCTAAAGAGCATAATCAATTTAGGAGCAGGTAAAATTTCTTGCTTTGTTGTACTCTGTGTTCCATTGATTATGGTTCTGGGGTCTGCATTCTATCATTTATAATAGTTGTAGAATACTAGAATTCTGGTAGTTTTCCATTTGAAAAGTCAAATCCTTGGCTCACGGAGGAAATTTGCTTGCTTTCTTCTTTTTGAAGGTTTGTGTATACGAAATTAATAGCTATTCTTGGCATGGCAAGGAGGCCTGATGAAGTTCTTCGAGTGTTCAATTACATGCGAGTAAGGACAGTGAGATGCTAAGCTATAAGACGTCAAGTTTTTATCTGATTTATTGTTTGACCAAAGCAAGTGAAAGAAGGAAGTACTTTTTTGTTATGCTTAGAGGGATGCACACATATACCCGGACATGCCTGCCTACCAAAGTGCTGCTGTTGCTCTGGGCCAAGCTGGTCATTTGAAGGAGCTGCTGAAATTAATTGAGTCCATGAAGGAAAAACCTAAAAAGATTAAAAATTTGAGGCGCAAGGATTGGAATCCTGAACTTCAGCCTGATGTTGTTATATTCAATGCTGTAAGGGAGAGTATGAATTACAAATTGTATATACTTCTCATAGTTCTCGCGCGAATCATGTTAGTGTACTAATTTGATGATATGTTTCTTGCAATTTTACCTTTGGGAAGGTTCTAAATGCTTGTGTGGCAACCCGCCAGTGGAAAGGTGTATCTTGGGTCTTTGAACAGTTGAGAAAGAACGGTCTTAGACCTAATGGAGCAACCTATGGCCTCTCAATGGAGGTGAGTTCGAGTTGCTTCTAGGAATTGTATGCTTGGTTAAGTGATTTCCTTTTCTTTTCCTTCAAATCATGCTTCTTTTGAAGCCTTACTCCAGGTATTGTTAAAAGGTAATGCTGGAGTGTGGGAAATATGAACACGTCCATGAATTATTTGGGAAGATGAAGAGAAGTGCTGAAGCTTTGACAGCCCTTACTTATAAAGGTACTTTTGGCCTTAGCTACTCAATCATTCTTATCATAGCTCATTATGTCACGCTGTTGCTTTTTAGTTCTAGTGAAAGCCTTTTGGAAAGAAGGCAAAGTCAATGAAGCCGTTCAGGCAGTCAGAGATATGGAGAAAAGGGGGATTGTTGGAGTAGCCGGTGTTTATTATGAGCTAGCTCGGTGCCTTTGCTTCCATGGGAGGTGCCAAGAAGCTATAATGGAGGTTGAATTTCTGTATAAAGTCTGTCATACTTTAGTCTTGATATCTTGCGCAAAATTTAAATTTAATCCTGTTTAATGCCTTCAGGTTGAGAAGCTAAAGAATATTCGCCGAACTAGACCTTTAGAGGTTACATTCACTGGTATGATCTTGGCCGCTTTGGATGGCGGAGATATTAACGGTTGTTTGGCTCTCTTTGAGCACTGTAAAAGATGCTGTACACCAGACATTGGAATTGTAAATGCTATGTTAAAGGTGTACCGCCGAAATGATATGTTTCTTGAAGCTAAAGAGCTCTTTGAGGTATTTAACAGAGATAAACCCTGTAGTGGGATGTTGCCAAATGATTGGGGGTCGTCTCTTAGTCCTGATATCTACACTTACAGCCTAATGCTTGAGGTATCATCTAGTGCTTTGCAGTGGGAGTTCTTTGAATATGTATACAAGGATATGACCCTCAGTGGATATTCACTTGATAGAACAAAACACGTATCCATGCTAGTGGAAGCATCCAAAGCCGGGAAGGTAAACCACAAATTGCCACTCTTCTATTCAATTATAGGAGGAGCTCAAAGCTTCATGCCAGTCTGGCGGATTTTACTTAGTGATAGTCTTTCCTTGCCTTAAGGTTAAACCTGTTCGGGTTTGATTAGGAAGGACTGAAGCTTTATTAATGCACATCATAATGAAGATGATCTCTGGGGTTGATGATTAGTAATCCAGATCATGTTGTCATTTTTCTTAAGCTTAAAACTGGTTATAGGTCCTTGCTATTTTGCATTTTATAATTTCAATTTGTTTGATGCAGTGGCACTTACTGGAGCATGCATTTGACACAATTTTGGAAGCTGGTGAAATACCTCATCCTTCGTTCTTCACTGAAATGTTGTGTCAAGCTGTGATTCAAAATGACCATGAGGGAGCTATCAGAATTATCAATACAATGGTTCATGCTCCTTCCCAAATTAGTGAGCCAGAGTGGGTTGAGTTGTTTGAACAAAATGACAAGAGAATTAGTAAGGATAATCTGAAGCAATTATTAGATTCTCTAAGTACTCAGCACTTAGTATCAGAGGCCACCGCCTTGAATTTATCTCGAGCATTGCAATCTGTGTGCGGATCTTGCAGTTCAAGGAACTTGCTACCTGCAGAATGCGTCAACGGGTCATCTGAAGCTAATGTAAGTACCAGTATCGATGACACTTCTGCACATTTTACTGGTGCTCGTTCTGTTGAGAGTCTTGAAAGTAGCAGCAATGACACCTCCAATATTGGTCGATCTCATCAAGCAAATGACTCGCCTATTAGTGATGAGGATGAATATGGAATTGGTAATCCACATAAAATGGTTGAGCACTCTGGCCTCGGTTTTGAAATCACTGATATGATTGCTGATACTAACTGGAGGAGCAACTTTGGCGTTATCGAAGATGACGATCTAGAAGAGGAAATTGATGAGCTGAATCTTGAAGTTGCAGAGGATTGGGAGAATGATTCTCTAGGATCCAACACACCATCAGCAGGTGAAATACTTAAGATTTGGCAGAAAATGAGACAAAAAGATGGCAATTTCTTATCCTTCCCACATAACTCCAGATAGGATTAGAATGTACATGAATCAAGAAATGCAATATATTCTAGTATCATTAATGCCATTCTAATGATTTGACAAACTAAGCACAGTGTGCTCATGTATTGGTTTTGACTGTACTGTATTTTTTTGATCTATATAATATACCAATGTTTCTTATTTTTCCAGTGTTTTAATTTTGTAGTTAAACTTTCTTTTTACATGTTGAATTAAATGTTATTCTTGAGGTAAAATTGAAAATTAAACGTGGTTTTTGGCTTCTATGAATGGCCCTAATTGGTAAAATATTGTCAATTGAGAAAATAACACTCTGAGAATATAAAAGGAAATTCCAGATTAGTTATTCCTAAACGCCCCTGAGGCCTGAAGCGCGCGTAAATGACAAAACTACCCTTTTGTCTTCAGAAAACAGAACCCTACTCTTTTAACTCATTTCCAAATGCTGGAGCTTCTCTGAAGAAAACTCCGTCACAGTTCCCGCCGCCGATTCTCCGGGATGTCCTCCGTAGCCTCCAAAATTGCCTCCAAGTCCCTCCTGAAACAAGTATTCCGCCTCTCTCAACGGGCCCTCTCTACTTCTACCGAACCTCGAACCCAGAAGCTCGAACGGATTGCAGACGAGCTTTTGAGCCTCACGAAGATCGAGAAGCATGACTATGCCATCCTCTTCAGGCACAAATTGGGGTTAAACCGATACGGGCCTGCAGTTTCGGGCATTTCGGATCCCTCATCTGGGTCTGCAGCTTCCGGTCCAGGCGCCGGCGCCGCCGACGCTCAGGCAGCCGAGAAGACCATCTTTAATGTAAAACTGGAGAAATTCGACGCCGCTGCGAAAATTAAAGTGATCAAGGAGATTAGAGGGATTACTGATTTGGGGTTGAAAGAGGCCAAAGATTTGGTTGAAAAAGCCCCTAGCGTGGTGAAGAAGGGAGTCACTAAAGATGAGGCTGATGCCATTATCGAAAAGCTTCAGAAGGCCGGAGCTACTGCTGCTTTAGAATGATACAGGGCTTTATTTTCTTTGTATTAATATTCGGTTCAAATCATTTGATACTTTAGGTACCTTTGGCGTTTCGATCTTGAATACTCATTGGTCTTTTTCTCTGTTTTTTCTAGTGAAAATAGATTGTATTGGTTCCAATTAGTTGAGCCATGATATCAATTTTGAAATGACATCAATTTGTTGAGCCGAAAGTTTCATCTTTGGGGGTTCTGCGGTGTTTGCATTTGGTTTGCTAGCTTGTGTCATAATGTTATCTTTTGTAGTGGGAAAAATGGTACCTCTTGGTGGATTTTGTGTCCTAAACTTACCTTAGGAAAATGTGCCCCCTTTTAGATGTATAATATAGTCTGCATTTCATCTTGGGAGATTTGCTTGTGAAGGGGATGAAATGAGGATCCAACATTCCATAATTTTCTGTGATTACATTCCTACTGAAATTCTTGTGTTTCTCCCTTGAGGCGGACTGTGATCCTGCTAATCTTTTCTGTGAAAGGCGTATCACTTTACCATTTCTCATAGAGGTCCTTTGCTGGGGTACATAAGATTAGTATAGTCTTTTTCTTGGTTTTATATGTTGGGCTATCTTGTTGAATGACTCAACCTTTTTGTTTGATCCGATAGCATTTGGGTGAAATCATTTAATCACATTGTGCTTACATAATGTGCCTTGGTTTCCAAGATGTGATGATTGCTTACCTGAGAACCAGATGCTGATACTCAGATATGTAGCAATTATGGCTTGGTTTTAGGTAATGAAGAAGAATGTGTAGTACTGTGTACCAGCTCTCCCAGATGCACATGCGAAGTTTCAACCCATTGTGCATCTGAACCTTTCAATAGAACATCTCTATGCTAAGGAGAGATGTCATCTTCTCCACCATTGCCCTAAGATTGTCGCTGCTATAGGGTTTACGTCTTTTTTTTTTTGGCGTTCATGTTTAAACAGGAGACCAGACTCCATTCTCTGCCTATGTAGTAATAAAAACTTTAGATTGTGTTATTTTTGTTTTATTTTGCTTCAACGGTAAAAATCATGGATATAGTTCTAACCCCGGTTGCTAATTTGCTATTCCCATGGCGCTAAACCCAACAGAGAAAGTACACTGGAAAATAACGCAAAATCAAATAATCCTTCCTAGTGCTTCAACATTTCATATTCTTGATGTCAGGGATCAGGATGGAAACTCAAATAAACCCTCTCCATTTATGAGGTTAGGGAAAAATAAAAAATAAAAAAAAAGGAGTAGAAGAAGAAAACCAATGGACTATAAAACCTTTTTGAATTAGCTAACAGTTTAGGGCATTTGACAGCAGTCAAATTTTCAAACAAATCTCGTCTAGGTGCAAAATTTTTCTTCAATTTAATTCTAACTACAGATGCTTGTGGAGCTCAAGACCTATTCACAAAAGCCAGATTTACACAAATATTCACACGCTTGCAAGAAGGGTGAGGAGGAAGGATGCCACATCTCAGGAGCAGTTCAGTTCCAGTGACCAAAGAGGCAAAAAATCTGCAAAAAGTTTAGGATACATCTATTAGTCCATCTTAACAATCCATCCTCTTACCAGTGGTCAAGGTTTGTGATTCGTCGATAATATGATACACCTATGAGAATTATTTGTAAATTAAATACTAAACAAGTGACATGGAAACGTGATAAAAAATGGGCCCCGAGCTCTTTCACATTTGAAAACTCCCCCACAAAACATTGGCAGAATTCGGTCACCATACAAAGTTAAGATGTTTGGGCCTGGACAAAGCGGAAGGAGCACTGTAGTAACCCTAAAGCAGTATGCAATAGCCTAGAAGTACAAATATTTGTGGGAGGACACCCATTATAGAATGCCAAGCTCATATCCCGTATTCTGGACATAATATATTTGTAAGTAAATCAATTACAGCTCCTCTAGGCAATCCCATGTCAAAAGGAAGTCATGTTAAGTTTCCACTAAGAGAGTGTCATACATCTCTAAGTATAAACCTAATTTTTTAACCCGTAAACTAATCCATTTTATACCCTAGGCCAGATCAGTGATGCTAGAGCAAGAAATACATTGGTACAACAAAAGGTACGATAGGAGATAGCATTTTGAGGTTGATTTTACCAGACACGGACAGCTCTATTAGACTTCAATGCTTTCTGTGCCGCTTCAGCAAAACACCTTGCAGCTTCGGCCTCTGCTTCTGCATCTTCTGCATCCCGTGCAGCCATTTCAGCGTCAGCCATGGCAGCTTCAGCTTCTGCAACTGCTTGGGCAGCTGCAGCAGCAGCCTCTTGTGGAGTCATGTTTCTCATCATCTCTAGCTCAGCATCAATCTGAGCCTTAGTCAAAATTCTGACTCCACCATTCTCCACCTTGGAAGAGTCCTTCTTCAAACCCTCTAAAAGCAAAATGGGAGAATCTCTCCTTAAATCTAATGCAGTTGAACTTGGTGCAATCCTATACTGATGCTTCACCTATCAATGCAAATACTTTTTAGTTATTAGAAGATATTTGTCAAAGGACTAGATAATAATACATCCTTCCAGAAGCATCAGGTACAGACACAATATCCATCCACCAGAGGACTTATTACCTTAATCAATCTTCCTTTATCTGTAAGACCCTTCAAACTTTCTCCAAGTATATCCAAATTCAGAGGTTCCGGGTAATGCTTCTAATAATTAGAGGAAACCATGATCAGGTACAAATTTAACAAGACCTTGAAGAACAAGGAAACAATAAGATAGAAGTGATCCATGGCAAAATTGAGAATGAAATAATGAAAATCCCAAGATGCATAGGAAATGTGGTAAATAGAAAAGATCATCTCGAATAAATTGACATCAGTTTTGCTTTAATTGATGATGAAAACATACTAAAGGAAGCAGTACGAGGCAAGGTGTCCCTAGATCGCTGAGTTATGCAACAGGCGAAAGCTAGAAACTAGAGCGAATTTCAATAAAATTACCTCAATGTACTGAGCAATAGAAGCGCGGCTAGAACCACGCGGTTCCTTCAACTTGGTGATAGCTTCTAGAACAAGATCATCCAACCTGCATTTGTTAAAGGAAGAACAAGCAATGTGGTAAACAGAGATTCCTGATTCGAGAAACAGAAGGTATCAATTTCAGTCCCAGAATGTACTTTTCTACACTCCATAATTCCTGTCTCCCATTTTTCAAAACAGAGATCGCCGGTATTTTCATAACAATCTAGTCCCCCAAGGATTGATTTCAATACCACATCCACAACAGCACTTAGTAGTCAAAATATAACAGCCAACATAATCAAGTGACTTAATTTGGCAGATTGTCAAGTCAACAACTGAAACAACTCTCAGAAACAAGAAAATACAAGGTCGTCGACTACAGAAGGCAGTTCACTTTCACGCTAAAGAACATAATATGACTAGGCACACAGAAAAGAGTAAAAGTATGGGTCATTGATGAAAGATGTTCGACTCTGGAAATGAGGAAAAACGCACAACTACAATGGCACAATGAGACAGAAAACCAGAGCCAAAGTTACATGCAGACATGTTGTACAATTGTTAACTGGAAACCTTGAGGTTATGGGAACTCAAGTAGGCACATTGGAAACAGGAATATTTCCTCTCGCCAAAAACTTTAGCATAAAATATGAAATAAGCTAATAGAGGTAGCAGAAAACCTTGGAAAGTATTCTATGGAACTGGGTTTGACATCAATAACTGGATTTGGAACTTCTTCATTGCTGATTACTGCAATAGGTTTGACATCAGTAACTTCTGAAACCTGGGGAGTCACTGTAGTAACGACCAAAGAGTTGTTCTCAGGTATGGGATTCTTTGCATTTTTCACTGCAACTTTACCCCTCTGCCGAGAACCGAATCCATTCAGCATCACGTTTATATTTCTCCATTTATCCTGTCCAACCAAAACCGACACATCAGAACCTTCTATCGATGAAAAACAAGAATCACCGCAAACATAAGATTAGGAATATAGCTTCGAAACCTTTTGCTATGCCCACTATTAATCAAAAAGCAACAATGAATCCAGGAAAAGGCTCAAGACGTTGTACACTTGTACCTTAAGATCAACGTTTGAACGTGCTTGCAAGATGTTGCTGAACTCAGGATCTTTGAGTATAGTACTCCATTTACCAAGCCCATACTTGGCAATGCCAGCTTTAAGGGCAGCTTCCTCTTCCGGAGTCCACTTCTGCTTAGGGGCACCCATACAAGGCGTCGTAAGACCTCAGAGCAATTAGCGCAGAAATTCACTGTAAATACAGAGAGGAGGATCGTTATTAACCAGTCACTACCCCAAGGTTTTATTCTACCATGAGGGGCCGGGGCCACAAAGTCATACGGGAAGCCCTTTAAAACAAAATCTTCCTTGTAATATAATTCCATTTGTAAACAAAGATGCACAGTGATAGTCAACAAGAGACAAATAAACATCCTAACAGTTCTTATATTCAAATTTTCTAGCCAAGTGAAGCAGGGAACAAACAGAAATGTAAAAGAATAGGTCTGTAGGGAAATGTTTGGAAAACTAGACACTTCACTACAGAGAGATTATCCATCTCAATACTTCCTAAATCATCAAACAGTCAGCCGCGCTACATAGTTAGAGGTTTAGACTTGAAGCACAAAAATGTGTGAAGGCAGGCAAACATTTTGAAAAAGCTTGGTCAGGCCACCCAAATTTCTGCGACTTGGTTCATAGAGGCAATTAAAGCAGAGCTTCCAAAAGTCAATCGCCAGCATATCCCAATTCATTCAATCCCTAAACCATTCAATTGCCAATCCAAGAACCTGGTGATTTGTATTAACCAACATGTTAAAATCAGTGATAGTACCTAGAATCTTCCAAGAGATCATGGAGACAAATACCCCAATACAGTGTCAGTTTCTCATTACTCATTATTGGAAATAACCCCACAATTGTGTAGCGCATTTACTATTTCCCCATCTCTCACAAAAAGTATAAGTACAGACTAAAAAGCCGAACGACCAAGCTAATTCCCAGTGTCATCCACAGTTCCAAAACAGGAAGCAAAAAATAAAATAAAAATTCAAAAATTGTTCTATATAGAACTAGCCAATAGACAATGATATTTATGATAACTAATTATGTTTCAAAACTGTTGGCTAATCATATATGTCAAACAATATCAGATAACTTAGACCCCTTTCGAGTCAGTGAAACTGCAAAGAGGGACACTGCCAGGGATTAAAACTTTACATAAACACAGTTCTACCGCCAATCTCCGCACAGAAGAAAAGGTACATACAAACTCATATTGCAATTCATGATGCATGCATGATAATCAAATCATGTATCAAGAAAAATCCAACATACACACAAAGGAGGAAGGGAAAAAAAATAAAAAAATAAAAAATAAAAGGAAAAAAAAATAGTCGATAGAATTCAAGCGATAATCCACTGACGAATAAAATATATATTCCGGTTGGTTTCAGTTCACCTGAAACGGGAACGGCAGCCAAGTAATGTCAGAAAGGTTAATCAAAGCTGAGGAATTTGGTCCATATTCGAATTAGTCCAATTCATCTGCCGTTGACGGACGTTACTGGCCGGACAATGAGGCAAACCTCTCTGTATTCTTTTGGTAGTATACTCTGTAGTTATGCAGTACTTCCCCAACTCCTCCTCTCCGGTGCGGCTATGTCCTTCGTGTTCTTCTCTTCTTTTTATTGTTCCTAATGGGCCCTAAAAATTGCAAATTTCACTTTGTTTGGGGGTAAAATCGTAATAGCAACGGTCTACTTGGACGGGCTTATTTATAAACTCTAGAAATTGGAAAGCCCAATGGGCCCAATTCTAAAACTCCCCGTTTATTATAACATCAGTCCTTCCGCTGATAAAACATCTTTTTCCGATCCATCGTCAGCCAGTTTCCTCCGTTTCTACACCGAGATACATACAGCTGAACCGGCCATCGGAAAATGGCGACCTCTCTTCACCGTATCGCCAGCCGCGCTCGGCACGCTCGTCGAATGTTCTCTACAGACGCCTTGGTGGAGACTAAACCGGGAGAGATCGGAATGGTTTCCGGTATCCCTGAGGAACATCTCCGCAGAAAGGTACAATTCCCGTTCTTCTTTCTCACATTTTGAAGTATTTTCAGCTCAATTCAGATGAAATATCTTGATTTGTGCCCAATCCTTAGCCGAAATAACTGTCCATATGCTTTCACTGGTTGTTTGAGTTTGGGAATTTTCATTCCTTATTTAATTTTTTAAAATCGATAATCTCGCGATGCTTTTTTAAAATTTGTATTCTCTTCAATGAGTTAGACGCAGGTAGTAGTGTGAAGTTTTGGTTTTCCTTGTGGCAATTATTGTAATTCGTTCGAAGTACTTTGTACACTGTAAATTTAGCTCATCTTCTTTGCTACATATCTGATGTTAGGTTATTATTTATTCACCTGCTCGAACAGCATCTCAACAAGGTTCAGGAAAAGTTGGTAGATGGAAGATTAACTTCGTGTCTACTCAGAAGTAGGTTCAGTTCTTTTGCATTTAGTTTCCACTTCTGTTGATTTACACTGGGGTGATTTTGGCTTATGTTGATACCTTGCACAAATAGTTCTCTAGTATTTTGATTGATCAACTATTATCTTATTCATCACTGTATCATTTTGTAGATGGGAAAATCCATTGATGGGTTGGACCTCCACCGGGGATCCATATTCCCATGTGGGAGATTCTGCACTCACTTTTGACAGTGCAGATGCTGCAAAAGAGTTCGCTGAAAGACATGGTTGGGATTACACGGTATGATGACTGTGGCTGCTGAATTTAGTGTCTTCACTCCTTGCTTCATATTTCGCGTTAATTTCTTATATATTGGGTAAAATTTGGAACGTAATTGATTCCATGGCCGAGGTGATGATATGATTCAGCTTAGATGTTTGGGTGCTGCTGTGTTATCCCTTTTGGTGCGCGGGCTCGAGTAGAACTCACAATTTTTGACAAGTTTAGTGTCCCAATAGTTACAAACGACTTTGTCATTTGACCTATAGCTTATCAAAACAAAGAAAAAAAATTTCCTGTCACCAAAAGTCTAGTGTTTGTAAGCTACAGAATTTCTTTGATCACTAGGAACAGAGATCATGCAAAATGTCTACCTTGATGTTGTTCTTGTTATGACAGCTTTTTCCTCTGCTTCATTACGAGTGAAAATTCTGATGGACTTTCGATAACTTATTTTTCGCAGGTTAAGAAGCGTCAGACACCATTGCTTAAGGTCAGTAACTTTCTGCTACTCACTTGGATATTGTTTCTGTTTTGTGGAGTTGGTGTTAGTTAGGCATTTGCATTAATTTGCGATTTAGTAGTTTTCGATCGCAAAAGTTGAACTTCTATTAATTTCTGTGTACATCTGTGTTGGTTAGTTATGCAAACGTGTGAAAAATGTCGGTGGCCACATACTCTTTCAGTACACACCTGCTTAGGTCTGTGGATTATCATATATATCTAGTTCCTGGAATATTGTTTGTGGTGTTGTATAAGTATGTGTCACTCCATAATTTCAAATCCTTTTTGCTAATTGAAGTGATTAAGTGTCAATTGAGCATTTCTCGTGCAAGTTTTGACCTTGTAATGGCCGGTGCACCCAGTGCCCAGTTAAGCATGGAGCAGCAATCATCTTGAACCTTGATCTATGTATGCATTCTGCTTATGCTGCTTCAGTTTCTAACCATCCCATGATCTTCTGCATCTTGTAGGCCAAGTCATATGCTGACAACTTCAAGTGGAAGGGCCCTGCAACCGCTTAAGAGTTCATTCGTCATTTCTACATCCTTCTGATTTGGATTTTCTAGGGAGGATAAGATGCTACATGCTCGTTTCATTTCTGGAGCATACTTTGTATAACTGCATTGATGCGCTTTTAAGGCAGATTGCAAAGGCTATTGAGCTTTATGAATATAATAAATCGATCAACAATGCTAGTTTCTGTTAGCCTTTTTTTAAAAAGAAAATTTATTATCTGATTCTTTCTTTAACTGATGATGGTACTTCCAAGATTCAGAGCTTTGTGGAGCGATCAAGTTTCTGCTAACTTTATAAAATAAGTTCTGTTACAGCATACAGTTGTTTTGCTACTATTCTGAATGCTACACGAAGTGGGATCATGTCCTCTGGGTTTACAAGACTATATTTGCGTTGTGGGATTCATGAAGTTGCAATAACTATACTTGTTATCTCCCGTGTTAATCACACAGCATGAGTAATACCGAAACTGGTCAGTAATCGGCTACGACAATTTCTAAAGATATGATCAACTTGAAACTCGGCAGGTTTCATATTCAAATTTAATACACTACATAATTTGATCCTGGACTATATAAAGTAGCATTTCATAGTCGCCCACTGGCCAAAAGAAAGGAATCCATCCTGGACAGTAAATTAGCATTTCACAATTGCCCACTTTGCAGTAGAAAGGAATCTCCTGCGTACCCCAAGACTTGCATATCAGATCCCAAAAGACAGCGAATATCACATAAGTAGTTTACTCTATTTAGCTATTCACCATACCACAAAAACTTTTGCATGCGGAGAAGATTTAGACGGGGACACTCTAATACGATGTAAAAGAACTATTCAGTCGGATGCCACTGCGGTCAGGTAGCAGCTTCTTCATATAGTACTTGGAATTACGTAATAAATTGATCTTTTTCTGCCTCTCTTGTGGAAGAAACTTGATGGAGCATTCCGAGAAGCCGCGCCTCACAAACCTATCCACAACATTGAAAGACCATCAATTAAAACCAAAACCTTCAAGGTATCAACACTTCCCCCAGGGAAGAATTGAAGTTAAAATAAAATTATTCATGTCCACACAACACTGCGTTTTTGGCTATGACCCATCTCTGGTGGGGTTCCCAACGTTACCAAAAGCAAAACGGAACAAAAGCACCACAGTTTTTTGCTTGCATGACCCATATTGTAGACTAAGAAAATCAAAGGAAAGTAATAACACATACCAATCTGCAGTGCGAGTTGTTAGTAGGAAAAGAAATTGTAATCCCATAGCAGATGCCTTTTTCTCAATATAATCTGCACACAAATTGTAGCACGATGAATAGGATGGGCAAATACAAACTTCAAACGAACTTGAACTCCATATGTTAAGCAGAACCAACCATCAACAAAACGAATCAAAACCTCTGAAGCTTTTCCATATTCAAATTTATCATGTCAGTTAACCAGGATGTAAGAAATGATCAGATTTAATACCAAGTAATTTGTCACCCTGCCCTTGACCACGGCATTCAGGAGAAACAGCAATCGCGGCAACCTCTCCACACTTATCTTCAAAGAAGGGAAATAAAGCTGCACAGGCAATGATTTGACCTTCTCTTTCCACAACGATGAGTGAATCCAGTGATTCAAGAAGCTAAATGGTAAAAGGAGATGTATCACTTATTGAATTAATCCATTAATGTCAGCACAAAGGGTACCTGAATTCATACCTCCGCTTCAGTTCTCTTGATCAACGTGCCAGATTCTTCCAGAGGTTGTATCAGCTGTTTAATTTTTGAGATATCAGTTTTTGTAGCCATACGCGTTCCTTCATAAAGATCGCTGCAGAGAATTGGTTGCTCATGTTAGTAGTAAATCTCCTTCAACACGCATTTATAGTTGAAGGTTTCACCAAAAAAGCATAAAACTAAGAAACATTGCAAAAAGATGGCAGCTGTGGAGATATTTACCTTGCCACCATAGTACCTACACCGTCTCTCTGAAACAACTCCTTCAGCAAGACTCCACCAATGGTGCCATCTAAAAGATGAACTCTTTGAACTCCCCCCTAATGGATACAAAAGTAAACGGCATTCAGTATCACATAGTAGATTATGAGGAAAGCAATCACGTAAACAGAAGACTAGACTTTATATACTAAATTTTTTTATGTAACGGCTAGATAGTATAGCATGAGTTGTTGAAACTACCCTGCACACAAAAGCTGCTGCAGCTAATTCTGAAAGGTATCCAAATAGTCGGCTGAGCCTCTCTTGGCCTCCAATGGCAAAACCTGGTTCACTACCATGGTCAAAACCAACACCATTCTGAAATGTTGCAGTATATTTATGGCTGAATCCATTTCCATTCACAGAAGGTTCTGTTCCACACTGATCATTAAGCTCCAAATGAGTCAGACCACCCTGACCAACCGCTTTTACATAATTAGCTGCTGTCTCACTTTGTTCAGCACGTTGTCGTATCAGCTTGTCAGCATCTTGAAGAGTTAGGAAGTTTCTAAGACGACCATGCTCATCAAGAATTGGCCCATCTATTATACAGATTAGCTTCTCAGCTCCAAGAGCCAAGGCACAGGCTGTAGCAACTTCATATGTGCTGCAAGTACAGAAGCAAAGGTAAGATAGGCTATGTAGAATCCCATCAATTAACAAAACCAATGATATCAAAGGAACTTGCATTAATTTGATGGAGTCACAGTCATATGTTACTAGGTGGTGGACAATCATCATAGATAACCTTTTTACCTCAAAAAAAAACATCATAATAAAAATAACAAAGTACCTATAAGAGAATACATAGCATACTTGCAATTTAAAACTTCGCCCGAGCTAGAATATGCAAGATTGCTTAAGATTACTATAGAATCCTGGTTGAGCCTTTCTCGGATGCGAGCAACATCTATTTTCTTCACTTCACCGGTAGATACATAATCGATTCCCTCGACAACTCCTCTTCTCTGTCATTCAGGAAAAACCATTACCAAATAGATTGCGAGAGTATCAGGCAAGTGAAACTTGAAAACCTGAGTTTAATGGAAAAAAGCAAAAAAAAGACTGAGAAAATGAGGCTCACCTTGGCAGCAAGAAAATTACCACTAGCAACACTAACACCATCATGCCAACGGCTGTTCTCTCCATGTCGGCGAATGCCACTTAAGGAAGGCCCGGGAGACAGCTTTGCCTCTATCATCATGCGAATTCTCCCAGCTGCGTCCATTGCAGCTTGAAGGGAATCAGAATCAGTGATTCTATAGCGTCCAACATATTTGGGTTCATTTCCTACAATAATCGAAACATAAACTACAATGAATTCTCACCCTTTTATAATCGAATTCAAGAAAATTGAAGGGACTAAAATGAATAATCCAATAATCGAAACATAAACTACAATGAATTCTCACCCTTTTATAATCGAATTCAAGAAAATTGGAGGGACTAAAATAAATAATCCTTAAGATCAGGTAATCGAAACATAAACTACAATGAATTCTCACCTTCTATAATCGAATTCAACAAAATTGGAGGGACTAAAATGAATAATCCTTAACATCAGGTAATAACAAGTTTCAGGAACCTAAACACGGTAAACCACATAACCAACCATCCTGTATTTCAACTTACCTCTTTCAACCAAAAGCTTGTCAATTTGCACATGCGTCCCTGGAACAAGAACAAATTTGATTCCCAGGGTATGAAGTACCGAAATATCCTGCAACAACAGATTGATTCACAATCAAATACCATATGCAGAATAGCAAAGCAAGACAAAAGGCACAAGAGAGTAAACGAGCAAAGAACATGCCCTCAGTGTACGATCCAAATGTGGGCTATCGATAATTTCAGCTGAAATCAAAACAACAAATGTGCTCCCCCTGTGCGCCAGAAAATAAGGACACGTTTCGTGGAAAAAATCAACGAATAAATCGCCCTTCTCAGCATAACTACTGCTGCTTTCTAGCGACAAACCGCTGTCCGGTTCGCCCAGCACGTTTGGTCTAATCAAGTTCCACTCTTTCCTTGGCCTTCTTTCCTCCGAGAAAGATAAATGAACTGACGGGCTCCGATTGAAGGGGTTCCTTTCCACCAACCCGTTTCGAGTTGGTGGGTTCCAATTACTACTGCGGGGAGGGAAAACTTGATTTGGGACGCCAATGCAAGAGTTAGGAGAAGAGACGGCCATTCAAATTCAGAGGCTCGATACTGCAGATGAGTTTCTCAATTTGCTATAGGCTCCCCTATTTTCAGTCAATACCGTATAAATGTTAGCTTCTTCACGGAAGAGGGTGGGAGGGGGGCGGCGGCGTTTTGGCTAGCTGACAAATTTGCAAGAACGAACAAAAGATCTCGGTTGTGGACCCCAGATCCCTCACACGTTTTTTTCTTTAAAAAAAAGTTTTGCTCACTGTTTTTATTTATTTATTTTTTTTTTTTTGGTGCAAATGTTCTAAAGACATCTAGATTATTGCAACCGGATCGAATCTATTAAAGAAGAGGATAGATACTATTATTAAGTGAAGACTTTACTTGCCTCCGCCTCTTGCTCAATCTCGCTAGCAATAGGAATCCAACTTTTAATTTCATGATTAAAAGTAATAACTTCATGATTAAAAATACAACGTATTGGGATCAATTATGTTGAGAATTCATTTATTTTTTTAAATCAACAAAATGTAGGCGTAGGAGTTAGGGGTCAGGAACAGAGTATTAGGCGGCAAATTAGATTACAGAAAAAGACATTTGGATCCGGAATCATGTGGGGGTGGTTCTGATTTACTACTATTAATTTCAATTGAAAATTTACTGCCTTTTGTTGATTATAAAACTGATGAAAGACCAATTGCTCTGTTTCTTTGTTAAAGAATATTCCAACCTAATTATTGTACCATTTACTGATTTTTTAAGCTGGCATGCACTCCTAAAAATCATGAGTTTCACTGGGAAAGAATCTTTTTTCTTTTTCTTTCCGCTTTTTTTGCTATGTCTATTACCTTGATTCTTGGCTAAAATGATTTCTTGAAGTACTACTGGCTATGGATTCTGCGCGAGCAATGACATTTTAAGACAGATTACAAAACAAGTTGATTCAGCAACCAGATTACAAAAACGGAGTAGGTACCTCAAGTATGGAAGGCAAGTAAGAGCTATCAATAATTTCAGCAGACAAAACCACCACGAATGTGCTTCCCCTGTGACCTTGGAAGTAAGCTTGAGCTTCCCTGATGTTCTTCACAAATTTATCTGCAGCATCTGTCAATAGAAAATGATGGGCAGAGTCCTCTGTTGTTGTTGTTGCAGGAGATGCACCACCATGTGTTCCTCTCAAATTTCCCTTTTCAGTTCTTGTCATTCCCAACCTAGAATCCAAACTTTTGCTTCCGTTTTGCCATCTAATTCTGCCTTGGTGTCTCCAAAAACAACCCCTTTTCCCGGATGAAACCTGATCTGTGGCCTTTGTGGACAACTCTGTTATTCTAGTCGAGTTTAGAACGGCCATGGGGAAAAATGTTAGCAGTGCTTATCTGAAGCGGGGTTGGGGCGGTGCCGCGGCCTTTAAGAATGATGATCGATTTGCCGCATAATTGGATCAGGTAGAGTGACAAAGGCAAATGCAGCGAATAGTCGCCGTTTGGGATTGCGTAATTTGAGTAGAAAGAAAGAAATGAATCAACTGAGGATGTGAGTTGTTGACCTGGGGCCGTAGAAAGAAGACTACACAATGAATGAACTGGATACTGACGAGAGGAAATACGTGGTGTTAGTCTGCGAAGAGCAAGTGGGCTGGCTACAGTCTACAAGGGGGACTTCTTGTTGGTGTACTCTTTTGTGTATTTTATAGTGTCACTTTATAAACAACATCCAGAGATATTTTTAATTGGAACACGGTTAACCTCTCTTTATGAACGAAATTGGAAAATATCACCATGCTCAGTCAACAGCACCATAGGTTTCTATACTAATTATTAAAGGAAAAAAAAAAAAAAAACACACAACCGTAGCCGTAGGTTTCTCAAGGCCGAAATAGCCGTCAGCGTTTAACATTATCATCAATCATCAACTCCGATCAGTTTTCACCTTTTCAATTTGATTGTCTGCCCGCTGCCGAAAAATCTCCGATCAATTTTGCTTTTTCAATTTGGTTTATCAATTTATTCGTCTCTGTTGCCGTTGGTTCCCAATTTGACTGCTGGTTCGTCTCTGATCATCAATTCCCAATTCGGAAGACCAGTCTTTGTATCAAATCTCAACCTCGTCCTCAGTCTAATTCTCAGCTGATTAATTAATCAATCATAAATCTCAATCATTATTCAGATCTCAAAAACAAAAATCATTCCGCAAATCTAAATTCGGCAGAAACGAAGATATGTCAAGATTTTATTGTTGATTGTATTGCTTGTTTTTGAGGTTTTAAATTTTTGGTTCCAACAATCAGGAAAATGGACGTGGAGAAATCGTTGTTGCGCATTTGCATACCCGTACGGAGATTTGAAAACCCAACACCCTAGCACCGCCACCGTCAAGAAATCAAAGGAAAGCGAACGACGCTGTAGGCGATCTAAGCGAAAAAAGCAAATATTGATCATGACAAGAATTTTTTTTACTTTTTTGAAACTAGACTATTTTTTTTGGAAGCGATCTACCAGTACGTGTTTTTAAGGAATTCTCTTTGACTTTTTTGAAACTGGACTTTTTTTTTTAAGACAAAATTTTTTTATTAAATTAGGCTATTTTTGTGGAACGAGAGAATATATTAATCATGACACTAATTGGCTTTTACCCTTTTCAAAGGGGGAAATGGTCTTTGTCTCATCATAATCCGTGATGTCAGAATAAGCATAAATAATTGAAAAGCAAGTTATCACTAATCCATCCTAATCAATTAGCAGCAATGATGATAAAATCCCTTCATTGACCTTATACCCCCAAATGGCCAAATTGATCATCCAGCAAATCCTCTCGAATATGTGAACTATGGTTTTTTTTTTGGACTGAGATAGTGGTAATAATAAGATGGAGACATTGAAAGGTAGGGGCGTTCAACTAGCCGATTAACCGGTTAACCGGTAAATCGGTAAATACCGGTTCTTATCAATTTTGAATAAAATTGATTAACCAACCGATTAAGTATTTAATTTTGTAGTTTCGGTTTTCGGTTTAATTACCGATTTTTACCGTTTTAATTGAAATTATTTTTTAGACAAAATATAATTGATGTTTTCTCAAATTTCTTAACTTTGAGTTTCTAATTTGCATAGTTCATATTACATTTTTAGACCCATCAAATAATGAAAATCTTTTTTAAACTCTCAACCAAAAAGCATTTTATTACAAAAAAAAATTCTAGTGAAATAATGTAACAAAATAGAAAAGATTTGATATAGAAATATGAGACGACGATATAATTTGTCAATTATAATTACTATAATCAACCGACAAAGATATAAGTAAAATCGAAAACCGAACCAATTAACCGATAAAAAACCATTTAACTGAGACCTATTAACTGATTGTTCGATTAATCGGCTCGATTTTATGTCGGTTTTCGGTTCGGTTAATGGGTGTTGGTTTTTTGAACACCCCTATTGAAAGATAAGATTGAAATTTGACAAACTTAATTATGTGCTAATTTAATTTAGTTCACTTAATTCCATCATTCAAGGACTAAGAAGTCCAGAGCAAGGTCACCGTCTTTGGATCCGCGGCACCGTAGCCTAGGAGCTGTTTCTCAATTCAAAGTCCACCAATGGAACACAATTCGCTGTGATTTTGATGATAATTTCGGTCCTGCTGCGGTGGTGGCGTCTTGACACACGAGTGGGAAGAATTAGGTGTTTGCGCTGATGATTTAGTGGATGAGATCAGGTAGCGGGTGGTGGTGCCAGCGTGGTCAGAGGAATCATGCGGCGGCGAGAATGCCGGTTGACCAACCCGCGTTTGTTTGAGGGCGGCGGAAAGCGTTTATTTGCCGTGTGTCAAATGACAACTCTAACCCCCCCGAGAGAGACCCTAAAACACGCACGTCACGTGTGAGTCACGAAACTTATTACCGTTCATTTGCCTCAACCGCCACATCATATATTATTTTATTATTATGGTTAGGGAAAAAAATACTGTAATTAAAAAAAAAAGGAAAAGGAAAAGGAAAAGATGAGTTCTTTCTAATCCCAAATCCACATAGAAAAGGAATTACATTAAAATAACTGTACAAGAAACCGCCCACACCCTCTGAATGTGGGAAAGATGGGGAAAACTATAAGTACACACAGGATACGCTTTAGAAGGGTCATCCCAAACAAGGTCGCAAAAAACTTGAGGCGGTGCATAATCCATTGGCTGTTCCCTCCCCACCACGCCTCCATACTTTCAAACTAGTATTAAGATCTCCCCAATTCATATTTTTCCTCCCATCAGATTCTCACAATATTCTAACTACTTCCTTTCCAAGTTTTAATTCGAGCCCATTTTTTTTTCCCTTTTGCCGCCACTGATTGATCGTTTGTAGTTTTGATCTTTGTTTGTGCTTCTATAAACAGTTGTTAACAATCAAAGTTTAATATCGTTTATCGTTTTTATATCTCTTTTATCATCGAGAAATAAGCTTCTGAAGGGAGGCTTCGGGGGAGGAAAAAGCATACAGATCACTCGAATTCGGTAATTCGGTAAGTTTTTTTTTTTTTTTTTTTATTGGCATTCATTGATATTTGTATACTTTTGTTCTGTTTTCTGCTTTCCATCGGATTTTATTATCATGCTTTTTTTTTTTTTTTGGTTCTTTTGGTTAGTGAGCTATGTGTTTCAGATGCAATTGGTGGGTATTGGGTTGCTTTTAAGGAGCATAAATTATTTTAGCCTCTGTGACTTGAGATTGTTTCTCCTATGTTTTCTTTTTTTTACTCATCGGAATTAATGAATTTCTGGTGGTGCGCTTTGTTTCTTTTGATTTGTGAATTATGTTAGGCTTTGATTTGCCTCGATGGTCCTCCTTTTCCTGATGTTATTTGTACTCTCTTGCTTTGCAGATGTATGTGTTTCGAAAATTTATAGCCAGACAGCTGTACATAGTTAGTTAGATTACCAAACTTGTATGTATTAGCAGGTTACTTCATTTCTTAGTTTCAAGTCTTCCAACATGAATTGCTACAACAATCTGCGTGCCGCTCCCTTTTCCTCTGCTCTGGTACATGTTCCAGATGAATACCATAAGAACAACAGGCGGACCGACTCTAATTCAGTCTCGGCCTCCCACAATGTTGATCCAGACCTAGTCTCTGACGGAGAAAGTTCAACATCTACCATCAGCTCTGAACCGGAAATTGACTTGTTTAGTGGTGATTTGATTCGAATTAATAACGGACAAGAGAAGGACCTTCAACTAGTCACCGAAAGATTCCTTTCTTGGTCGGCAGATAAAGGACTGAATGCCGAAGTCAAGGCTGTGCATAAGAATGGATTTTCCAGCTTAACGTCTCAAGCAAAGCTTCGTTCTTTTGTAACTTTTTTGCGAGTTATGGAGAAGAAAAATGAGGGCTGTGCTAATTTGGAGTTTGCTTGGTTTGGTGGCTCTAAGGATGAGATTAATGGCATCTTTGAACATGGTTTTGGTCATACTTCAAAGAATTTGAGTTATGGCCATGGAATTTATCTCTCCCCTCTTGAGTCTCCTACTTCAAGGTAACCATTTGTTTTCGTGTTCCCTAATCTGCTATCAATGTTGCTGAAAATTTTGGTTAATTGATAATTTGTCATTTGAACTCTTGCAGTTTTCAGTCTTGTGTTGTTGATGGGGATGGCCTTAGTCATTTAGTTCTTTGCCGTGTTATATTGGGGAGACCAGAACTTGTTCGTCCTGGCTCTTCACAAGACCGTCCGAGTTCGAAGGAGTTTGATTCAGGAGTCGATAATCTATCATCTCCTGAGAGATATATCGTTTGGGATACTTACAAGAACACACATATTCTGCCACAATATGTGATCAGCTTCAGATGCCCTCCAAATCTAAATGGTGAGCAATCTGGCCTAACTTTAGAGATTATGGTGATTTGAAAATACCTAAGTTGTTAATTGGTGTTCTTCACTCGCAGGATTTCACAAGAATTTGGTTCCCATGAGGAAGCCGAACTCGCCGTGGATGCCAATTCCTTTATTAATTTCTGAATTAGCAAAATTCTTACCTCACAATGCCATCAACTTGCTCCAAAAGCATTATGGAGATTTCCGGGTATGTATCGATTTTACCTATATTCTTCAGGTTGTCTTTTGTGTTCATGAAGATCAGTATATATGATTATCATTTGGAACATCCAGGGAGGGAAGATTACAAGGGAAGAATTAATACGAAAAGTTAGGCTGGCTGCAGGGGATGAGTTGCTATTCAAAGTTATCAAATCTTATCGAGATAAGGTACACTACATGTGATTTGAGTTCAGTTTTTTTGGCTCCCTGATATTGCTGTTTCTGTTTTCTCTGCATGACTACTTGAGAACTAGTCGGTTTACATATTAGTACTTTCATTGGAACTTGGTGAAGTAAGTATGATTTTTTAAAATGTGTGTAATAATCTGTAGCATCTATCAAAATGATAGATTATTGTTTCATTCTTGATCGATTTCTTCAGTTAGTAGTTAGTTGTACGTTTTGAGAGGTTGGTTTTGAGTTCTGCTTGTTATCTGCAAACGAGGTTTCATTTGTTTGCACTTGCCTTTTTGTTTAATAACCAAGCTATATTTTTTAGGAATATAGCAAAATCTTTCGCTTTTCTTTTGGTCTTTTGCATCTTATAACAGTTTTGCTGCTATACTGGACAACCTGATTTCTTGCTTCTGCACGTTTTGTATCACCTTCAGTTGTTTTGATGGCCTTAATACTTGAATACGTCTAGGTTGGTTTTCTGTGCTGAGTTGTTTTATGGAGTTTTAGAGTTTCGGCACTGGTTTCAATGGCAAAATGCAAAATGTTCAGCTTGATTTCTTTTCCTGCGTTGTGCTTCTGTTTGTTTAGCACATCTTGTGTGTTGCCAGTTCTCTTGCCACGAAGTTTGAAAAGTTTTGATCTATCCTTCATCAGTTCATTGAGTTCATCTCATATTGGTGCAGGCTGAAACATTGAAACAAGCATCACAGAGCAATATGAACAAGTGCAAGAGGAGGATCCAAGGGATGATGTGTGTATGCTCGAAGAAGTCTGAGAACCGGCAAGACAAATATACGGCCAGATTGACTTAGGATTAGACACAGTAGACCTTTGTTTTTTTTCTTAAACAGTAGTGATAGATTTGCTTAATACTGCTACATAGTACAGCTGAAAGCTGATCAGACTCTGATGAGTATAGACAAGGGTTCCTAACTTCCTATCCCATTTTTGTTATAGTAACAACCAAATCATGTTTCAGAACCAATTATCATTCTTCTATTAGCTGTCCACAATTATTTTCCTTCAATTGTTTCATCTGATAATTGCAAAAGGGATGCTGCTGTTTAAATATTTTCTAAGAGCAACAAAAGTCGATTTTCTGTTTTGTTTATAACCATAAAATTATTAACTAGTTTACAAAATATAAAATAAAAAATTAGTATTAACTAACTACACGTAGACAGTGTCACCTACAATTACACTAGTGATTAGACACATTCTTGCAGCCTAACTATACAATGCTACTGTGATTCAGCAATGCCTAGTCTTCCCCAGCCTCCCCCCAACCCCGCGGAGGAAAATGCAAAAACCACATATAGTAGTTTTTTGCAGCTAACACGTAACACTATGTTGAAATCTCAAAAACCTTAGAATCAGCGGAACCACCTCCACCGGTCACTGGACTTAGCTTCCATCTTGGGAGCTAACGTCAGTCTATCAGCGTGAGCAACAGCCCATTCCCTGAAATCTGGGGAAGAAACAAGGCTCTCCAGAGCTGCCTTTGTGGAATCTTTGGTGAATTTGTTCCACTCTTCCTTTGAGAACTTTCTCCTTTCAGGAGTCCTATGGTAGATAGAGTAGAATGTTTCAGGAGATGACTGCTGGTTGGGGGACTTCCTGGCATAACCTGAATGAACAAGAACATGAAAATCAGCAAACTTCAAAGAAATCCAGCATTTAACTTCAGTAGTTTAAAAAGAACCCAAAACAAACCTCGTGATTCAGTCGATGGACTTCTACTCAACGGGGTTTCAGCGAAGGATTTAGGACTGCAAGATTCCAGAACTGGCGACGTGTATTCTTCCACAAATTTCCTTCCATCGAGCTTTCTCAATCTGCTGAATTTTCTATAAGATAGGCATGAAGAATTTGGTAATAGGAACCACATTAGACAAAGAAATGTAAAAAATTATAATCAGTCAACACATTCTTGCAGGCCAAGGCCAGTTAAGACATGCTATCAGCTGAACTGGAGACGGTACCCAGAACGGCATCTATTCGCTCAGCTGAAATGTTGAACTTACCGATACAAGTGACGAAGGTACTTAAGATTTCCAAATCTCCGCAACATCAATGAGGTAAAAATTGCAAAAAGCAACGCCTCTACTGCCAGAAGAGGGTCATTGGAGCTCTGAAGAAGAAAAAAGAAATTTCATGAGGACTCCTTCATGGGAAAGAAGGAATGCAATAACAATGGTAAAACCAATCTAATCGTGGTAATATTAAATGAAGAGCTCCACCTGCAGAATCATCACGGAAGCCAGAATTCGAATAGACCATGCTACAAAGTGGGACACCCCAACATCAATACTTCCATCTTCTGCAAGGACAAGTTTGCGAACAACCCAAAAGCCCAACCAAGATCCAGCAATCCCAAGAAAAAGAAAGAGAAAAACTCCCAGCTGCAAAACATAAAACAAGTACAAGTTGCTAAGCCCCTCAAGTATTAAAATGATCAAAAGAAGGATGATGCCACAGACTCATAAACAGGAAATCAGCAATTTGAGCAAACAAAAGCTACTAGGAGAAAGAGGTTGCGGTAGAAGATTAAAAAAGAGATATGCAAGTTTGCAATACTGAAATAAATCATCTGAATTACCAGCACCCCAGTATGAATACTAACGCAATGCTTGCATATTTAAGATCCATAAGTCATCATCAGTTTCAAGAATTAGAAAGTACTATCGAAATTAACCAAAGGAAACTTACATACAGGGTTATACATGTCTTCACTGATGCCGATCTCATTTAGAATTGTCCGCAACAATCTCGGCAAATAACTCAACAGAAAACTCCCCAAACCGACCTAAAGATAAATCAAGAAGGTCAAATATAACATTGCTTGACTGTAATGAGAACAAAGAATTCCAAAAAGTCTGATACCCACGGTAAAAGCGTAGAGAGATAATGCGAGCGAGCTTTTCCGACCGGTTGGTAGTAGTTTCATTCCCTGCAAAAACATACAGGGCCAAAATAGAAAGACTTTGGATTAGTGAAACTTTTAACAAATCATTAATCTGAAATAAAACCAGTACGTACATGCATATACACCATTAAAACAAGACTTCCAAATATACAAGGATTTGATACAAACAAAATAGATAACATAAAGATTCCAAATATCAAAACATTATACCTGGAAAAGGACCATTAGGATCACAAGAAGAACACCCACAGTCATCGCACCACTATAGTAAAACACTAAGGAATTACTAAGGAAGCTGGCCAAAGTCAATAACGCCATTCCCAAAACCAAGAAAATAACACGATAGAAGAAAACTTCTGCAAAAGAGGTTAATTAATGTTAGCCAACGTAAAATATCTGCACCTGAAAGCAACACAGGCAAAACATGTTATGTTAACAAAAAGACAAATCAATCAGATTTCAGCCACAAAAACCTACCTTCTTGAAGAGACACCTCAATAGGTTCTGCATAAGAACTCCCCATCCGAATATCTAAGAACTTGTGATCAAAGGGTGACATTGATTTCATCCACACACCCTTATTAAGGTTCTCCCACTGGCCCTGCGGGCACATCCCGATCCCAATGGTTGAGTTCCTGCAATATCGGTGAGAGATTTCCTTTACAATGCTCAAGACACCTAAAACAGAATGTAAAAACGTATAGACATATGAAAGTAAATGTTAAACCACAAGAAGGAACATTTGCGCCACTGTGTGGAGTTATTCACAGAGATGATATCGCGACATTATAATCTGTCTGAATTCATATTCTTGAAGCTCTGAAAATAACCCATTCTTAATTCAATACTAGTTTCCTTCAACCTTTCCTTTTAATAAAAGTTTCATCATGCAAACTTCTGGTTCGATTCTCAAAGTGCAAAAACAATAAGCAAAAGAGTACACACAGACCTGTGAAAACAAACTTGCACAGGAGGCGGACGAATGCTGGAGCCCACATAAGTAACCTTGACCCTGACCGAGTTGGGAAACTTCTCCAAATGCTTCAGCCTCGGCAAACCCTGGATTCTAAGTCTTTCACAAAGCACTTTGGCTCCAGGTTTCGAACCGGGTGCATTCTGAACTAATATGCTGGGCAACAGTTCCAATGTAGTATTCTGCGATACAACTAACGAAAAAAAAAAAAAGAAACAAAGAGGGCCATTACTTCAAAAACAAAATAGCTGTTTCCCGGATAAATCACAGGGAACCACATTCATCTGTCGGACCTAATGCCGTTAAAACCTAGACCGTAAATATGGCAGCTAAACTTTCAAACGGAAAAGTTTCGAAATCCTAGAGTCAAAAGCGCTTACCCAGGATAAGGTCCTCAGAAGGAGTAATCGAGGATGACGTTCGAACTGAAGTAAGGAGGATGCATAGAATTATGAAAACGACCCGACCCGGTGAAATTACAGCGCCCATGGCAATAGGTGGTGGTCTGCAAGAAGAGAGACGAGTTCGAAAATTTGAAGGAAAGAGGAGGGTAATTTTGTTCTTTCAGCATGTTTATAAAAGGGTTATATTTTTGGGCTAATATGACGGTGGCCCACTGATATGGACTTCAGTCCATTGGGTCTGTTCCTGGACGCCTGATTCCAAATTGGATCTGAATTGAATGTGGTGATGCAAATAATTTGCTACAACTTGGATCTAAATAAAATGAAAACCATTCCTTTTTTAATCTTAATTATTATACTGTTCCATTTAATTTTGTCAAAGTTGTCTGACTTTATAGCAAAGCAAGAATTCTTTTTTTCCCCTTTTGAATTTAGGGAGTGAGATACATGTGAATAAGTTATTCATTTACTGTAAGAAAGGCCTTTGAGCAAAATAAATGTTTTCCTCTTGCAGACCGAGGAAAGGAACAATAGATCAGTTCAAAAATAGATTTGTTAATGCTCCGCTATCTATGCTAACATTTGACTGTAAATACAATCAATACTACCTCAGTTCAAAAATATTTTTTCTTTTTTTTTCTTTTTTTTTGGGTAGGGAAGAAGAGTTGATTCATCAAGTATGTAGCTATTAAAAAGCAATGCTTAAATGACACGACAAATAGCAGTTAATGAGGCCACCTCAAATATTTGTTGAGAAGTAGCAAGTAGCTAGGCAAACTACATACTACTACTTTTATAGACGTACCACTCTCAATCTCTGATCGGTTGATGGATCTTGGTCCCTCCTTCGTCACTCACACATCAACACAAAATTAATGCAAAAGGGTTGATGAATTCGTCACGCAAACACATTCAAAAAATGAGGAAAACTGATCCAGCCAGTAGCCCATCACTGATTACAACCAATTCCATCGGAGTGGATGCCTGAATCAATTCATACTGTTAATTTTGGGGGAAGGTGGATTGGGAATATAGTACTGAAAAATTTGAAAATCGAATCTATGAAACAAAATGTACATCTCTATGAAAAGAGGAGAAAGGAGTCTGGAAATTATGAGGATCGATGGATTGGCTACAGCCAAAAGCGTTCTCCTTTTGTTTTACATGTTTGTCGGAGGTGTCAATGTCCCGTGAAACTAATCATAGTACCCATGCAGTTGCATTATACTTAGCTTTTACAGAACTAGTTGTATACCGTAAGAAGAGACCGATTATCTTTTAATAAAAGTAAGTTTATTATTAAAACTACACTGATATACTCAGGGGAGGTAAGGCAATTAAGGAATTATAATCATCCCATAATACTCTTTATATATTCATATTTATGTGGGGAGAGTTCAAGTTCCAATCTCTGCAATACTCTGCAAAGCCGGTTTCCATTGGCCACCACCACCAACGTGATGATGCCTTCCCACGCCTACTCTGCTGCCACTGCTGCTGCTGCTGCTGCCGGTGATTCCACTCCCCATTCGATTCATCTCGGGCGCTCCCTGAAATGAATTAACCTTAGTTATTTATTCGGAAAGATGGAGTCAAAAGAAGAATTAAGGAACATGTCAATGGCATTAGGCATACCATGTCAATGGTAAACCCTTTTAAATAAATCATGGGTTATGCTTATGTAAATGGCAGAGAAGGTCTAAAACTCTTAAACAAGTTGGTTGAGACTGGGTATACGATCTGCAGAAAAATTAGGTAAATGAACCAACAGAAATATTCCCTGTTATTTCCCATTTGTTTATTATTAAATATATGAATATGAAAAACCCATGTGATGAGTCATCCTATGATTAACAAAAGCACAGACCATTGAATCTCCCTTTAGTTGACTTCACTTTGTTATTATTATTTTTTTTTTCCACCCACTATATATTAATTCAAGTGAAAACAATTCTCCAACGAACTAATACCATATTTAATTCTCAAAAGAGATTCCCTGCTTGTTCCGCTAAGCAACCACCCGCTTACATTACAACTACCGCTATTATTTTATTTTCTTTTGGGGGCAAAAATACAAATTAGCATACCGTACTTCTTTGATGCAACTTTTTCCCTTTCTTTTTTCCAGATGGACTTCTTTTATGGCTTTTTACATACATATTCACGCATTACCCGAATGAGGCAAAAACAACAGCCTATCTTTTGGTACTTGATTCGGTATAGTATCTCGATTAGTTGTTACCCATTACAGCTTTAATAATGGTTTAAGCTAAAACATGACTCCATTATTTTCTTCCTTCCAGCTATATAATGCAAGTCCGTCCAAACTTTGAAATGGATTAGTAACCAAATGATTAATCACTTAATAGTAGTATTAGTTAGTGTAGAGTACAAGATAACGTAATCACATTCTATCAAGTAATTAGACAAGGGAATTTCCATTACCAAACTTATGTTAGTCCTGCAGTAATGAAATTACACTTAAAATACTGAAACCTTGCTTTTAAGGGAACTCTGAACTATGCTCCATAATTGTTAATATATACATCTCATCGAATCAAAACAAAAATGGATGCAACCAAAAAACAAAATGATATTTTCACCTTTCACTTTCTACTTCCAAAGTGTAAGATAATTACAACAAATTGTTAACATCTGATAAAATGTCTTTATGCATAGACATGACAAATGAAAAGGGCAAGCAAGACAACGTATCCTCAACGAACATGCAAAACACAAAGACAGAGACATATATTTAATTTAATGTGGAAATACACACAGAGACAGAAGAAAATTCAATAAGCTAATTGAAGTTCGATAATTTCGAGGATTGGTTCAATAATTTATGTAAATTTACCTTAACAAGTGAACCACCCTGGACCAATTTTGGGTTTGGAGCAGGAGAATTCTTCTTTGAACTGTCCAGAACGAGCCCACCACTCTCCTTCAACAGTCTTCCCAGTTTCACCGACTTCTTTGCAGCAAACTCTTTCAGTACATCTGCAAACCCGCATTTGCCCACAAAAATTTAAACTCAATCAGTATCATAACAATCAATCATTTCCCTTTAAAATTACAAGACGAATTTTCTGTATATGTAAATAACGGATGGAAAAATAAAAAGAAATGATGGGCAGCGGGGCATGCCTTCGAAGCTGACGAGCCTATAAACTTGTCCCATAAGCAAAGTGTCATCAGGCCGGAGAAGTTTCAGCTGCCTCACCGGCTGGCCGTTCTCCGACCGAGCCGTCGGAGAGTTTATGATGAGGGCCACGTAGTGACCCGGGTTTGATGACATCACCTCATTGGCACTCACCGACCAGTAAAATCTCTCCACCTTATTCCCCGGGTGTTGGATTACCACCGTCGCCGCTTCAGCCGCCTGGCAATTGCCCATTCCTCCTAATTAATCAACCCACAAGATATTTTTTTTTCCAAATCGGAGTTTTGTTTTTCGCTGACTGAAACGTCAAGACAAGAAAAAAGGATGGGCCTCCTTCAGAATTTAAAGGGGATAGAGAAATTCCGTGCAATAAAGTGGAGAATTGAGGGATTCGAAGGAAAACAAAAGGCAGAGTAATTTAAAGAGGGATGATCAGTTGTTAAATCAATGAATCAATCAAGGCAATAAATGAAAGAAGAAGACTGTGACGAAGACTGACGAGGGCTCACGTTCACCGACGTACGTAAAGAATCCACACAGAAGGGATGTGACAAAGTGATGGGAGGATGATGTATATAAATTTATAATGAGAGGGACGACGATGAAGAAAAGATCCCCCTGTTTTTTATTTTTTTTCTCTCTGCCTTCTGTAAATGTCCCAAAAACGAAATTCGAGGAACCTAATGTTGGCCTTCTCTTCCCTTTCCCTGTCTCGTTTCTTCGCAAGACCTAACGTAGTAGATTCATGAGTTCCACCAAAACTTATAGCTACAGACCCCAGTTTTTAATTCGTAGGAGCTATGGAGAGAGCCTTCTGAGATTCCCCCAGAAATGGTTCAAAATCTATAGAGAGAGAATTCTTGTTGTCGTACTTACTAGCAGCAGAGAAGCTTAGAGGAAGTTGACTAGTTTGATTAGTTGATTCATTTAAGCCCTTAAGGAACAAATATATAGAGATAGATAGATAGAGAGAGAGAGAGAGAGAGAGAGAGAGAGAGAGCAGTAAATTAGAACTAAGTTAAAAACGCAAAAGGATTTGGTTTGTGCTGACTGCTGAGGGAAGACGTGGAGTGTTAGATGTGCCAAACTACCTGAACAAGTGAGAGAGATTAAAGATTAATGGGATGTGAATTTTTTTTTTGACTTTATTTGCGTTTGCAGTTGGAGGAAAGGAATAGTTGAGCAGTACTAGGCTACTAGTAATGGGTCCAACCAGAGTGATTAATAATAATAGTGAAAAAGAAGGAAAAACTGGTACTCCGTTTTGGTTTTACTTTTTACATGATAAAACATTTCATGTGATTTCAGGAATTGAATTGGAGTATTTACTGTATTGTTTGGTTTGGTTTTGGGTGGAAATGGTACTGCAAAGAATTGAAGAGGGGAAAAAAAAAGTCTATTGCAAATTGCAATGGAGCCACCGTTAGTTACCGGGCCACTTTTGAAACGTTCTTCCTGACCAACACTAATATTTAGCGAAATGTACAATATGACTTTTTGTTTTCTCCGGGGGGTCGATTTTGTAAACAAAATGCCGATACGTCATTTTTGCCCTTTGTTAAGGGTCGTGTTGAAAGCGATTGTAGGTTTTTTTTTAGTTTTGATTTTCAGTTGAAATGGTGTAATCGATGATCGTGGGCATAAAAAATGTGGGAAATTTGACAAAATCACAGAAACATAAAAAAGGGGGGGCGACCAAAGACTCAGAAGCTGCAACAATGAAGTCATTTCTGTAAAACTTGCAAATATGTTATATGTAATGCAGCACGCAGAGCAGCAAATTGACTTCAAAATTTTGATGGTTTAAAGTTTAAACATCAACGTCTGTTTTAGTCTTCTCCAAGTTGGGGGGACTTGGTTTAAAACAAATTGGTGATTTTTTGTTTCACAATTGTTCCGTACAGTAACTGCTTACTGCTTCTGCAAGACTTCGGAAGAATTACATGAAGCATGAGGAATAGCTTCATTTTCAGGATATTACCATTAATGGACAATGTGAAACTCACTCGAAAAAAAAACTAGCTGAATATTTGAAGAGCATAAATCAATACTACTTCAACTAAACCACCATATATCCAAAAAAAAAAAAAAAAAAAAAAATCATACCGCACTTTGAATTATTGCCATGCTTATATATGCTTAATGATTAATTAGTGTGTCTGTTAAACCATGGGATGAGGAAAAAAAATTATTAAATATTTTGGAGTGAGCAAATGCCACTTGGAAAGTGTTGTTTTTGACCCACATGTCAGATTGAAAATTATGGGTGATGCTGACTTTCATCCATATTTCTCCATAACTTTGGATGTGATTGGAAGTGTACGTTTTGGATTCCCTGTCCTTGGATGGGTGCAATTTTGATCAATTTATGAATCAATTTGGGGTGTTATAGTACTGATTTGAGTTCAGAGTTCAATTTTATCTTTGGATATCAAAAAGCGAGAGCTAACTGTTTCTAAGAAAAGTTTTTTGACTGCCAATAATGTAAAATTTAACGGGCTAAAAGTATCTCAAAGTGTCATTTGGCGTGATAAGAAAAAGAGTTATTTGGTGCTTTTGATGTTTTGACAACTAAAGCTGGCTCTATTATATGATTCAGGGTGGACAGTAAAATTGTGATTTAACAGATTGATTTTTAAAATTATTCAACAGATTAGTAAAGAATTGGACATGACGAGTTAAACTATCAATTCGATCAAGTTTCACCAACCACCATCCCGCCACCTACCTCAATTATATAATAATGCCGCCATTCCAAGTGTCTTTTCGGGAAGAATACTCGTGAAAAATCAGAATTACAAGCATGACATTTTCTAAAATATTAAAACCGATGACGGATAGAGATGATGGAGTTGTGTGGATTTGCAGAGGTTTCCTTCCAGTTAATGCTTTTTTCTAGTTGGGTCATCATCCTCCACCCAGTAACCGGTATCGATCACACTGACTATTAGTCGACACACGTGTAATTGGACGGACTCTTTCTTGAAGCTTTTTTTTTTTCCCCCCTTCTGAAACCGCCTTGGTCACCCAACTCTGCCAATCTTCTTTCAAAAAAATAACAATAAAAATAATAACCATGCATCCAGAAAAAAAGTATTTTCTTTTTTTAAAAAAAAAGGAGAAAAAGCGGTGCACACTGCGCATTGAAATGAATAACTTGTGTATAATATCGCGTGACAAAAGGATAAAATGTAGTACCACTTGGATCTAACCTGGACAATCCTGCGTGATAGATGCCCTTTTGCAACCTTTTCTCGATATCATTACATATTGTATGCATAGTAATATAACTTTAAATAAAATTGTTTTCGAGTAAACCAATGTAATTTCTTACACTCTTTGAGTTTTGGCTAGCCGGGGAATTGACCAATCCCAAAACACGTGTAGAATTTAAACCATTTGCGAATGAAGATTAACTGAGATACATAATGATTTAAACCAAATTTTATTTGGCAGTAATCCCATAGGCCATAGGGATAGTGGAAGTCTAACTGATGATAGTCAAATTGGTCAGTCAGTCTGCCGTTTGCTTCTGAGTGCTTTTCACTTTCATCAAGAGTAGACTCTCCTTAGTGGGCCGGTGGTCAATCCCTTCCTTATACAAATCAAAACAGCGATCCTTTTCTCCTTGCCATTTCATTTCTCGCAAATTATATGGGCACCCGGTGCGCTCAACCGGGCTGCACAGGCACGCTCGCGCGAAGCTCATTGCTCCCTTTTTTTCTTTTTCGTTTTTTTTTTCCTTTTTTTCCTTTTTTTCCTGTTTTATTTTAATTTTGTATTTTAGTTTTTTTAATCTTTAAAATATTTTTTTTAGCCATTTCTTACACACGCAATTAATAAATTAGGGTCTAGTGTGTGACGTAATACGGATAACTTATAAATTTTTTAATCCAATTAGGTTAGGGTATCGTAAAAATCCAATTAGGCTGTTACGAGACCCTAGACTAATTGGATTAAAAAAATTTAAAACGAATAAAAAATTAGTTCGTTTAGTGTTTATGGTTAGGAGGGTTTAAATATTTCAATTAAGTTAAGGCCTAGTGATTAACATTTCGAGTTTAGGAGGGTTTAATTGTATTAATTGAGTTAAGGTCTAGTGATTAAGGTTTAAGGTTTATGAGGGTTTAAATATTTCAATTATGTTAGGATCTAGTGTTTGATGTAATATAATTAACTTATAAATTCTTTTAATTTAATCAAGCTAGGGTCCCTAACTTGATTAACTTAAAAAATTAAAACAAATAAAAAAATATAGTGATTTTAGTGTAAGATTTAGGAAGGTTTAATTAATTTTAATTAAATTAGTGTCTAAAATCAATAAAAATAATAAAGTGAAAAAAATTTACAAAAACGAAAAAAAAAAAGGGGGTGAGCGCGCGTCCAAATGCGCGCCCAACGCCCGGTGCGCCATAGAACAACTGGGCGTTTCTGGCAGGCCGTTGAAACTCGAATGGTGGTAATTCAGGCCTTGTTTAGATCAAATCACCTTAAAATAAAAGAATATAAATGAAAATGCTTCTGAATTTCTAATAATGGTTAATATAGACATTTATAGCTAATATTCGATAATTAATACTCCCTCCGTCCCATAATTATTGTCTAGTTTTACTAAAATAAAAGATTTTATTTTTTGTCAAACTTAACTATATTTTACCTTAAACAACCGGATATACCCCTACATATAAGTAATTGTTTAACCACTAAGATTTTATGGATAATGTTTTTTACTAAGGAAAAATGTGTAACTTGATCCATAAAAAGTCAAATTGGACAATAATTTTGGGACAAAATTTTTTGAGCAAAGTGGACAATAATTATAGGACAGATGTAGTACATCAAATCTCTCTACTAACAAAATTAGTTGTTTTCATTGAATATTTATTTTCCTGACATGGAGATAAAATGGTACTCCCTCTGTCCCAAAATTATTTTTCAATTTGAGATTTCACTTTTAGTACAATTTAAACTAGAAATGAAATCCCAAATTGGACAATAATTATGGGAAGGAGGGAGTATTAAAGAAAGAATCAAAACAAGTCATTCTCCTTTCCGATTTGCAGTTTTTCTTTTTTTGGGGGGCATTAATTACGATATCATGTCCTGTGTAGTGTGTATTGATTTGAACCGATGGTGTTTGTTACATAACATAACAAACTTTTCCCAAAACAATAATAATTAGTGAAGAGTAGTGGTAATCTGATTGGACTAGTGGTTAGGTTCATTTTGGGACACTAACAACCATGTTTATATTGTGGTTGGGCTTCAGCCCACTTATGGAAATGAACCTCATATTTATTGATGGTCCAGAACTAGAGCCCGCTGTTACTAAATGTAGCAAATTTTCAGCTTCCCAGAAGAGGCGAAATATTAAAGGTGCATATGAGGCCCATGTTCAAAGAAAATGTAAGGTTTGGTCATTATTGTCTATTACGAATATCCTGTGCTTAACGCAAGGACACTTGACAGTTCCACATTCCATATTTTTCCTCAAAGCCAAAAGTTCTTCACAAAAAAAATTTACATGTTGCATGCTTCTGCTGCTACAGAACGCTCAAAATCTTCCCCCCTTAAAAAATTGATCCCTTATTTTTTGCTCCCTAATTTCAGTATATCAGTATTCCATGACTCTAAACAATCAACTGATAAACACATATCATATCCCTTTTATTTCGATAGTTATCAACACTGAAATAAACATTAAATTGCACCCAATTTCAGCACTGCTAGGCCTTGCATAAAAAATTTTGTTATAGAAAAAAAAAAAAAAAACCGTTTGTCTCTCCCCTTTCATTCGGAGGAACAGGTTCAATGGAATCCCTGATTTCGTGCTACTTCTTCTCTCAAAATCAATACTTACTAATCTTTGGAACCAATCACAATCCCATATTTTAATTTCAAACACACACAGGATCAAATCTTTAACGCAAAGAAAAAGTTCGATTAAGAGGGAAATCCAGTTTTGTTAATTCGGGAGAGAGATTTAAACGAAGACAGATTGCAAATCCAAATCGATGATGGTATTGTTTACTCTACCACTCAGCACAAAATCAAGCCGCCTAGAGGATGATTGGGATGGATAGCAAATTCTATCCCTAATGTCAAATTGAAAAGAGATCCACCTATGAAGCAGATCGAACCAACGTCAACGACCTTCAAAGTAGGTCCAATTGATAACATCAACGATTATATTACCGAAAAGAAAACAGTCAAAAAATCTTTTTAAGGTTAGGTTCTTCCTTTTTGCCCTGTATATGGGTTTTCTCATTTGGTATAAAAATTTGAAGCTTCCTTTTGTATTATAATGAAGTTGGCCATCCATCCATCCATTTCAAGTGGGCTAAGGGCAGCCACAAAGTTTCAATCTTTATGGATTTCGAGATTTTGGATTATGGGTCAATTGGATTTTGATCTGATTATTATCCGATGATCTGATATTGCTGTTAAAATTTTTAATTTAGTTGATCCAGTGTAAATTTTTCTGGGATTAGCTTGAAATTAATGTCCTCTAGTGATGAATAAACTAAACTTTATTATTTTGTGTTCGTTTTAATTTAAATTCAATAATCTGCTGATGTAGATACCTCGGTCGAAAAAATCTTTTTGGGTTATTCCTGATTAACATTATTACCTCTATTTTCTTAAAGTTTTAATGGTCTGGGGGGGATATTTTTGCATTGATCCCTGTCCATTGAATTTATCCTTTTAAGAATTGACATAGCGTTATCGATTTTGCATTTGTTCCCATATTTTGTTCTCATGGTATTATAGGCCGAACTATTTGGAGGGTGACTTTAGAGAAACCATACGTTTTGGGTTTCTCAATTTAGTGTGTAGTAATGGGAAATTAGTCATCATTCATTGGGACTGAGGTTTTTTCGTTGGGTTTGATTGTAGTGATTAACTTAAGGAAACTTTTGTTTAATGCCAGGATCTTTGGGCTGCGCATCGGAAGCGGCATTGTGTTGTTGCATTTTCTCAATTACGGCATTGTCTTCTCAGTGATTGTTGTGTGTTGTGAGTGGTGGAAGTCGTGAAGAATTTTGGTGGGGAATTCAAAACAGTACTGAGATATTCTAATTTGGAAGCTCTGGAGTTTGTCTTTCTCTTACTCCAGTAGTTAATGAATGGGAGTGTTGAGAAAAAACAGAGATTTTGTTCTCCTGATTAACCTTTTCTTGAGGAATTGATAGAACGTTATCAATTTTGCTCTGGGTTATTCCTGATTGACATTATTGCCTCTATTTTCTTGAAGTTTTAATGATGGGGAGATGTTTTTGCATTGATCCCTGTCTATTGAATTGACACTTTTAAGAGTTGATAGAACGTTATCGATTTTGCACTCGTTCGCATATTTTGTTCTCATAGTATTATATTCCGAACTATTTGGAGGGTGGATTTAGAGAAACCATACATTTTGGGTTTCTCAATTTAGTGCGTGTTAATGGGGAATTAGTCATTATTCATTCGAATTGAGGTTTTTTCATTGGGTTTGATTGCAGTGATTTACTTAAGGAAACTTTTGTTGAATGCCAGGATCTTTAGGCTGCGCATCGGAAGCGGCATCGTGTTGTTGCATTTTCTTAATTACGGCATTGTCTTCTCAATGTAATTGTTGTGTGTTATGAGTGGTAGAAGTCGTGAAGAATTTTGGTGGGGAATTCAAAACAGTACTTAGATTTTTCTAATTTGGAAGCTCCGGAGTTTGTCCTCCTCTTACTCTAGTAGTGAATGAACGGGAGTGTTGAGAAAAGACAGAGATGAAGGGTGATGTTGTTTGGTTTACGGTAAAATGAGTGGAGCTTCATTAGGTCTCCGAAACTTGAGTTTTGGACCAATTCCGCATTACACACAAAATGGTGGATTATTTTCTCAAAATGCGTGTGCTCTTCGCAAGACTTCAAGGAGCTTATCTGGTGCAAGAGAGAATGAGAGGTATCTGCAACTCATACTCATATTGTGTACTTTTATCCTCATCTTAAAAAGTAAACATTGAATTTTAGTTTTTCTGTTGGGATCGATAACACTGGTTTTGATGTTTTACTTTCATCATTTTGAATATACATATATTGTTTAGTGGGAAAAAATATTTTAGTGAAAGGTAAACGCTTTTAATGTCTCCACTTAACTTATTTTTACAACATTAGTTTTTGCTTAATATTGTGTTATAAATAATATTCTTCTTTATGCTTTAATTTATAGGTGATACAGATTCCTTATTGTGCAGCTGAGTTGTGTACTTTTTAGTAGCACAAGAAAGATGTTGATTTTCATGTGTATGGTAACGCAAACAAGCGACTCGAAAAGATTATGAAGACTGATCACTTTAAACCTAACAAATCATTTGCCTGTACCTTTGAGAGAGCTGGTCCTAGAGAAGGACCTGTTGAATTTGAGAGAGACACTGAAGAAGTTGATCCGTTTACTATACATGCTTTCTCGAGGGGGGTTAATATTGAATGACGATATGCCATTATTTTCCATAGTGAAATTAATGGGATTTGAATCAATGTAAAGAGGACTATATTACGTATTTTGAACAATTTTGTTGCATTAACTACGTATGAAGTCACTTAATTTTTTTTAATCTATTTTTTATATGTTGTCCTTTCCGGTGTCCATGAATAAAAAGTGTACACTTCAGAGCAGAATAATTTTTTTAATATTCTTATTCTTCGCAATTATATATATTAATATATTAGTATTATTATAGTAAAGTACATGAAGGCCGGCCAGGCATCGCCTGAGCCAAGCATTTAGTACTACATTATAAATGACAATTATTACATTAGTATCTTCGAGCTTCCTCATAACTTAACCCTCCCCGAAAATTTAAGATTATTCTAGCAGTGGTCCTCATAATAATAGACCTGTTTTACTTTAACAAACAATTTAGATAATTTTGAAAATATTGAAGGCCATTTATTAATTATTAGTATTTCACTATCGTTTCTGCGTTATTGATTCATTTAAAAAGACATCTCAGATAAATTTATCAGGAAGATTAAACCATTAAACATATAAATACATAAAATTTTGTGATTGATTACTATCGATTATCCTCCAAGCACTTTATGATACAAGTACACTTTTTTACGCAACTTTCCCCCATCGCATTTTCCTCTTTTCTTTTCTTTTAATTTTTGGGCAGTAGAAGATAAATGTTGACAGGTAGCAGGTAATCAAAATTGGTCAAGTAATCCACGAAGAGTCAACCGAGATTAATAACGACGCCGTAAGAAGGAAGGTAAGTACATTGTTTACGTAAAGGAAGAAGAGGAAAAAACACCCGTAAAAATATCAGCCGGTCAACCTCTTTTTTGAAGTTTGGTTGTACTCTTCCGATCCTGTTTCCTGCCCCTCTTAAATGATCGTGCCAAACCCGCCACCATTTTGAGCCAACAACATTATTTCAGCATCTCCGAATCTCTTTAAAGAATCTCCCCTCCAATTCCCAATTCTGTATTTTTTTTTCTTTTTTTTTTTCGTTCTGAAAAAAACACTCTTGATTTTTACGAACTAATATATAGTAATTATCATCCCATTGGAACCATCGAGCGACCAATTTCATTCTTGAATATACCTCCATCTCGAGAAATCCCTTTCCAAGGTTTCCGGCTGAGATCGGTCTTGCATTTCAGGTGAGTCTTGATTGCTGTCGCTTAGATTAGTGGAAGGGCAACCCACAAAAGTTACCGGCTTGATTAAAGTTTGTTTCTTGGGAATTTCATAATTGAGCCTTTAATTGATGATTTATTTCTTTTTTTTTTGGTAATTTTGAATTGATGGGTTCAGTAGAGAATGGGAAGGGGAGAAAGGAGGTTTTCAGAATCTGGATTTGGTTGCGAATCAAATGAGATTGATGAGGCGGTGTGTTTTTCGCCGAAAGAAGGAAAAGGAAAGAGGTTGTGGAAGAAGGTGAAGTACCAACTGGTAGAATATCACTCTTTGCCTGGCTATTTGAAGGACAATGAGTACATTCTTGGGCATTACAGGTCTGAATGGCCTCTCAAGCACACATTGCTCAGCATTTTCACCATTCACAATGAGACCCTCAACGTTTGGACGTAAGGATTTCTTCTTCTTTTCCTTTTTCTTTTTCTTTTTCTTTTCTTTTTTTTTTTTTTTTTTTTGCAAATCTACTCTATACCATTTGTGGTCCTTAAGTATGTACATCCGCCTGATTTTCCCGTTACCTTCAATCTCAATGTCATTTCTTTTCTAATAGGTGAGTTCTTTGTTTATGTCGTGTTTCCTTGTTCAAGGACATCATGCTTTGTGGATAGGTATTACTGACTTGTGGTTTGAAAGTCAATTGCTTTGTCCTGTGCTTAGAGTGTTAGGGGTTGGCCAGGTAGGAGTGATTAAATTGATTAAAGCCATTCCTCTCCTATTTTCATCTCTTACAGTTTAGTGCTCCTGTGGACCTCATACATGGGTATCTTTGTTGAATTATAAAAGTCCTACAAAAAATTTGTCGGTTGTATTCTAGATATAGACAAGTTTGCCTGCCGGTATCTACTTGATTTATTTGCACTTTTCCTGATATGGCCTGCATAGTAATAGCTTGGAAAACCAATTTTTGTTGTTAGATCATATACTCTGGCTTACACTTGTGTTTGATGCAGGCACTTAATAGGGTTCTTCCTATTCCTTTCCCTCACCATTTATACAGCAGTGAAGATACCTCAGGTTGTGGACTTGAATACTTTACAACATCTTCCTGATGTGTTAAGGAAAGCTGACCTGCACAAATTGCAAGAAGATATTTTGCCTTGTTTGCCTTCCCTGCCACACATGCCTGATGTGAAAAGATTTAGAAATGAATTGAAGACCTCATTGGCTTACATGGACTTTTTGTCATCTCCTTCGAATTGGCATATTGTAGAACTCCTTAGTAACTGTTTACCTGAACGGTTCTCCCATAGCAATCACACTGATGTGTGTGTTCTGGTACTGATTCTTTCCTCAATCACAATGATCAAACCTTGACAATGGTTTGTGTTTCCAATATGTTGCTATCATGTTCTTCTTTCTTTAGTCCGTTTCTTGGTATTTGAGCAAATAGATCAAGTGACAATGGTTTGTGCTCTCTTGGGGTCTTCTATCTCTTCTTAAAAATAAAAATAAAAAAGGGGATTTATATCTATTGTGTAACAAAATTTTCACTGATTTGATCTTTTGACTAACAATTCTTCATGAATTTCTCTCATCCAGCGTAGCGTGAAGGAAGATCTGGCCAACATAATAGCCCCATTACTGGTTAGACCGATAACGCGCTGGCCATTCTTTGCATTCATGGGCGGTGCCATGTTTTGTTTGCTGGCAAGCAGTGCATGCCATTTACTCTCATGCCACTCAGAACGAGTATCATACATCATGCTTAGGCTTGATTACGCTGGAATTGCTGCTTTGATCTCAACTTCCTTTTATCCTCCAGTTTACTATTCATTCATGTGCTATCCTATGTTCTGTAACTTCTACATGGGTTTCATTACTGTTCTCGGAATTGGGACAATAATGGTTTCTCTTCTACCAACATTTCAAACTCCAGAATACCGCAACATCCGAGCAGGGCTCTTCTTTGGCATGGGTGTGTCCGGGGCTGCACCAATATTGCACAAGCTAATCCTCTTTTGGCACCAGCCAGAGGCACTTCACACTACAGGTTACGAGCTTCTAATGGGAGCTTTTTATGGTATTGGAGCGCTCGTCTACGCAGCGAGAGTCCCTGAGAGGTGGATGCCTGGAAAATTTGATATTGCTGGTCACAGCCATCAACTTTTCCATATTCTTGTTGTTGCCGGAGCATATACTCATTACCGAGCAGGGCTTATTTATCTCCGGTGGAGAGATTTACAGGGTTGTTGATTGGTACAGACTATGGACTACAGGATGGGTGGGTGGGTGTCTGTGTCTCAGATGAATCGATGTAGTTATGGTGTAAATAATTGCAGGGACTTGATTATTATGATGTGCTCATTATATAATTGAGCCAATAATTCTACTGTTCAATGCTGATATCGTATGGCAGTCCTCTTTTTGGATGCTAGATCTATTGAATGAAATGGCCGAATGACTATTTCTCCAGATTTGTAGCATTTTCAGAAGCATATACTGTGAAGCATCCTGTATTTTAGAAGCATATTGCACGGTTGCATTTTATGCCTCATACAATTTGGCCTTGCAGTTTATTTGAAACCTATAATCCAAGATATATAACAAAATGATTCTTTCCTATTTCTGGTTTCTTTTTGTAAGGAAATCAGTGGCTCTGCCCTCACCGGAAGGGGCTGAACTATAAACTGTAAGAACAAGTAATTTGAAGTGTCCTTTGTTTCCGCCAGGAAAGTGTTAAACTTTGATTGCTTCAAAGAAACCAGATGTAGTCCCCTCGCTGAATTGTAGGCACTTCGATGGGTAGGATAGTTGGCCAAAATATTTAAAGTTGCTCCATGTTCATGGCGAGGTTCGAATTTTCGACCTATTCGACCTACAATTAAGAATGGAAGAGTCCTTTCTACTCCACCACAACCACTTTAGATAGACCAAATAGACTTTAAATAATGTATTAGAAAACGAAAACTAAGTTCACTGTCCAGCTTGGTTTGAAGTTCTTTGAGGCTAAAATTCACTGTCCAGCTTTGGTCAAGTAAATGCACGCTTTATGAACCACAATCCTGTTGGGGACTAAGAGGTTCGGCCCATTAGCAAAACAGAAAGGGAGGAAAAAAAGGACAAAAGATCTTGTGCTCTCGTTGAGAGTCGAACTCAAGACCTCCCGCTTACTAAACGGGTGCTCTAACCAACTGAGCTACGAGAGCTGGTTGCTATGAGTCTGTGACAATCATATATAACGAATAATATCAGCCTGTTTCGTTATGAGTAACTGCAACTATACCCTATAAAGTCGAATTTCAGCTTGACTAGTCTCCGCGATTTCTTCCCTCAGTAGTTTTTTTTTTTGAACGACTCAAAAGAAAAAGACAAAGGAAAATGATCAACGGGACACGCTTTTCAGAAAATGTAATAATTACCACCACTTTATCGTTTCAATTAGATGCACAGTGGTACATGCATCATTTTTTTGACACCAAAAAAAAAAAAAAATACATGTCTTCAGCTAGCTTTCAGTATATCAATTTCCAGCTATAAAAAGTTGATTCAGAAAGTAATTTGAAGTTGGAGCATGGCGTAATTGACACGAAAAATGGTAGAATTTTGATAATTTTATATAACCTCCATTTGTTAGTACTCCTGATGTCATAGATACAGGACATTGTAAATGTAAATGGATGGCATAATACTCTTGATGGCTTGATTCATTCATCCATCATACTAACCCTTCTTCGTTATCATCATTAACTGGAAAATCAAACGGTGTTGGATACACCAACGAACCATTCCTTGATTCAGGATGCACAAACCCAAACCGACGAAGCACTTGATTATCAGCGAAATTCAGAGCATTCTCCATACCAAGCCAGCACGAATTCCCCCCGTACGACGGATCATGGCGGCCGGAGCACGGCTCACACCCCGTGAAATGAGTGATAAACGGCCGTCTCCACCCACTTCTACCGTCTCCGGCGTCTTTCAAATTCTCCTCCCAAACCTCATCTAGGCTCTCACTCACCACTTCAGCATGTCTCCGCCTTAATTTCTTCACCCTTTTCTCTACCTCAACATACTTCCCCTCAATCCCATGAAGCCTTCCGATTATTTGAACCCAATAACCGTGCAATGAGTACTGATTCTCCAAATAAATCATGTGCCCCCATTTCTTTTTCTCCCTCAACAGTAAATACACTAACGCAGACTGTTCATCTGCTTCAGGGGATTTCTTATCCGAAAGTGTAGAAGTTAGAGTTTCACTCCACAGGTTATAATCAGGGCTACGAGGACTCATGTTTGACCAAGCATCCAAGAAATCCATCGACCACTGGCAATTCCTGATTAGAAAACTACCCGTATTCACAGCAACCCGACTCCTCTTTTCGTAAATCAAATTAGGCCAACCCGGAACCACAAGGTTGTGCTGCTTGTACCTCTGCAAGGGTACCTTAAAACTCATGTCGGTGATGACAACATCGGGATCCATCCACCAGATCCACTCCGCTTCCGGGTGGGCCACCATGGCGGCCCGAATCAGAGCTACTTTAGCCCAAGTATTGCACAATTTGGGGTGAAAACAAGCGGTGCCGTAGAAGATATCATACCCATGGATTCTACCGTAGTCGGCCTTGTTCTTGAAACTCCTCAACTGCAAATGATCGCCAATCGGACTCTTGCAAGGTGAGGGGTGTGACCCGGAGAGGAGGAGGATTCGATGTTCCGACCCGTATGCGAAGGAGGGATGGAGTTTTAGCCATGCTTTCCTCTTTTCGTCCCAGTAATTGACGGGCTTATCCAGAGTGTAGCTGAGCTCTGGGTCGTCATAGAATGTTAATTTCTTAGGGTCCCGGGTTAAATTTAAGGGCTGGGGTGGGAAATCACAGCTGTTGGAGGTGAAATTTGAGAAGATGGTAGAGATTGAAATGTCCGGCCAAGAAAATTTCGCCGTCGACCAAAGAGCATAGAGAGTTAATAAGGCGCCTCCAATGGACATGAAGAAAGAACGGCCATCTACACAGAAAGATGGTTTCTTGGAATGAGCTTTCAATTTGGGCATAACTGATGGACCGGTGGAAGTAAGACAGAGAGAGAAAAGTCTTCAAATTGAAGGGAGTTTGTAATCTAGCTACAGTGTATTTACTAATGCTTTGGCTAAATAAGTAAGATCTTGAAACTTGAAAGGAAACTGAAGAGAGAATCGGGGATAAAGGGCCCTTTTCCAGTCCAACTGACAAATTTCGTTCAGTGAAGTAGTGGGATGTGTACGTGGATGGCCATAATAATGTACGTAGAACATACTTATTGCCCCCCTAGATTTGCAAAATCTCTTAACCGCTTCCTATCGTTTCGTGCATATTATCAATTTTTTACTAATTATAATGACAAATAATACAAATGCTATAGAGTTGTTGCCTGACATTTGAGATGAGTTTTGTACATTAGTCTGATAAGCTATGAAAATTTAGTCTTATAACTTATGGTTTTCTTTTATCATTTTGTTGTGCAGCCAATTAAACAGTTGAAGACCTGTGACCATCAATTTTATAGGAATTTGATGCAATAGAACCTCGTGAGGATCAATTTTATAAGAATTTGATGCAATAGAACCTCGTGTCTTTTACACTTTGTTAAAAGATTCTAGTACAATACTTTAGCATAATCAAAAGAAGCTTTTATGAAATTATTAAGCCGGGTTGTTTGTAACCAAAAAAGCACATGAAATTACTCATTCGCTGGACGTAACTTTGCAGAACATAATGTGATTGGCGTGACTTATCCACGTAATGTTGTAATTTTTAATTTCTAGGCCTCGGCCTCTTTCATTGTTAAAAAAAAAAAAAAGAGCACATCTAATTATTAAGATCAAAAGACAACCATGAATTAGATGAAAGTGTAAGATTAAATTTTATTTATTACTAATAGTTTTACTTTGTTCTACTATTTTAACGAAATTGTTTATTAAGATATTCTGGATTGAGTAACACAGTAGGGTGATTGTCCGTTATGGTGTCTCCTGGCCTGGTTTTTTTTTTTTTTTTTTTGAATTAAACCCACTTTATATAAACCGAAAAATAGAGTTATACAGAACTAACTGCTTAGCTAACTGATGCACTACATCTACCTCAGACCTAGAGACCTTAACAACTTTACAATAATCAAACAGACTCTTTAAATATATATAATATCCCTAACAATATCTCTAACTTCAATAGGCAAACATGATTACCCTACTTCAAGCTCAGCTAACATGCTGCAGTCCGTATAAACCTTGCAGAACTGAACCTTCAAAGCAAAAGCGTCCCGCAAACCGTAAAATAGACCCATGGTTTCTGACTGTGTGGCGGATAAGAAGCAAACCTGATTCCATTAGCAACGAACTTTCTGCCTTGCCAATCTCGAATTTCCCAAGATGCAGCCCCGTGACAAACATTACTCCGAAAAGAGCCATCCACATAAATTTGATGAGTTTCTGTTTCAGGCATAATCTCATTTGACCCACGAATTAATTAGTTCTGATTGTTGATGTAGAGGAGTTGTAGGCCTCAAATTCAAAAACGTGTTATGCGTCTCTTTGGCTCTTTCCCACGTCACAGTTGGGGATTCTTTGACATTATCCCAAATAGCTTTGTTTCTGGCAAACCATATACTCCCCAAGATTTGAAAAGACAGTTCAACAAGGACAAAATCTGGAACCTCAAGGAGCCAATCGTTTAACCATTCTGCAAAGCCTTTATGAAGTCTTCCATCAGAATTGAAGCCAAGTGGAGATAAAACCATACTCTACGGGACATTTCACAATCCAAAAACACATGCTCTGTCGTCTCCACTCCCTCCCCACATCTGCTAAAAAAAGCAGGCGCCATTACACCCCTTTTTAAAAGGTTATTTGCCGAGGGGAGAGCATTGACAATGGATCTCCAGAGTAGCCATTGAAGTTTAGCTGGAATCTGTATTTTCCAACCCTCCAACCAATCTTGAAGATGACGCAGCTTGGGTGGTTGCTTGCTCGATTTGCCTGTCATGTATCAGTGTGTAATAACCACTCTTGACAGTACAGATGCCAGTTCTTGTAGGCTCCCAAAATAATTGATCCTCAACAGGACTTAGCTGAGAAGGTCTATAAATAGAGATAATACGATTAAGAACTGAGGGAGGAAATAACTCCTGAAGCAGTGACAGATTCCAGCTACCTGAGGCATTGAGCAAATCCTTCACTTTCATATCAGTGTGACTACTAGGGAGATCAGTATCCTTCAAAGGATTTGAGCACTGAGGAATCCAGTCGTCTATGACCCGGACACGATCTCCCTTGCCGATTTTCCATTTAAGGTGGCGCTTCAAAAGATCCCTGCCCCATAACATGCCTCTCCAGCCCCAGGTGGAATTTGACCCAGCATTGCACGAGAGGAAGTCTGTCCGTCGGCAGTATTTTTGCCTAAACACAGTGGCAAAAAGCGACTTCTCATTGCTGTCAATTTTCCAAGCCAGTTTTGCTAAGAGAGCTTGGTTCATTTCCCTAGCAGATCGCAGACCCCAGCCTCCGCGAAATTTGGATTGACACATGAAACTCCAAGATTTCCAGTGAATATGTCTACCTTCCTGATCCCCACCCCAAATAAAGCCAGCAATTATCTTATCGATCTCATGAGACACCCAAGACAGCTGGTATCCCGATTGGCACAAAATAAATATGGGGAGAGAGGACACCCCTGTCTGAGTCCTCTGATAGGATGGAAGAAATCAGAGCACCCGCCATTAAAATTGATGGCAAAACTTACCGTAGTTACGCATTTTAGCACAACCTTGATGAAGCTTTCGGGGAATCTCATCCGCCTCATGATGCATTGAAGAAATTCCCAAGACAAACGGTCGTAAGATTTGCTCATGTCAAGCTTGATAGCAGCTAGACCCACCTCTCCAGAATCTCGCTTCCTGTTGAATTCCGTTACTTCGTGTGGAAGTAACACATTTTCACCAATAGAACGACCAGGCACAAACCCATTCTGTGTTTCCAAGACCAAATTATTCAGCACCCTCTTAAGGCCGTTTGCCAAAACTTTAGCCACAAGTTTATACTTAACATTGCATAAGCTGATGGGACGGAAATCAGCGGGCCGTGCTGGGCTTTTAGACTTAGGAATAAAAATTACCGGCGTTTGATTCCAATCGGGATACCAGCTGTTCCCTTGTAAGCAATCCAAAACACATTGAATCAAATCACCCCTAACAATTCCCCAGTACTTTTGCAAAAATTCTGCTGGAACTCCATCAGGACCAGGCGCCTTCCATGGCGCCATCCCAAAGAGAGCTTTTTGAATTTCCTCTGCTGTATAAGGTGCATTCAGGTCTCTTTCTTGAATGGAAGTAAGCTGTAAGGACACTTCGTCACAACTGTCGATGTCACGCAAATCCTCGATCTGCGGCGGGTAGTTATCTGGAAGAGTAAGGATCTGTTTGAAGTGACATAACATCATTTGTGACTGGTCAGAGGATTGAGAGTGCCATATTCCGTCATCGTCTTGCAGCTCAGTCACCCAATTTTGATTTTTCCTCTTGGTGGCCCTCTCATGAAATAATTTTGTGTCCCTCTCGCCATCAACCCGCCATGTTACCTTTGCTCTTTGTGCCCAATAGTCAGATTGTAGCTCCAAAAGTTGTTCCACTTCAGACTGTCACAATACCTCCAAATGTTACCTTTCCTCTTGGGATCAGACGGTCACAATACCTCCCAATGTCTGGTTACGTGTTGTTTCTAATTGGTTAAAGTTGGCCTTCAAGGGCCAGTCCCATAATTATTGAAAAGTCAAACAAGACAATAATTATGGGACGAAGGAGTATTTTTGTTTCGCTAACAAAATGCTATTGTAATTTGGTGTAGTAGCAGAGGTTCCCAAAATTCTTTTCCCGATTTTGATTTAATATGCTTCCACAATCCAACATAAATCTGGTTCTTTAATAATCAATCACCTTCTTCTAGGTATTAAAGCAGTGGTGGACTACACATCACGATAAGAATCAAAATTATCAAAAAACTGGTCCAAAAAATTACCAAAACTTAATTAAGTCCAATAAACTTTTGTTATCAAGTACGCTTAGGTGATTTGTAGACCCTTTTATCGAATCTACTTGCATGTGTTACAAATAGAAGGAGATCGCATCAGCACATGCATTGATCATCATCAAAGTTAAATACAGTTAATCAATGATTAAGTTCGCATAACATATTAGTAGTGCACGTAATTCCACTTGATCTACTCCACTTGAACCACGTATCCAGTTCCCAGTAACAATAACACTACAGCCAAAACTAGATTACTGATCCACAGAGAACACAACACTCAAAACAGAGTCACCACGGCATTCCAAAAACGCTATTACTAATCCACAGAGAACACAACACACAAAACAGAGTAACCACGGCATTCCAAAAACACTACAGCCAAAACTAGATTATTGATCCACAGAGAACACAACACTCAAAACAGAGTAACCACAGCATTCCTTTGCCCTAAACATAGATACACAAATTCCACGACCAAACACTGAAAATTCAGTCCAAGTTTGGCGGCATTTCCAAAGCAAATATATGTATATATAGTGAGATAACCGAAGGTACTAAAACCTACACGGAAATGCACATAAATAGATAAGACCGCCAAGTGTAACACAGATATCAGGAAGTATTGAGTTCTGGTTCATTCTCTTCATACTCTTCACCCTTCACGCTCAACTACACAGTCTCCATACTCTTTCTCTTCAGAGTCTTCAGCCAACAACATCCTCATCACTTTTAGCTCCATGAAGTCCGGCTTAGGCTGCTTAGCCACCTCCCCTATATATTCTTTAGAGACCAATTGTCTATACCCGTCACTTCCAACGTAGAGAACTAGAACAGAGGTAAGAACATTACTCATCAGGGGGAGAACATAATAGAACCAGAATGGACAAATCTTCAGGAATAAACTAAATGTAAGAATGAAAGAGGCAAGAAAATTCATAAGACTTACCACTGACGTGTCCAAAATTTTCACGAGCATGACAAGCACTACAACAGAGTGACCGTTTAATCAACTCCGTCGCTTCAGACACAGGCATATTGTAATGAGGGCTATAAGAGAAACAGAAACAATTTTGTAAGAAACTAATCCAAGTAATCCCAAGCAAAATCCCATAACCCTGATCACCAGTACAATTCAAAACAATTAAAAACTAAAGACCAATGCACAAAGAAGGCCACAAGTATCTATTCCTATAAATAAAAAGGCAAGAAACAACCATGTACCCACGTTACTAATTGTAAGAGTAATCATATAGGAAGTATGGTTCAAGACTAATAAATGACTACAGAGATGTTTATTAGAGCCAAGTAGCATACCTGACAGCCAGATTAATACGAGCAGCTGAACCAGACCCGGTGCCAAAATATGGACGTTCATGCATTTTCAGTTTACCATCGACTTTATACAGGGCAGGTCCTTATGAAAGATAAACCCTGCATGGTCAATTTTAAGGGAAACACAAACTGTGATCAAGTCAAAAAGAAAAGGGCAATCTACGGGATTTACCGATTTGTGGTCCCAACCAGCAACCAATATTCCCAGTGATGCAGCTCGATCAGCCTTAAAATCCTCACATTCAGCCAGAAATTTTGTCACCCATGGTACCACTTCTGCAGCAGAAGCTCTTATCCTCGTTGTGCATTCATGGTCGTAGCACTATAATGAAACAATTGACATAAATCACACACCAATCCTTCCAAGATTGGGGCTAAATAAATTCAGAGGAAAATTGTGTTTATAATGTACCCTCTTCTCCAGAGCTTTGAACAATTCATCCATAAGTAAGGGGCACCGTCCAGAAAAAGTGATAAGCAAGTGCGAATTAAGAACACAAACATTATTTGGAAGTGGACTTGACGACTGGACAGCATGATCAACAGCTACCATGACCCCATCACTCAGAATAAAACCCAAGCCGGTGGCTCCCTCTTCAATTACAATCGAATCAAAACCATCCTAGACAGTAGAAGCACAAAGAGGAGAAAAACAAAAAAGTCACCAAAAGCAAAACAAGACTCACAAGTTACCCAAAAAAAAATGCTTCCAAAGATAAATAGTATCCGCAACCAAAAGAATTGAACAAGGAAATCCAACAGCAAAACGAGACCTAAAGTAGTTAAACAATCTAAAAGACAAAAAAAACTAACTTCGGAAAGAGGAGATAGGGGTCCCGAAGAATCCTCAGGGCACCATCAAGGAGGTAAGGGGTACACGATGCCATTATTGCTCCGTTCTTAAAAACTACCTTCAATATGAGCAAAATAAACAAAATTGTCAAACGTAAATAAACAAAATCAGCACCAGTAAATTGTTGAAGGCCTAATTCGAAGAAGAGAAGATAATTCTTATAGTGACAAGAGAATTTACCATTTCGCCAGAGATGAATCAGAGTCCGCCGGAGATGGAGATTATAGCTATCAATCGGTCGTTTTTCCTTCAATCGAGCAAAAAAACAAACAAACTAAACAAAATCAGAAGAAAATATACAACTTTAATTCAGTTATATTCAGTTATTGTAGATGGATTCTTGCCCTAATTGTTCCGTACAGATACCACCAAGTACGTCGGATTTCTAAACTACATACGGCAGCAGGTAGGAACTCGACGACAAATAAAAACCCTAATTCGATGAAGAAAACAAGGGATCTTAAAAAAGCGATTCACCTTCTTCACCGACTTTCGAGAAATCTCTTTGCGCTGATGTGCAGCTCTTGGGACGAGGGCTTATCTTATATATTTGCGATTGGGGTTTGTAAATATCTGGATGACATCAGTGGGTCATATAGTTGTTCGTTCACCGCCCAAAATATGAACTAGCCCAATTCAAATTTTGACGTGGGAGACTTTGGGAAGTTTTCTGTCATGCACGGGGAGTCCATAACTTTCTTTCATTGTTAGAATATTAGTACTTAATTAAGTGTAATTATTATAACCAGATGTTACAAATATAAAAATGATGTGCATCAAAGAAATATTTTTTATTTTCGTAGGATTAAAATAATTGAAAGAGATTATGTATATTAATTTCAGGAAATTGACACTTTTGAAGAATTCAGTTTATCCACGGATATTATGAACGACCATTCTGTTTCCAAATGGTATGTAGTAAATCAAATATCTTGTATTATTCCTTCATATTTTACGTCCAACCATTTTGCAGTCGATAATGCATTATTTGCCCCACCTTAAAAATAATTTAAATTTGTTACAAATTAATATATATTAACTAAAGTTCTCCTAATAAATAGACAATTCAATGTATAAAACTTACAGAAAAAACTATATTTATTTACTATTTTTTCAATTGGTAGAATTCCTTCACAATCTCTCAAATTTTGCATTATATTTCCTGCAAAGCAATACAACAGTTATATTGTTGTACCCAAATTAATGTGAAACGATCATTTTACAATTATATATATATATATATATATATATAACCGAGTTGGAACTTCTCCAAATTATTTTTGGTGATCCACCATAGTGTAGTTGGACATAACGTAATTATTGTCAAACACATCAGTCCAATATAATTGACTTGCCTCATTTAAGAAAATTGAAAATTACTAAAACTTGTTAGCCTTTGAATTTCATAAGTAGACAAAATCGAGAGAGTATACAAAGAAAAAGATTACCTGGATGATCCCCAATGTAGATTGTTAATATGGAACCAAATTTGAACTTTTTCAAGGTTCAGAGTGTACAGAAACATCTTTTATAAATTTTTTGATAAACTGCTAATAATATGTGTTTCAAACTCTTGTCTAAGTTGCATAAATTCCTTCAAAAATTTAGTCCTTACTCGTATTCAAATCTCGTTTCTTTTCCACTACAAATAATAAATCCAACAATTAAAACTCATAACCAAATTATCAATAAAGTATAATCAAGTTAAACAATTGCATCACGAAATATAGAACAAACATGCAAAAGTCTACCAAAATCAAACAGTAATGAAGTCTAAAACGAATTAACATTCATCATTGATAGAAACTCCATTCCTGAAATCAATTAACTAACTGTGATGAAAAATGGGCATGAACAATTATTTTGCTCAAAAAAAAAAAAAAAAGAAAATCAATTAGTCAACGAGAGGAAAAAGAGGAGGAGGTGAAGTTACAATACCTTTTAAATTTATATAGTCCAATCAAAAGCTATTAAATTTTCTAACCGAATAAAATCCCTGAAGTTTAGGAATTTTATTTTTTAATCAAACGCTAAATTAAACGCGATTCATGCTTATCATATTCAAATAAAATTTTAAAATTCAAAATGTTAAGATATTTTAATCTAATTTACAACCTAATCAATAAAAAAATCAGGATTATATGCATATTGAAATATTTAACATATTTAAGATGTTTTAGTTTAATTTTGTTTTGTGCAAAAAATTCAAATCAACATTAATGTTGAAAAAAGATTTAGCATTAATTTTGATTAGCTTTTTAGATAAGGCTGTTGACCATAGTTTTTTTTAGGTAAGGTTATTAACCATAATTGGAGCTTTATTTAAGTCAATCGGAAAATTTCTTCAAATCAATAAGCAATAATTATAAAAAAAATCCAATCAATATTTAATTTTTCTTTATGACACCAAATGAAAAGAAACCATTAGTGTTGATTTTTTTTTTAAAAAAAAAATGTTCCATTTTTTTTGTTTGACCGAATTCAAAAGTGGAAATTTAGCCCCCAATTAAAATTAAATGATTGAATTTAATTACAATTTGTTGAAACTTTATTTATTGAAAATTCAAATGACTGTTAGTATAATTATTGTAAATATTTTTTGTGTCCCTATAGGAAATACACATAGAATTTTGTCCTATGTGTCAACGGGGGGAGAAGTTTGATATTCTTTCTCTGATTTCTCTCTTAGTATAAAACTATAGATACTCGTACATAAAAGCAGGTGTCATTTGTTTTCACTTTTGCAATCCAACATTGACCTACTATTATAAGTCACAACAATTTATCACCCTTTTTTTTTTCTTCTCCTCCTTAAAAATACAACAATTCATCACCCTATTTCATTCTCCTTCTCCTCTTTTATTTTGTTTTATTAGTGTTGTACCCGCACGTTGTGCGGTAATATTAGTTCTAAAATAAAAATTACACAAAAAGGTTAAAGATGTTCTTAATGTCAATCTGCCTGTGGCTTTAATCTTTTTACGGTAGCAATCCGCAATTACCAAAGATAAGAGCCAAGCACTATTTATTTGTCCATTTTTTTATTTTTTTATTCTTTGCAAAAGTGTTATCTAATCGTGAAATTTGGTCGGAATCAGTCGGCCGGCGGCGGTCTAGTGGCGGCGGGTAGTGGTGGAGGTGGTCCGGTAGTGGTGGACGAAAATTGTATAAAAATAATTTTTGAAATATTTTTTAAAAGGTAAATCAAAAAATTATTTAGATAGTATTGTGATTTGTGTTTGAAAAGTTTTTTAAGAGGTAAAAATGATAAAAAAATTCAAAATGAAAATGGGTCAAACCAGCCCCTAATTTGCCGGTTAAAATTTGTGGATGGGTAGGCCCTACCTGACCTTTGGAAATGGGCGGTAGTGCTGTAACTACCTTTCAAAATAAAAACAGAAAAACTACGTACACTTCAGTAATATACTACTTGCTATACAGATCACGCGGTGAATGAATGGCGTAATATATGTACAAGGATGAGACTCCTTTGGAAATGTAGGTGTTGTTTAACCGGTTTCCAGGGTTAACTCCTTCATCCTCTACGCCGCCTCCAATTTGCCAGTCTTCTCAAAGTTTACTTCCTCCCTCTCCATCCGCCTCATCCTAGAAGAACATCACACACGCACTCACATACATGTATATCATATATGGAGGGAGAGAGAGAATAGAGAGGATATCAAAATCCCATGGCTAATTATACTGGAACGCTTTCTTCCGAAGGAAATACGATGGAAAAGGAGATGGAGATGGTCCGATGGAGATGGATATCCGGTGGAGACGCGCGCCGCTTCCCAGTTCCCACTATGGAAGAAAGAAAGAGAACCTTTAGCTATGGATCTGACTCGGGTCGGGGCTCCAACATCTGTATATCCTTTGTGAATCATTGGATCCAGATCCCCTTGGACAGGTTGATTCATGCCTAATAGCAAACTATTAATCGATCTGCTGCTTCTTCTTTTTTCTATTTTGCTTTTTTTTTTTTTTGTTTTTTGTTTAATAGATGTTTTCTCAGTTATTTTACTTTTTCCCATAAGATTTTTAGAACGCTGCACTTGATGTAGGCGAAATCCGACACCCTGCCAATCAAAATCTGATATATTTTGTATAAGAAATGATTTCGATCCAAGCTAGGTTTTTTATTTTATTTTTATTTTTTAAGAATAAAAACGATTTTATTGATTTTGATGGGAATCATTCAGCGGCGATACAAAAGACAACCTCTGGCCACATTTCAACTCATGCAGGATTTACCCATGCTTAGCATCATGGTATAGTCATCAACTCATGCAGGATTAACAAGCAGGATTTAATTTGTTCAGGTGTGCGCGGAGTTACATACACACTGCACCAGGCTTTGCAGGTTTGCAAAAAGTATAAGAAGCGGTTCCCATCCGACAGCCTGTTTGCTGGCTATGTCCCTGGCAGTGTAAGGATTAATCTAATCATGAATGTCTTAGGTTTTCTGTTCCTGCCTGGCGTGCTTCTCTAGGAAACTGTAAGAGTATGAAGAAGCAGCTCTGTTGCTTTTTCACTATTTGACCCTTTGCTATGCCTTTTGTGATTTTGTAATTTAGCTAAATTTTGCTGGGATCAATCTTGTGGTGTTTGGTAGCCTGTTTTGTGCAGTGGAGAATGTTTTTGTCAACTTTGTGATATGTCTTTTGTTGTTTTGTAATCTGATAATACCGATTTTGTTGTTGACTTTGATATTATGAAAGATGCAGTCCATGAATTAGACTTTTTGCTTAATATTTTCCTCTTAATCCTTTTTGTTTGATGTTCCGTTCAACACTATTTCCTCTCCCAATGATATCCGTTGATTATCCTTCCTGTCTGGATTTCGACCCCTGTGGGGTTTGAAGATTATCCATGTGGACAAGAAGGGGGACAGTTTTGATTGCAACCATTTTGGTTTCATCGGTTGTGGGGGAAATGATGCCCATTTCTGGCTTAGCAAGAATTCAAATTGGTGAGTTTGGCTTTGTATCTAAAAATATTCATTTTGCTTTATGCTGTTAGGTAGTTGGAATCACAAACTCCTTTTGAGTTTTACTTGTTATAGAGAGATACTTTTTTTTTCACTACCATTGGCTTTACTTCAAGAACCAGAACATTATCTTGAGCTCCTTTCTGACTTATAAGTTTGCTTTGACTCTTGCATTATTTTGGTTATCACCTGCTCCTGCCTATTGGTTGTACATAATGAGCCCATTTTCTGATTCATGAGTTTGCTTTGACTTTTGCATTATATTGGTTATCACATACTTCTGCTGATTGATTATACATATGAACCTGCATCTGTTGTTAGTTCTTGTGAGCTAAGGCTACAATAGCAGTCCAACTAGTCGGTCATTTTCTTGCCTGTAAGAGCTTAGGGTTGTAGCTTGCTACTTCCACTTGTTATCAGCAGGTCTAGTCTAGTAGATTTATGCGGGTAAATTGTATGCCGATGGTCAGCCTTTTTCTCGGGTTACATTTATCGCTGGAAATCTGATGACTACATTGGTATCGATGCCTCGAAACTACCTGTAGGACAGGAAGTCTGAGAATCACAAAAAAAAAAACACGTGGAAGAATCACAAAAAAGCACATGTAGGGTACAAGTAACGTGATACTACATGGAAGAATGGAAGTAGTATGTAATGGGAAAACTAGTTGTCACCTTCTCTTTCTTGGGGTGAACAAGGCGGGAAGAGGGAGCCAAATGAAATGAATATGGCTGTCGCCTACTATACTGGACAATTTACACCTAACTATCAGTCTTTCTTATATAACATATAGTTGAACAATTAGGTGAGTAATGATGAAGAGTCTAATAGAACACTTCCTGGTTCTTGGAGAATTGGTAGAGATAAAAATTTACAGGCCTTCGAAAGTTTGCTGTTTGGATTTACAGATTGGAATTTTCAACCTTTAAGATCCTCGGAGACCTCATTTCCTTATAAAACTCTTTCCATTGATTTCTCTGATGATTGTTTGTGAGGACTTCATCTGCTTGTCTTGACGTTTCTTTTCCTGTCTTACTGAAGTCCTCAAGAATTCTTCTGGACATTGTTGTACAATTTGAAACTAATATGTTTTTGGTTGATTGACAGCGTGGATGATGGCGAAGGTGATGACCTCGCATTCATATCAGTTAGAGATGCCTTACGTTTGGCAAAGGCCGCCGTCTCCGTTTCCTCTGTGGATCAGGATGGCACTGGCGGTTATGTCTCTGTTTCCATGCTGGATGCTGAAGGTATCTCGGATCTGGTTGAATGTCATTCTATTCCCCACATACTGCGCCAGTACAACCTGGGAAAAGTGAAGAAGCCTCAAGAAGAAAAAAAAAAAAAATAGTTGATGGTTTAATTTCAGTCTATTCCCCGCATATTCCATGGTTTTTGATAAATTCAGTCGATGCATTATGAACTTATACTACTATTCCATGTTTTTTGATAAATTCTGTCAATGCATTATGAACTTATATACTACTATTCCATGGTTTTTGTAATAATTACCACCACTTTGTCGATTCAATTAGATGCAGTGGATTATGCATCATTTTTCGACACCAAAAACAAAAATATGACTTCAGCTAGCTTTCAGTATGTCAATTTCCAGCTGTGAAAAGTTGATTCTGTAAGTATTTGAAGTTGAAGCATGCGTAAATGTAAAGGTACAACACATTGTAAATGTAAATGGATGGCATAATAATAAGAAGAAACAAGTAATAGTTTGATTCATTCACCCATCGTACTAAACCTTCTTCGTTATCAACATTAGACTAAAATGTTCAAATACATTTAGGGTTATTTGAATTTACGTCACTCACATTAATATTTTAATATCGTAATTTTAAATTTTATGTTTTTGCACTTTTTTGGTTCCATCGACCAGTTTTCCATCTAATTCAATGTTGACTGACCGTTGACATGCCGGGGGTCAAGGATATTTTTGTCTTTTCATAAAATTTGAACTTCCATCTAAATTTAAATCATAAAAAATATTAAAAAATTTATATTTAATTATTTTTTATTAATTTTAAAATATTATTAAAATTTATATTATTTTTAGAATTATTTTTTGCATTTACCATTTACTTTAACTAGAAAATAAATAGTAGTTATATTACACTTTTAACCCCCAGCCCACAGTTACTTAAAAAATTTACTGAGTTACAGTAAAAAATTTAAAATTCAAATTTAATTTAAAAAAAAAAAAGCAAAACTAAGATTTTTTATCCAGTTTTTTCACTCTACAGTGAACTCTAAGTTACTTTCACCCTACAGTGAACTCTAAGTTGCAACACTTCAGCATAATACAAAGAAGCTTTTCTGAAATTATTAAGACGGGTTGTTTGTAAGCAAAAAAGCAAATTAAATTATGAAGATCATAAGGCAATGATTTGTGAATATATGAAAGCGTTAGATTAAATTTTATTTATTGATAGTTTTACTTTGTTGTACTATTTTAACAAGACTGTTTATTTAGATATTCCTTGCCTGGTTTTTTTTCTTTACCAAACAAGTACAAACCAGCTTACATAGAAGTAATCAGCCGCCTAGCAGACTGATTGACTCTTTCTACCTCTATTCTACTAACCTTAAAGACCTTACATATAGACATTCGTTTCTTTATTTTAATTATGTCAATACATATATCTCTAACATCTAAAGACAAGCTATCCAAGGACTTGTCCATCTGTAGAGCATATTCCAGTCAGTAAAAGACTAAAATGTCCAAATGGTCCCTTACATTTGAGCGTACTTGAATTTACGTCCTTTACATTAACATTTCAATATCGTAGTCCCAAACATTATGTTTTTGCACTTTTTTGTTCCCATTTCACTGTTTCCGGCCGTTGACATGCCGGAATCAGGGGTATTTTTGTCTTTTAATTTAATTTAAATTTTTATTAAAATTTAAATCATTAAAAATATTTTAAAATTTAAATTTTATTATTTAATTGATAAAATATTATTTATTAATTAAAAATATTATTGTACAATTTTAAAATTTATCATTATTTTCAAAATTACTTTTTTAATTTACTATTTACCAGCACACCCTGCCAGTTCCAGATTTAGCTTAGCTGCACCTTGACAACCATTCTGCTGAAACGAACCATCTATGTATACCAGAAAAGTGTCTGTCATATGCTCCATATGAGCACCCGGCACATCATCACAGGTCCTATTTCCATGAGGCAACAACAGACCATTACAATGGGAGAACAGTCCATCCGAGTCTATTGCTCGCGCCAGTAATTTCATAAGATTCCTTGATATTATCCCAAATTGCTCTGTTACGAGATACCCAAATGCTCCACACAATGTGAATTCCTTGCCTGGTTCAATGTGATCAGACTGTCACAATACATCCCAATGTCAGGCTACATGTTTGCTTCTCACTGGTTAAAGTTAAGCAGGCCTTCAAGGGCCCAGTAATTTGGTACTAGTAGGAGTTGCCAAAATACTTTTCCAAGATTTTGATTTATTATGCCTCCGAAATCCAACATAAATCTGGTGCTTTAATCACCTTCTTCTAGGTATTAAAGCAGTGGTGGACTACACATCACGATGTTACTGTCGAATCATATTCTAATTACTCCCTCAATTCTAAAATACGTGTCGTCCTACATTTTGCACATGGTTTAAGAAACTCTTAAATAAGGTAATAAAATTACTTGAATATCGTCAACCAACTCCATTATAAATTTGTCCACCAATAGCATCAACTCTTTTGAGCGTAATTTTGGAAACTTTTGACAAAAAGTGCATTGAAATGTGAGAACGACACTTATTTTGGAATTTCTCCATTTTTTATTTTGAAATTTCTCCATTTTGTTAAAACGACACTTATTTTGGAATGGAGTAAGTACTAAATTTAAGAGTGAATTTTTTAACTCAAAACTCCCACAAAAATTTGCACTTCCAGCAATTCTTTTTGCTGTACCAAATGCCATGCGAGGAACTCCTAAGTCCCAAGTAGATACGGCAACAAAATTTGTGCTGAATTTTCAGTAAGAACGCAGAGAAACACAAGGAATATCGTGTGGTTGAAATTGCAACTTTCGCAGCTTGATGCTGACTGATGATTCCGTGCTGCCTGATTCTTGTTCAAAACTTCAAACTCTTAACTATAATATGGCTACATGTGACTGACCATCTCAACATTTGATGGGCTAATTTCATGAAAGGAATCAATGTACCACCTTTTGTGACTTCGTTTTATAACTTACTAGTTGTAAACTTTAATCCCTTTCGAAAATGGATATAATGATTAAACTGTAATCTATTTCATGTTTAATGTCGATATTATACTCGATATTAGTGGCCGAAAACTATAGCTACATGTTAAGGTGATAAGGTTGAAAAAAGAAAAAAAGTAACATAAAGTTGGTATTCTTATCAAAGTGTGGTTCCTCCTCAGCGGAGTTAAGACGCCTGTGATTGCGGATTGAAAACAATATCCACTGGTCAAAACAATCTCTCCAACATAGTGGAAATTAATTGTCACGCATTTCCGGCTTATTTCCTGGAGGAAAGAAAGGCATGCTTGAAGGAGTAATTGTTTTGTTGAACGTGGACATATGCTAATTAAGCAGAAGTGGACATAATCGAGGTAGGATCAATTAATCTACTTAGATTTCGTATCCCAAGAGAAATAGAAACAGCAGCAGTAAAAAGAGAAGCTACATTCTTTCCAACAGGGGTAAATTTCGCCGGAGATGGAATTTTTTACCGACCGGTTCTGTTCCTCATCCGAATTTTTCCGAACTCGTTGTCGTCCAATCGAAAAGCGAATCTCAAAGGCGAAACAAACGAGCCATTGTTTAAATCACCGTGCTCAAAACCGTAGTTCTGAAGCACCTGATTATCGGCAAAATTCAGAGCTCTCTCCATTCCAATCCAGCAAGAGTTCCCAACGTAGGACGGATCATGGTTGCCGTTGCATGGCTGACACCCCGTGAAATGAGTAATGAACGGCCATTTGCTGTCCCCACCACCTGCCAGATTCTGCTCCAAAATCGACCCGTAAAACTGACTCACCGCCTCAGCCCGTCTCCGCCTTAAAATCGGCACATTCCTCTGAATTTCATTGTACTTGCGACTATATTCATTAATCTTTCCGATAATACCAACCCAATAAGAGCTTAAATCATATTCGGTCTCCAAATGGATTGCATCCTTCCATTTTCTTGCACCTTTCAATAGTATATACACCAAAGAGGACTGCTCATCCGCCCCCGGGAACGTCTTGTCGGAAAGCGTGGCCATCAGAGTTTCGCCCCAGAAATTATAATCCGGGCTTCTGGGGCTCATGCTGGCCCAAACATCCAAAAAATCCAATGACCACTGGCAATTTCTCATCAGAAAACTCCCAGTGTTCACCGAAACCCAGCTCTTGTTCTGGTACAACGTATCCGGCCACCCGGGAACAATCAGATTATACCGATTGTACTTCTGTAACGGAACTTTAAAGTACATGTCGGTGAAAATAGCATCCGAATCCATCCACCAGATCCATTCAGCTTCCGGGTGGGCCACCATGGCGGCCCGAACCAGCGCCACCTTAGCCCAAACGTTGCACATCTTCGGGTCTAAACAAGCGGTGTTGTAGAAGATATCGTATCCGTGTATTCTGCTGTAATCAGCCTTGTTCTTGAAGCACCTCAGGAGTAAATGGTCCCCAATGGGATTCTTACACGGAGCGGGCTGGGACCCGGTTACGATGAGGATCCGATTCTCTGCCCGGCCGGAAAAAGTTGGATGGAGCTTTAACCACAGCTTCCTTTTCCGGTCCCAGTTCTCGATGGGAGTGCCTAGAGTGTAACTGAGTTGTGGGTCGTCGTAGAATGTTGTTTCTGGAGGATCATGTACTCGATTAAAGGCTTGTCCTGCTTGGTTGTTGCAAAAATTCGGGTCATTACTGGTACTTGAATTTAAGGTGGAAGAGGAAGAGTTAGCTTTGGTCCATGGTTTTGTTAAGGACCAAATCGCACAAACGAGGAGCGTCGCAGTTAGTGCTGCGAGAAAGAAGGATTTACAGTCTGAAAATAACGATGGCTTGGTTAGAGGTTTGTTTCTAGCCATGGCTGCCCTGTTTTTCTTCTTTTTTTTTTTGTGAAGAAATGGGGGACCAGAAGGAAGCAGAGGATTATTGGACTGGGAGTGGAGTGACTACTACTAATGAGGCTTCAAATTAACCAAGTTTGCTACTTTTATATGACAGGTTATCCAATGAAACTCTAAAGTTGAAATTCAGGGACTACACTAGTTCTAGTTCTAATTCTAAAGTTTAAAAAAGAAAAAGTCAGGGTAGAAAATAATGAAATGTTAGTAGAAGCTTTCATTGCCGTCCAAACTTAACTCTGTACTGGTGTATTTATGTCTACGATGCAAGAATCATTTACCTTAAAAAATGACAATTCAGTTATAATTATTGCAAATATATTATTTAATTATTATTTACCTTTTTTTTTTTTTTTGAGAATCTGATTCTATAATTTTGTGAATCTGTTGTCTCACAGAGTCACAGTAAGTCAGTAACATAACTCCATTCAACATAGTAGATAACTGTTGCTGATAACTGTTGCAAAAACGTTCTCAATCATAACATCTCACTCCCTTCGTTCGTTTCTATTACCCGTTTTTTACCTTTTTTTTTTTTTCTTTTCCCTATCTATTAATAACTGTCTGGGTATAGGATTTATTACATCTTTTTTTTTTAGTTTGACCTTCCTTTATATGTTTAGGAGGCTAATATGATATAAGACATACTCCCTCGGTCCCATAATTATTGTCCAGTTTGAGTTTTTATTTTTAGTTCAAATTGTATTAAAAATGAAATTTCAAACTAAGACAATAATTTTGGAACTGAGGGAGTACTTTGTTATACCTCATATACTTCCGAAATTCTTTACAGTAGTGACTAGCAACTTAATAAGTCCAAATATAATTAAGAAAACGTAAAGAAAAAAAGTCACGATATTTATAAGTGTGTATGACTGATGAGTATGGACAAATGATATTTTGAACGGGGGGTTCACGTGGAAGTTATTTCAAGGACCCCCATTTTTGCACGCAGTTGCACGCCATGTCGAAATCATTTTCGAGGTCAAATTTATTACTAGTAGTAATATCTCTAGACTTTTCACCCCAAAAATATTAATAATAATAAATTATGGAGGTTCGAAAATCTTGTTAAATTTAAATGGTGAATGCTTCTTCTCCGTCTGACATGCTGTGTGATCCACGCACAAAACAATGCCGCCGGTAACCTTATCTCCGACCAATACGCTTTGCTATTTGGTGTTTACCACTTATCATTCCAATATGAGTAGCATTACTTGATTTTTCCTCGGAAAATTTGAATAAAGGACGGTGGAGAATAAATAATTAATAAAGAGAGCATTGCTTTCGAATAATTTGTACTCCTTCTGTCCCAAAATTATTGTCCAGTTTGAGATTTCACTTTTAGTATAATTTGAACTAAAAATGAAAACTCAAAATGGACAATAATTATGGAACGGAGGGAGTATTAAAGACATACAATTCAACCATACCAGAAAAAAAAATCAACTAAAAACTCTCTCCTTACTCGGGCGAAAACACGCTAAGTGTGTGTAACCGCCTCTGATCTCTCCAACGCTCCGACGTTCAGCTATGGCTAGAGGATCAAAGAAGAGAGTAGATATAGTAAGCTTTCCGATGATCTTGAGCAACCGGAAGAAGAACGAAGTCATCCGATGGGTACTTTCTCTCTAATCAGCTCAGCTCGAGCTCGAGCTCCAACTCCAGCTCAAGTAAGTCCTCCATCATTAAACTCTAAATCGCCGCTAAAGAATCATTCATCTGGATTGAATCGAGTTAGTAATGGCCAGAAACAGCATGATGTAAGCTCTGATAATAACAAATCTGATAAATTGAACACTAAGCAAGTTAGGGTTACTGTAGCAACTGTATGGGATAAATTTGATCCTAAATTGCTTAGTTCTGGGGAGAAAAAATTGTAATTCGTCCAACAAGAAATGATAAATGATAGAGAGACCTGTACAATTACAACTGATGAAGTGGAATTGGAAGTTGATTACTGGAAGAACTCTGTATTATGCTATATACTTGGTACTAAGCCTCCATATGTGGAAGTCAATGGTATTATACGTCGTAATTGGGGGAAATTGGGTATAGAAAAAGTGGTGATGCTAGAGAATGGGATCTTTGTAGTCAAATTTAAAACTATGACTGGGAAAGATGAAATGCTGAGACAGAGCATCTATCATTTTGATGGGAAACCGTTCATAGTTAAAGAATGGTTAGTGGCTGAGGACATCAATATGGAGCAAATTCATAATGTGCCTGTTTGGATTCAGTTGCCTAAACTCCCACTGCGATATTGGAATCCGTCTACTTTGAGCAAATTAACCAGCATGATTGGCAAACCGCTGGAAATGGACGATATGACGATACAAAAATTGAGAACTGCTTACACTAGAATCTTGGTGGAAGTGGAAATCAAAGACCAGTTGAAGGAGGTCATTTGGTTTCAAGATGAAAAAGACAATCTGCAAGAACAAGTGGTCAAATATGAATGGAAGCCTATTTGTTGAAGGAAATGCAAAGGTTTTGGGCATGAAACCAAGGAATGCCGGCTGCCAGTGCAAAAAGAATGGATTGAGAAGGCTCCAGCTAAGCAATGCAACCAGAAAGAACAAGTAGCTGAAAAGTCATTAAGGGAGGAAAGGAAATTGTCAAGTCCAGTTAAATAAACTGCCAATGCAAATAATAAGGAGAAGGAGATCATGACAGTGGAAATGCATCAAACAGGTGAGAAAGAAGAGAACATACGAATCATCAATGAAAAAGGCATGAGGATACCTGACTGAAGAAATCAAGACAAAGTAAGTTGTATAAACAAGATATGTTACTCAGAAGCTAGAAACCTTAATATAGGGCCTAGTCTTCATGAATAACATACTATCTTGGAATGTGAGAGGGCTTAATAACCCTTTGAAACACAGAGAAGTAGGAACTACATCTCTGTAAATAAAATTGATTTTGCAGGATTGTTAGAAACAAAACTAAAAGGAGAGAATGTACAAGAATTACTGACAAAGAAATGGAGTTATTTTGATGGAATAAGCAATCATATTGGTTCTGAAAAGGGAAATATTTTAGTACCGTGGAGGAAACATGACTATGAAGTTAAGGTGGATTATATATCAAAACAGCTGATTCGTTGTTGTATCCTGGAAAAGCAAAGCAGAAGACAATACACTATCACAGTTGTATATGCTAACTACTTGGCAACATGAAGAATGCAACTATGGAAGGAGCTTGCTGACTTTACAGGGAAGATTAATGGCCCTTGGATGATTATGGGGGAAATTGTACCCTATATCATGGAGAGAAACTTGGGGGATCAACTGAAGAAAGTGTTGATACTGATAGCTTTCAGCAATGGGTGCAGGATAATGAATTGTGGGATTTGCCTTCTCATGGAGGTAAATTTATTTGGTGTAATCGCCAACTTGGAGATGATAGAATACTTTCTAAACTAGACAAAACACTGGTCAATAGTGAATGGCTTAGCACCTTTGATGACACTTATACTACCATCCTGCCAGAAGGTATCTCAGACCATAAGGCTTTGTTAGTCAGATGGGATGAGATAAGACCAGAAGGAAGGAAATCCTTTAGATTTTTCAATATGTGGACGCAGCATGAGGATTACCTGAAAATAGTAAAAGAAGGTTGGTCAAAGGAAATTATAGGTACCAAACAGTATGCAGTGGTGAAGAAGCACAAGTTAATGAGGAAGATGTTGAAGGAGCTTAATCAGAAAAAGTTCAGCAATATTGAGACAAAAGGCATTTGAATGGCAGCAAAAGCTCACAGGAATTCAGCAACAACTTCAAGTAGATCCAACAAGTGCATAACTGCAAAGCCAAGAAAGAGAATGTAAATAGGAATATATTCAAGCAAGTAAAGCTATTGTGAGTTACTGGCAGCAAAAATTGAAGGAGAATTAGATACAGGAAAGAGACTTAAATACTAGATACTTTCGTGCAAGTATCTGTTAAAAGAATCAGAGAGGTAAGATCAGATCCTATGTTGATGAAACTGGGAACATTATAGAAGATTGGAGCAGCGTACATGATCATTTCTGGCAATATTTTGAAAATCTGTTGGGAAGGAATGCAGAAAGAACTACTGCTAGGAGTGAAATTTTCAGTTCAGAGATCAAGCGGAATGTCCATCAGCAGATTCTTCTGACTGATAACTTCACAAAGGTAGATGGTAAACATGCAATCTTCAGCATAGATGGAAACAAAGTTCAGGCCCTGATGGATACAATAGTACATTCTACAAAAGTGCATGAAAGATAGTAGGCAATGATGTTGATGAAGCGGTTCTTGATTTTTTTCAAACAGGTACATTGCTTCCACAGTTGAATACTACTCTAATATCTTTGATTCCAAAAATAGATGCACCCAAAGATGCTACTGAATTCAGACACATCTTGTACAAATGCATTCTAGGAATAAGAAAGATTACTGCTAGAGAAGGTGGATCTACTTGTGAAGTTAATAAGAAAGCCAGGAATAAGAAAGACTGTGAAGTTATGGCGGAAAAGATCACTGCTAGAATTAAGAGCTGGTCATCAAAGCACTTATCTTATACTGGGAAAGTTTTGCTAATTAACTCAATCCTTCTACACTTCCATTCCTATTGGGAAAGCATCTTCATGATTCTACAAAGTGTTATCCAAGATATAGTCCAGTATTGCAGGTAGTTTCTATGGGGTCAAAAGAGGAATGGACAGTCTAAATCTCTGGTAGCATGGGACCTAAAAGGGAATGTGGCTTGAATATCAAAGATTCAGGAGTTTGGAACATGGCAATGCTTGGAAAACAAGTTTGGGCTATAGAGAAGAACAAAGAGAGCCTGCGAGTAAAATGGTTACATATTTACTATATCAAAGGAAAGAACTAGTGGGAGTATAATGCACCACATTACTGTTACTGGCATTGGAAGAAGCTGGTCAGCATAAAAAACAAACTGAAGGAAGGTGTTCAGAATGGAGAGTGGACTGCTAATGGAAAGAAGAGCTATACTGCAGCAGATGGATACATATGGTTAAGGAGAGACCATTCCAAATGTCAATATGCTAAGATTACAAGGAGTAGATATTCTATACCCAAGCACAGCTTCATAAGCTGGCTAGCATGGAAGGGGAAGATTGTTTACTATGGATAGATTAGCCAAAATGCAGATTGTGGCAAATCCAAAATGCAAGCTGTGCAGATTAGAAAATAAAACAGCAGCCCATCTCTTTTTTCAGTGCTCCTATGCTTAGAATTTGATGAAAGAGCTCAAAGATTGATTGAGAATGCGCATGGATATCAAAAAACTGCAAGAAGGAAGGCTTCTGAAGGTTTGGAAGTATAAAAAAACTCAGCAGCAAGTACTTTTCGCCATTGTTAATGCCTGCATCTATCATCTGTGGCTTGAAAGGGATGCAAGAGAATTCAACAATGTTATAGAGACCCCCCCCCCCCAGCAAAAAGCAAACGTGAAGTCACATGTAAAGTCCAATTTATGTACAAGCAACACAAAACTTGTACTGTAAAGTTTTTAGAAAGGTTAGGTATGGTAGCTTGCTAAGCAAGTCAGTGTAATAGAACAAGTATGATGTAAATACGAGACAGTTATATGTTATATACATGCTCATATTTCATCTAAAAAAAATTCAACCATACAAACATGGCTTTACATATTAAAAAACTTATTAATATCAATTTAATCATTTTGGAAGTTTATTAATTTATTTTTTCGTAAGCCTGATTAGTATAAGAATACTGAAGTGATTATTGATTAGGAAAACTTAAACATAATAGATTTTGAGATTATTAAATTTTAAAATTTTTACTAATATAAAATATATGATATTAATTTTTTAAAAGAAATAATATTAATTTAAGTCCTGTAAAATATCTTGTATGGCTCATATAAATATAAGGTTTTGGAAAAAGAATTTAGACAATTTTGATTCATGCAAAAGCAAAAAATTATTTACTTTAATAAAATTAATATTTTATGGAAAAAATAAAACCACCCAATAAAAATTAGGAAATATTAATCATTATTTAAACTCAATATATCTATATTATTTTCATATCACTATTGAAATATTATTATTTATACACTTTGGAAACAGATTTTAATTTATGTGTTAAAAATCAAATGAAAGAAAAAAAAAAGATATCACTTCAAGAGTTAGAGTCATATATATAGTACTTAATTAAAGCAGAATACAAGTTGCTGATGTGTCAGCACTACAACAAAAATTTTTCCCCGAAAGCTATCTTCAGTACAAGATCACTTTTGACATGTGGCACCCTAAATATTCAGAAAAAAGGATTGAAATAAATAAATAAAAAATCTCTTAATTATAGCTACATACTAATTCCTTAATTATAGCTATATACTAATCCTTAAAAGTTAAAAGAACAACATTAAATTGATAAAATCAAATGTTAAATAATTTCCTTAAATTATTTATTTAGATTTACTCAAACGTCAATTAAATAAATTGACTAAGAAAGTAAGTATGCCTCCTTTTTAGCAATGGTAACGCGCATTGATTTAAATCCTTACGAATTAGCCATAGTCATCGTCATCAACTGGAATACAATACTATCAAATCATCCATATATCACTCAATGCAATTCATGCAATCGTTAATTGAAAAACAAACTTAACTCATTCATACCCATGATATCACCATAAGAAAAGAATCGACAATCATGAACGCGGGGAAGGAGTTAAAATTGCAAAGGGAGCATCGGAAGAAAAAATCAAAGCTACGGACCCTTATGTTTTTCCGATGGTTTGGAAATGAAGTTTAATAAAATGCTGGATTGTTCATATGCAGGAAGAGGGATAAAATTTTAACTAGCTTTTGATTCATATGAATATAAAATTCTGTACGGGCAATGCTTACTATGCTAAAGACTTGATTTTTAGCACACCCAAGAATTTTTTACTTCTTGGCAGTTTTTTTTTTTTTTGAAATAATTCACTTCTTTTCAGTTCGTTTAATTGATTTGGCCACTGAAATTACTCTGTCTTTGATCTCCTTCGAGCTTTGTTATGCACTGACTAATGTATTCATCTTATTAATATTAATGGAAAAGTACAAAATCAGTTGAAATTCATTAAAACATGATAAAGTGTTAGTCGGCCGAGCAATCGCCAGGCTGAGACACTACAATTTTTGCACGATGAGATATTTTCCAAGATACTAAAATTTTAATGTTAACTCATAAGTGAATGCTGAAAATTGCTTGGGCTAATTTCTTCATTCGTTTTTTTTTTTCAAATACATACTAATTTTTTAAGTTGGACACCTATTACGGTTCAGATTAAAACACTAAAAAATAATGTATAATTATGTTAAAACATATCCCTGGGCAGCGACCCTTTAATGTGTTTCCATTTGATATTGTTAAATTATATAAAAGGATATTTATTATTTTTCGAAAAATTTATTTTCTTTATTTACACATACAACCTGGGCATTCGCTCGAGACAAACATTTAGTTTGCATTGTTGAATGATGATACCCTTAATATAAATTATCTAAAAGCTCTTGATTAATTATTTTTTATCTATTACCCTTAATCTAAATTTTTCCTTTTGTTAACAGATTCGAGGTCTAGAGAACTTGAAGATCATTTGATAATTCTTATAATGTGATTGAAACATAACGTTATAGGAATTTCTTATTCTTGAAAACATGATTATTTTGGGTATAGGCCATGCCTCTTTATTTTAACAAAATTTGAACAGTAATACTCTCAACCAAATCTTCCCCTGAAGGTATATAATCTTTACCCATCAATGTTCTTCATATGAGAACGTTTATAAGCGGGAAAAACAAAAAATATTTATTTTGTTGAATAACACCCCTTTATTTAGGCATAGTAAAAGGTGAAATACTATTCGTATTTAATTAGTGTTCATTACACTCTTCCATTTCGTTTCATTGTAAAATGAACTTACAATGAAAGGATGACAAGAGAAAGAAAAACAGAATTACACGAACACATCAAACTCACATTATGACACTAAATATACCCGGGTAAGAAAAATCGGAAGAAAAAACAAAGAACAAGGAGGCGTAAATGTTTTTTTTTTTTGCCAAACGATAATTATTATACTCCATCTGTCCCAAAATTATTGTGCATTTTGAGATTTCACTTTTTGTACAATTTGAACTAAAAATGAAAACCCAAACTGGACAATAATTATAGGAAGGAGGGAGTATTAAATAAAATAGAAAGAGATACAACTACAGGGGTTGGACTACAACAATCTATGGTTGAACTATTACAATCCGTCTTCCTTGCTACACCTAATCACAGCATCAGTGATACAATCCTAAATTTGTGTACAGAATTAGATTAAGCTAATTTGATAGCATTTAGCAACATCACTAAATACAGAGAAAATTTACTAAAATTTATCTAGAAACAAAAAAAAAAAAACTAATCTAATAAAAGATAAACAGACTAAAATCTAACGAGACTAGAACAAGGAGGCGTAAATGCATTAGTGGTGATTTTGTTTTTTTATAATGGCAAGAACAAGAGAAATTATTCAGTGCAGCTGCTGTACCATATAAGATTGTGCAGTCAAACACAATAATAGGGCAACATAGTAATTTTGGGGGAGAAAAATAATTTTTACGGGAGTTGTACCACCAAAATAGAGGGTGCTAATACTTGCTGCACTAAAAAGCAGGATACAACAGTTGTACCCAATAATTTTTTCAAGAACAAAGTGTCCTGGTCAAGTATATATTGAAGTATAGAACTAAACTTTGAATAAAAAATCCAATCAGCGAACTACTTTTAAAAAGTGACAAAAATTGATACGCCTATGATTGAGGGTGGTATACCTAATGGAGTGCCAAGGGAGTAAACTGACGAAATATTTGACGATTCTTATTGTGTCCTATTGACGAGCCAAAATATGTCTCCTAATTGAAGAAATAAACAAACTATCTGTTTCAATATGGACGCATTAATTTTAATTTATTTTGTATAAAAAAAGAGGTGATGTGCCTGATGATGAGTGCTTACATGCGCAAATTAGTCACAGGAAAAATGGGATTGCCTGCCGACATTTTGCCAGAAAAGTCGTCCAAGAATGAAACTAAAAGGCCAAAGTTTGCAAGAAACCTGCATATATGTCAATGTTAACAATCAATCTATTTTCATTGAAGGATTACATTAATCAGAGAAGCGGAAATAAACTTCTTTTTTTGGGTCATGAATGAATTAATCAGTTATAGCAAATAATGCAAATTGCAAAGTGTAAAAGAAGCTGAATCATTTTTGTTTCTTTTTTTCCTTTGTTTCTCAGTGCAATTTCATACAATTGAAACTGTTCAAGTAGCATGAATTTAATAACATGATAAACTAAATCGAAATAACATTTATGTAACTGTGACGACTATCGATATGATTCAATGTTCAAACTAATCCCTCCGCTTCATTTTCATCAGGCTGATCAGCTCCGGGGAAATCAAACGCCAAGGGTGAAACTGACCCGTTTCTCAAATCCGGATGCCGGAATCCAAAACTCCGAAGAACCTGATTGTCAGCGAAATTCAGAGCCCTTTCCATACCAACCCAGCAATCGTCCCCCTTGTAAGCCGGATTGTACTTCCCACTGCACGGCTGACACCCCGTGAAGTGGGTAATAAACGGCCGCCGCCACCCACCTTTCCGGTCTCCGGCGTCCTCCAAATGCTTCTCCCACAGCTTACCGTAGCTCTCGCTGACTACCTCCGCGTGTCTCCTCCTTAATTTCACCGTCTTCTTCTCGATTTTCTCGTACCTTCCGGTTATATCATCGAGTTTTCCCATGACTCCGACCCAGTACCCATGCAAAGAGTATTCATTCTCCACGTACATCATGTGGCCCCATTTCTTCTTTTCTTTCAGAAGCAAATAAACCAAGGCGGATTGATCGTCCGATTCCGGGAACATCTTGTCCTTGAAAGTTGACCGAAGTGTTTGACCCCACTGCTTGTAATCCGGGCTCGCGGGTCCCATGCTTCCCCAGACATCTAGGAATTCCATGGACCATTGGCAGTTCCTAATTAGGAAAATCCCTGCATTCACGGCGACCCAGCTCTTCTTCTCGTAAATCAGATCCGGCCAGCCGTGGACCACGAAGTTATGGTGCTTGTACCTCTTGAGCGGTACCTTGAAATCCATGTCGGTGAAGATTGCGTCGGAGTCAACCCACATGATCCATTCGGACTCTGGATGGGCCAGCATGGCTGCCCGAACCAAAGGGATCTTGGCCCAATAAGACTTCATCTTTGGGTTGAGGAAGGCGTTGGCGTAGAAGATCTCGTAGCCGTGGATTCTGGCATAATCCACTTTGTTCTTGAAGCATCTCAGCAGCAAATGGTCGCCGGAGGGATTCTTGCATGGCCACGGCTGAGATCCTGTGAGGAGGAGTATACGGTTTTGGGCACCCGGGATGAATGTTGGGTGTAATCTCAGCCACTCCTTCCGCTTGGCGTCCCAATCCTTGATGGGTTTTTCTAAAGTGTAAGTAATCTCTGGATCATCGTAAAAGGTTGTGTCCCGAGGTTCATTTTCCCGGTCAACGAAGTGTGATCTGTCGGCCGAGCAATCTGTTGGTATGAAGTTTGAGAAGCCGGAGAAGGATTCTCCGAATGACCAAATAACACAGAAAATAACTAATACAACGACTAACCCGGCGATAAACCAAGATTTATCCCTGTAGAATGATGAGGGTGAGGGTCGGTTATGGGGTTTGATTTTGTACATGGCGGCTAAGTAGTGAGGGCTCTGTTTATGGAGTGGAGGATTAAAAGTTAGAAGCTCTCTTTAGCTTTTCTCATTTATATTTGCCTTCAGGGACAGGCAGGGAATATGGTCCTTTTTTTTTTGTCAAAGTAATCAGCTGGGAAGATCTGATTGGTTTTCTATAGTCGAGCTAGATTGGTCACAAAGTCCATCTGTAATATGTCCACTTGTTTGGGTTAAATTTCTATAAGATTGATTTTTTACTTTGTCCACTTTTTCAATAAATTATGGCAATATGCACCCGCTAAAGCCTCCGGACTCAACTATTGAGAACAAACTTTAGTGTGGACTGTGGGGCATTTGATTCCTTGACATTGATTTCCGCTACCAATCATGTGCAAACAATTCCAAATCGAAGTACTTAATTCTGAGAAGTTTCTATTCTCCATGCGTTTCTGAGAGTAACCTGAGATTAGCCCCTTGTCATGTAGTACTTTAGAAAGATAGAAATATTGAAAGTTGGTAGCCCGTTGCTGTGATAACGTAATACTCCCATTATTTTAGTATTAAGGCTCTGCCTCTGCAGTCTGCAACTACCATCGGATCCATCTTCTAAGCCGAAACTCAAACAGTATTCAGTAAGATCATGTTACTATCATTCTAACGAGAGGCTAGTTATTTTAATAGTTGAAGCCCCAATGTTATAATAAGAGTAACAGCCAATCTAGCATCATAAAGAAAATGGACTTGTTCTGAATAAACAATAAATCAATTTCCCACTTGTTGTTAGTTGTTAGGTCTATGATCACAGAGAAAATACCTTGAACAGCTGACAAAATGAGAGCGTGGCTTTCAGGAAGGAGGATGGATCCAAAAGAGTGGATAGAGGTTAGCAATAACATTTCCTGGTTTTACAAATGTAATTGTAAACAAATTAGAGTGTTAGCTTTTAATTGACCTTCACTGGTTGCTTAAAAGACCATCAGAAATTCATCTCAACACTGGCAGGAAGGATGGAAACCTGAACACAGATATGCTACTGTGTACACTTTTAACCTACTCAAGACAAAGATGTTTGCTTGCGAAATTTATCCATCTGACCAGACAGAGGATTCCAGCTCTTAGCTTTCTTGAGCTACATTTTTGTTTTTTAGGCATCATCAATTCTCCCATGATACCGAGCTTCAGGAATCAAAAGACAAAGCAATCACTTGTCCGCAGCATTCACTGTAATTGATCATGGATACTCTGCTTCCTGATAGCTTTTTTCTGAACCTGATAACTTCGTAAGATCACCAGTCATTTTCTTGGCCATTCTCCTCTGCTTCAACTTGTTTCGTTTGGTTCCGGATGATGTAGCCTTGAATTCTTCTTCTGACAAGCATTCATAAGATAACAGTGTAAAAAATAAGAACAAAACAGTGTTACAAATACAGAAATTTAACTACAACATTAGACTCCACTAAGCCTCACCTGGATCGGGAACAAGAGATTCATCTCCCTTAGCGGCATTTTGTCGAACAGCTTCGTGTTGCTTAACAATTCCATCGCCCTCAGCTTCGCAAGCAGTAGAGAAAGGCAGCAGTGGCCCAATAAGTTTCCGGCGAGGTTGAGAAGCCGCTTGTTTCAGCTTCTTCTGGCGAAGCCGCTTTCTCTGGGCTCTCGTCAACTTCTTGGGCTCATTCCCGTCGTCTTCGCTCTGATCCCGGTCACTCGATGACGTAAGCCCCTCAAAATCCACATTTATGTTATTAATGTGCTCAAAATCGAGGTTATGGATTGATGTGCTCACAGATTCGGGCTCTTCTTCTCCACCGGAAGGAGATGGAGGTGGATAGAGCTTGCGAATGAGGGCATCGTGGATTTTCTGTCTTTTATCTCCTTTCCCCATCTTTTCCAGTTTCTGGTATACTGTTATTATTATCGTTATTTTGTTTCAATCATTATCGCGCAAGGAAGTGTCATGCCCCTGGACTTATTTGTCAGGATTGGAAACTATAGGAGTTAGAGTGTCATTTTCAGAAATGTGTGGACTATATGTAGTCCTTGGGTCTGTAAAATTAATTATCGAAAATATTATGTCAAATTAGATTTTTCCAAATTCTTCTCTCTACTTCGTTCTTCCCCCAACCTGCACCCTAAATCTTCGACCGCCGATCAAATTATTCCTTTTTCTGTTTTCCGGCCACCCCAAAGGCCCCCGGAGCGTGACATTTGGTATCAGGCGATCCTTCCTCGGCCGTCTCTATATCATTTTCATCGATTCCGTTCATCTTCTTCTCCTCCTTCTATTCCTCAATCCTCTTGAATCCGAACTCTGATTATCCTTATTCTACTCTGAAATCTGTGCGAATTCTCCATTCTCCGACTCGCACCAAACATTCCTTCATTTTCGTTTTTCTTTTCATCGATGGAAATTGTTGATTACAGTGAACACCGGCTTAAGGTTCAAGCTTTTTTGTCACTCCCTCCATCCGAAGCTTTACCTTCAAGTCCGATTCCTCATGGTCTTTCAGAGCCTTCGCCAACCGGAGGTTTCCTTTTTTCCGGTGAAGAAGTCGCTGATTAGCTCGACCGAATCGAACGTTTTTTCTTCTATAGTAGAATTCCCTCTGTAAAAAATTAGTCACCGCTGCTTTATACATGGCCGGCGAGCCTCTCCAGTTTCTGTACGGTATGGAATAAAATTGGGAGGATTTTTCGGATCAGCTAGAACGCCAATTTGGTAAAATCATCCGACCGGCAGTGGTGGTTAATGTGTGGGAAGCCGGCGATTTAGAGTCAGACCAAGGAGGAGCGTTGGTCACCGCTATTGAAGAGACTGATGATGTTGTAGCAGTGGAATCGTATGAGTCATCGAAATTTTCTGAAGTCGCAGTGGGTGATGATTCATCGGATTCTTTGGCCGAGGCGCATTCAACAGCTTCAGAAGAAATTGATGGTGGTATGGTGGTTGATTCGCCTACTGACAACTCGGTCGACAACTTGGATGAGAATGGTAACCCTTCTGATTCTCAGAATGATTCATGTGGAACTGTATCTGTTGGTTTAAACGTTAAGCATGCTGAATTCTTGCAAGTCGAGGTTGGAAATAGTGAATTGCCAAGGGCTAGTTATCTGAGTATTCCACCCATTGGTGTTTCTGTGATTATGTTTGATGTTGATGTTCCGTTCGAATACGCAAGTTCCACCTGTGTAAATTTTGATAAAAATGAAGAAACGAGTTTAAAACTGGAAATGATTGAAAGTGTGGAACATAATGATAATCATTCTACTGTTGGGGAGTTTGGATTATTATTAACTGATTTTAGAGGGGGAACTGCGGATTCAAAAGTATCAGTGTGAATCCTATGGTTGTTACTCCTGAATGCTCGAATGAAGAAAATGAATACAAGAATTTGGCTATTGAGTATGTTGCTGCGTGTTTATTTTCTGAAATAAGAAAAATGTTTAGACCAGGGGATATATGTTGGAGCTTGACTGAGCTCATTCCTAGTGAGCCTGAAGCAGAACCAAAGTATGTAGCTAAGAGTTTGAATGGTGTTGTTACGACTGTTTTGATGCATAAAGAAATTTCGGCTTACTGGTTTCAGAATGAATTTCTCAATACTGGAAAGTCAGACCTGAGTGGAAGTAGTAATGTAAAGAGGTTTGTTCTTTATGAATTGGATAAACTTGTTAATAAGATTGATTTATGCCATGATAGTTTGAACTTTAGTGGTGTTATCTTGAAAGAAGTAGATGAGATTAATACTGAATCCGGGAATCTATTTGATGATAATAGTTCGGTAATATGGAATCTTAAATGTGCTACTTAGTTGGGTTATGCTAATGCTGGGAAATTCATTGCTGCAAACATGTGTTTGTTGGCTGAAAATGTTGTTCTGAATTTGGCTTGTGAATCCACATTTGATCCTTGTTTCTTATTTGAAGTCAATGCTGGTTCACATGAGTTTCTGAACTCTTTGAGTGGTGCAAATGTGGGCTGGGTAACCGAAATTGATCAGGGAGGATCAAGGGGACTAATTGTTAGCTGTTTTGGTTGGAATTGCTACGATAACATAGAATGTTCTATCAATATTGAAGTTTCGCCTGAGTATCCTAATGTTACTTATGGGATTTATTATAGCTGTGAGAACACTAGTTTAAGACTGGAAAAATCTATAATGAGTGCAGTTGATGCTGTTGTGGTAACATTGAATACTAGTTCTGATTATGAGGGTTGTGTTGCTGTTTTGATGCCATGTGAAGAATCAATGTCTATGGGATAAATCGGCATGTATTTTTGATCATTTTGGTATACTTGATATTATGGATGGAGTAATCAGTGATATTAATGAAGTCATAGATGTTAGTACTAGTATTGGAATTCAACTGTACTTCTTTGCTTATGATCCTGGTGACACTGCTTGCTATGGTGTAGCCAGTGGTAGCTGTAAAATTGATTGTGAAAGCATCCCTTGGAGTGGTTATTTCCTTGGTAATCATTTTTATGAATTCTTTGATCTGCCAAAGTTTTGTGATGCTGGGAACTAGTATTGGTATATGTAGAGTGGTATCTGAAACTCTTGCAGCTGGGGAAAGTAAAAAGATTCTCGGCACCAATGATCGATTCAGTGATGGCAATGCATCTCTAAAGTTTCTGGTTTATGATTATGCTCCTGTTTGGAACAACTGTGTCATTGTGCAATATGAACCTGGAAAAATGACTGCATACGTAGTTTCATTTGATTGGGTTTCTGTTGCATTTGGTGAAGTTAGTAAAATTTTCAGTATGGAAAATTCGGTTTTGAGCAAAGGTCATAGAAAACAGGAACTGGCTCTGTATGAAATGAATGGTGACATGGGTGAACTTGCATATGTTTTTGATCATCTGCTTAGAGTTAATGAAAGAGCGTTGTTAATTAGCTGTCCATACAGCAAAATGTCTTGTGTTGGAAGTAAGTTTACAGTGAAGGGAACTACAGTTGTGAATCTTAGCAGGTTAATTGGCACTATGAATATGAACTACAGATGTTTGGTCGTTCAGAATGATCCAACAGTAGCCCCTTTGATACTGAATTTCCTTTGGCAGCAACTAATGATAGTTGATGTTTTTGAAGACCCTGTTCCGACAGCAAGAAGTGCTCTCTGTCCAGCTAAGTCACTTCTTTGGCAGCTACCAAAGCCGAATTTGGCACCTAGTTTAGATGCAGCAGGTACAACAAAGAAGGGAGTAAGTAGAACTGAACTCCTCCCAATGATTTCTCGCTTAACACTTACAAACAGCTGCTTATTTGCATTTGATCCTGGTGGAAGCACAGACAGTTTGCTGAGTGATTGTGATGAAATGCCTTATATGTTTGGGAGTCACATGTTGTGGAGTGTTTGGGATGAAGAAGCCACTTGTTTCAGAGGCGGGACAAGTCTTTTCGGAGGAAGAACCGCAGCAATGACAGGAATCATTGAAACGAACTTCATTTGGTTGATCGCCTGGCACAATTAATTGTTTCCTAGATCAGTCTTTCATTTTTATATTTCCGTAGTGCTAATTTCTCTCATTTACAGTCATTCGCATTTGGTGTTAGTTTATTGTCAGCTGTCATAGTTACTGAAGTTGTATCCAGTAGTAGTTTTCTGAAACACAGTCTTGGTCCCCCAGACTGTTTTAAGGGTTTGTCATGTCCCTGGACTTATTTGTTAGGATTAGAAACTATAGGGGTTAGTCATTTTCAGAAATGTGTGGACTATATATAGTCCTTAGGTCTGTAAAATTAATTATCGAAAATATTATGTCAAATTGGAATTTTCCAATTTCTTCTCTCTACTTCGTTCTTCTCCCAACCTGAACACTAAATCTTCAACCTCCGATCAAATTCTTCCTTTTTCTGTTTTCCGGCCACCCAAAGTCCCCCGGAGCGTGACAGGAAGTTAGGAATAGCCCAAGAAAAAAGCCCTAACAGAAAAATACTGAATGTATAATATGAAAGCCTGTAGGGGCCCAAATCCTAAAACACGCACTCACGCACTTTTTTTTGGGTCCAAGTTTCCAACCATGGAAGCTGATCAAATCTCAAGTTTCCAGGTTAGTAGCATTTCTTGAAAGAAGAAGATGATAATACAGGAAGAAGCTGCTATGGAATTCGCGAAAATTCACCCCGACGAGATGAGAGGAACGGATTGAAAAGGAAGTATTCATTCCACGGGAGAGACATATGTATTTAACCTCTTCGGATTATATACTTCCTAGAGTTTTTACTTTTTACTTTTTGGGTAAATGATTCACTCGAACTTGTTAAGTACTCTCACGGTCTCACTGTTTTAAAATGAATATGAACTAAAAATGAAAATTTAAAATGCAGAAATGTGTAAAAGTTTACTCATATTAGTACCAAAAAAGAAAATGAAGAAAATTTTCCAGGGTAATAATTGTCTCAAATATTATAATGTTTTGTAGGGTATACGTCTACTTCCGGCCGGCAAGGAGTGGAACCTTTGTCATTTTAATTACTAGTATTTGTTATCACACACATTTCTTAATCATTCTTAACTTTAATGTTGACCCTGTATAATTTACATATGACGTAGATAGCCACAATACTCAAAGACTAATGCACATATCTTAGAACAATCCTAAAGCGTGAATTCAGATTATGCGTTCTAGTTAGGTATTGTTCTGTGGTAAATTTGCTTAATGCCGATTAATTGCGTCTGTGTTCAATGTTTGTTTTCATATGTTGTGCATGAAATACACACAAATTAAGTTACAAAACCAAGAGAAACCATCCCGAAATTCATGAAATTAATTTACCATTATTGTAGAGGGGCATGATTTCAGATGAAGATATGTATATGATTTACTAGTGGAGTTAGGTTAGGATTTTAATGTTGAGGTTCACGTGGTAAGGGTTGTGAATCCCACATCGGAGGTATTAATAACTGATATGTGAATAAGTTAATAATTAAGGTGGACTCAGGACCTATTAAGTTGAGCTTTTGAGTTCAGATAAATATTATCTTATTTATCGGGTTTCATGCCGAGTTTTCTCTCCCGAATAAATCTCCATCAGTAGTATCAGAGTCCAGGTTGGGCCAGTGACTTAGCCCAAATTATCTTGTTTGATCTGACTGAACACATACAGTCAAAAACCCACTACGAGCGGAAACGTAGGTATAGGCAGCTCAGTTACTCAGGTGGAGTACAGATTTGGACTTGTTAAACTAATTTGGAAGCCCGATGTGGAGATTGTCCATGATCAGGGAGAATGTTAAGAGTCATGGGGTAAGGGCTGTGAATCTCACATCGGAGGCATTGAATCCCGCGTCGGAGACATGGGGATATGTGAATCAGTTAATAAGTAAGGCGGACTCAGGATCCATTAGCTTGAACTTTTAAGTTCAGATAAGTATTATCTTACTTATTAGGCTCTATATTTGGTTTTTCCTCCAAATAAATCTCCAACATTTAATCCCTCAACCAGCACTTTTTCATTACATATCAAATTTGTGCTTTTCTCACATGGAATTAATGAAAGCAGGCATTACATGTGTGTGGGGGTTGATGATCAATGATATTGACATTACTTGACCTCAAAATGGAAAAAGTAAAAGTGCTCCAAAACAACTAACAACCCACCCAAAAGAGTAATCTGAAAACTCCAACCGAAGAAGGAAGGAGAGAATTGGCCGGGAGGTGGACAAGTCCGGCGCTCCAGTTAATTCCATCATTACTTTCTTTCACCCTCAAATTATTGGGGCTAAAAACTAGTTCGGAAAGCTCTTGATCTGGTTGAAATGGCATGGCTTCTGCTTCTAGGAAAGACACGATGACCAGGAATCAACTGAATGTCTTCCGCAGACAGATCATCATCGTAAGTCTCGTTCTCATCAATCCTTCCATATACTGCCACTCTGCTCCTACTCCTGGGGGGAACAAAGTTGGATTGCTTTGACTGATCATTTTCTCTGAGAAGCTTCGACTGATCAGTTTTCCTCCCGACAGTAGTACTACTGGCCGAAGAAGCAACCCTGATTAAATTACCGAAATCGTCACTCTTTTTCGATTCGGAAGAATTGACGTTACTGATGTGGGATAAATATTTCGAAAACTCGGAAGATGAAGATGGAGGAAATCCCATAAAACCGGCAGTGGCATAATGGTCGACGGGGACATTTGTTGAACAGTCAGTGAAGCTTTTGACGTACAAATCCCGGGCTCTACTCAGAAACTTTAGTGGTGCTCTAATAATGTACCTGCCCACCGATATCCATTTCCCAACCTTGGTGCTCATTTTCATACACCTGGAATGTATCTTATTTCTTTTTATTTTTTTTATTTTTTGCCTCAATTTATACTTGGTAACTAGACTAATTCATCACTAGAGAGCTATGATAATTGAGAGACAGAGAGAGAACTGAGATAGGAAAAGAAAAAAAAGATGAATTGGGAAGAATAAGGTTGGTAATCTATAGCACATCCCTTGTTAATGGCGGAGACACCGAATAAGAGTAGTACGGTATTTATTTACGTTAGCATAAGGAGTTTGATTTTTGCGTGATGAATATTGGAGTTAATTTTATGATATTTTACGTAGTGACGATTACTAATTCAGTAGTAAATTGTACTTATCTTTGTTCTTTTGTGTGTAATCCTTCTAAAAATTATACATGGTCTTCTTTTGTCGAATGAAGTAAACTATAATAGCAAGGGTGTAATATATCCTGACGAGGGATTGGTGTAATCATGATGTCAAATGTTTAGATCATTAATTTGGTATGAAAATAATAAAAATAAAAATAAAAATAGGAATGAATTATATAGCATAGTCGGACTCCAAAAGTTTTTTTTTTTTTTTTCATATTTACAGAGTGTCCACCGTCGGCACCAGTAATTAATCCCTCTCGCTAAATTGTAGGCACCTCAATGGATGAGATAGTTAGCTAAAGTATTTAATATTGCTTCATGCTCATGACGAGGTTCGAACCCTTACCTATAAGTCAGGGTTGACTTCAAACTTTTGAATATAAACACATATTATTGTGTTACTATGTCGACCGTTTTGTAGTTACACAAACAAAACATCATTTTAACATGGCACTTTAAAAATGGTGAGCATATGATTGTGGAATTGGCCATTTTGGTGCCAAATGGAGCTATATATGAACAAGGATCATATCTTAATCTCTATTCATTTTGTTACGTTGGCTTCCCATGAGCCGTACTACTGCGGTACTGCAGAAAAGTGAAAACAGCAAGGGACAAAATTCAAAACAGTGGAAGGAAGGACCAACACCATTTGTTGCCGACCAATGACTACCAAACTGCATTGATTTCCTCCGGTCATAACGAGGTTCTTCACTTCCACTCTGCATTCACCAATTTAATAACTACAGCAACCAGTTTTTTTTTTTTTTTCATATTCAGTTTTCATTGCAATCTAAAGTTATCAAAAAGGTTGTATTGAACTAATTGAACTTCACTTATTGATGTGAAATCGAGCTGAAATTCATCAAAAGGTCACGTGAAAAGGTATCACGTTACGAGTTTTTGTCAGTCAATAAAAACTAGTACCTGAAACGCAAGTCCGCAAAGAGAATGTTGTCTACTGCTTAGAACATTCACACCGAGCAAATAATCATGTTATTATATTATTTACCATTATTTACAATGTAATAATTTGTAATAATGTAGGAATTTCTACATTGCGTAATACATGGTTTTGTGGTCAAATATAATTAATGTGAGTTCATGATAATACGATAGTTATTTTATTTTATTACACTTTTATAGTGTAAATTACTATAAAAAATTTTTAAAAAGTGTAATATTGAAAAATTATAGGGAAAATTTGATTAAAGGTGTTAGGAAGATGGTAATTATTATAAAGGACATGTGACTTATTAATTCATTATTATTATTAATATTAAAACAATTTTAATAATTTGACATTCACCAAATGACTTCTTTAACCTTTATTGCCGAAGTGGAATTGATGAGTGGCGACTTCGTCAAAAAAGTGTACACGCTGAAAATGTAGATGATTGGTTTTCAAGAGTCTATTAGATATGAGAGTCTAATTCTGAACAGAAAACGTTCTTGGGATCTTCTTCGGCGCTTTTCCATTTTGTTTAGTACATAGTTTGACACAATTTCCGAATCGGGAGTACCCAAAGTTACCTAGAATTGATGGAAATTTTGGGCAAACCAACATCACCATGCTGCGTCACTAGCAAACTCTCGGAGTATTACTTTCGAAGCACCCATTCCGCGCCTCTCAACAATTTCTGAATTTTTAAAAGTTTGCATCTATTGCAAAATATTGTTTTACATCTTCAACATCTAGTAATTTCATGGTGAAAAAGGATAGATATATCAATCACAAAGGAACATTAGATTAGATGAAAGGGGAATAGGCCAATCTGAAATGTTTGATCGGCTCGGCTGGGATCCAAGCATTTATGATTGTAGAAGTGTATTAATTAATAATATTAATAAAATATAAATAAGTCTCATACGTTTCATAATAATAATAATTATGATCTTTATAACGCCCTTAATAAAGTTTTGGGTTGAGGATGTACGTTAGTTATGATCTTGGCATGGGTTCGAGGCCCATAGATATTCATTCATCAAACACTACATCTAATTTTAGGTCCAGAGCTTGCCAAACGGATTTCTAATCTTCTATAATACCATCTTCTATAATATTTTATCAACAAGGAAGAGTAACACTTATCATCTTTATTACCAATTGTATCTTGACCTACCATAGTTACCCGAGAAGTTAGAGAAGAAAATGTCAGAATGGTGAGCAAACAGACCATCGAAAAATAATTCTCTCTTGATACTAAGTTAAAGAAAGAAATTGTCACAACGGAAATATGTATATTGAATATAATTGAGTAAGTGTTATTATGAATTACTTACACAATCTAAAACTAGAGTTAACTAGTAATATACATAATTTATTAATGATAGACATGACTAATAACTAATACTCACTCCGGCCTTTATTATTATAAAGTATTTTAATTTGTTCTAAATTTCACTTAATATGTTTTCTAGATTGAAAAAAAAAATTAAAAATACATTTCACTTTTATTGCGTTCTTTTGATTATTAAAAAATATTTAAAAATTTTTTTCTCAATTAAAAAAATACTAAATGAGATTTAAGACAAATCAAAATGTCTCATAATAAGTACGAAAGACAGTATGTGATAACTGATAACCATTACTTCGACGTTGGCTTTGGAATATGGCGCGAGAAGAGTGATAACTGAATTCAGAAATTTTAGATGGTGAATAGTGTGGAAGAGGGTTGCAGGGATGAATGGAGATTTGGTTAAGGTTATAGGGGTCACGAGAGATAATTAAAAAAAGTGATAGTGAACGTTTAGCATGTAAACATAGAAATTTTTGTGACGGATGATCTAGTAATTTATTAATTCTATAAATATTAAACCTTAGTTAAAATACGAGAGAGCCACTTATACGCCGTTGTTATGATTTAGTGTATTAAGCATTTTAGATCCTTCATTGTAAACCAATGTTTTCCAAGAAGGTAAAAACTTAAGGTGCAATTGACACATATACCCTAATTAAGTGCGCTTACGTGAATGTGCCTAAAACCATTCTGGCGTGGTGTCAAGGGGAGAGTATGATAAAGATTAGCCAGGAAACAGAAAACACAGTGGATTTCGGGTTTTTGGTCCTTTTTCCTTCTTGTTCTATGAGCACATGATGTGCTCGTTATTTGTTGCTCCTTTCTATTTCAAAATCATTGGCCAGTTTCGATTTTTATTATTAATTTAATTTATCACTGATACTAAAAATCTAAACTGGACAATGATATTAAGACGGAAAAAATATGATATTTGAAGTGACGGAACTAAGGGGAGACAGGGGGTCGATCGACCTGATTTGGCCGGATTTTCTCTTATTAGGGTGTTCGGTAGCTGAAATTTTATCAGTTCAATCCTTCGATGACGGTTGAATAATCTTATATTTGATCCCACGATTTGAAGGTTCTCGTTCCGTCACTCATATTTGCGAGAATTTTTTTCTGAAATATTTATATGCCTGTTAAAAGGGGGAACTTTAAAAAAATGGTGTGCAAGTTGCTAGTCATGACTCATGACTTATCCAAGAGGACCAGAACAAACAATAGACTTGACCACAGCAAAATGCGAGATCCATGCACTCGATGGAGTTGTGGACCAAATGACTAGGAACTCGGTCCATTTATATTGAGTATAAGTTGCCCCACTTATCATCAACTCACCAGTCACCACATACTTAAGAAGATGCTTAGAAGTTTAGGACATGGCACCATGATTTAGTGAGCTAGCATGATGCAATTGAAACTGAATTCTAACTCAACATAACTTCAAACAAATATAGTCAGATATTCTGGTGCTTAGAAACATAACAATAAAACGGGTACGAGTATATATTCGACGGGGATTATGGCGGGTTTTATGAATGTAAATCTTTTTCCTAATTATCACGATCTAAATATTTTAACAATCATAATTAGAATAGAAAATAGAACTGAAAAATCTGCAAATTCTTTCGTTAGAACTAAGAATAGGAATATGACGAATGTTTCACAATTTGAATATATTGGCTTCTGCTTCTATATATGTTTCACAATTAATTCACGGTTGGATCAATAGGGAGAGGATTGCATACAATCTCAACCTGGCTTTGGGGTCGTATTGTAATTTGTAAGCACGAGGAAGTCAAACTTTCTATTAGCCGACAAAACCTTTGAATTCTGACTTTTGACCAACAACTCATAACAGCTGAAAATCGCAACTCGTCCTACATTAGACTAAGTTGATGTTGTTAGTAGTAATCATGCTATTGCTGGTCAAACATAATGCGATGTTTAGTGTATCACAGAGCTAATTAACCAAGAAACTAATTTACTCGTTATTCGGTTTAATATTTTCAATATGATTAGTGTCAATTATTGTAGCATGATTACTACTATAACATCTGAAAATATTAAACCGACGGTGGACATCTTTAATTCTGAAAATATTTTCAGCGAGGGGGATTAGTTACTGTTGCCATAGTGAACATCCTGAAAATATGAAAAAAATAATAATAATAATAATAAAATAATAAAATAAAAAATTTCAACATGATGCTCCTAAAAGGCTAAAACTGTTCCCCTCTATACATCAATACAGAAATGTTTGACCACAATCCATAATGTTTGAATTCTCTCCAGGTCGATCTAATGTACAATGGAACAAGCTTATAAGTTTATTAGTTATTGTTGTTGAAGTGTCAACTATTGTAGCTAGTATATTTATATTTCATCATTAGAACTTAATCGTTGTTATTGACGGAAAACTCATAGCGATATAAGTACAATAAATTAAATAGCATTATAAGTTACCTTTAATTAGTGTAATAAATACCCTCTCTCTTCTTGATTATAAGATATTTAAAGCTTTTTTTTAGTCTTATTTATAAAATATTTAATGTTTTTAAGATTTCATTTATTGTGTACTTTTAGTTTTATCCTTATTTTAATCTGATTGGTGTCTTATATTTTTGAGAAGGAAGAGTGTGGGATCTTTTTTAACGTGGATAATGTAGTTAGTTCATTAATAAATAACAAATTTATCGATTTCCCATTTAGTTTTGAAAAATAGTTATTTATGTTTATACTATAAATAATTGTCTAATTTATATAATCATTTTTAATCACGCTATATTAAAAGAAATTTAAACTGAACACTCATATTGCGACAAAAAAATATCAAAGACCAGATGAATAATATTCAAACTTCTAACTTCTGACATATCACAACCAAGTCGTATTGCACCTTACATAGCACTTGATTATATTATATTATATTATATATATATATATATATTATCTTTAGGTATCCTCTAAGAAACTTTTACCATGACTTTTAACGAAGTTTAAGGTTTCTCCAGTCCGATACTTCTATCTAAACCTAAATTAAAACAAAAAGGTAGGAAGAAATCAGGAGAACCGTACGAGGGAGCTGGGAGAGAGTAATTTGGATCCACATTTTATTGGTAAGGCTGTTGAGCTGTCTTGAATCAGTGAATTGCGCAATTTACATATGTGCTGAGGTAATCTATTATTAAAAAGTGAACATGAAAAAGTAAGTCGTACTAAATAGATAGTATGCTTTTTGACGACTATCTTCATCAGTAGTAGTAGACTTTTGGATCTTTCCTGTACAGTGTACAGCAATATGCATGCATGCACGAAGTGAACACAATCCGCTGCACTATTAGCTTTTGATGGGCCCTAATTAAACTTTAGTTTTGATAAGGGGAGATGAAGCTTACTCGAAGGAACTACATACGTACGTATAGGACGGTCCGATAAATGAACAACTTACCGTGACGCAAATTATATCCTGATTATCCAGTTAATTTGTAGTCGGCGACAAAGAATCATTGTAGTCTGCAAGCAGGGGAGAATCCCTTCATGGAGTTAAACACTTGGTTTAAGAGGAGTAAGTTATTCATGTAATATTGTAATTTAATGTATTTTCAGTGCTTATTATGCCTATCCTAGTTGATTCTATAGAGATTATTAAGTGGGCGTTTTGGCTTTGTTAGATTTTGAAAGTAAGTTCAGTTTTTCGTCGAGTTTACTCAACAGGCAAAACAGACGACAATATTTATAGTTTCCACACTAAGAAGACAACGTCTGACTTTCAAACTAGTCGTAAAAAAAAAAAATTATATTCCATTAAAAATTAATATGAAAAATTGAATAAAATTTTATAATTATTTGTCAGTTTAATAATCAATTTTAGGTTATAATTAATGATCACATAACTCCAATTTTTAGGATTTATATTTCTAAAATTGAATTTTTTTTTAAGGACGGGGGAGTAGTTAAGAAGGTCGTCCGATCGATTGGAGTCTTTTGCCAAAATCTCTGATCTCAAATGTAATTAATGATCTAAAATTATAGGCATGAAATAAACCCAACGAACATCAAACTGGCAGATGGGAGATTCAAATTAATTTTGGGTCACTAACAATAATAATTTCCCTGGGTTTGAAAGTGATGAATGATAATGTATGGGATGGAAGGCTTTATTTGGGGGCGTTGTTATCGTGGGGGACCGGCCAGCCGCCAGAAAGGCGGCTCACCGGCAACGGATCTGCTTCGTGTGCAGCCAATCAACCTACAAAAAACAATAATGCTGCATTTGACAAAATTATGATCGAAACCGAAAATTGAAGACTAAAGAGTGGTACTAATGTACTATCACTATCAAAGAACAATTATTGTTTTATAAAAGTTTTAATAATTACTGGGAATACCGTTTAACATCTGGAAGTAGCCTCTCCCTATCTCTTTTTATTTGAATCAAACATATAGATAGAATATATATCCATTTTTATTTGTGTATTCCTCGAAAGTTCCCCCCAGGTCATTCACGAATGGGGACGAAAATTATATATGTTGCATGATTCATGAACAAATCTCGCACAATTCAAGCCTTTCATCCATGTACGAATTCGTTATCAAAGAGACTGATTAAGCCCACCAGTTAAAAAAAGTTATGGAATCTCCGAAGTTTGACCAGAAATTGTCTTCAAAAATCCAATCTAATCATCAAATTAATTTAATATATATAAATCAGAGCCCTGTTAGCCATAAGTTTTACAAGGAAAAGTTGCAACCACATTTCCGCTATATTCTTTCTTGGAGCATTAGTCCATGAATCATCGCACAACTTGGGACATATAACTTCATGACTTTGGTTGGAAATCCGCAACCATTTCGATAAAGAAAGCAAACATATTTTGGTCAAGTAGTAAGAAATTCATATTCGTTAATTGTAATAACTGAATGTGACAACAATTGTTGAAACACTGTTATTTCTGGAAAGGATTTTACTTTGAATGGATCATAATTTTATATATATGCGCATTTATTTCTTGATTTTGGTTAAAAGACAAAAAAGAAAGGGGCAGAAAGCAACAGAAGTTATACGTACACCATCCAAGCCAAATACAATATAGTAGTATTATATATATTTAAGATAGGCCAGGAAAATGCCAGAAACGGAGACTATATTTTAATTTTGATGAGAATAATTACTATAGTATCAATGGTCAAATAAGAGCAACAACGCTGTTTTTTGTAAGGTCACTATAGTATTGCCATGCCAGCCGACGCTCAGGACAAAAATACACAATATTTTGAAAATTTCTATTTACAGTCAAACTTTTCAAGATTTGTGTTCCTTTATAACCCCTTCTCAGCCTCCATTTCAATCCATTTTATTTATTCAAGCTTTAAACTAGAAAAACATATGCCTCCAAAGTACAACATACAAAGATTCAACCAAAAAGCACTTTGTTAAAAGCTGCTTTTCCAAACTAATATAACTACATATATATATAGTATGGATTCCTCTGACTCATACACTTCTTCATCTTCCGCATCCAGCCAATTTGCTGTATACCCAGAATATTTCAACGACAACAGAGAAAGAAAATCATCTCCACCTTCATTTCATTCATCCCTCCATGAAATTCGGAGGGTTCCTATGAAACCCATGAAGAAACCAATTGCTCCACTTCCACCCACCAGGCCTAAGGTCTACAAAGTGGACTGCATGAACTTCAAGAAAGTCGTGCAGAGGCTAACTGCGGCGCCGGAATTTCAACCCACCGTTGATCAGGGATCGGAGGTGCTGGATATGGTGGAAGTGGTTCCGCCGGGTCCAGCATTCCGGCAGCAGAGGCGGCTGGAGGAGGTGGCGCCGCCAGCACTTGATCTCTCCAACACCACAAATACACCTCTTCGTTTCTCGGGCAATGATCAGTTTGTAAATTTCCAGGGTGGAATCCCGGTGCCGCAGATTCCTCCCAATTTCAGTGATATTATAACATCGGAGAGAAAACTCCACAAGTTGTCAGAAACTTGCGGGGCTCAGAGTCCACTTGGGTTTAGTTTCTCACCTTCTTCGATGGCATGGTGTTTATCCCCACTACTGAGCCCAGGAACCCTTTCCATTCTGGATTGATTAATCAAAAGCTAAGAAATATGCGCCTCCAATATGCTTTACTCATACTCTGTTTTTTAGGCCTCTTTCTCATAAGTCAGAACTACATATGGCACTCTGTTTCATTAGTACAGGTTATTTTGGTAGTTTGGAATCTGGAAAGGGCGTTTGCTGGTTTGAGTGTTTGACTTTGGAGCTGTGGGGCTCCTTAATCTACATTATATATGTTGTGTAACCGTGTAAGCTTGCATGTTTGAGACGTCAGACCAAATAATGCAATCCATACACAAACTATTCTCTTTTATTTTTGGCATATATAATTAAGAGATGTTAGCTATGTCAAAATATATCTTTATCAACAAATCCATTCTGCTGCCTCTTCTACATACACATAAACTAGGTAATTATGCATCATCATTAAACTGATGATGATGATGATGATGATACATGTAACATGCTTACATGTTTTTGTATTTACAAAATTCTGATCACATGTACAAAATATATAGACAGCTGCATATTAATTTCGGGAATGGATCGATGGAACTCGTGATAGCCTGTGATTGCGTTTATGATGAGGCAAATATTGCAGCTGACCCTACATTTGGGTTGGAGTTACGCCTTGATTTCATTATCACTATACTAACATCTTTAGTAGTAATAAATAACAAATGTTTACACGATATAATGTTCAGTTTTGTGGACCAACATGTAATTTAATGCATGTTGTAAAATGTTAATATAAACAAGTTAAGAATTGAATAATAATTTAGTGATTAAAATTATGTACTTTCTGGTATTAGATCTAGGTTCAATCCCCACCAAAGGATAGGTAAGGGGGTTTATCCACTTAAAATGGGATGGATTTTCGAAAAAAAACATATAAACATGTTATGCAATATTGTATAAATCAAAGTAGAATAAAATTAATGAGATATTGTAAACTGTTAGCGAGACAATATATTATAGGATACTCTCTCTATTCTAAAATTATTGTCTAATTTGAATTTTTATTTATAATACAAGTTGTACGTGAAATGAAATTTCAAACTGAAAAATAATTTCAAGACGGATGGAGTACGTAAATGTAATTGTGTAATGTTTTATTATAGACTCCATTTTGGTTAACACACTAAAGATGTTTTAATAGAGTAATGATGATAACTAAAACAAAAGCATATTATTGCGTACAATTGAAAAAAATAGCAGTAATAATGTAAAATGAAGAGCTTAGGTCTCTCGTGCTTAAAAAATCTTGTAAACTGCAGGAATGCGAGAAAAACAATTCCAGCTATCACACTCCGCCATTGCCATTATTCCCTGATGCTGAAACTTGAATGCAGTATTGAAACCCTATTGCCGGCAAGTCCGAGAATTCTCTTGTACTATTGCCGGCAGATCAACATGGATGTTCTCCTCCCGTGAATCCAAGGGTTCTCGAATGTGATAGAAAAACCACCGAAATCCCAAGTTTCACTGCTCCTAAAATTGTCCGAATTAAACCAAAAATCAGGCAAGACGTGAAAATTGGAGGAATGTCAGCAAGTTTCGCGTTACTTATCCTTGTGGAATCGCAAGGCAAGCGACAGTAATTCCGGCTAGCTGAATTTGTAGTTCGGCAACCACTCAAGACGACTCAACTATGGACGGACTCAAAATCCACCTTCATGATTTTGCCAGGCAATGACAGTTCATTGCCGATCGAGTTCACTGAACGGATCACAGGCAAAAAGGTACTTTTAGCGTGGATTTAAGCATCGTCCCAAAACTTATCGGTGGTCCCAAATTCACCTCACAAACAATAGGAATGCATCCCGGTTGCCCGGACATATTCACGTTGGCAAGGGTTTTTTTTTTTTTTTTTTGGAAAAAAAAAGAGATTTTTCTCAGGTGGTTACAGCTTCATTAACATATCTATTATGATTTTTTAAATAATCCATCATACCTTTTCAAATACGTTCGTGATAAAATCTCTTATGTCTATCTCATATGGGAGTCAATTTCTGGAATCATCTTTTCAAATTATTAATTGCGTGCCAATATATTTTGCCAATTTATATAGTTGTTAAATGTATATTTATACACTGACGGGAGTATGAATAAAAGCATGTTGGAGAATAATGCAATTGACGTTGCACGCCTTGTTAACCTACTCTAAGTTCTAACTCCTGTATTAGAGTATTTTTGAATTAAAAAAAGCAACAATATGTTTTCCTGGAAATCTAGGAAAAAATGTCCAATTTTACAAAACACGTAATTTCCCTTTGTTTCCCGGGAAAAATGGTCACTTTCCTAATTAGAAATAAGCGTGCGCGTTTGTACTTTATAGTTTGTAATATAACAGGAATATCCCATTTACACTGCACATGATAAGACGACAGCGTTTGAGCGGATTGAATAAAAATTTCCAAAAGTATAGTATTATGGGCGAATATCAAAAACACCCCCCAGGGTTGGATCATTATCTAAAACACTCCCGGGGTTTGGACCATTATATAAAAAATATCAAGAACGCCCCGAGGTTTAGACCATTATATAAAAAATATCAAGAACGCCCATTGACCAGCTAAACTTGGAAGTTAAAGGAAAATTCACTTGAAATGACCAAAAACCCACGCCGAATTCCGGTACAAATATGGCTGCCGACGGTGAAATTCCAAATCTCTACCCCACTTAAAGCTTATTAAAACCCTAATCTCCAATATTATTTCAAAATGAGGCCATTTAAAATAAAGTATCGTAATCCACTAATTAATAGTCCATGTACTAATATAATTTTGTGAAAAATGATACTATATCCAAAAAGAAAAATAAAATTGTTACAAATATCCAAAAACTTTTAATTAATTGAATTAAAACATATATGGCTTTCTTCCTCCTCCTTTCCTCCGTTCCTCTTCCAATCCAGATCTCATCCACTTTTCCTCTTCGTTGTTGGTTCTTTCTTCCAACCGTTGTCGTCATCCATTTTGGTTCAATTTTCCTCAATGGCTGGCCATCGCTGCAATTTTTCTTTTCAAATTTTTATCCTATTATCGCCAATACTTTTCTTTTACAGCTTCTCGATTGCTATTTTCTTGATAACGATTTAGATTTGACTATATGCTGGTGGTTATTTCGGGTCTTAAGAGCGCGTGGTTTTGATCAGTGTAAATCATAATTTGTTGGGGTATATTCAAGGTATATTGAGTGATTTTCAGTTTGTAAATTTTTCTCTTTGTTCTGAATATAATTCCTTTATAGACAATGCAAGAATCCATGTTACTCTGTTTACTTAAAAAATGGAGTCTGAACTTTTGATATTTTTATAGTGGGACAATCATAATGTTTCTTTTTTTTTTTTTTCCCTCTTGTGGGTTAATAATAGTAGAAAACAATGAAATTTTCTTGATGGTCGATGATGGCCGGTAGAAGTGGTGATTCAAGTCACATGAGATGGTGGTGCGCGAATGCGGTTATGGAGATCGCAGTTGAAGACTTGAACTTTGCCGTGTATAGGGCTGAGTTTTGATTGTGGGAGCATAACGGTAGTCTTTGGGTCGTTTGAAGGGTAGAATTGTCTTAGCGGTTCCTTTTTTGTCATATGGCGTCAGCATGCATCATCTCTTTTCGGTCTAAGGATGAAATAGATGATCAGAGATAAAGGTTAGGGGGTTCTTGATATATTCTAATAAGTTTGGGGAGTTTTAGATAATGGTCCAAACCTCGAGGGCGTGTTTGATATTCTCCCTTGTATTATTGATAATTCAGTACGGAGACTACATCCCTATTCTCCCACCAAAAATAATCGGCGCCGACAGCCGGCGATCCCAATCCAATCTTCCACAATGTCATGGTTAGCTCGATCCATTGCAAATACTCTCAAATTCGACGACGAAGACGCTGACGACAATCAATCAAACGACGGCGCTCCTAATCCTAATGAAGATCGTACTAGGAGCAATATCAGTCCCGAAACAGAGCAGCAGTTAAACGACGATCCGACTGCTTCTCCGCGTGGAGTCAAAGATGATCTTTCTGAGCTCACCAAAACCCTAAGCCGCCAATTCTGGGGCGTGGCTTCATTCCTCGCTCCCCCGCCCCAGTCCGAGCCCTACAAACCCCTGGAAGAATCCGAATCTACGAAGCCCGACCTTGATCCCAATTCGGGTTCGGAAGACGACCCGGCTGGAATAATGGGGATCCGCAACGATTTTGCGGAGATTGGAGGCAAATTTCGTACTGGGATATCTATGATATCCAATAATATTGCCGTATCGGAGATCACGAAAATGGCTTCGAATCTTCTGCAATTGGGATCCGATGAGGAGGAGGACGCGGTGGAAGGGGATAGTTCCAGGAAGGGTGTCATTGGTGTGACTGATGAAGTTGTATCTTTCGCCAGAGACATTGCAACCCATCCCGAAACCTGGCTTGATTTTCCACTTCCCGATAATGCTGATGATGATGGTAATATTTTGTTTCTTTCCTTGTCACAAATGGTTTAAAGTTCAGAGACATAAGCAGCTGTTAGTGATCCACTATATGATTAGTTAGGTTCGAGTTCTTGCAAACAATAGTCGAAAAATCTCTGTTGCTATAAACCTTGTTGGTGCAGCTACTCCGAGATGGGTGTTCTTCAGAAATGTAATCTAATGATGATGCTAGATGAAATATATAGATAATCAAATATCAGACCCATAAAGGAGGACTAAACTTGGTTGCTTCTTATGGCTCTTCCAAAAGTAATACTTAGCTGCTCACTTCTTTAGCCTGGACATATGAATGACTACTAGTTATTTCTCAATTTCATCTATGTCCCATCTTAGTGATGCAAATGAATGCATCATAAGGTTGATGACATTTATGTCTATGATCTAGTCCGATACATATGTTATGATTTCATATGACTTTTGGTTGATTTATCCTTTGGCTATGTGCCAACTCTTGGTTTATCATTTGAATCTTATCCTATTCAGAGCATGCCAGATACTTAGCTGCCTGGTAGTATTGACCACTCTGATCTTATAAGGCATTTATATAGAGCCCATGTTTAGAATCTGATTATCCTTTTGTAAGATTTAGGTTCTTTAAGATGTTTTAGTTTCTATACTCTGTCAAAACATTGCTCGGTGATACTGATTTCTGATATTTCTTAATGCTCAGATTTTGAAATGTCTGATGCTCAACAAGAACACGCTTTAGCTGTTGAACACCTTGCCCCAGGTTTAGCCGCATTGCGGATTGAACTTTGCCCAGGTTATATGAGTGAGAGCTGTTTTTGGAAGATATACTTTGTGCTTCTTCATCCTAGGCTGGATAAGGAAGATGCTGTGTTGTTATCAACACCGCAGGTAAGTTTGGCTGAGTCTGATACTTCATTTCCTTTTTCACTTTCGGCAATGGTAATTCAAGTGGGTTGGTATTTGGTATGTTGGTTAAAATATTTAATGTTTGGAGCTTATTAGGGCTTGTTGTATATTGATTTGGGGAAGTGGCGACCTTAATTTTGGATCATTTTTTGCATCAGTTTTTGCTGCCTCAAAATGACTTTGCTGTTTCTCCGATTTGATTGATGTATATGCTAACTTATCCAGTGGGACAACGGGATGCTCCTGGGCTGTTGTTTCTGTTTATTGATTGATGTCTAGGTTTCCATGTAAGCTCATAAATATAAGAAAGAACCTGAACTAAATAGTTCAAGTTTTGGTGTGACCTGCGTATCCAACTCTCCTGATTTCTCATACTCTAGACATGATGACTAAAACACCAATTTTTGTGGGTCACTGGTGTATCTAACTTTAATATCAGCCATGCTGATTGCTGACCTTCCATGGTGTCAAATCTTTTCTGTCTTAAGTATAACGTAAAAATCGTCACGCCTTACCCACTTGGCGGACATGTGTGGGTTCTGGCACCGGTATCAAAGCTGGATAGTTTGTTTGCTACTTGATCTTCCATTTGATACTGGAGCTATTTATTCAGTGGCTTGTAAACTTCTCTGAGGAATAGGAATGTCCATGTTTTAAAACCATTCCAGACGTGAGGCTTTCAGTGAATGTTTTAAAACCATTCACCTGTGATCATTTTTATTTTTGCCATTTCAGTATTGTGTATTTATCTTTATTGTGCAGTGGATTTTCAAGTTATTGTCTTGCTCGGTTATGACATTTATTCCTCTCCTTTGGCATTTCATATGGCGAATGCAGATTATGAATGCCAGGGCCTTGTTATCACAGGAACTGCAGAACCGCAGTAAGGCCAAGGTATTGGCTGGAGAGGGCACAATTGATGCCAAAGACAGCTCCTACAGTCAAAATGAAGAAACCCTTTCTGTACCATCCAGCACTGATCATGACAGCGTGCCTGTAACATCTGTTGTTGAAACTTCTGCTTCCACTGCAGCAGAAGAATATGGGACTGAGGAACAACCTTTTAGGAGCATTGAAGTTCAAAATTCCAATAAACCTGTGGCCTTGAAAACGGATGACCAGAACAAGGGTCAAAATATGCAAACTCACTCCACAGAAGAGAACGATGAAGATGATGCTGATGATTGGTTAAAGGAAGAGAGCACAGAAGTAGGTGGCATTGCTGGATCGACAATCCCTATTGAGAATGAGGAGGACGTGTCTTTTAGTGATCTTGAAGAGGATGATGAAGATGTGCCGACAAGCCTCAAAAAACCAAGTTACAGTTCAGATAAAGACTCTAGAGATTGGGTTCAATTGTGAAAAGCTTTTGCAACTTGTTGGAGTCTCCGTCTTGAATGTGTTGGATGCAAAAAGGCGACTTCAAGTTGGAAAAAGAGCCTTAACTGGTTTAATCTTGAGAGACATGTCAGCATGATGTTTGAAGAATCATCTCTGGAAATTGTTTATTAAATTTGCATTTCTGAAAAGAAAGGAAAACGTGTTTATAGTGTAATTCCTGTCTATTTGGTGCGGACCAAGTCCTAGCTGTAATTGTAAGTTTGTAAATAGACACCCTCATTTGGATGACGTTATATCACAGAATGTCTTTGTTTATTCCGCTGAGCAACATTATACGATGCAAGGCAACATGTTGAACTTTTATATCTCTGTTAGTGTGACAAAGCTTACAGGCCTGAGATATTAATGAGCAGAAAGATTGTAATCTCCCAATGTGCACTAGGAATGACCGAATGGGAAGCTATTATATACAAATATTCAGAGTTGATCACGAGAGAAAATCCTATTATGTACACAATACTGAGAGTTGCCAGGCATAATATGTACAAAAGAAAACCTACATGGAAGCAACTTATACACACATGAATCAGATTCACATCTTGTCACAGTTCCTATTATGATTTTATAGGCTTGAAATTGCTTGACAGCCTCTCAAGTTGAGACCACAACACACTCCCAAATGAGACCGTCCTCCTCTCCACCAAGCCATTGCTACTGCTACTACTACTATCTCCACTCGGGTTTGAATGAGTGGTTTCAGGTTGCTCATCCACTGACTTGTCAATCACCAGAATGGTGCCTCCAATTTCTTTCTTTACCATCTCAAGTGTTTCTCCGCTAACAGTCTGCCCGGAAGTGTCTTTAACGTAGAATGTTCCAACAGCTCTATCATCAATCGATCCAATCTCGGCTCTTGTTATGGATAGTCCATTTTCTCTAAAGACTCTCGTAATATCTGATAGTAATCCTAATCTGTTTTGGGTTCTCACATCCAGCCTTATCCCCTATAAGAATATAACATGATTTAACTAAATTTATAATTGTTCCTTTCATTATAGAAGCAGTTGTCTTCTTAAAACATTGAAGAGATTCAGGCTCACTTACATGAGACACTCTCCTCTCTGTGGCTGCAATGAGACACTGAATGAGTCTCCTTCTCTCAGCCTCCAGTTCCAGGGTGCATCCTCTTTTGTGCCTTACATAGTATTCCTGAATCAAACATGGCATTAAACCTTACATGGAAAGACAGAATTCATAAATGCGGCATAACTTAAGCCAGTAAGTAACTACCTGAAAAGCTCTCGACCCTTTTGAGCTTACGGCTGCATGGAACACAATATACTGCATGTCTGTCAAAGCGCATACAGTATCAAACAATAACTTCGGTCGATCTCTACTCCTCACAGTGATAATTGAGTAACCTTTCTCTTTACAGTTCTCTACTTTCACGTGCGTAGCGTCACATTGGTTCAGCCTCTCCTCATCACACTTTCCATATGGGTAGAACTCCACATCCTTACTAGGTATCCCCTCACAACAAGAAAAGCAGCACGCCTCGTAGTCTCTATCAGCTTCCATCAACTGGTGAAGTCGTCTTTCGGTGTGAGTTTTTCCAGATGGGGGAGATGCCAACCTCACACTCCGCTTTTCATCATTAACGTGATGAGCCTCGACGACACTTTCCAGCTGGGCCTGTACACGTGCCACTCGACATGGATCAGTAATAGGTGCACCATTAGAATCATCTGCCACATAAAGGATGCATGCTGAACGAGAATTATGAGTCCAAACCACAGCTGCTGAAATATGGCATCCCATTTCAGCCAAAACAGCTGAGATCTCTGACATCAAACCGGGCCTATCTATTGCAGTCATTTCAAGGGCAGTGTGCTCACTGGAGATATGAGTTGGTCTAACATTTCTGCGCAAAGATAGTTGGAGCTCTTTTGAAACTTCTTTGCCTGTACCAAAAGCCTGTTCATAGTAGTGTTAATTTCCTTAACACCATTGGTAAGAAAAGTGAAGTGTACATGGAACTGAAATACAGTGTAACTGAGGGAAGAGCGAAAATCTACCTGCTGGATATGATTAATGAGGCCTTCGTCCCTAATTTTCTTCCCTTTTTGGTCTGTCACGTGAAAGACTGGTAAACCATGCAATATTAAGCCCACATGAGTATGCATAAAAAGGTAGACACTAATGATATTGTAAAGATCGAAAGCTTGCTTAATGTCAACTTAAGTAATTTAATCTATACAGTCTAAAAAATGAGTTAACTACAGTGATTTAAGAATTAGTGCAGAGGGGAACTGACCATCCATTAACCAGCCACCATCAGAACAAATGTATGATTTGGAAATTACTAGTTCCAAATCTGTCAAAAACTGGACCATCTCCAGTAGTATCCCATGCTTGTTCGCGCTATCGACCTGTCAACAGAAAGAAGAAAAAGAGAGTTTGAATATCAATTCTACTGAGTTAAACATAAAAAATAAAAATAAAAAAAAAACAAAAAAAAAGGCATTACAAAAGTAAAGATTTGCTTTTACAGTCAGAAATCACATTCTTAATCCCTTGAAAAATCATAGTGATGGCTTTTCTGGTTAAATTATACATACTTTTCTGACCAAAATGGACCTCTCGTTAGAAGGTTGAGATTTATGTGGCTTAGTTAATACTTAATACCGGGTTGATAAGGACTGCAACTGATGGAAGCTTCCCATTCCATTGTATTGTGCCGGCCAGCCAAACAATTGATGTTGATTCAAATGAAATGCTTAAGTTTTACCAATTTTTTTATTGCAATAGCACAATATGGATGACTAAGTGATAAAGAAATCGCAAATAAAGTAGATGAGCCCGCCAAGCAGGAATAGCTAAGCAGGCCAAGCTGTAGCAATCAATCCAAGCAGCAACCTTGGCTTGAGGTTTGGTATCTTTACATCCTTTTTTCATGAATGCTAGAATCTATTGGCATAAGGCCCATTCAGCTGACAAGTTCCAAATCCGATTTGGTTAATTTATTGAGATATTGGGACCATTACCCCATATAAGAAAGGCTACATTAAACAATGACTTGTGCTGACCAAAGTCGTTCAGTGACAAATAAATAAAGAAGTTCATCTCAACTCTAAAGATACTCACCTTCACAAGGCTACAATCTGAGCAAGAATCATTATCCACAGATACCCTGTGGCAAGTTCCAAAACAAGAAATTGTTATAATGAAAGCAGACAGAGTTCAACCAACCCCAGATACATAAATAAGGAAATATCATTTTGTCCTGATTAATGTAACCAATTAAATAGAGTAGTAATTAATGTAAGGAAGAAAGTAAGTTGAAAAGAACCTGGGAGGATGCATTCTCTCAATCATGGATACAATGTCAGGATCGAGGAAAGATCTGTAGAACATATCCATCCCTGAATGAAGAACATACGACCAAATTCAGTGGCTGAGAATCAAGTTGTCTATAAGCATCACTTTTCACATGCAGAGCTCATGCCAATTACAAGGACAGATTAGATATTAGTGAAAAAGGGACGCGTAAACTCTATTCAATTCTTGTTTTTCACGTGAATTCCATAGAGGGTTCTTCGAACTCATCGCCAATTTTGCCTGAATTGATGAAACAGTAGTCCGAATGGGAAAAAAGTTCTATCTTTTGAAGGGTTTTGTGAAAAAAAATAAAATAAGAATAGTCCCATATGTTCGTGAAAATCAAGATGTGGTAATTCAATGAAAACACGAATTCTGCTCCATTAAAATCGACACAGATCAAAGGTGAAAGGACTCAACAAGAAACGACAATGCAGACTGATTCTTTAGTTTCAGTTTCATAGATAAATGAAACCAGCCCCTTCTTGGTCACAGGGGAAAAATAAAAACCAATGAATACAAAGAGGAACCCAAGACTCATCACATCAGAACTAGGGGAGATTTAGCCGGAAAAAGATAAAAGACTGAAGCTTGATGTGATGAGGGAGAGAAGTGAGGTTTTTGACAGAATTCAAATTTTCTTTTTTCCTTTAGTCAAATCATACATAAAAAATAAATCTTGGAGGATGAATTAAAGAGAAAGAAGAGTGATGGATGTTTTGGTTTGACAGAAAAGAGCTGCCAGCCAGCCAGCCAGCCGGAGATGGATTAATGAATGAATGTTTTTGTTTTCTTTACCTGATAAAACTCTGCTTTTGGAAAACAAATTTCAGGTGCTCAAGAGAGTCCAGGTGACTTGTTCTGCGGTGGCTTCTTCTTGGGATTCGGGATTGCAGAGAGAAAGAAAGAAAAAAGAGCAAAATATAAGAGAGAGAGCAGAGAAAGAAACAGGGGAACCCGCCAAATCTAATACTACTTGTAACACGTCAGAGTCGGTTTTTGTTTAACAGAAAAAAGAAAAAAGGTTTAACTCCTCCTCCTCTAATTAACAATCCCAACAAGGCAGGGGATTTTGGGGGATTAAGGATCTTGTTTTGGGATCACGAGTTTAATGAATCATGGTTGGAAAGCTGGACCCTAGTCAAAAGTCGGACCCAACCTCGGTGATGTGAACTGGTCAGGTGTCTTTTTTAGTAGTAGTATCTTTTTTATTCTAGAATCCACACCCTATTTATGGTTAAATAAAGAGGTTTTTACTGTATCAGGAAATTTAAACAAAAAGGTTTTTGATGAAACCCTTTTGACTATAATCAAGCTCCCTCAATTTCAATTTGTAACTCGTTTTAGATTTGGAGACATTTTTTAAAATGTAGGTCATTTTACAAATTTTGGGCAAATTAATGACTATTTTTCTAATTTTACCTTCACAATTTATTTTTATTTAGTCTTGTTTATAGTTTCAGTGTAATTAATGATAGGCAAAATAGATATTTAAATACATAAATTAATTGTTAGATAATTATTTTTTTAGTTTACGTACAAAATTTAAAGTGACTTACATTTTGAGATCGAGAACAACATATTAGTCACTTGAAACAACAAACAAATTTGTGAATCCATTGTTGGGTTATAAAAGGCTTAAAAAAGGACCATGGTTAAAGAGAGGAAGGAGTACAAAATAAAAGGATGGGTGAGGTAGAAGACGTATGTGATGAGTTATGAGTACGAAACAGAGCGGTGGTGGTGTCCACGTGTAAAGAGTAAAAATGATGTGGCAGAAGGAAGCTGGATTTTACTATTGCGGCGGCTCGGAGTCGTAGGTTTCGGCACGTAGTCCCTTTAAAACCCCAATATGTGGCTGCGAATCAACCTCGGGGACTGCACGTGGTATTTAACGCCGCTGTGGTCTTCCTTTTCTTAACCCAGTCAAGAAAACTCAAGTAATGCTGATGATTGATTAATCAGTAATCTTCGCCGGGATATTTTGAATTGGGCCCTTTCTCTAATTTTTGATGTGATCCATTTTGAATTGGTCCTTAACTTAGATTAGTGGACTGGCAAAAAAGTCCACATTTCCATAGCATCGTTACTCTCGAGTCTCAAGTACAAATTCCCTTTTCTGCTCTGGCATGAACAATATATTTTTTAATTAAAAAGAACAAGTAAAAAAAGAAATACACTTGGGTGAACTCGAGTGAAAATTGAATACATGTCTAATACCAGAAATCACAATATTTTAATTACTAGACTGTTTTTGAATCCTCAACTCTAGCATGTACTTATTCATGTACATATTCAATTTTCCGTTTTTCTTTATCAGGTTTTTGGTCCATCTTGGCAAAATGGATTAGATAATGAACTATATCGAATGTTAATATACCAGGAATCGAGTCATGCATTGTGACTAGAGTACTGTACTTTTAACTACTAGGTTGAAGTGGGAAGCAGTTAGCTAAAGGCAAAAGTAAGTAGCTGATCAGCAGCCAGTTTTGTGAGACATCTTCCCTACTATCATCACATACGGGGGACCAGATACACCGAGTAAAAGGCACACATAAGTAGACTCTTCTCCTAGTAGTACTACTCCCTTCCTAGTAAGTTTTATCTCGTTGTAATGGATTAGATACCTCTAAAATATCAATTGGTGCAGCCTTAAGAAAAACAAAAAAAAAAGGTTAACAAATCCAAATCATACTCATGTCCAAAGAAAATGGTTCACGATACTTTATAAACTGGTATTATATATATATATATATATATATATTTTTATCGAGGACTATGTGTTAAAATGTATTGTTCCACATTGCCAGTGTAAAGAGAAATGGCTCAGTATATAAATTCTAAAGGCCACCTTATTCACTGCCAATTGATTTTGAGATGGAAATCCAAAGTATTTATATACAGGGTCACCCCACTCATTACCAGTTCGTTTTGAGATGGGAGTCTAAAAATATTTATATACTTTGTACCTAAAAACTGATGCTATGGGACGATACATCTTCATAGGTGTTACAAGTTCACTAGGCATCCTCCTTATCACCTGCAACCCATAATACTGTGCCCTGCCCAAAATGCTGTGATACGATATCAAAGTATGTAAGTAGTTTAGTTTTTCATCTCAAAATTAATTGGTAATGAATGAATTAACCCTTAAAACATATATACTCAAATGCTTCTTGTCACGCTAGCGATGTGAGACAACACATCTAACACTAGGAAAGTTAGTTATATTTCATTTTAGTGTTTTCCTATTATTTGGGCGAGCCAAAAGTGCAAAATTTAGACCAAACAAAATATATATACATTTGGATTGTTACAGCAAAGTTTTTGCGTAAGATATCATTTAATTTTCGCGCGGAATAGGCTGATAATGTCAAAGTTCCCATTTTCCAATTCCATATCCACAGGAGAAGGGCAAAAAGACATTGGTAAGTAAGACAGACCTGTAAAGTCTGAAAGAAGCCGACTTTGATGGCAGCCGACATTTGACCTGTTAGAAAATCAAATCACTGAATCGAACCAAGCGAGGGTCCCTTTCCACAGTCATCGATCAAATCTAACTGCACTCTACGATTCACCATCCCTATCCTCTCATCATAACCAACTCAAATAAAATAACAAGATAACTGAATAAATGATCCATATCCATTATCCAATTAATCAATTGCATTCTATACATGCCTGTTTCCAGTTCAACCTATAGGAATTTTTTGGATCCCTTTTTCCAGAAACTGACATCTGCATCATCCCATCAGCATCCGCGTTTGCATATATCCTGGTGGATCAAGCTTAATTCAGGGGGCTTCTTCTCTATTTCTCTTCCGCAATTCCCTTGGCCTAAATTCTTCTTAGGAGTTCGTGAATACAAAACCCTTTTTATCTTCTCTTCTCTTCAACAAAGTAAACGTCAGTTGCGCCATTTTGCAACTGCCGCATCGTCATCTGTTGGATTTCTTTTGTAATCGCCTTTCCAGGTTTGTTTACAATTTTCTTTTTCATTATTGTAATGGATAATTCCACATTCACAGCCCACGAATGGGGAATTCTATTGCATCATTTGCGTGTTGTTATGACCGCTGAACTGTCAGGAAAAAAGCAATCTTTTAAAAGCTTTTGACACGTACCCTTTCTGTTAGGATTTGATTGCTCACCTCAATTTGTTAGTTTGTTATTCTACCCGAGTTAAACCCAGAAAAAAGTTGCAGTCTTTTTTGTTCTTTTAAGATTAGTGGGGGGTTTACTTTTATGGATTTGGATTTGTTGTTGAGGGGTTTTGATTACACAAGGAAACAGAGGAAGTGGCTTCTGTTATTGGGTGGATTGGGGTTTACCAGCTATGGAGCTTACAAAGTCTATAACTCGCCCTCTGTGGCAAAGAAGAGGGAAAGATTAGCTAAGGTCTTAGGCGCCCTTTTTGCAGTGGCTGAAATGGTTTCTGATTCAGCTGAAGCAATTGGGGTGGTGTCTAAAGATGTAAAGGAGTTCTTGCGGTCTGATTCTGATCAAATTCCCAATAGTTTGAAGCAAATCTCGAAGATAACACGGTCAGATGAGATGTCAGAGTCTCTGGCCAGGATCACTACTGCTTTGACTGTAGGATTCTTGCGGGGTAACAGGCAAGAAAGTCAGAGGGGTACTGTTGGTTCTGTTAGCAGGAGGTGTGATTTCTCTGACCGGGTTTTGGATAAGCTTTTCACGGAAGAAGGAGCTGGTTTTGCTTCCATTATCGTTGGAAGTTTTTCACGGAATATGATTTTGGCTTATTGCTCGAGTAAGCAGCTGAATGGTTCTCCAACTGCTGCCCATCTAGTTTTGGAATCCAACTCTACTCCAACGTGGGCTGATGTGCTGGCTGAGGATAAATGTAGAGAGCTGATCGGTAATTGTGTTCAAACGTTTGTGAGCACGGCTGTTTCTGTTTTTCTTGACAAAACAATGCACATTAATACCTATGATCAGCTCTTTTCTGGGATGACAAATCCCAAGCATGAAGCCCAAGTGAAGGAGATGTTATCATCAATATGCAATGGCGCTGTCGACACTCTTGTCAGGAGCACTCACCAAGTTATGGCCAGTTCAGGCAGTGATACCACTCAAAAATCGAAATTTCTTCCCACTGAATTTGGGCAAAGTCCAAGTAAGGATGACAGAGTAGGACTTATTCCGCGAAGGTTTATGCCATTTGGATCGAAATCGGGCAAGTTATCGAATGGTAACCAAGATGATGGATGGATGAAGAGGATGACTTCTACTCTGTCTATACCAAACAATAAGAAATTTGTGCTTGATATTACTGGAAGGGTGACTTTTGAGAGTGTCAGATCTTTTCTGGAATTCCTACTTCAAAAGATACTCGAATGCATGAGAAGAAGTGTGGATATTATACATGAAGAGGTTGTGGACAGGGGAATTGAAGTGGTTCAACATGTGGGCAGGACATCTTCTGCAGTAGTTAGTATTTGCCTTTCTTTATGTTTGCATATATTGAATGGTCCCTGGATCTTAGTTCCATCATCAGTTCTTTGATTGTATCCCAAGTTATTTTGGTTCTTCCACTACATTTGTTAGATTCTTTTCTCAAGTTCAATCTTCATAGAAGTATTGCTGTCGTTTGATTGTGCATCGAGTTAAGCCATATTTTGAAATTTGTCAAGTCTTTTGATCTCCAAATTGAGTGTACACACCGAGAAAAGGAAATAAGCTAGCAAGCAAATTCTGAATAGGATGCAGAAAACTGAATAACATCGTACGACACGGTGATGTAGTAACTGGACGCTCATCAATTGGCAGTTCTAGGGGGACTATAATCTTTTCCTTGTTCAGCGAGAATCCACCTCATCAGACACTCTTCAAGTTCATCCCCCAATTCTTCACAGCTTTTTTTCCTTTTCCAATTGCTCTTGTTCTTCTAACTCCTATGACCAAACCAAACGCAAGCAGAACAATGTTAAAGGGTTAAAAAAGGTACATTCAATCTTTGGAAAAGGAGTTTCATTTGGTTGATCAAACCTGATGTTGAGCTTCTTCTGCAAGAGTAGACTCGCGAAATTTAGCTGGCTTAGGAAGAGCTGTACAGGTCAGTGCTGAGAAGCATAGAAGGGCTATGATGAAAAATGATACAAATTTTCAACATGATTATTTTTGTTTGATTCTAGTCGACCGTGTATGCTCTTGATGAGAGTTTGAGGGATATTGATTATGTGCACGACTCTCAATTTATAGCAGCAGATCAGATTATGTTTTTGAGTGTCATTACTATAACCCAAGTATTTTATATCGAAGTCTTGCTTTTAGTCATTCTTTGGTATGGTCTAAAAGTCTATACCAAACTTATATAATTGGAGAACATGTTGTTTTACTACAATAATTAATACAGAGAATATACCGGAAAAGCACAGGTTCAAGGTATGGTTGGTTGATGAAGAATGTCAACAAAAGAGAGGTTGTAGGAATCAAATGAAAGTCTCAAGATGCTTCCCTCATAAAATAGATGAAACAGGCATCTAATTGAAGGTGTCTATGCATATCATCAGTAAATGGAATTATTGTGTTGAACGATATTCTATTATTCTTCACAACATTTTGCTGTCAAAGTTCAGTAAATTCACAAATGAAAAGCCGAAGGAAAAAATAAGAAGGTTGACGCCAAAACCAGATTTCCATATTGTCGAACCCCGATTTTAAGGTTATCACAACTCCATCCTTACCATCCACTCGAAAGTCTTGTCTGATAAAGTAGAGCCATGGAGCTTTGTTTTCTTAAATTTTAACATATGAATTCAGTTAATTATACCTCGTCATCGCATAATAGGAGTGTTCCAATAGTGCTTAGAAATGAGTTGATCCTATTTTCAAGACACAAAACCAACAAATGCATAAGGAGAACAATTGAAAGAGAACAAGCAAGAGATGCAACTTTTTCTACAATTGTGGTTGTCATAGAGGCTACAGTTAGTTTGTTTTCAACTGAAAATAAACATTTCATTCTTTCGTCAATCAGTTATGGTTCACGACTAAACCGTGCTTGAATCTGTTACACTTCACCATAAGATATCCTCATCTAATCGCAAATCTAATTTCCACTAAAATGCTAACAATATATAGTGACATTTCATTCCCCAGTGGACAAACCCCTAGAATCACTACGGCAATTACTTATAGATTCCACACGTCTGCAGCTACCTGCGGCTTTAAACTTAGGCAATTACCCGCATCCATTGTGCATAAAACGGCTAAGAACCTATAGCTATGCTTCGGCCATATCTTCTGAAAAAAAAAAAACAAAACTAACAAATCCCTTACCTAGGCCTTTGGCAACTTATCAAAACCATCAACTCTGAGAGGCTTGCTCATTTTCTTTCGCTGCTGCTGTGGCTGCGGCTTCTTCTTGTTGCTTTTTCTTCCAGTACTCATCGAGTGGGGGTCCAAATATAGCTTTTCCAGAGACAACTCCGATTCTACATAAAAATCAAGCACAATTAATACATGAAACTCAACTACGCATAAAATATCAGGGCATAGTAACTATTCAACAAGCATGTATAAAACTAGTTTGCAAATGATTGCCTGCTAAAATGAGAGAAACGTCTGCTTAACTACCACAAAGTCCTTCATAACCACAGATTGGTGCTTCTCACTCATCAGTGATACCACAGCAAACTTCACATAAAACAAACGTGGTTTATGCACTTAGATTAGTGGAATGGCTAATGCCAGCCAAATGCCAATAATCCATCTAACGCCAAAATGAAAAAAGGAAAAAAAAAACATAGACTAGTGATAATGGAAGGAGAATGTCAACTACACGATTTGCAGAGTAGAGTGCAAACTAAGATCTAACCAGGGCAGGTACTCGAGGACCATAAAATTAAAAACAGAAGTTGAATCCAGAACTCTAGTCAAGTTTCACTTTTAGAAACGAGAGCTACATCACTAATCTTGATAGCTCAGATATGAAGTCCCCAATCCCCAGTGGAAAGAACCCCAATTCATGCTGAACAGAGTAGCCAATCCTCAAAAGACCAACAGTAATATCTACTTCAATAAAAATCATCCAAGCTCTGTAAAAGTAAATATAGTTCATTTAGAGCCATTCACCAATCTCAAACTAAAAAGAACAATCAGTTCAAATTATTCGGCGTTTCGTAATTATTAACTAAGAATTAAAGAGAAAAGAGGGGTGGAGCAGCTTACACGACGGCGCCGATCACCAGTGGCATGGACAGGAACCTCCGTCTACCCCACATTTTCAGGTCTCTTGAATTTGAGCTAGGGTTGTGTTTGAAGAGAATGAAGGAAATGGAAGAAGAACTTGAATCTGTATTTTCAGTGTATCTCAAAAACTTAACCTTTGGTTTCTCAGTATAAAGCTATATATACATCAGAGTACATCTAGCTGAGCTACGTACATATTTCTTACTTCTACTCTACGGAATTTATACAAGTATTTAGTATTTACATAACAGTCCCTTCTGTATGAAACTAATGCTAAATATATATTCACAAATATATCAATTGACTAAGTCAACTCAACTATAATGTGGATACTTCTACATCCCCTCCGCAAGCTGGAAGACGATTGTAACTTTGAAAACCCAGCTTGGAGAGTAATGTATGAAACTGTGGCGGAGCTAAGGCTTTTGTGAAGATGTCGGCAAGTTGTTGAACAGAGGGAATATGCAGCGGGACTAAAAAACCGAGTTCATATTGATGGCGGACAAAATGGCAATCTATTTCTAGATGCTTTGTCCGTTCATGAAACACGGTGTTTTCGGTGATGTAGATGGCGGCTTTATTGTCACACCATAGAGACACTGGTAGGGGAACAGAGATGTGGAGATCATGGAGCAAATAGTTGAGCCAAAGAAGCTCTCTTGCCGTGACACTGAGACAACGATACTCAGCTTCGGCGGATGAAACAGAAATGGTTGGCTGCTGTTTAGTTTTCCATGAAACCAAAGAAGACCCAAGAAAGATACAGAACCCACTAGTAGATCTTCTGGTAATGGTATTTGACCCCCAATCTGCATCAGAGTAAGCTTCAAGATGGAAGGAGCTGTCTGAGGAATAAAAAATACCATGATCTGGAGTTCCTTTGAGGTATTTAAGCACATGGATCAATGAATTCCAGTGATCCGTACATGGAGATTGCACGTGTTTACTCAATTGCTGCACAGCAAATGTTAAATCTGGTCTGGTGAAGTTGAGGTATAACAACTGACCTACAAGTTTTCGGTAGGAAGAAGGATCAGAGAGATGAGCCCCAGGTTGATCTGAGAACTGATGGCCGGCTGGTAGAGGTGTTGTAGTGGCCTTACATCCAAGTAATCCGGCTGAAGTGAGTATATCCAGGATATACTTTCTCTGGGTAAGATAGAGACCTGTTGAAGACCGGGTAAGTTCGATCCCCAAGAAATATTTTGCAAAACCAAGGTCTTTGATGGTGAATTTCTCATCAAGATATTGTTTAACCTGCTGGACAAGCTCTTCATTTGATCCTGTGATCAGAATATCATCAACATAGATCAGAAGAGCTAGGAAACTGTTTGATTCTGTCTTAGTAAACAGACAAGGGTCACTGATTGACTGAGTAAACCCATAAGCTTGAATTTGCAAACAAAATTCCTTGTTCCACTGTCTTGATGCTTGTTTTAACCCATATAGTGACCTTTGTAACTTGCAAACCTGCCCTGCCTGTGCTTTGAAATAACCATCTGGTGGAAGTAAGTACACTTCCTCTTCCAAGAAACCATGCAGGAACGCATTATTTATGTCCAACTGATGAATGTTCCATCTTGATGCGATTCTGCGCCAACAACAATCTTCACACTATTATTCGCCACTGGGAGTAGCTATCATAATAATCAACTCCCTCCTTCTGATTATACCCCTTTGCCACCAGTCGGGCTTTCAATCGTTCAACTGTTCCATCTGAATGCAGCTTGACCTTATACACCCATTTGCTCCCAACAGGCTTCTTTCCCACTGGTAAAGTTGTGACTGTCCAGGTTTCATTTGCTTCCAAAGCATTCAATTCCTTTTGCATGGCTTCCACCCATCTGGGATCTTGTCGTGCTTCATTGTAAGTTGCTGGTTCTTTGATACTATCCAGTTGAGCAACAAAAACCTTATGTGCTGTTGAAAATGGTAGCTGGATATAGGGATATGTATATGGTGTGTGAGGTGAAGAAGAAGGAACATGAAAAGAAGGACTAAGTTGAGGTTGTGTTAACCAAGCCTTTTCTGGAAGGAAATCATTCATCCAAACTGGAGGAGTTTTTATTCTGGTACTTTTTCGAGTGACCAATGGTACCGTAATAGGTTCAGATGTGGGGTTTGAATTAGAAAGTTGGCTGGTGGAAGTAGATTCTGTCTCTAGCAGGGTTGATGTATTTCTATCAGGGGAGAATGAATGATTTACTAAGGGGGAATTGGGACAAACATTTTGTGTAGTGTGATCAGAAATTTGATCAAGATGATCAGCCATCTGGAAAGAGTGGAAATCCCAATCATCCATACCATCCACTAGTGGTGGTGTAGGAAATGTAGGTTGTAAGGTATGAGTATCAGGGACTGTAAGGAAAGGGAATACATCTTCATGAAATATGACATCCCTAGACACGAAAACTTTTCTGTTTTCTAAATCATACAGTTTATAGGCCTTTTGCCCTTGTGGATATCCAATAAACACTGACTTAATAGCTCTAGCATCAAACTTCCTTTTGTGAGGTAGTGTGTTTGTAGCAAAACAAAGGCTTCCAAACACTTTTAGATGTGTGATATTTGGGGGTTTTGAATAAAGAATCTCATAGGGTGTTTTAAACTGAAGGACTGAAGAAGGTAGCCGGTTGATCAAGTATGTGGCTGTGAGCAAGGCATCCCCCCAAAACTGTTTTGGTAATCCTGACTGAAATAAGAGAGCTCTTGCAATTTGAAGTAAATGTTTATGTTTCCTTTCCACCACTCCATTCTGTTGAGGGGTGTAGGGTGAGGATCTTTGATGAATGATTCCAAGGTTTAGTAGCAAACTTTGACACTGAATATTCAAGAATTCAGTACCATTATCAGTCCTTATGCATTTGAGTGTTTTTGAAAACTGAGTCTGGATTTGCTTGAAGTAAAATTCAAGGATAGAAGTGGTCTGAGATTTATGGTGCATGAGGAAAGTCCAGGTTACCCGGCTATAATCATCTACTAAGGTTAAGAAATACTGTGCACCACTAAGGGATTTTTGTGCATGAGGCCCCCAAACATCAACATGTATTAGATCAAAACAGGTTGTGGTTTGTATTGAGCTAATAGGAAACTTTAATCTCTGTTGTTTTGCCATTGGGCAAACATTACATTTATTTGAAACAGATCCATTTTGATCACTGAACTTTCCTAAGTGAATCAATATGGAATCTGGAATATGTCCTAATCTGTGGTGCCATAACACATTATCATTATGACATACAAGATTGGAAGTATGAACTGTCTTGTCTCTAAGAATCATTACAAAAGGATGATTCACATGTGTAGATATAAACTGTCTAATGGTTTCTGTGGAAAAAGAATCTTGGTCTAAAATATAAAGCTTGTTCATCATCCTTCCTATTGCAATGATCTTCCTATTCTCCTGGTCCTGCAACAAACAAAAGTTTGTTGAGAACAAACAGTCAATATGTGAGGAATTGGCTAATTTACTGACTGATAAAAGGTTATATTTGAAAGTAGGGATATGCAAACACTCAGACAGTTCAAGGGAATCAGAAAGCTTAATGGTGCCTATGTTTTCTATGGGTTTGTGACTGCCATCAGGAAGAATTACTGGTGTGCTAATAGAAACAGGCTGGTAATTTGAAAACATTTTCAACAAGGCACACATGTGTCCTGTTGCTCCTGTATCAATGAACCATAAACTTGACAACAAAAACTCTTCATCAGACAGTTTATTTAAAACTTCATAATTGCTCATACCTGCAAAATCATGGTAGTGAGCAAAATTCACTTGTGGCGAGTCTCCCATGGTCTGTTTGCCTTTGATCATTTTGCTCATTTCTTGTTGAAGTAAGCTTCTCATCATCTGTTGCAAAGTACTCCCTTCATCTATCTTCTGCTCATTAGTGATTTCTGCAAGGTTTGCTGAATATCCATGTGACCTGGTTGATTGATCCTTCTTTCCTTCCTTATGATTGTCGTTCCACCATTCCGGATAGCCTATAAGCTTGAAGCATCCTTCCTTAATATGACCAGGCATCTTGCAGTAATCACATTTGAGAAGCTTCTTAAGAGCTTTGTCCCTTCTAAACTCATTTTCCTTTGCATTCTTGTTAAAATTTCCTTTCTTCGTGAAAAAGGCATTCTGATCATCTAGTTGATGAAAAAGAACATTTCCTCCACCATTCATTCCTGAAGTATTCTTCTGTGTTGGATGTACAGAATTTGTCATTCCACCATATCCTGAACTGACTGACGATCCTGTGTTCATATTAACCTGCTGAGTATACATGGCACTCTGGTCCGTAATCATTCCATAGGTACTGTTTACAGAGTTCTGTTCTTCAACAGTAAGCACCATTCCATAGGCCTTTTTCACATCTGGAAGTGTCTCCATCATCAATATATTGTTTCTTACCGCTGTATATGTATCATTCAAGCCTGTAAGAAATTGGTACAAACGATTCTTTGTATCTTTGGCCCCTTCAGTTCTGAGTCCACAGGTACAACCTCTGCATTGACATTCTTCTGCTGGATCCAAAAAATTCAACTCATCCCACAGTCTCTTCAGTCTTGAGTAATAAGTAGCAATTGATTGATTTCCTTGCGAGATGGTGCAAATCTCTCTTCTCAATCTGTAAATCTGTGGTCCGTTTCTCTTCGCATGTCTATCTCTCAATTCATCCCACAATTCTTGTGCTGTTTCAGCCAGAGTATAATTTTCTACCAAACCGGGAGATATTGCATTCAACAACCATGATACAACAGTTTCATCAACTCTCAGCCACTGATCATACTCTGGTCCTAGATCTGCAGGCTTTGGATAGCTTCCATTCACAAAACCTAACTTATTTTTCGTTCCTAAAGCTCTTCGAATTGCACGATTCCAAGTAACGTAATTTGATTCCGTCAATTGAAAATTGATAAGTGACAAAGCTGAATTATCAGAAGGAAGTAAGACTAAAGGATGAGTATAACCTCCATAGTGCTGAAAACCACCATCGTTACGCCGGATCTGACGGTCACCGTGACGATTTCCTTCTTCCTCCGCCATGTCAGAATCAGACAAACACGCCGGAGAAGACTTGTTTCTGTCAATCGGAGCTGTTTCGGAGCTGGATTCTGGTTATCGGAGCAGGATTAAACCTGCTCTGATACCATCTTGAATTTGAGCTAGGGTTGTGTTTGAAGAGAATGAAGGAAATGGAAGAAGAACTTGAATCTGTATTTTCAGTGTATCTCAAAAACTTAACCTTTGGTTTCTCAGTATAAAGCTATATATACATCAGAGTACATCTAGCTGAGCTACGTACATATTTCTTACTTCTACTCTACGGAATTTATACAAGTATTTAGTATTTACATAACAGTCCCTTCTGTATGAAACTAATGCTAAATATATATTCACAAATATATCAATTGACTAAGTCAACTCAACTATAATGTGGATACTTCTACAAGGTCCTTCGATCAAATTCTTCCGCGTTGAAACGGAAACGCCCCTTCTTCTTCTTCTTGTTCTTGTGCGTGTATTCTCCTCAAATTTTCAGTAGGTTTTCGCGTTTGAGCTTATGGACCGACTCTTGGATCTGAAAGACATTAAGATCTTGGGCTAAAGCTTCAAATATTGGTAGTAAGTACAGTCTGAAACAAACATATTTTTGCTGACTCGTGTACCACGATTTATTGGGCCATGGGCCTTATTATCGTCCCACAAAAATAATTCCCGTGATTTCTTTACTCCTTTTGAGCTTCTTCTTCATTTTGAATTTTATATTTTTGAAATTCCTTTTAAGCTCAAAAAAAGGAAAAAGGAAAGAAGTTCAGTTTCATTAAAAAAAAAAAAAAAATTTCTCCAAAAAACTAGTCCAGTTTCATAACATTTGAAATTAACTCATAAAACTGTGACATCAAATTAAAATTGACCTATCCCATATGAATATAGAATAAGAAATAATGTTTACAACGAAAAGTTTAGAATATAAGTTGAATTGTTACGTGGGTACGTACCCTAAATTAATATTTGGTCTATCCACCATTCACTTTATAACTTTTACTAATTGAAAATATTTGGAGTCACTCTCTAATAAGTAATACTTTGACCAAATGTGAAGAATCGGTAGAACAGCATGCAGTTGGAAGAAGTTTTAAATTTGAAAATAAAAGGTCGTCACTTTACGTAGAATGAGAATGCATCGGTGGACAAATTCTTCCACCAACCAGAAGGATTTTGGATTGGAGCGGCAAAGCCGCCATGCCCATGCAAGTTCGATCGGAACACGAAACTTTGTAAGGCAACTATTTGACCGAATATCGGCGGGTTGCCGGATAGTAAATTAGCAAAGCCGTCTACTTGCATTCTTTTATCCATTCAACTTTTTTATTTAAAAGAAAAATATAAAAAAAAATCATTATGAGCAATAAATAAATGTCCCTGTACTGCACATGTTTCTATTTTCGCGGAAGTACTGCACCCCTCTCGGTGTGATCTTCACTAGTACTTCCTCCGTTCACAAATAGATGTCGTTGGAGGAAAACTTAAATATTCCAAAATAGATGTCGTTCTCACAAATCGAGGCATATTTTGTCAATTTTTTCCAATATCACCCTTACATTAGAAATTGTTGTGATGTTTAATGTAGAATTGTATTAGAAGTGAATTTTATTGGGACTACAATTGAATTGATAATAAACGAGGGTATTATAGTATTTTAACAAGATAATTATTGCTTCCTTAAATTTTGTGAAATCTCTCCAGCGACATCTATTTGTGAATGGAGGGAGTAGTACTTTGTTTCATTTTCCTTTTCTTGAAAAATTTCAACTAAAATCACTAGACTGTTTCTAGAGAATACCATTTTATTCCTGTTTTTTAATTTTTAATTTTTTTATTTTTTATTTTTACATTACACAGAGATTAATTTTTTAATTTGGGAGAGGAGGAACAGAGTAGAGAGACAAAATCTCAAGTTACCATTGTATTGACGATATGTGTATGAGAGATTTATATAATCAAGGTACAGTTTCAATGCACCATAAATGTACGACAACAGCAATTACTTAATATTTATTGCATGCATCGGGAACGTTTCGGTATACTACTACTAGTACTAACAAATTGAAGAAGAAGAAGAAGATGAGAAGACCACTTTGACTAGTGGTTGGTTGTACACGTTTTCTACACATTTTAATGCGCGTTGAGTCGATACACTGGCTGATGATATAGTAGCACTATTGAGATAGTGAAGGAAGAAGAAAACCCTTTTCAATGCGAAATGATATGATCAAAGATAAGATGATATTAAGATGAGAGACTGCAAATAAATAAATAAATCCTCTCTGCTGCCACGATGACACACCATTATCCTCAGGTTCAGGAAGGACCATCCCAAAACCAAAGCTTTTTTTTTTTGGCCTAGCTAATAAAATTAAAGGACGGAAAAATTCTCTGCAATGAATTTGTAGTTTACGACATTAACTACGTACTCCTACTATTAATAATACTAATAATAAAGACTCAACCGTCAACTAACCCTCATCAACATCAACCTGTGACTTTGTATGTGCTTCCTTTACTTCCCTCACCTGAAATCCGAACCGTGTTGTTGTAGGTTGTTCCCATTAAAGCCTGAAAATACACCAGCATTTGATGATCGATGCAAAAGATGTTTTTTTTTTTTTTTTCTCTTTTTTCTTTTTCTTCGGGTTATGTGTGTTAATGGTAAAACGTTCGAGAGAAATGGAGGGAATTCTAGCAAGTGGTTTCACGATGGATAATAATATTGATTCAATCCAAAATCCTTGGGGCCTCAAGTTGATGAAAATATATAATGATGAAATTAACGCCGCAAAATTGATACCAATTGAAAGGCGGCTACATATATATTCTTCAAGCTGACATGGTAATAGATCCTGTCCCGGGAGATATCCGTAAAGTCATAAACCAAGTGGACTTAATAATTCACGGAATCAAATGCTTCCTTTTATTTTTATAATACATTGAGAATGTTGGTTTTGTAATGAGTTTAATTATCATTATTATTATTACAAGTCAAAAGAGAAGAAAGTGAAGTCTCGAGAAAGGTCAGCTCTTTATTTGCCGACCTGCTTTAATTTTCTTACTACTCTCTCCTTCGGGGGGTGCGAAAGATTTTACGGCCCAAAGATCAATTTCCAGTTTGCATACTCCTTTTTTGTGAGGGAATTAAAACATACCAAAGGGAAACGCGTGTCAAAGAAACTATGTCTTTTTCTCCGGTTGTAAACCTCCCTGACTCAACCAAGGAGGCCTTTATTAGTCTTATTAAATCTGATACGATCTTAGGTTAATAACAAATATAACTTCCGGAGATTAAACATTCCCGCAATACATGAAGGCATTTTTAGGCTGTAGTATATAGTTGGTAAAGGCTATAAGAAACGTAAATCCCAGAAAATCATCCTTGACACAGTGAATAATATTTGTATATATCAGATGAACGCCAGCAAACGAATTTGTAAATGGTAGTCAGAATTCAGAAAGTAGCAAAGTGAACAAGATCATACTTAATTAATCATGGTATTGGAGTAACTGAACACATCAATTGCCTAAGGGTCATATTTTTCAGGCTTCAAATACTTGAGTTTTTTCTTTTGTGTGCATGATATATATCATGGCCCAAAAAAAGAAAAAAAGGGGGAGAGGGGGAGAAGGAGATATGTATAGAGAAGACGAATCAAGGCTGCCTGTTATGGCTCTGAGTATAGATGTAATCAATATGAGCAGCAAGAGTGCTTCTCCTTAAGCATTCCTCCAGTTCTTGCCCTGCTACCCCCTCGCAGCTTCCTTCCTTAATCTCCACTTCCTCAACCTGAATCCATCATAAAATCAAATGCAAAGAAACAAATATCAATAAAAGGCGGGGTCAAAAAAATATCATCGGTTTCAACAAGGAATTAATATAAGTAAGACGTTTGTTCATCAGTATTGGTGAACTAATTTACTTACATGAGATTGAGTTGTTGGGAGGGTGGTGGCATCATGAAAAGCTGGTTCAGGACGAGCAGCAAACGTGACTGAAACGAAGAACAGAAGAACGGCAACCAAGAAAAAGGATGCAAACCTTGACATATTGTTGTTTGTGTGTTTAATTTGATGCTATAATGTAACAACTTAATATATATATTCTACGTAGTGGTGGTAGTAGTAGTAGTAGTAGTGATAATATATGTTGTTAGTTCTGTGAGAGAAAGTGTGTATTTGAGGATTGAGGGGATTCGGATGAGAATGGAGAATTTATAGCCAAAGCGATGACGATGATGATGACCGAATGAGGGGAAGGAATAGAATACAGGAATAAAGTGTTTTATCCAACGCCTAAGTCTAGTGTGAACTTGAAAACAGTAAATGAACGACTTTTAATGCCGCGCGCCGCTAATTATAGTAGTGAAACATTTTGAGAATTCAATTTATTACCCGCTGCAGACACGGTAAATATCTTTGAAATATGGTACTACTAGTAGTAATTTTCTAACTCCATATTCTCTTTGGTTCTCATTATAAAGTAACTTGATTAATTCTAAGTTTCATTTATTGTATTTTAATTAAAAAATAAAACCCTCAAAAATATTTTTTCATATTTATTATATTCTCCCAGTTATTATAAATTATTTTAAAATTTTCATTTTTAATTAGAAAAACGTTATAAACAAAACTTGGAAACAATCAAAATGACTTATAACAACATGAAAGAGTAGAATATTTATTATTATTATGTACTCTCTTTCAAGGAGATTATGTATGGAAAATGATGTTACGATTCAAATGGTTGACAGGATAAGTAAACAAAACGCCAGTTGTTAAGCTATATAGATATGTATGATACTATATTCTTGACGAATAATTTTCCTAGTGTAATCGTGTTGACTACATTTCCTAATATTAACGATTCGAATTTAACAATTTGATAGATGTTTCTTTTTTCCAGAAAAAAAAAATTAAATTGACATCTTCCTATTGACGCGGAAAGATTTTTCAAAATCAAATCAAATACTTACCTCAGAATTCCGAATTCAGTACTACAAGTTTTATTATATACCTAAATAATTGCGTGATTTTTGTGATCATTGAATGGATATCCATCCATTTATTGAACTTCTATAACTTGTCACGAGTTTTGATAGAGAGAATATTCCAACATAAATTATAAGTGAGAAAGAGGATAGAAATCTCAAGTACTTTTAATCAACGAAATTGATTTCATTTTATTTCTTTACAAAGAATAAATAGTCTGCATTTTTTGTAAATGGATTATGTGACGATGGAAACTCAAACTTTTTTTAAAAAATTTACCAAAAAAAAAAAACAATTTTGAACCGAGCTACCCCCAAACTATATATAAAACAAATTTCCTTCCACAAAGATTTGCTTATGTGCTGGAGACGCGCATTTACTAGTATCTTTTTATTTTGGAGCTTTCTTATCGAACCAATGAGTGCCGTGTTGTATGTGTATATTTTTATAAACAAATTTTAAAAAACTTTTCTCAATAGATGGAATTCCCAAACACCCAGTAGGAAAAAATAAAATCACACTCCAGGAAAAGTAGAGAAGGAGACCAAAAATGGGGAACAAAATTCACAACATTAACTTGTCACGAATCACAGCCATGTTCTAGAATGTGATATCAAATTTTTTCTTCTATATATTGACTTTAATCATTCAAAGAATAGAGGTACGTCATGATATTGCAAATAATCAAGGGATTATGGCAAGACGGATTAATTGCATTAATTCATTGGGATAATAACCGTTTCAGTACGTAGTATGGAAACGTCGCGCATTCTAGGCTGTTGACAATTTTTGAAGTATTGACACAATTTTAAGGGGGGGAGAAAGTTCTATTGGTCAATAAGTGACTACAAATGAGATGATCCCATTTTTCCCAAAACGCAAAATACCGATTTGTGGGCTTTTCGTCAATAGTGAGGGTTAGTCGAGAGGCCTAAAATCTGCCAACAATTTGCTCGGCTAACACTGCATTTTCGTTTTGATAGCTGTTCAATTTCAGTATATATTCAGTGGCAGAACGAATTTCCTTGTCTATCCGGCTACGATCTAATTTTATTTATTTATTTTATTTTTCTTTGAAAAATAATATATATATATATATCTATTTAATTTATTTCCTTGTCACCAGATCGATCATCCTTAAAGTTTTTTATTTAATTTGTATTTTAAGAAAATACGGAACAAAAAGAACGAGGAGAATATTCATATACTCACTACCGTTAACAATATCATTTAGGGAATAAGATTTCAGCCTAATCAAACTTTCTACTTTAAAGATTTAGAACAAAATGAGGGTTCGGTTGTGTTTGAGTTTTTTTTTTATAAAAAAAAGGTTATTCCTTCTTTCAGGAAAAAAAAAGAAGGAAGAATATCGTGAGAGTGGAACTTTCGTTTACTGATGGAGCTTTCTTAATTCATTTGTGTGTGTATGTTTTTTTTCTGATCTTACTTATAATTCATCCAACTGTCCAAGGAAAGTTAAACTAGTTGGTACACGTTTTTTTTTTTTTTCAAACAAGACAAGTACAAATTTTCGATTATAAGCATGTTAGTTTTGAAGAACAAAACAAAATATCTTAATCAATTCGGTTATCTCAACTTTTCATACAAACAGTGTGCAGTGCACTATTGCCCACATTTTTCTGTGGTGGATTGCAAGAAAACATGCGTGGGAGATTTTTAAAAGTTTTCTGTGGTTGGCTTAGAATATTTTGAGAGATAAACATCACTAACATTATTTTTTAAAAAACTGACCATTAATTACTTAGTAAAGAGAGTGCATTGAGCACAACAATATCAAACAGAGAGAGAAAAGGAAGACGGTCGATCACGTAACGTATTTATTTAGAGAAATCGTATCTGAAAATTCATTGCACCATTTGTGCTCCAAATTGAACCATTATAAGCTATTCTGCATATTTAATGTACCATTTCCAGTGGTGCTCTTCCCATTAAGTAACATCAAAATCTAAAAGGGATAGTCATTGTACCAAAAAAAAAAAAAAAAATTCTAAAATGGATAGTTGCCCGATCACAATAGGAGTTTGGATGTCCATCTTAAGAAGCCATCTAATAGAAATGGAGATTTCGATATAGTAGTGTTCTAAAAGTTGTCAGTATAATTTTATTCAGTCGAATGGTGACGTTACGTAATACTTCCTCCTGTCCTTATTATTAGGTATGTTGATTTTGTCTTAGGTTTCACCTAAGATGCGTTTTTAATTGGAAAAAAAAATTTTAAAAATATATTTTCACATTCGTCGTGTTTTCCTAATTATTAGGAAATATTTTTAAGGTTTTTATTTCAATTAAAAAGACATTCTAAATGAAACTTAGGACAAATCTTTGACAAATTAAAATGTCTTATAATAAACACCGGATGGAATACGAATTATCCAATTGCTTCGCCTGTTATTTAAATCCTCTTCCCTATCCAAAAAAAAAAAAAAAAAAAGACAATACATGCAACATGGAGCAACAGGTGGTGCTTAAATTCGTCAACTTCTTTTTGCCAAACATTTCTCCATTTACATATTATTTTTTTTGAAAAAAAGAAAACAATTGAATGAAATCAAAGAGAATAAATCTGTTCGGATAGCGTCATTACTCATTGGAAATCCCAGCCCTTTTCCCCAAACTAAGATTATAACTGGTTTATATTAGTAAAAAGGGTTGAAAAAAATGAAACTAAATTAACGTATTATTGTTACTTTTTGTGTCTTGAAATTGTTTAACATACGTATCCAGTATCCAGCCGCTATCGTTACACCCGTAAGTGTCGACTGACCGTTGACTAATCCGACTCGAGGCGGGTAGGTCCCTTTCGGGAGACAATCTCTACCAACCAACCTTTTAACACGATTGCGTACACAGGGTCTCGAACCCGAGACCTCTGCTTAAGCTAGATCAGCACCCTGCCAACTGATCCAAGCGCTGGGGTCTTGAAATTGTTGAGCCAATTTTTTCCTACTGTGCTTGGAGAGGTATTGGGCCATGCCTCGAGAGCAATGGACCACGAAAGGAGTATTAGAGCGGCAACGGCTTGATTAAAGAGAAGGAAACCGAGTTTAATTTAGAAAAGAATTGTTAACCAACTGGCGACTGAGATTCAAAGACTATTTAAAGGGATCGGCGGTAGGAGGAAAGACACAATCAACTTAGCATCAAATAATCTTAACAGCGAGAGAGATTAGTCACTGTTGCCGACGGAGGACACCCTACAAATATGCAAAAAAAACTTAGCATCAAATTTCTTATTTTAATTTTCAGTCTCTTTTTTCTTTTTGATTTAATCTCTAAAACTAGGGTTCGTCGAGATCTCCCTGAATTAGGCCGATTATCGGAGACTGCACTTGTTCTTCGAAGATCATAATAAAATCTTACCTTTGGCTGAGTTTACTTCCGAATTCCTTGTCTTATATGAAATTTAGCACAGAAATAATAATCTCAATAATTACCTTTTTTTTAATTCTTAGATTACACAGATGACGCGAGTAAATTCAAGGTAATAAAGTAATGAACATAATAATCATCGAGATTATCTTCCCGATTACCGCACACTACTGCTGGAAAAATTTGAGCCCATCAAATGATCAAAAATTGACAAAGGCATGCTTCAGTGTGCAATATCCAAAAAGCTTTACTGCGTTTGCTTTAGTTGAAGGCAAAAAAGGATGGTAGAATGTTTAACGTTAAACTGACTGTTGAACGGTATCGTAACCAGAAACAACGCATAAAGTGGAGAGAATAAAGCAAAACCGAGATAGACGGTTGAATAAAAAGAGCGAAACAAAGGCAGTAGATCAAAGAGAATATACGAATTTGTTTTGTCCGAGTCAAAAGCTCTTCCTGCGTAGTAAGCCCTTTCGGCTTTAAAGGCATAAATCCAGTCATGATTTTTTTCAGAAGATTTTGTGAACTATGTTTTAGATTGAGCATGCTTATCCAATATCTAAGGAATCTGGACTTTCGCTAAACCACCATATGAATCAGATTGCATTTCACACATGCTGAAAATTTTGGTCAAATATTTTCTCGCGCAGAAACTTTAATTAATTTATTAATATTCAACTACGAAGGTTAAATGCATGTATAAGCTTTGGTAGTTGAAGTACATTTCCAGTTAGAGTGTTTGTTTGATTGTACTACTTACAAATGTTAAAACTTAAAAAGGGGATGCATAAAATATTCCTTAAATTTCCACTTTTGATGAACAAATTGAAAAATTAAAAAAATTCCTGAGCTGGGGCTGGGTTGATTGACCTTCATGTAAATTGTCATCATGCAACCCACCATTTTGGATGGGAAATTTCAGAAACGTAGT